CGCCTTACCAACTCTCGAGCGCCGTCGACATTCCTGTCTCTGAATCTTGGGATACTCATTAATTCAAGCTTTCATCTCCAACCCGAAGCGTCATCCGACACCGGCAGAACACAAATCACCGCTCTGGTCCAGCGTACCTCTCCTCATCCAAGCACCCCTCCAAGCTTGTCTATCCACCGCAACCATGCTTTTCTTCAGGTATGCTATGGCGCGAAGCGCATGCTCATTTCGCATGAATGAAAACTAATAGATACTTCATTGCAGCTTCTTCAAGACTCTGACCAACCAGACTGTCACTATTGAGCTCAAAAATGACATCCGCATCCGTGGAATCCTGAAATCAGTCGACCAATACCTAAACATCAAGCTCGACGACATTGAAGTGTTGGACTTGGCCAAGTACCCTCACCTGTCTTCGGTGAAGAACATGTTTATCCGAGGAAGTGTGGTGCGGTACGTGATGTTGCCTCGGTCGGAGGTTGACGTGGGGTTGTTGGAGGATGCCACACGGCGAGGTGAGTTGCGCTTCGTTCCCCGAATGAGTTATTGAGATCAGTACATGATCTCGCCTCTTTTCAACCAAGCATCAACAAAGGTTGCGACCGGAATTTCCATTCGAATAAATACTAACAGAGTCATCATACAGAGGCTGCCAACCAGGCTGGTAAAGCTCGGTAAACGATCATGGCCTCAATTTTACGACAAATCACGCATCGCGCTCTTCAATACCTTTGTTCCCACTAGGTGGTTTCTAGCAAAGAAAATGACTATATGGCCAAAAGTATGGGGTTTCAGGTGGCCCCCAATATTGAGATGACCCAATTGACGGCCGGGGTGACGGGTTCATGCAACGAAAGATGTTCGAAACTCCCATACCACTAGAGTGCGCTCAAGATACCAAATAGACCTTGGATCGCCGCTCATGAATCCTGCTGATACGCCGCAAAAGCAATTTCGTCGGAGATTACCCGCCTATAGCTCATGCTGGCTGGCACCTGGGCTGCGTTGTTCATGATACCTCGTTAAGACTTTTTTTGCAATAATGAACAGCTACTTTTTTTTGGCCATTTGACTAGATGGCAAAGCTCTAAATATACTAAAGTCGAATGTAGTCCTCCAGACTGGAGCCGAGTAATATGGGACACGTGACTTCGTGTCGCGATCCGGTTTCTTCGCGCCTCTCGACCCTACTGGTCCGACATTTTCACTGGCGACCGTGCGCATATTATGGACATACTATACATTTAACTACTGTCCGTGTTTCAACCAGCCTAAAACTACCTTGGAACTGCTACGGGCTCTCTTACACCCTCGCCACGACTCGATTCTCGCACACGGTGCAACCGACTCCCACCCCTCCGTGACCGAGCCACAATGGCCGGTTCTTACGCGAAGAAGGGGGCCACGCCATCCAAGGGATCTTCTGGGACAAGACAATCGTCAGTAAAGCGCAACTCGAGCATCTTGAGTTTCTTCCAGAAGACCGACACGCCACCGGGCGCCACTTCTCGCCAGGCTCGGATCACCCAATTTGCAACGGCGACCTCACGTTCACCGAGCAGCGGCCGGAGCACTTCGACTTCCCAACGAGGGAACAATTTAAGAAATGATAACTCTGATGGACTTTTTCTGGAGGATAAAAAGGGACTGGCAAAGATTGAACGAGCAGCGGCGATGAGCGAAAGAGAGCGATCACTGACGCCTGATATTTGGGGTGACGATGAAGAGTTTTTGAAACTGGATGCCCAACGATATAATGAGAGTGATACAGCGGTCAAGCGTCGGAAGGTCGACTCACCGGGCAACCCGGTCGACGAAAAACAACAGCCAGACACTGAATCGAAGACTACAAAACCACCCACACCTACACCTGCACCTGTACCCGCAAAGACCCAGAAAAGGAGCGGACCATTTATCGATGAGTCCGATAGCGAGGATGATATGGAAGCATATCGGGAGCTTCATGAACCCACTCCTGCCACCAAGGGTGTGACGAACGAGACGTTGCAAATGGATAACATAGTGGCTACAGAACGCACTTCCGAACCAACACCTCCGCCACTGGTAAGAGCCGCCACGAGTAATGCCGATAATGATGAATACGCGAATTTTGACGATATAGAAGAAGACGAGCTTATAGGGGAAGAGTTTCGAAATCGGCCTTGGGAGGGCGAGGAACAAGAGCAGGAGATCGACCTTGAGGTAGATCCTGACAAAGATTTAAACGACTGTTCTGGTGTAGAAGATATTGAGGGGGGAGTGAGCACATGTCCTATCTGCCAATCGGTACTAAAGAGTCTTAATGAAACGGTAAGTGTTCATTATTGCCATTTTGGGCAATTGAAATGCTGATTCTCAGCATAGGCCATTGCAATACATGTCAACGACTGCCTCGATGGAAAAACCAACTCCATCCCAGCCACACCCGGAGCTAAGCCCATGATGAAGCCGACACCCAAGCCAGCCGACATCGACAAAGGGCTGACACGCGCAGAGCGCGCTGCCATTGCCCGGCCTGCGCAAGGTGATCCCTACTCGCAGAACAAACCCATTGGAGGTTCTGCATTCTCCAAGATGATGGCTGGAAACGCAGAAGATACTGCTTGGGCTACTGCAGCCGCAAACGAGGTCTCTTCTCGTGGCAAACAAGCCTACCAGCGGACTTGTCCATTTTATAAAATTCTTCCGGGTTTTTCCATATGCGTTGATGCCTTCCGCTACGGTGCCGTTGAGGGGTGTAACGCCTACTTTCTTAGTCACTTTCACAGCGATCACTATATAGGGCTCAGCAAGTCCTGGTGCCATGGGCCCATTTACTGCAGTCGACCAACTGCCAATCTTGTCCGTCAGCAGCTCCGTGTTGATCCCAAGTGGGTAGTTGACCTCGAGTTTGAATCTACCACTGAAGTACCGGAGACGGGAGGAGTGCGGGTCACCATGATACATGCAAATCATTGCCCCGGTAGCTCTCTCTTTCTTTTTGAAAAGAGATCTGGGAATGGGCCCAATGCCAGTAAACAGCGTGTGCTGCATTGTGGTGACTTCCGTGCATCACCCGCTCAGGTGCAACACCCACTTCTACGCCCCGATGTGACCAACCCAGTCACTGGCAAGCCGAGACAGCAACATATCGACAAATGTTATCTCGACACCACATACCTGAGCCCAAAATATGGGTTTCCCGCCCAGGAGGATGTGATCACAGCGTGTTCAGAGCTATGTGTGCGTCTGAATCAGGAAGTAGGTGTAGGACCTGATACGGGGAAGAATGGCGCAAGTGGCTTGATGGGCAAATTTCTTTCCGCGGCCACAGAGAGTAACAAAGAACCGGACAAACCCTCACAGGCCGGGGGTCGACTACTCGTAGTCATTGGCACTTACAGTATTGGCAAAGAGCGGATATGTATGGGTATCGCCCGAGCACTTGGATCAAAGATCTTCGCGACCCCACCGAAGCAACGAATCTGCGCCTGCTTGGAAGACCCCGAACTCTCCGCGATGCTGACCAGCAATCCTCACGAAGCACAAGTACATATGCAAACTCTCTTCGAGATCCGTGCCGACACCCTGGCAGACTACCTCGATGGCCTCAAACCACATTTCTCCCGAGTCGTCGGTTTCCGCCCGACCGGCTGGACCTATCGCCCACCAGCCGGGCGACTGGTACAAAATCCACCAGTCTCCACTGTACTGCACGGCGAACACTGGAAGTCACCATACACTAGCCAAGACATCACACCGCAGCGCGGCAGCACTCGAGAAAGCGCCTGCTTTGGTGTGCCCTATAGCGAACACAGTTCGTTCCGCGAACTTACCATGTTCTGTTGCGCTTTGCGTATCGGGCGCGTCATTCCGACGGTGAATGTTGCCAGCCAGAAGAGTCGGGACCAGATGAAGGTGTGGATGGAGCGGTGGGATGCCGAAAAGAAGAAGAACGGGTTGTTTCCTGTCACTGGCGATCGGTGGTGATCAACGGCCTGCACATACCACATATGGATAACATAGAGTATATTTATCGCATTGAAATTTACATAGCGACTGCATTTATTTGTATTTAACTTCGGGTTTGAACGGCTAGTACTCTTCTCGCTCTCGTTCCGATTTTCTTTCTCACCTTAGTGGTTTCAGACTCCATCGACTACTCCACTTATCCAAAGTCTAGGTCCTTGAACCTGGGAACGCTTGTAGATCGTTGCCTTGGATTTTGGTATATATCGTAACAGTTGGATCTATATTCTCGCTAATGCACCTGTCAGGGGACTGTTTTCCCAAAGAACCCGCCAACTCCCCTTAACAAGGTCAAATTTAGCATGTGGGTTCTGTGTTCGAGGTAAACTACTCCGTACTACTCCGTAATCTGGTACTATATCCCGACTATCTATACGTATAGCCCCAATTTTGAATATCACCTAGTTCCGCTGTATCCGAGTTATTATATGCAATATCTACATAAAAACAAGAGCTTGCGATGATCCAACCTCGGCAGATCAGTAAATTGTGTTGGATGTGTTCTCATTTTTAGGGCTCGGACCAAGTGGATCAGAAGGATGAGAGATCGTGAACGATAATTCGTTCCACTTTAGATTCGGATCGGCAGTATGCAGCGAGAACTGCAAACTTATACCTCTTTATCCTCTTCAGACGGAGCTATCAGACCAAATATAAACGATGATTGGTGCCGTTAGGGCTGCATTATGTTGTCAAGGACAAGATCCTCTAACGTCCAAGACGCTTTCAGGCCTAGGGCTTAGCACGGGAAAACAACCTTTGATGGGCGTGCACTATCGATATATGCGTTAGTCGGGTTCCACTCCAATTGCAAGGCCTTTGACAAATCATTTTGGGGCCGGTTTTTCGAAATAGACTTGCGGTATTTTGGATGTGTTATTTTGTCGTGGGCGAAGCTTTCGGGTGGAAAAGAAACTCTATATAAGGGAGACAATCCCCTTTGCGCCTGTTGAGCCTGAGTGCAGAGATATCATATCCAAAATTCACTCACGATGCGTACGTCAACAATTGGGCTTTGGGCTCTGACGGCTGGTCTCGCCGCCGCAAAAACCTGCTACAACGTAACCGTTGAGGTCCCTGTCACCGCTCGCAACGGGGTGTTCGACAACATCAACACGCCTCAGACGAACTTTGACGCTACTTCATTCGTCCTCTCGGCGACTAAGCAGGGTAGAAATTTGTCAGAAACAGCTTTGTCGGGCTACGCTACCGTGTCGGGCCACTACAATATCTCGACCCAATACTGTATGCCGAAGAACGCTGGGAATTCGGCCTACACTCTTCAGATCCTGACACATGGAATGGGCTTTGACAAGTCGTGAGTTTCGAGACTTGATTGGTAATTCTAAACAGTGGGCTAACATGAAATGATAGATATTGGGATCTACCATACCACAACTATAACTACTCCTACGTGGATTACGTCTTGTCTCTTGGATATCACACCCTCTCCTACGATCGACTGGGCCTTGGAAAATCCTCACACGGTGACGCAAAGAACGAGATCCAAGCATTCCTAGAGATCGAAGCTCTCGCTCAGTTGACTCGCATGGTGCGCAACGGCAAGATGTCCAAGATCAAGACCCCTGCGAAGGTCGTCCACGTCGGACATTCATTCGGCTCTGCCCAGACAGTTGCTCTGTCCGCGATGTATCCAGAGCTGTCCGATGCACTCGTGCTCACTGGGTACACCACAAGCGCCGACTATATGCCAATGTTCCTCAGCGGCGCCAATTTCCAACAAGCCCGACTCAATGGCAAGAACTCGGACTACACAGCTGGGTACTTGAAGAGTGCAGACATCGGCAGCAATGTATATCTCTTCTTCTACCCTCCCCATTTCGACACCGGTCTTCTCGAATGCGCAGAAGAGAACAAGCAGCCCATGACCATCGGCGAACTCCTGACTATCACTGGTCTGCCAGCACAGAGCAACTTTACTGGACCTGTTTATGTCATTGATGGTGCGAACGATGTGCCATTTTGTGGAGGCGACTGTTTACATACGGGTGGCAAAGCGGCTTCTATTCCTGCTGCTGCCAAGGGGATCTTCCCCTTGGCCACTGCTTTCTCTGCCTACGTCCATCCCAACACTGGCCATGCTATTAATCTGCACTATAATGCCACCGGGGCTTATAAGCAGATCAATGACTTCTTGGGGGCTCACGGCTTGTTGAGCAAGAGTCATCATAATGATCATGCTCGTCATCATCAGCGAAAAGATGGGGGAACTAAGGGCCCTGATCTTTGATTCATGTACATTTTATACATTTATACCTTGAAGGAGTAATATGTACATACTACCTGGGTTGTATGTACGTAATGTACGTAACATATTTCCTCTGCCGGGTGGGGCTTTTCAGTTAAGCTTCATCGGATAGGGTCAGAATCTCCTATTGTGACTATGGGAAAAAAAAAAAGCTAATAAAAATATTCGCAAATTCCCCCTTATCAAGGCAACACCCCCATTATTCATTACTCAACGCACTTGCACGGACTTTGTCCCTCCTCATAATCAGAAAAGCTCCCCAACATTTGCCTTCCGTCCTCGGCTCTCAATTTCGGCAATGAAACGCCCAGGCATTGCGCTTGTAGTCAGAACACGGCTAACCTCAAGGTACCGCTTGCGAAACTCGGACCAAAGCTTTTTATCCTTAGCAGTGGTCAACTCAGGTGATGGGTAGTAGGGGTCGTTCCAGGTAAAAGCGTCCACGATTTGTTTCAGACCTGCAGGGTTCTCCTCAAACTTTGCGCACCTATCGACATGTTAGTAGTGTCCAGCAATATTCGGGAATAGTACCCACATATTAAAATCGATGAGCCACATGCTGATTGACCGGCGAGAAAAATCAAACCGATCTCCTAGCGACCACTCGTCCTCTTCCGTAATCTCATCTGACCGCGGCATTTGAGACAACAAGGGGGAGCTACCAAGGATGAACTCGATGTCGTTGCCATCAACGCCAGCTTTCCAGTGTAGAATGGCCAGGGTTTGGGCCATAACATGGGCAAACGCACAGGTGTCCAGTTTCAAATCCTCCATTTCGTTGACATGTAGTGGGAAATTTCGCAATTTGAAATTCTTCACATTCGGGTTATTCTTGTTCATCATTCGGCGTCCGAGATAGACCCGAATCAAGCAGTTTATATTCTCTGGCTTGGCCAGGAACTCCGACTTGTGTTTCTGAATGCTTGGAGGGCAAAGAACATCGACTATAGCTTCCCTAACTGGGAGGGGGAGGGGGAAAACACGGCTTGAGATCATAGCGAAATTCTGCGCATCTGCAGTCTGTGGGAAACGAAGGCTGTTGTTGGTCCAGAAACTTTTTGACTTGGGCGTTTCCCAGCTGTACAACTTGGGAATGTGGATTTCCAGTTTCATCAGATTCTCAACATCTTCCATTGCTTCCTTGACAGAGGCGTGCATCTTGAAGTCAGCAAGCAGTTGGGGGACCTTAACCAGGGAATTGGGAAGTTTCGCGACGGTATCAGTTCCAACAATGGCGTAGACAGTACCGCACTGTCCTTTTCCGATCTCCAGGAATTGTTGTTGCGACGGATTACCTCGGGCTGCATTGTTCAGTTCCGCGAGGCTAGAGGTAGTTGATATATAGGATTTGGTCGACAGCATGCGGGAAAGGATTTCTTCTGGCTTTGCAGCAGCGATTTCCTCCGGGGAAAAAAAGGTATCTTTTGCCAACTGGAAACCAGTGAGAGCAAGATCTTTGATCGATTCAGTAATGGAATATCCCGAATCTTCGGACCTGACCTGCTTGCGACGGTCCATAGTGACAAGGACGTCTTGCTGGTCAAAGTGTGAGGAAATGTAAGAGAATATGTAGGAAAAAGTAAGAGAAAAGTAAAGGTTCAGGGAAACCTCCAGGCGCGGACAAAGCTCCAGGCGTAGGAAAAAGTAAGAGAAAAGTAAAGGTTCAGAGAAACTTCCAGGCGCGGACAAAGCTCTAGAGGCGCAGAGAAAAGTGAAGGTGCAGAAGAAGGTCTAGGCACAGAGGAGGTAAAAAGCTCCAGACGCAGCGAAAGCTTGAGGCGCACAGAAAGGTTCAGACGCAGAAAAAGGTAAGAGGGACAGAGAAAGGTAAGAGGGACAGAGAAAGGTAAGAGGGACAGAGAGATGTCCAGGCGCAGCGAAAAGGCAAGGCGCACAGAGAAGTTGAGGTGCAGAGAAGAGTCAAGTTGCAGACAAGAGCAGAGAAGAGTAGAGGAGAATATGCAGCAACCTTGGAAATGTACCGCTCACCTTTACGGCCCCGGGGGTTGTAGGTATCTATGGATCCATGGATGGGTTCTGCACCTAGTGGCCGATCGGAACCAACCAAATAATGATTATGTAATATATACGATGGATGCCTGGTTTACGAGGCATCAATCGTACCTCGTGCCGATTTCTCCCCCACACTCTTTTCCGACAAATCAAAAACTAGTGATTTATGCCAAACACAAAATGCAGGCAAACCATAACCAATATGCGACCGCTGATTTGCCTGAACGCGTCATGCCAATAACCGAAACCGGGGTGCCGGAGGTCCGGAGACATAGGACGGCACTCTCCACGGATCTCCGCCGCCAGTCACTTAACTCCACACTACCGAAATTGCTTCCCGTTGCTTTGCATTACCCTCGGGGATGATTCGATGACCGGTGATCGCTCTTTTCATAAATAAGTTGGATTCTTCGCGTTTGGTCATGAATCTGAGCTGATTCCTCTCCATTGAACATACATTCTATATTTATTGATTGACATTCTCCTTTTTGCATTGGGCCGGTACCTTTTTTTTCCCCCGACTTGTTTGTCCAACACTTCTATACAACACGTCGCCATGTTAGTGACACTCGAAAACCTTCCGTTGATTCTTGTCGGCCTCGCCGTAGCCTATTACTTGGTGCCGTATGTGCAAAAGTCGCACCTGCGTGCCATTCCCTCTGCCGGGTTTGCCGCGTTCACCAACGTTTGGCTACTGCTGCAGGCCCGCCAGGGACAAAAGTACCTGACGATCGACAAGGCCCACCAGAAGTATGGAAAGTTTGTCCGCATTTCACCTACCCAAGTGTCCATTGCCGACGACGAGGCTATCCAGGCCGTCTATGGACACGGCAATGGCTTCTTGAAAGCGTACGTCAATCTTATAGCCCATAAAAACTACACTGAAACTGACAATATCTCAGTGACTTCTACGATGCCTTCGTATCTATCCGCCGTGGCTTGTTCAACACCCGTGACCGTGCCGAGCACGCTCGCAAGCGCAAGACCGTCTCCCACACTTTCAGTGCCAAGAACATTGGCCAATTCGAGCAGTATATCCACGGCAACATTGAGGAGTTCGTGAAGCAATGGAACCGTCTCTCCGACCTCCAGGGTAACCCCAAGACCGGCTATGTCAGCCTCGACGCCCTCAACTGGTTCAACTACCTGGCCTTCGACATCATCGGTGACTTGGCTTTCGGTGCTCCCTTCGGCATGCTCGAGAAGGGCCAGGATATCGCCGAGATGCGTCTGGACCCCAAGGACCCTCCCAAGTATGTCGCCGCCGTCGAAGTTCTGAACCGTCGTGGCGAGGTCTCCGCTACTCTTGGCTGCATGCCATCTATCATCCCCTATGCCAAGTACATCCCGGACCGCTTCTTCTCCGAAGGTTTGGAAGCCGTTGAGAACCTTGCTGGTATCGCCATCGCCCGTGTGAGCGAGCGTCTCAAGCCAGAGGTCATGGCCAACAACACCCGCGTGGATCTCCTCGCCCGCCTCATGGAAGGCAAGGACGGAAACGGTAACCAGCTTGAACGCGCCGAATTGACCGCCGAGGCCCTCACCCAACTCATCGCCGGCTCCGACACCACCTCCAACACCGCCTGTGCCATCCTCTACTGGTGCATGATCACCCCTCACGTTCTCCCCAAGCTGCACAAGGCCCTGGACGAAGCCCTCCCCAAGGACATCGAAGTTCCCACACACTCTATGGTCAAGGAAATCCCCTAGTAAGCCCTCACCCTATTCCACACAAAACATAACCCCCCAAACTAACCAAACTGTTAGCCTCCAATGGGTGATCTGGGAAACGATGCGCATCCACAGCACATCCTCAATGGGCCTTCCCCGCGAGATCCCTGCCGGTTCCGCTCCCGTGGTAATCTGCGGCCGCACCTTCCAAGCCGGCGACGTTCTCTCCGTCCCCAGCTACACGATCCACCGCTCGAAGGATATCTGGGGCGCCGACGCCGAGAAATTCGTCCCGGAGCGCTGGAGCCCCGAGCGTCTCACCGCCCGCCAAAAGGCTGCCTTCATCCCCTTCAGCCACGGACCTCGCGCTTGTGTCGGTCGCAACGTCGCCGAGATGGAACTGCTCGTTATCTGCGCTACTGTGTTCCGACTTTTCGAGTTCGAGATGCACCAGGATGGACCTATGGAGACACGCGAGGGATTCCTCCGCAAGCCGCTTGCTTTGCAGGTTGGCATGCGTCGTCGTCGGGTTTGAGCTGTCCTTTTTGGGATATAGAAAAATATATACGCCCTTGTAAAGAAGGGGTTTAAGGATTGAAATTGTTTGGACCTAGGGTGGAATGGAATGGGATCTTGGATTTATATTTGGATTACCATTTGTCATGATTCGATGAGAATGGCTGGGTTGGTTCATTGTGCTTGCCTTGGGGTAAGTATGTTACCGCGCAGTCGATGATGACTTTCCTTTTGTGGCTTGTCGATTTTGGTTTCGGTTTTGATTTTGGTCTTGGTGGCCGTCAAATATCGGGAATCTGATGAGCGTGTACATATGCCATATTTTTATATATTTTTGCTTTGAAACTATCTTCGAGTTTTACAAGAAAATACTGCTCGGTGCTGTGAATAAGAAAGTCAAGAAAATATCAGGACTTAGTTCCTTGCTGTATTATTAGGTGCTCGTCGAGCCTCAGATGGATGAACTGGGTATATTAAATACAGGACATGTGAAGAAACAAAAATCAATGCTAGAGTATACTATAATGTCGTGACTATTCGTGGTTGACGTGAATTAAACGGAGATCCGAAGAATTGTAGCGTGCCCCGACTCCGACCGCAGTTGGCTACCAAGTAGCAAATGGGAACCAAACGTAAGAGGTAACAGGTCCGACTTTCTACCATGTGGCAGGACCAAAGGTCGAGCCCGTGGGCACAGGATCCCGAATGGCCGAATCGGACATATCCATGGTGTCCGTAGCGATTTTGGTACCCCACCAGGTGGGGAAGTCGGTATTGGTCAAGGTGAGGGTCAAGAAGATGAGAATGGTGCACAGAGCGAGACCGACATCCAGGCCAGCGGAAAGGACGTAGTTGTACTGCATCCACCATCCACGCCAGCGGTCACGGATGTACTTGTTGAAGACGTATCCAACGATACCCCAGGAAAGATAGTTCAGAGGGGTAGCGGGAGGAATCAAACCGGCACCACCGAAGATGATGGGGGCACTGAGGTACTTGATGGGGCTCTTGGGGAAGTAGCGGGCACCGATATAGATCAGGATGGGGAGGATGCCGCCGGCGAGGAAGAAGAACATCAAGGGCGAGTACAGCTGGCCGATGGAGAACATCCGAGCGGGTCCAATAACACCCCAGATAACGGAGGCGTTGAAGAACACACGACCGTTGGGGCAGGAGAAGTGGTTGGGCTGGAACTGTGTGCACACGTCCTTGATGGCACCGAGAGCCCAGTTCATGGTGCAGATCTGCACCAGGGATGACCACAGACAAGCGACCATCTGGGCCATAAATGTCACACGGGGAGGAATCTTCATGTAGTGACCTAATCGAATCGGTTAGTATAACAAATTGACACTAGATAGACACTGACGGAACGTACCGATTTTCAAATCCTGTGAGAAGTACATTCCTTGGTACATGCTGATGTAACCATAGGTCTTGAACAGCATCATGGCCATAGGTTTACCGGGCTGCATGTAACCGATGATGAACTCGGTGATGACATTAAGGCCGATGTCGATGTTGGTGGCAGCCTTGACGATGCCAATGGGAACAAACCAAACCGCGGAAATGAGCAGAGCAATGATGAAGGACCACCAGCTCATGTGCGTAGCCCAGCCCAGGATAACACCAAATCCGAGTGCGACCATGGCCAAAAACACGCCCAAGTACCACCAGATGGGAACTTCAGCGTAGCGAGACATGAGACGGCCGTGGACATCTTCTTCCTCCTTTCCGACGCGACGGAATCGAGCCCAAATATCCGCACCGTTGAAAAGACCGGTCTGAACGAGCACAGCGATGATACTGGCAAACGACAGCCCATAGGACAGCATGAATGTTGTTGACAGGAAAAGAGGGGAGTAGTTCGAGTATTTCGCAGGGTCAAAGGTAAAGTCCGGAGTAAGAATCTTGCTGACATTATAGGAATGACCGGTGTTATCGTAACTGCCAGAGTCGCTCATGGGCAAGTGCTGAGCGTAGAAGAGATTGGAGTAGTGAATGGCGGGGGTGACAATCCAGAACCAGAGGAACATGCCGATCATTGTATTGGAGATAGCATACCAAGGAGCGATGAGGGGACTGAAGTTGAATCCAGAGATCTGAGTCCAGTCGAATGTCATTGGGATAAGCGAAAGGCCGGTCGATCCACCGAAGAGCTGGTTGATGACAACGTTCTGGGGCTTGATCCAGGTGACCCAGGCAAAGACACTCAGGAACGGCGCGATGTAACCGGGGAACCAGTACCAGCAGAAAGAGCCAAGCATGGCATACAGGAACATCTGATATTTGCCGATCTTCCAGCCAGCGACCGATTTGGGATCAGGCCTGGTGCGATCGTGCAGCGCAGCGAAGAGTGAGGTATTGATCAGGGTGGAGGGCCAGATCATGGCGGCGGGCTGTACGAGGAAGCGGGTGAAGAAGCCAGCCATACCGAAGCCCAACATCTGAGTGGAGATACACATCAGGATCTCGAAACCCCAACCAAAGTTTTGTTTATAGAAGGCACGTTGGGCCAAGAGGACATCCGTCGCGTAGGCGGCGCCACCACCGAATGTGGCGTTTGCCATGATAACCACAATTGCATGTTCCTTCTTGGTGAAAGTACCTGGGTTGAGTTGGCCTTTGTAGCCGAAGAAATTGACGGTGTAATTGGGCATCCACATCTCCCATGCCTTACCCACTGGGTAGGCGACAACCTGTGCAATGTATGAGGGAATGACGATGTAGGGCTGGCGCATGGAGAACAGCATGTTAAGGGCAGAACCGATGGTCGCAAATAGAAGACCAATGACCCAGGCGCGAATAGTGTTAACAGGTCCACCCTCATCGATATTCGGCACAGCAGAGCGAACCTCGGGGTATGGGGAGTTTTCCAGGAGTTCGTGGGCGATTACCTCCTGGGTAGTCTTGTCGGATGTGTGCAAGGCCTCATCGAGTTCCTCAGCAACATCCTCGGGCATATTAGGATCCCAGTGATGGTGGTCCTTGAGGTCACGGAGCTTCTTGAGGTTCACATCGGGCGCGGTCTCGTCGACCATCGCACCAGTGGTGACGGCGATAGACTCGTCCTTCTCCATGATGAACGATATGGAGTAGAGATGTCAACTTCACAGGAAGGAAGGGTGAAATGAGAAAGAGAAAGCATCAACAGTGGGAGAGTCGAATGTGATATAAAGCTGGTCGTAGCTAGTCGTAGCTGGCCGTGGTCGAAAACAAGGCCGTCGGAGTTCCGCCTTATCGCCCAAAGAGGATATCTCAGGCTTATCCTGAAGTGGATGTAACCCAGCGGGGATGAAACTGAACGGTGAGGCAAGAGAATTGATTCGATGGAAAAGAGAAAGTGGGGGGAAAGAGAGACAGGGGTCAGGAGTGAAGTGAGAGATGGTTGGACAAGAGACGCGAGACTTGAGTGGCTGGAAGCAGGTGCTTGAGGCGGAAGGTGGCAATGTGCATATAAGAAGCAGCCACCAAGTAATATCATCCCATGTTGTGATTTGGCCTTATTTCGGCTTGATAGCTCACAGACCTCTTATGTATACAGCTTATGCATAATCTGGAGAACGTTCGTATCTTGAGCACCTGAATACTCGGTGGCGTTCCTTGGGTTACGTTCGATTCTACGGAGGACTTAATGTAGAGTTTGCGTTGGAGGGTGTTTCAGGACAAAGAAATAGAGGAATCCATGATGAAATACCTAGGAAGTTAGTACGGAGTATGGTATAGTATGTTTTGTGTAGTATCTCTCTTTTCATGGGAAATATTTCGAAATACCTTTTTTAGAGTGTGTACTATGTACAAAATACTCCTTACGCGGATTCCAAGAAACAGAAGCAATGTGCTCGGAGCTTGTTAGTGATAAGCCGGCGCACGGAGGGAAAAGGATGAGCCTGCCGTTATGGACTTAGCTTACACGCTAATTTTGCAGCTAAAATGGTGGCCAACCAACCATGTCCATGCCTTCAAGCCTGGTTGACCCATCTCCGGAGCTAAATATCAGTTTCGGGGAAATGGGATATTGCCAAGTAATGCCAAGAGAATTTCCTTGCCGATGATAATAATAAAAAAACAACCGACGATAGCCTCTTATCTCTGGGCAACGACCAGGTGTACGCGATACTCGGCCCGGGATAGTAGCGGAGTTCATACCAATATCCAATCTCATCTTAAGGTATCTTGAGGTCTTGGCAGTCCCTCGGAGTCCCTCGGAGTCCCCGATATGAGTGTTGGCAGCTGACAAAATTGACAGCTCAGGTAGGGCAAAATAAGCGCAGTGGAACGATGCACCATCTGTATGGCTCAACAGTGTGGGGAGACTTTTTCTAGCGGGCTTCTACTTCGTGTAACTTGCATTATTGAGCTGGATACCTTCCGAATGTGATAAGGTCGGTGCTGCGTTAGTGGCTTCGAATCTCGCATGTCTCAAACCGGAGAACCACGGAGTTGCAGGGTTTGCAATGGGCGCTTATAATCGATATTCCCCATTGGTTCACATGAAGACCAAAGATATGTCAAGTGATGGGAGATGCATTGCGTGATAGGAGGGATCAATAATTGCCACCTAGAGATTGCATTAATATTATGTTATGTGAAAACGTGAATGGAACCGGAGTCCCGCTGTACGGAGGACTCCACACGTGGGTTTTGCTTTGAGCTGTGAACACGAGCTCCTTAACCTGGGGTAAATAGCGATCTGAACCCCTTGCAATCATTTTATGACCAAGGAGGATGAGGTAAAAGCTGGGCAGGGGGCTTGTAAGAGACAAGCATAAGCCGAGGCTAAAGTGGGGATAAGACCATTTACGACGTCCACGACGTACCATTGACCGCCTCCAATATAAACAACCCAGTAACCAGCCCTTGCAATTATTCAATACCAATGGAGTATGTTGTATGTACTTCGTAGGTAAAATGTTGTCCCCAGCAAATATTACATTAATAATTCATCCACGGAGTAATGCTTGTCAATTCATAATAGTGCATTTTCGGAAAAACATCCCCTTAGTGGCTACTTCATAGTCCATATCTAATTTGCCGGAGATCCTCCGAACCAAACTTCCTAGCCCTATCGCATCAATCCCTCTATCAGGCAAGTAAATACCGGGTATCGCCAAGTGGGGTGCTAGAAAAGCACAATCCATAACCCCAGTCTGTGCCCCGGCCTGCAAGGCCACGCGTACAACGCGATCTGTGTGGCATTGCTCTGGCTACTGAACCTTAGTTAGTAGCGTGGGCTTGCTTGTAAGATCTTTGTTTTAACATCTCGAGGTGGGACCTGCGGTTTGTACGCTCGTCGGAGTGTAGTGTCGGAATTTCGCTGAAGAAACCCGGGTACCGGAAGATAAATTTTCCGATTGGTCGAGATCGGCAATGCTGGGGCCTGATACTAGCTTCCATAACTATGCAGTTGGGATCACAAAGGGCGTAATCCTTGATCGGTATACTCCGTATTCCGTACTGCGTACTCCGTACAACATACGCCCTTCGTGATCGGTAGCCCCGCTCTACAACGTTGTCTCACTTCAACCGGACGATGGAAACGCGATGGTAAAACAGACCCTTAAGCCTTAAGCATGGGTTCTAGAGTCAACTTAAGTGCTCACGGTAGATTATTCGCTAACGACAAATCCGGAGGAAATGAGAAAATCTCATCACTTAGCCACTCGAAATTTGTGAAGTAATCCTCGTTCATCTGGAACTCTCCTTGCAGAGGACCCACGTTCTGAATAAACCCCCTAACGGGCTCCCGGGCGGGTTCTGTTCCCATTATAGCACGCGCTACCTCGGTACCCGGAAGCGTGTTAGTTCGGGGAGGGCCATCGATTGACTCCGTGGATTGCATTTTAGCGCGCGCGTTGGGTTCATATTCATCACGCCACCACCAGACAGCATCCAAAATCTGACTGAGGATCAGCCGACTGCGAATTCGAAGTCCGGTGTATTCCGAGCCATCGCCTTTGCGGAATGCCTTGCTGCTATTCCAGAGTTGATTCAAGACCGTGATCATTTTAGCGGCTGTATCGCTTCTGTCGGTGGACATCAACTTAGCCAGATTGATGGTGGCGAAGAAAGAGGCCTGGGCACGGCTTGTATCGAGTCTGCTGGAAGCAAAATCGCTTTTTAGAATCCGCAATAGTGCCGTCGAAGCCAGAAGCAAACCGAAGCTTATTTGGACAGGTGCCATAAAGAGAGATCCCATACGATCCGCCAAGCCTTGAACATAGTCTATCAAGTTGCAAGCGGAGACGATAAGACGAGGAAGACATCCACTGGAGACGAGTGTTTGATTTTTGTAGAAATGGAAGCTTTGGATTGCCATTCGGCAAAGGAGAAGGTGGTATCTCTCGTGGTCTGCAGCAAGGGATAAAGCGTTAGCAGATGGACTATTGCCGATGAGACCCGTGTCAGAAACAAACCGACTACTGCCTGCAATGCAATATCGTCCACCTCTCCCTCATACTTCCGCAGCAAGATGTCCAAAGCCAGCTCCTGATCCAGAGACATGGCACGAACTCCATTCTCCAGAACCGCCTCACTGCATTTCCCAACGACCTCCTGGCATCTGAGTTTCTGAACCAAGTGTGGAGCAATCTTATCAAATAGCACCTGGCGTTGGATCGTATCCTGTGCTAAGCTGACTAGATTCCGCGGAGATTGCCCTTTGATCACACAAGACCTAAAATGAATCAGCACGGTACGTTCGCTTCGCCACACTTTGAAAGAAAGAAACCCACCGTTGGTACACAAGCACGCAATGAGCCCAGAGCTCCGAGCGTCGGACCATATCCAAGTCTGACGAAGCCGGGATTTTCACTCTGGAAAATTCATGGCTCGACATTGGGATATGGAAACCATTTTGCATCGCTACATGCAAAAGCATTCCGCTGAGCGGAAATGTCACATCTGGGCGATTTTCCTTGGGAAACGGCCAAGTCAGCAGGAGCAATAGTCCCTGTATGATGTACCACGGCGCGCATGTTGACAAGACCGACAGAAATGCCATTTCTGTGACTTCCTGGGCTAGTGCAGTGTGCAAAGTCGGGTTTCGGGAATATGACCGACTAGCAACCCCGATGACTGCCCAGAACAGGAATGGAGACTGTGCGTAGTAAGCGTTCGGCTTTGTCTGCGCATCGAGGATAGGGAGGAATGAGGCATAGTGACGGAAGAATCTGTGAGATGTTAGAAACACGCTGACCCGAAGCTTTTGGGACCATATACAATTGATACAGGTCGTCAATTTCCCCGCCTGCGACGGTAACGCTTTTAAGAAAACGGGGCTTTGTGACATCATTCTCTCCCATCATTACACCCGGTGGGGAGCCCGTTGGTGCAAGATGATATTGGGGATAGGCCAGCGACAAACCGTGCGAATCACCCAATGGAGCATCCGATTTCAGCACTCCCGGTGCCCCTAGGTCCGTTGCAGCTGTTGATAACGCAATCGGCACGGAATCGGTGTTCAACTGCTGAGAGGTCCGCAGTTGCTGGCGCCACTGCTCATTCTCGTGTTCTAGTGCGATGTATCGGCTTTGGAGGATATATGTAAGAAGCGTATTCGCTCCGTCTTACTTGGATTTGGGCTCTTACCGACGCTTGTGCTCTCTTGTGAAGCTGTCGTCTATAGTGCACTCGAGGTTGCGTTTGCGGCATCGGGAACATGGTATACTCTCGTCCCGCCAGACATCGCATCTAGCCTACTAGAGTCAAAACATTTTTTGCGAAGGGAAGTCTTTGGTATATACCTTTTGCTGACGGCACATAGTACACGCCTTCTTTCCTTTTTTGGGTAACCTGTTGGATGGTCAGCTTAGTATGCTTCTTTGGACGGGGAACAATAGATACTCGTACACCTCCATTGTTAAGATTCTGGCGAACACAATCCTGTATTGCGGCTCTCAGGTAGCAAATGCGATAAGCCTCTCTGTTTATCGCCTTCACCTGGTTTTTTGATCTTAGAACAGGGGAAAGGCAGAGTCGTAGACCCCAATCCCGGTAACGGGATGATGGGGGGTTTCTGATTGGTTCGACGAGAAGGGTTGGGGGGCAGCGGTCATGTGATGCTCACCTATAAAGCAGTCACACCGCTTTCCACATCCTATTACTGCCTGTATGCCTCAGGTGTCAACAAACGGTGGGGTGTACCACGTGACTGTATAGGAAACATGGATTTTCCTGAGGTTCCAAGGTCCTGCCAAGGTTAGAAGTTTAGTCTCTAAGTATGTTTACAATTACAAAACTGAATTTGGATGAACTCAAGCGCATTCAAAACCTATGTTGTGAGCCAAAACTGTTCCGCGAGACTGAAATAAATTTTGGGAAGCCAAGCAAGACGAGCCCCACAACACAAGACGAGGCACTTCTTGCCGAGCCTTGTTTTTATGGGCCTCCTAGCTCCGAACGGCTAATTCTATTGTGGATTATTTTGCTATACTTCGTCTCGGTGTATCTCTGCTTGCCGAGCGTCCTACGGACTACCAGACTTCCTACTCCTACGGATGATCAGATGCCGGTTGAAGCATATGGGGCACTTCTATATATTTTCAACTTCTTCCCTGCCATGTCTAATCCCTACTCCCTGTTATATATATATAAGTTCCGTTTATAGTTTCCGCATCATGCAATATTGTACTCCGTGCATGGTAAAGTGATAGATAAAGCAAACATATATACGTATATACTCCGAAATAAGCAACGGCATCTAGGCTAGTTCTACTGCACAGGGATGATGCTATAGCGAGACTTCAGCTTGAAGATTAAAGATTTCGTAGAACGGATATGCTAAACTCTGTACTGCTGAAATGAAGGGTGGCTGACATATGCTTGATTTGTTCAAGTCTCGCTATTTCCTTTTATAGGGTGACAACTGAGCATAAGGAGGGCCTACCTACGGCCATAGCTAGATAATTTAGCTTACTCTCCTCCGACCGAATCGTATTGACTTCCTGGTGACCCCGGGCCCTCATTGAAAACAACTATTCTAAGGTTGTATAACTATTCAAACCTTTATCCCAGTCTACTGGTTGAACGTGTTGATCTAGTGCGTTTAACTCCAACTATTAGTATAGCTTCACATAGTATTATGTATCTCCATATTCCTTAATGATTAATGTATACATGTCCAACATACATATATTTCTAGGTGTATTCTAGATCGTATTGGGACCATCAGCGGAATTGTCCCGAGGTCTCGATGGTGGCTTATGAAATCATTTCGGACTCGGAGTCACCACGCTCGAAGAGTGGCTGGCCTATACTCTCAATGACTATCTCATCAGAAGGTTAATCCAGAGTGAGACAAAAAAAACCATATATCGTGAATTGAAACTTAGGAAATTACGAGACTTTCGGATTGATAATACGCTACCGTCTCATACGACAAATGAGATTGTCACAGCGACTATTGTATGGTTTCAGAGAGCTGCTGGGTAGAACCTTTGCTAAGTGGAAATCTAAAAGACCCTGAACAAGGTCGTGAACCTTCCGGCAGGGTACATTGCCGTGACCTGGACTCGTAGCCATACATCTCGCACCACCCAGAGTATGAAACTCAATAGACACAAGGAGGCATTCTTAGTCGTGACAGATGTCCAGTGCACTATTATTCCATGTCACGCAACGTGGGACTCGCCAGACCTCGTGGTTGGATATCCGGTTGCAATCGTTCGGCCGGAGCGGTCGATGGCAACGCGAGATGGAAGCTGGTTCGTCCTGAGGGTTTCCATTCGACACCTTTTCTTTCCTTTTTGGGTTTGGTTGTGGTGGCACTGACAGGGGCAATCTGCAGCAGCGCATCCATGGAACGGTCCTGAGAAGCTGCCCTACCTCGTTGTGAATGGTTCAACCACTAAAACATGACCAGTCAACGAGACTCGAGCAATCTGTTCTGCCTTGAAGATATCCAGATAATCTTGACTCCGTTATACGAATTGTGAATGGTCGTTAGCTTTACTCCAGACCTCGTTCCACGGGGTGGTGATGATTTGGAGTGATGTAGCAGGGGGGGTCTTCCTCCAGGCGACATGGCAAATTCAGGGCATCGCGCACCCCCCGCAATTTTTGTTTGATCGAAGCGTCGAATATTCTGTTCAAGTCTGGATACCCTTAACGCCCCCACCACTGACGAGGGAAGGCAAAGTTCGGTCGATTGATATGCCCTCACCGTGACATCACCGACCCTGAAGCTGAAGTATATAGCAGAACAACAAGATGTGATCCAGCGAAATTCAACAAAGCATGTCATGGATTCGCGCAAAGTCATGAGTTTTGATATTCCTACCGTCGCCGAAATCCAGCTCGCTGCTGAGAGGGGGCAGCGCATTACGCAGGATGATGTTTCGGCCATCTCGCAGGCCGAGAGCGCGCTGACTGGACGCGGACCTTCTCGGGGTGGACCAGCTGGTGAGTACGAGCTATATTTCATCTGCAAGCGACGGGTGATTGATCGAATCTAGCAACGGCCCAGAGCCTTTCTATGCGACAATCGAATTTCGAAAATAAGGTCGCAGAGGTATCGAGGAAACCATCAAGTGCGATCTCGCTAGAAGATGCAGAGGAAATCCAAGCCACAGAGGTCAGGGAATCCCGGTGAAAATTCAGCAGTGTCAAATCACTAACGCGAGGTTCCCATAGGGACGTGCATTTAACCAACCACCGGGAGTCGGGTACATATCCGCCCAGGTTCGGTCGATCGCTGACAGTAATGATGCCTTGGGACTTACAGCTGCAGCAGATGTTCCCGCATATATCACCAAGGATGATGCCCGGGACGCACAACATGCCGAGGCTACTGTTTATGGCGGTCAGAATCCTCGGGGAGGAATGGCAGCTCAGATGCAGGTAAGTGGGCAAGGTGCGTTTTGTGACAACAGGAGCTGACAGTCGCGTGTGCAGAGTGCAGCGGACAAGATCGACAATGCCCGACGAGGCAGTTATGGCAGCTATTAACAGTTTCATTGTGTAAAATAGTCATATCGAACATACCGACATATATATTGTGCCAACACGAGTGAACATATGCTGGCATCGCCGCTTTGAACATAAACTATGCCATAGGATTGTTTATACAAAAATATCATGGGAAGGGTCCAAAGCTCTATTTGAATTGACGAAAAAATATCTGGAGCTATCATCTACTTTTGGGGGGTTTTTGGGAGATCATGATACCCTCTCCCGCTCTTCCGCCGTCTTGAACTGACACGTAGTAGAGCATGCCGCCAAGATATTCAACAAAGTCTGTTTGAATCCTCGGGATTTCAGGTTTCTTGGACAGCCTGCATAAACTGACAAATACGTACCGGGTCACTGGGTCACTGGGTCATGCTCTCAGCATGTTGCTGAGATGCTGCACCACTGTGTCGGTAGCGATTGATCACAACGCAGATCGCAGAATAGACTTTGGAGCCTCACTCCCTGCCTTAACCCACTCACTAGGAGATTCAAAAACGATAATAATGGAGCCATGATTGAATCCAAATTTGAGGCGACCGACAATAAGCCGTGCGAATTGTTAATGGATGTATGGGCTAATGAATCCCTCCAGGTTTGGTGTAAATAATTTTACCGATCGCATGGCATCCTCATTCTTTGTGACAGCTTGACTAAAACACCTCGTGGCTTCCAGACCCATCTTATGCGCCTCTGGACGTTCATATCTGGAACCAGTAGTTGTTCGCTCCAATCGGAGAGGCCCGGAGAACCCCGTCGGAGAATGCGCCGTCGCTGACAGATAAGGCGCAGCGGCCAGATCTCCGCCAGAAAGCTGATTTGCGGAGTCCGATCAGCATTTCCCAAAATTATCGAGTGACAGTTGACATCACTGGTACGCTTGTTGAAGGTTGGAGGGGTAAATGGCCCCAAGCCTTGCACGGAGCTCTGGCGGGGCACAATAATTTGTCATTGCCTTGCAGCTTTTTGGGCTGAGAGGGACCAATAATCAGCACTAGCTGATTTGAAATCCTTCAGGAAACACTACTATTTGGAATTCAAATTGCCCGGACTGTCGAATTGGTCGAATTAGTCGAATTAGTCGAGTCTGGTGGAGTTGTGTCAAAAGGAAAAAGGAAAAAAAAAAGCTCAACAAAAAACCCAGTCGAAGCTATGACGTAGCTTAGGTACCGGGTACCCGTTTCACCGGTCACAACGAAGAGAAGAAGCAAGTAGTCGGGACTTGACAAATCCATCAAGATGACCAGCTACACTTTTCATCCAGTGTTGGGATCCAATTATCTATTAAATACCCTTCCTCCCCTCTCCAAAGGTCCTTACAATCAAGTACCTTGAAAGAATCAAATCCATACACAATGCCTCTCTCCGGACACTGCCTTTGCAAAGCCGTCACGTACACCGTGGACGTTGACGCGCCTCTACTCACTGGTTATGATCACTGCGATGACTGCCAGCGTCAGAGTGGCTCTACCTACTGTTAGTTGCGGTAATACCCCAGGAGAAAAACAATTGTTGACTTTAGTATAGCCCTCGTCACTGTCGTCCCCAAGGACAAGCTGACTATCAACGGTCCCACCAAGAGCTGGGCTGGCAAGGGTTCTTCCGGCTTCGCTGTCCACCGCATCTTCTGCTCTGAGTGTGGTTCCCCCATTGCTCACGACCCTGATGCCGCCCCCGAAATCATTGCCATCAAGGCCGGCACCCTGGATACTGAGATCAAGAAGACTTTGAAGCCTGTAAGTGCCACAAGAAGGGCTGAAATTAACCTTCACTGGTGTGTGACTGACCCCCCGTTCTATGTAGGACACCGAGATCTGGACCGTCAGCAAGCTTCCTTTCTGCCAGGAATCCCTTGCCCACCCTTTCAAGCACATGCCGGAGTAAATTCTGCACTTCGTGGGAGATTTTAAAAAGGGAGGAAATCTTTTTATGGAGGTTATGATGAGCGATAATGACGAATACAACGATTTAGTCTATCTAATATGACTTGCATGAATCACCAATCAGAGTGTCCACGCTAGATTTGTATTGTAGGCCAATCACATATAATAGATTTAAATGACAATAGTACCCGAGGTATCTTTGTCGGCAGGCAGGTGAGACAGCATACTCATGCCGTTTAGTAAAGTTATGTTTGTGGTATCCGTGATCAGCGACAAATATCTGGGAAACAGAACTCACTTAAACGAAGCGTCCGGACGGCACCTTGCAGTAACAATTCATTCTTACTGTAGTATTCTACTTCAAAATGTCGAGTGGCACTCTGTTCATCCGCGATTCACGCACCAACAAAAACTATGAGATCCCCATTAACCGAAACGCAGTACGCGCGACCGACCTTCAGGGTATCCGGGCGCCTTCGCTCAACAGCAATCGCGCAGACCAAGTTGCCCATGGATTGCGTGTCTATGATCCCGGGTTGCAAAACACGGCCGTGACACAATCAGTTATCAGTTTTTCGTGAGAATCTCCCCAAGTTGCTTGTCTTGTTTGGCTAATTGGCATCTAGTGATCATGAACATGGTCTGCTTCTGTATCGAGGGTATACCCTGGACCAACTCTGGGGATGCGAGTTTGAAGAAATGTTCCATCTGCTGCTATGGGGAACATATCCCACAGCAAGTCAATGCGAAGAGCTACGCATGCATCTGGTCCAGTATATGCAAGAGGTCCCTGATGTTGTGCGCCAGACAATCTTTAACCTCCCGTATGATGGTTCTCTTGGTCGCGTCTGCCAGCGTGTGTTTCTAACTAGTATTCAAATATACAGAAAGGCGACTAGCCCACTGCCGTTGATTCTAGCCGGTCTTTCAGCTTACCTGGCCTGTGTACCCGAGGTGATCCCAGCAACCACAAATGCGACAATCTACCAAACAGACATCAAACGGGCTGACCAAACCATCCTCAAAACTGTCGCTGCCTACACTGTTGTCTTCGGAGCTGTGCGATCTCACCGGTTAGGCCTTCACTGGAGCTCTCCATCTCTCCATAAAACCTACTACGAGAATCTATTTACGATGGCCGGTCTTGTAGACCCAGAGACAAACCGCCCAGATCCTACACGCATATCCTGCTTCCGGCGATTTGGCAACCTCAACGCCGAGCATGGAATGGCCTTGACAGTTTTTTCATCCATAGTGACCGCCTCATCCCTGACCGACCCGGTGTCTTGTCTGATATCTGCCGTCGCCGCTGCCCACGGACCTTTACACTTTGGCGCAACAGAATCCGCCCAACGCGCTCTCCACGACATTGGAGAACCAAAGAATGTCCCGGCTTTCATTGAAGAAATAAAAGGCGGAAAGCAAAAACTATTCGGCTACGGCCATCGCACTTACAAGGGGATGGACCCACGCGTGCGTCCCATCCAAAGTATCCTGAAGGATTTGACCGATGTTCATCAACCGCTATTAAAAGTCGCCGAAGCGATTGAGGAGGCTGCCGCGAAAGACGAGTACTTTAGTACGCGGGCCTTGTATCCCAATGCGGACTTCTATGGTAACTTTGTGTTTACTGGAATGTAAGTGCAGTCGTTATTTACGTACTGTGACCCTAGGTTCCAATGCACTGAACTAGTGGCTTTGAGCCTGATATTATTCCCGCCGCAATGCTGGCTCATCGCATTATGGGTATTATGGCGCATTGGAGAGAGCATATGGGTAAGGGAACGGTTTACGGAGGCTTGGTAACTTAGCTGACGGGTTATAGTCACTCGTGGCAAACTGTTTCGACCTATTCATCTCTATACGGGGAGTGCAGAGCCAACTTCGGATCCAAGGTCTAAAATATAGTGATCTGAAAGTATCACGAGGGAGTGATTTCTACTGACGTTGTTAGCTGTGAAAATTAGTGAAATATTTTCGTAATAAACAATTTCTCGTGAAGTAAGGTCAATTGTCCACTGTAAAGGCGCGTTGAATACATGTATATTTGAATATTGATTGGGCCTTCACCGGAATGCATTGATATTGAGTTCACGGTTTATTTAACGAGGAAAAAGACCCGAGTATTTATTCGCCATTAAGCCCGCAATGAATTCTGCGAAAGTTTTGGCCTACCCGAGCCAACATGAGCAATCAAGATATCCACCAAGACGTGCGGCAGTATGACGACGAGGTTGATGAAGAAACGCCTTTGCTCCATGTTCCTCCCACCACTGAACCATATTCCGTATTCACACCAACACAGAAACAGCTCATTATTCTGACAGCGGCACTGGCTTCGAGCTTTTCGCCTTTATCTGCCAATATCTACTACCCGGCATTGAATTCCATTGCAAAGGACTTGCGAGTTAGTCCATCTCAAGTTAATCTGACGATCACGACATACATGGTATAGTATCAATCAAATTCTACAACGTCCGCTCCAATATACTGATCTCCCTCCCTTTGAAGATATGCCAGGGCCTCGCTCCAATGATGACAGGATCATTGGCAGACCAAGCTGGTCGTCGACCTGCGTATATCTTTTATTTCGTGATATACATATTTGGGAACATAGCTCTAGCTCTACAACACAGTTTTCCAGCACTCTTGGCTCTTCGTGCCGTTCAAAGCTGTGGCAGTAGCGGCACTGTGGCGCTTGCATCTGCCGTGGCAGCCGATATTATTACATCAGCCGAGCGAGGTTTATACATGGGCTTTACCTCTCTAGGAAACATTCTTGCTCCATCCATCGGGCCAATTCTTGGGGGGGTGTTGAGTAAGTATTTAGGCTGGAAAGCAATATTCTGGTTCCTGGCAATTGCAGCTGGTACTTTCTTCGTCCCACTGCTGTTATTCTTCCCCGAAACGTGTCGTGGCATTGTCGGCAATGGGTCGATTCCTGCCTTCGGATGGAATCGAGCCATTTGGAGGTATTTGCGGACCACCGCCGCAGTTACCCCGCCTGCACTAAGCGTGCCGAGGAGGCGCGTGAATCTCCCCAATCCCTGCTCAACTATGCGTCTGCTTTCTCACCGACCTGTGGGACTGGTGCTTTTGGCAAATGGAGTTGTGTTCAGTAGCTACTACGCCGTCACAGCTGGACTTCCCGCACTTTTCCACAGAATTTATGATCTAGATGACGTGGAGATTGGATTATGCTTCATACCTGCAGGGTTGGGGTCATTAATCAGTGCAACTGCCAACGGAGTATTAGTTGACTGGAATTACCGGCGGACTCGACGCAAGGCCGGTCAGACGGTACACAAAAACCAAAAACAGGACATCATTGAATTTCCCATCGAACAAGCAAGGTTGCAGATTGGTCTGCCAATGACAGTATGTTGCCTTGAGACATCCCTGTAGTTGATCTCTTCAATGGCTTGACTTACATTTTCCCCTTTAGGTACTTGCAGCGGTTTCGATATTGGTCTACGCAGTATTGATACCCTTAAACCCACCATTAATGGTTGCGCTTATTGTGGTGTTTGTAATTTGCTTTTGTATCACGGCGGCATACAACGTGATGAACATTCTGATCGTTGACTTGTACTACGAGACGCCTGCCACCGCCATGGCTGCTAATAATCTTGTGCGCTGTTTCCTGGGCGCTGGTGCTGCAGCCATGGTTAACCCTCTGATCAAGCGGATTGGTGTGCAATGGACATATTGTTTTGTATCGGGCGCAATGGCTCTAGTCATTCCAATTCTAGGCATTGTTTACATTCAAGGCTGGGAATGGCGCAAGAGACAAGCCGAGACTGCTGCACAACTGCGAACTGTACACGAGAGACCATAGTACCATTAAGGCAGGCTGGTCTATAAATTGAGCCACAAATTCGAGTAGCATATATCATGTTTTCGCATTGTCAATTGAGATGCTGTATTCGAATTGTGCTCTCCTCGGCTGACTAAAATAAAACAATATGATCTCATTTCTTCCAGTCCTCTTTGGTGTTATAACAGAGATAGTCCAGATCTTCCCATGGACTTCCGGACAGGAACTGCAAATACGGTACCCTGGGGGTGCATGGATGACTCCTGGGATGGAATTGGATATTCGAGGTATGTAAACGGCGAAGGCAGTAGTTGAAACAATCTAACATCATCGTAGAGACCAGAAGGATCCCTGAAATCAGTAGCATGAACCTCAAATGCAATAAGAAATACATCATTCTTTTCATCGACCTCGACGCCATCCTACCTGGAACGCGTATCCAATCAGTGATTCTACACTGGTACCAACCAAATCTCATGATGGATTGTACAAAGCCGCCACCTCCTTCCACAATCGTTCCTGGTAAGGACCAGGGAGACAAACATCATCCAGCAGTCTCGTACATAGCTCCTCGTGCACCGCCAAATACTCACCACCGTTACGTCTATCTCCTCTTTGCGCAGCCCCCAGCCTATCAATTTCCCCAATGTTTCTCACATGTATTCCCGGAGACTGTTAGCGCCCGTGCCGGATTCGATATCAGGGAGTTTTTGCAGGCAGCAGGGCTGGTCGCCATGAACTATTTCATTGGTAGACATGAACCTGCCGAAGGTGAGACAACGACCATGCCTCAGAGTGCGACGACGACCTCGTTCCGTTCCGTGGACTGTCCCACAAGGGTAGCTAGCTCCGTGTCATGAGCTAGGGACTGCGTGAGTGAAATGGACACTATGGTTGGTTTATACTTTGGGGTCGTATGGTTTAGTGAGACTAGGAAATATGATTACTGTGGTACGCTATTTCTGGAACCCTCCGGTATTTGGAATCATAAATCTAAGTACGCTACCCCAAAGGAGGCCCTAAGTTCATAAATCCACGAAACCAAAGTCAGAAACAGGGAGATAAGAAAGATTATGTACATGTCATGTGTTTGTTTGTATTGTGTTCGTTCAAGTCGTTTCAAGATGTGGTTTCCAATACCTTTTGTCTATGATATTTGCGGTATAATGGTGGGATATCATATTTAACGTGCTATTGTAAGGAATCGACTTTCGCGTTGAAGAGAGGACAATTGGTATGCCACAACGTTCCCGAGAGTATGCAATCCATGTTGCAGGAGTCGTCTGAGCTGCAGTCACATACGTTGCTTTCCACCTTCTAAGCAGTATAGCGGTTGTTTCAATCTCGTTTCAGTAGTGACCGGGCAAGGGACTACTAGAGCTAGTTAAGGCTGGTTTGGAAGGAGAGGGGATGGATGTGTTTAGAAGGCAAATACAATCGTTACATAGTTCCAAGAGACCTCGGGACCATGTAGAGACTTCTAATTAATAAGCAGCACATTTCTACCTAGGTATGAGAATCAGACAACGAAACATCAATTCGGAGCGGGTGTAATAGCCCTGAGTTTTGCCTAGTCTTTCCGACGCTTGGCTTATATTGCCTTTAGGGTGATATTATAACTCCTGGTGCTATATCATGTAGAGCTTAGAGAACAAGGAAGATTGTAGTAGATATTTGAAAGAAGCCAACCTGCCAGACACACCTCAGACATTGGGATTATCGAGTTGATTTCGCATTGGGGGCGTGCGAGATAGCAGATACAGTATCAAACGTAGTTCTGACAAGTAAACTCTCAACATAATCCCATATATTTATCCACTATCCATTCATTCAACTCCTCATTTCTCCCAAGCACTCCGTGAAATTTTACTTCGAGAGTCAAATCGTCGTAACTGTCCCGAGCAACCACACTGCTACCTCGTATGTGCTGGTCGCATTGAATGAGACTTGCCAATATGATGATTATGAGGAACTGAGATGACATCAGACAACCCCGATGCTGCGGCGGAGATTGCAACACAGTTTGCATATTACATTAAAAGTTGCTGGATCGAAGTTTGATCTAATACAACGACCCTATTAGAAATGATAAATGCATTTTCAGGGGGTAATAACGCACCAATTATTGTCTCTGGATAAGCACTGTCAGGCAACTGTCCTACCGGGTGAAAAGATACTCCGGCTCAGAACAGTTTAGAATGAAGTGCCGACAGATTGGTTGATGGATGCCGCTGTGATGGGAGAGCATCTCGGTCAACGGGCAGAGATTGTAGTCCGGTCTTATGCCATGGTGTCTAATGATGCCTTTGCATTTTCGTGTGGTTTTCTCTGCTGTGGCATTTACTAGAATAGGATGCTGCTCGAGGAAATAAAACAGGTGTTTTCATGTGCAACAACGGATCGGGGGGTCAGGTGTAAGGAAGCATACGAGCTCCATGAAATTGGAATACCATACGATGGCATTACTGAAATCAATTAGCACAAAAAGACCATCGTCAAGTATACAAAACCACGTAAATTGTTCATTGATGGATGGTGAGATAAGGTTGGTGATCCTTGAAATGTTAGGATCCCCACAGAGTACAAGTGCAGTACTCGCACGCAGGTCCCAAGGAGGGTAGGACGAAACTATTTGTCAGTAGTAAAGTTCACGATCCATGTAAAATTTCGTGCTTTCGGCAATTGCTGTCAGGGGAGCTCGTCATGGTGTGGGTAAACAGTGTCGCCTTTAATGGTGAATGGAGGAGTGCAATCAAACGTGGTTCTGTTGTTGTTGTTGGACAGTAGAGATTATCAGCTAGGAGGTGGGGGAACTGATCATGAGATGAAATATAAATATCTCAAATCAACCCAATACTAGAGATGATCAAACTCATCAATCGTGGGGGTTAACACGACAACTCTTTCAACTTATCTTCCACGATTACACATGGCTGAGACCTCTACCAAGAGGTCTCCACAGTCTAACGGTCAACTCCTTCCCAACCAAAAGATGCGCACAACCTGTAACGCCTGCCAACAAGCGAAGATTCGATGTAGCCACACCTACCCATGTGACCGGTGCGAGAGTCACGGGTATGAGTGTGTCTATTCGATCTCGCAACCGTTGGGCCGGCCGGCCAAGAAAAAGACGACCCGGCCGGCAGCAGCGGGGGCAGTCGGAAAGGCGCGCAGGGGGGAGGGGGTTGACCGTCCGACTCGGCGAAGTGCGGGGAGGGCATCGAGGCCAACCCCAGCAGCGAGGGCGCAGCGGGCACGCAGAGTCCCGAGTCCGGTCCCGAGTCCAACAACAGCTTCCGGCTCGGGGCCTGATTCAAGAGAAGAGTCGCACAAGAGCGACTCAATCGCCGGCACTGAAGTCACACCACCGGAGGAAGACTTTCAGTGGCCGAGTTTCACAGCGTTGTTCTCGGAGGTTCCAGGTGAGCACAGACCTAGCTCATCGAGTATATAGGTGTCGATAGATGACCGATGGAATGGGCAGAAAATCACAGAAATGGAGAAGGGATCCAGGACCAGGATGTCGTCAGCACAAACGAGGCCAATAACCACGTCGATCCAGGATTAATCGTTACTACCCTGGACAGCTCGTTTGAACGAACTGACGGATTCGGAAGTTGTGGGGATTCCCGTTTTCCTGAGCCGCGTGTTGACTATTCCACACAGTGTCATTCTCCCAAGATCGGTTTGATGATCGATGAACCCCCCATTGGAGGATTCCTCCACACCGCTGCGCCGGGCACCCAGTCCGGCTCACTCTTTCAGGGTGGTGCAATCTACCCCTTCAGCCTCGCACCGAACGCAATTCAGGTCTCCGGAACAGTCCAGGATCCGGCCAGAATCATGGAATTGCCCTCCAATGATACCTGGCAAGAACCACTTGATACTGATTCCAGACAATCTCTTCCACCAGAAGGGATTGATTTTGAGATACTGCCAGAAGATGCTTCTTCCCTTCACTGCAATTGCTATGCCCAGGCTTTCAGTGAAGTCGTTCGATCCGACGAGGCAAAAGGGTCAAACGGCGTATTGCTCCACCTTGAAAGGGTGCAGCAACAGGGAGTGGTCATCCTTCAATGTCTAGTGTGCTGTGCTTCAAACGCCAGGGCTAAAATTCTCACTTTATTAGTCATGGCGATTGAGAGAGCGGCACGGGCGTTGAAGGTGAGGGCCAAATTGGCCACTACCTCGGTGCAAGGGGGAGTTTATTCCGTGTGGGGGGAGGAGGACATCAGCCAGATGCACCGATGCCTATCTCATTTGTCAATAATCGTCCGTTTCATCCACCAAGATCTCCAGTGTGCCTCGCCTTCAAAATGGCATCTAGTGATGGCGGACGAGACAGATCGTCGGCTGCAGTCAATTATTCGAATCTTCGAGTGATCGCTGGTTGCATGTGTGTATATAGTAGACGCGGAATGGAACCTGAGAGCTCGTAAGGCTTTCCAAAAATTCCAATACTCACATTAGTAGTAAGAAGCGAGAGACGAGGGGTGATTGTTTAGGTAGTTCCATCCAAGCTGTAAAGCTCGTTTTTGTAATAATGCGTGGTAAATAAATATATCACCGAGCTGGGTAGATACTATGGACATCAAAAGACTTCGGCAAATTATTGGAATTAATGAAAGCGTCTGGCCAATGATCCAAGTCAGAATAGACAACGCCAACTCCCTAGGAGGGGCTGAGTTGCACTGGCAAAGGTCGTCGTGTCAGCTGGCTCTCACAGAAAACTCTAAAGAAGGAATTTTCACGACTGTCCATTTTGGGGAGTTTTTCAAGTGGAGCATTCTCAAAGGGAACGTCGCTGACAGGGGGCTGGGATGTACATACCAAGTAGAAGGAATAACTTCTGGCGGCGACAGTTTTGATGTTGATTCTCGTCTACAGAAAGTCATATACTGGCAGTTGAACTGTTGTTGTTGCCGAATTGTCGGATCTTATGACAGATGGCGAGTTTCTCTCCCCGGAATATGCCAAAAGAAGGGCTTTATATGCCGAGGGAGAACTTTTGGTGGATTTCTGCACCCATAAATGGAAACATGGCTTCGACGACGATCTTGGAGGAGAATATATCGAGTGTTATAGCACATCGGATATTTTTACTCGAGCAGTTCTAGACTCTCGTAGATCGTAGAATGACACAATTTCTAGACAATTTGCCGGGTGCACGAAGGGTCTCAAATCCATAAAACAATACCTGCTACAATTGGCATTTCACGGTAGACCTCATGATTGGCATGAGGCCATGTCTGCAGTCTTTCATTGGTCGAAAAGCCTTTTCTATGCCAGATGAGGACAGAATATGCGACTCCGCTCTGACGTGAGATATCATCCCGGGTATTTTGAACTAGTCTGGGGGTCTTTAGCCACTACTTGTCATGATTGCACAAATTAGTCAAAAAAATACAAAGCAAAATTGAATAATATGATCCGAAGAAAGATATTGTGATTAGGGCTTTAATTCCATAACGACACTTGCATGAAGAATCATGGTGCATATAATGCAACGAGATACACACCCGCCGCTGAAGTACATTGGGCCCATTATCCGCACCTATGTCCGTGTTACGCTGGGTGTGAACGGTAAAAGAAGTTGTGTTGCTGATCAACTAGTTGGGCCAGGGCTTTTCAAAGGTGCCAGTCCACTGGGCCCACCCGATGACCTTGCCCGTCATGGCGTTCTTGATATCCTGCTTGGTCGCCTTCTCGGGAGCCTTGAACTTGAGCGACTCATTGAGGGCGATAATGGTGAAGACGTAACGGTGTTTTCCATGACCGAGGGGCGCACCAGCACCGATATATGGCAATCCGCGCAAGTTTGGCACAAATCGCCAACCGGCGACGGTCAGGCGTGAGACCTTGGCGTGTTCGTCGGGGTGGACATCAGCCGCTTCGGCCTTGGTAGCCGAGGATGGAATTGCCCAGAGGAGGCCATGGTGGATGACGAGGAATGGGATCGGTGGATCGAGGTCTTCGCAGAGGAGTATATACTCCTTGACTTCCTCACGAGAGTCGGGAGCGGTCCAGAGTAGCTCAGGAAGACAGCCCTTGCCATCAACGGCTTTGCAAGTACAGTAGAGAGGTAGCTTTGAGCCTGAGGGGCCGGCATCAAGTGATTCTAGGGTCATGTTAGGCTCGGGAAGGTCTTTGAAGGCCGGGCAATGGATGATCTGGGCCAAATCATGGCCACGGATTGAATACAGCAGCCGGCCGATGATGAATTCGAGATAATGCAGAATCGCCATGGCACATAGATTTGATACCACTGCAGAAGTGAACTCCTTTTGTGTGAAGATGTAAGGAAGAACAAAAGTCACGATGTTGACTTTTGGGGAAAGGTAGGTGCCGCCCGATTGGGAAACTGCCCTGTACCGGCCCGGAATCGGCAAGCGCGACTCTCATCTTTCTTTCGGCGTCCTGTGAACTTCTGATGTTCAGACTTCGATACGCCCCATACGTACATGAGTTTAAGCATTTAACCTCCCATGTTCTAATGTGTGAAATCAGTTTCGGGGACAAACAGGTCTTCTTCAAAACTTGTGCATTTTTCTCTTCCAATCTGTGTATCACGAAACAGTCATATCTTCGTTGGAAGCCTTGCGGTAGCTCAAAGTACCCGAATGAGGCTGACATACACATAGTACGTGCTTGTACCTAATTACTCTAGTATTTGTGCCGAGACAATGTTCACTCGGTACATGATCTTGCGCTCTGAAGCCGAGCTTGCAAGTGGCACAGGACAGTGGCAAAGTATCTATCGGCGCGATGAGCTGACAATAAAAACCACATCAATGCGGATACTATCTCAGAGGTAAATTTCCAGCGGTTGACTGGTTCCAGTTACGATGCAACGACACTCGCATAACCTGTGAACTCCCCAGTTTCCTTCGCAATGATTGGAATCTCATCTTCGGCCAAGGAGGCAAAGGTGTCTTTCTCCAAGGGTGCCCAACCCAATTTCCGAAGTCGATTGGCCCTATTTCGTGCATTCGATCCGACCACCGTCCCGGAATAATCTCCAAACAAATCACCCCAGTGTTCCTCCGGAATGGGTTTCGGCGTAGATTGACCAATACGCCCTTCCTTCTGCAATATGCGGCCAATCTCAGCAGCGCATTCACCCCAGGACAACTCTTGGCCGTTTTCACAGAAGAAGTACGGATTCAGCGCAATCTCAGTGACAGGCGCACGCTCCATCCAGTGAAGGAGAACCATATATCCCCGGGCGAGGTCTCTGACGTGAATCTGATTCCAAACGGCGAGACCCTTCCCGATCTGACCCGCATAGCCATGTTTGATAGAGTACCGGATGAGCGTCGGCAATTGGATCGACAGGCGGTTTTCCCTAGTAGTCACGCCGTAGATAAGCGGCGGAATCATGATAGCCATTTTGGCGTGAGAGGCTAGTTCTTGGGCTGCCCGGACGATGACCAAGTCGATTTGGCGATGAGATGAGGAATCGGGGAGGACGTCGATCTCTCCGGGCTGTTCATCGTCAAATATGGTATCGCTCTTGTACTCCCCCTGGGCGTTATCAGATAGCAATGTTGCTCCGCTGTTGTGGATGTAGATTGTTTTCAGCCCTTGCGCCGCTCGCTGTCTGATACCATCGATGATTGCTTGGACAGATGGCAAGTGATCTGCAGTTGCGGTGTGAATGACTATGTCACTAACTGCAACCTGGTCCTTGATCACTGATTCATCGTCCAGATCACCAACCACTGTTTCGATCCCTAAATTGGCGTAGTCTGCAACAGCTGATTCGCGACGGACAAGGGTGGTTACTTTATACTTTGTTATGAGAAGGAGGTCTATGATCTCTCCGCCAATGAAGCCGGGACCTAGAAGGAAGACAGAGGCAGGCATGCTGGGTAACAGGTTAAATTGATCGCGAGATGTACCTACTGTGCACTCGTCTGGTTATACGTATATGGTGACTGTAGCTTGACGTCGTCACGATTAGTAAGACCCCGCCTCGCCAGCCCAGGTGGCCAGCTCTCCCAATATATCCATGGATTTGATTGGATTTCCATATTCAAGACATCGTAAGTAAAAGGGCCCCCGGAGGGCTTCGGCAATTGGCTTTGGATGAACTCATCGGAGTTCAGCCCCTTCTTTCTCTTCCGCGGTTTCTGCGTTATAGAGCAACAACCTGACACGAGGGTGGTCGACCGGCACGGCAATTGGGAACATAGAAATCAGGCTAGAGAAGGTGGAAGGCGACGACATAAGTATTCATAGTACCAGAGTCCCACTAGGTAGTGCCAAGATACAAAAAGGGATGCAAGGTTGGTCCACATGCAAGCAGTTAGATTCTGCCGTTTCAGACCGCCAACCCCATCTAGCGCTTTCCAGCGTTGGTTCATTTTATAACCTCGTGTCTAGCGCTCCGCAAAGCCCAACAGCCCATCAATGGGGACCTTATAGACCCCCACTAAAGCCCTTCATCCGGCATCTTATAATTCCTTTGCAATATTATATTCTAACCTCTTTACTAGTCTTATAAAATTCAAATTCAGCTTCAATGATAATAGCAGCTATATAAGTATACATTTTCATTTTAAAGAAAATTCGACCAGTAGAGGACACGAAAAAGCTCAATATTAATATTTTGACAAGATATATGTTTTGGATTTGTATAGGAGTACTACTACTTTCTAAGTGAATTTCTGTAAATTATAAAATATCTAAATAACGCGTTTTCTCGCGTTTTTAGACGTGATATATAGAGATTACTAGTAATTGATTCTAAATAATTTAATCTAATAAAATATTACCTCTTAGATAAGACTTAGAAACGGGGGTAAAACGAGGGGTAATTTCAAAATCTCTAAAAGGGGGTTCAACTTTACTTAGCATCTAAATTCTCGGTATATTTGTACTGTTTGGGGCCCATTTGGGGGCCGATGAACCCGCAGTGGGCTTCTACTTGAGCCCATGGCCCACCAGTGGGCCCGAAGGTAGGGTCCAAAGCCCAGCCCATTTCTGGGTTGAGTTGGACTGGGCTGGGCTATGGCCTTTATGGGCTTTGCGGAGCTCTACTTGTGTCCTCCAGCCTTTCAAATATGAGAAGTATTCCTCAATGGGATTATAGTATAACTGAAAAAAAAAAAAAAATCATTGGTTTCGATCGCAAGTATAGTTCGATTTGTTCCTTGAACTAGCCTCCACTAGACCCCCGGATACTACTATCAAGCTCCCTCAGGCCCCCTAGATGAGTTCAAGCCTCATCTTTCCTGCGTAGGGCAGCAGAACGACCCAATTTGATCCTCCTGTTTCCATGAATTTCTGTTGTACGGAGGTTCTTGCTTTCTGGGCTGTTTGTTAGACCTCCATCACATTCTGGCCTTCGTTCTCTGTCCCTACGAAGCTATATATATGCCTCCATGATAGAGGGAGTGCCCTCCAAAATTCATATATATCGATAACCTCCTAAATGTTCTTCCTTACTTAAGTATAGATGTACGCCCATGAATTCCATCAAAGACTCCATGAAAATAACATCGACAGACCCCCCACATTCAAAGAGAGTGTGTGATCGCCACCCAAACCAAAAGACGAGAGATTGGCACAGCAGGGTGTTGACGAGAAGGAAAGATGGGCCCATCCAGATCTGAAAGCACATCTATCATGGCTTGAAGTGAGCCAGCAAACAGCAATGGAGACCTTTGATGAAGCAAATCCTATCCAAAGTCGGATGCGGGTCACGATATATCAGCGGACTGTGGCGGACAACGATAAAACCCCCTTGGTGCCTTTTGCTATTAACCCCATGCCACTCGTACTGAACCCGGAGAACCTACAACATGTCGGTCTCTCGGTGCATGAAGGCGAAGTTATAGTTGGCTATGACACGGATAGCCGATTCCTACCGACGAGTCATGCGAAGTCAACATCTGTCCAGGAAAGTACGAGCGCTCAATAACCCCCGGTGGCGGCTTCTCGATAATATTACTGTTGGATTGGATGAGCCTATCTCCTATGATGGATGCCTGATTGTATAGGCTTGTTTGCTCAATTCTGAATGCTTTAAGAACTATTGTGCTCTTTATGGATTCAATGATCATGATGTTCTTCTTCTTTCTCCGCCTCTATCATTAGCCTTCACTCAACAGATTTTAACATTCAGCTTGTACAATCGAGCTGTGCCGCAGCTGGTGATATCGCCTAATACAGCAAAGATTGTGAGCACAGCCTAAATCTGACCCAATGTCTACGAGTTCCATTCTTCGATGCGCGACTGAACCCCGCCCTCCGTTCCCCTTCACGTGGATAGGACGTCGGATCTTGCTCCCACCTTGTTTGGTCTTCCTTCCTCTCTCTCTCAGCTAGCTAGCTCAATGAAATTAATGGTTTTTTTAATAGTACTTTAAATCGCGTTTGACGACAATGTCATGCTCTGCACCTATCAATCATCCTGTTTCCCCGGTATCGGTGGGTCCTGCCGGAACTACGCTTCGAAGCACCTCGGGTGCCACGACCTTGCCTCCGACTTATTGCGCGATGATAAACAATTACGAATAAACAGACTTTTCCACAACGGACATGTTCGAATAATCGATTGTAACTATATAAATCTGTGTTGGTCTACGAATTCCATGGCATCGGAAGGCAAAGCCCACTTCTTGGTTACCAACAACTATTTTGACCTCAATAGGCGTAATAGGTAGTTATGTGTACTCTGTTGTAAGGAGGTCAATAATATTTCCACAACGACGAAACTGAGACTAGGATATATCTGAAAATTATGGTCAAAATATAAAATTCTGAGGGGAGAGAGCCCCGTCGTTTTTAATTCTGGTAGGCGAGTACATAGTAGGGGATAAATTCTTTTCCTCCCTGATCTAGCTCTGATCGAGCACTCGATCCATAAGCTCCCGAATCCGCCCGGTGTGATTATTTGATTATTTTATAGCCAAGTCAGTAATGGTGATTGTTAAAAATAGAAGAATGAAAGCCATAGAGCACTAAAATGTGATGTGTATGTTTCTACGGAGTATAGAAAATGAAGATATTCCCAAAGAGGTGGATACCCTGCCGATCTGATGACATCACAAGCAATGTTGACTGTTGGGCTTCCGCCCACATCCGTGTCGGTGTACCTGAGGCCCAGAATCTCTGGATTCCTGAGGAGAATTCTCACAACATTCTCCCCGATGCTATCCTATATATCTGCTGCCTTCAAGTCCCCGTCGCCGGAGGAAGGCGTACAGCAGCGACCGCCACGGTATGCTGGTGAAGATACCACCCCAACCAGTCGCCGGGAGATCCTAGGATGGTACTCGTACGGGATTGCGGCTGAAGTGTTCGCGGTCTGTGGTGTAGGTTCGTAAAGCCATATTTCGACAATAAAAAGGTCAAAATACTTACCGTATCAGGCTCTTTCCTACCCCTCACCTTGGAACAATTAGCCCGGGAGCGTGGCACCCTACAAACAAGCCGCCTTCCCTGTGTCGGATCATCCGCAGGGAATAGCACGAATATTGCTGATCATGGCCAATGCGTGGTCCCGGTCTTCGGCCTCGAGATCAATACGGCCAGCTTCGCCATGTACACCTTCTCCCTGGCAGTACTTATCCAGGCGCTGACACTGATATCGTTCAGCGCGCTGGCGGATTATGGTATGGTTGCAAAACGCCGGACTGGGAATATACAATGCAAAAGAAGGGCAGAAATTAACATTGGTTGAATGTGTAGAGAACAACCGCAAGACATTGCTTATGGTATTCGGATTCGCCGGTGCGCTCGCCAGCATGTTGTTCATATTCATTGCACCTCCCGTCTTCATTCTTGGATCGATATTGGTAGTTGTCGGAGTGACTTGTCTCGGTTCTTCCTTTGTTGTGCTGAACTCTTACCTGCCTGTGCTTGTCGCCAACGACCCATCCCTGCAAGGGAAGGCGGAAGATGGATCGGAAATGTCGAGCTTCGACCGAGACGGAGGTAACTCGGAATGGAATGCTTGGGGCAACGATGGTGCCGATGATGATAGTTTAGATGGACTTCAGCCATCGAGCCAGCCACAGAGCTCCCTAGAAGGTGGAATGGGAGCCAAGGCCCCGCCCTCTTCCTCACCGGAGTTGCAACTGTCGACCAAAATCTCCTCCACGGGCATCGGTCTTGGATATTGTGCAGCTGTTTTTGTGCAAATTATCAGCATTATCATGCTCATCACATTATCCAAGACTTCCATTGGAAAAGCGTCTGCCACTCTTCCCATGCGGTTTGTGTTGCTCCTGGTCGGCATCTGGTGGGGCGCATTCACCCTGGTCACTCGTAATTTGCTCAAAACAAGGCCGGGGCCACCTCTGGATACAGTCTCCACAAAAGGCACCGGAAGATGGCGGGCCTGGCTGCGACTGGTCGGATTTGCGTGGAAATCACTATGGGAGACTGTCAAAGTAGCGAGCAAGCTGCGCGAAGTCTTGATCTTCCTTGTAGCATGGTTCCTGCTTTCTGATGCAATGGCCACTGTCTCAGGGACAGCGATCCTGTTCGCACGCACGGAACTCAAATTGAGCACGCCGCTAATTGGACTCCTCTCCATTACCGCCACAGTGTCCGGCATGACGGGCGCATTTTTATGGCCACATGTGTCTCGGTATTTCGGCCTACAGCCGAATCACACCATCATCGTCTGCACTGTCCTTTTTGAGTTAATCCCGCTCTATGGGTTGCTTGCTTACATCCCCTTCATTAAAAATTGGGGGGTGTTCGGGTTACAACAGCCGTGGGAGATATTCCCGCTAGCCATCGTGCACGGAGTTGTGTCTGGGGGACTGGCATCATACTGCCGATCATTCTTTGGACTCTTAATTCCGCCCGGTAGTGAAGCCTCGTTCTACGCTCTTTATGCTGCTACTGACAAGGGGAGTTCTTTCATTGGACCGGCTATTGTGGGGGTTCTCGTTGATGCGACCGGTCAGGTGCGAAGTGGATTTTTCTTCATCGCGGTGCTAATAATTCTGCCTATTCCGCTTGTGTGGATGGTTAATGCGGACAAGGGTCGCCGCGAAGGTTTGGCTATGGCTGAGACCCTGGACAAGTCACATGGTGGACCTGCTGAATACGCCGAAGAAGCCGAAGGGCTTTTAGCTCGCTAGTAGATTAAGACTCCATATATACTAGACACTAGAGCAATAGTGTGAAATATTTATGACCGATAGATTATGAATACATGAATCCTGTTGAGAAGGGAAAGTGAGACAGGAAAAAGAAGGTTATCACCAAGCCTTCAGCAAAAGACACACTATTGGCACGTAACCCACGGGTATTTTAACTAATTCAGAATCTTGGCTCTAAAAAGTGTCTCAATTTCAGGGTCTAAAATAGATCAAAGACACGGCAGGGTCTTTTCCACGCTTTTTCACCGTTTGGCTCTAAGTCAAGCCTTTTAGTCGGTAGTGCGGGATACACTATGTGGAGAAGTAATACCAAATGTCCAATGAAACATCTCCATAAGAAAATGGAAGCCCTGGAAGCTAAACTCTCCACCAATGAAAAATCGCGAAACCCTATAGCTTGGCAACTTAAGTGGATTGATACGATAACAGCGGTGCTTGGTTTGTTGCAGCCTAGAAAGAGAGGACCCCCAATTTAGTGTGTGAGGACCCTTAACTGAATCAAAATCAGATGAGATTTTAAAGGCAAGTTTGGATTGTATGAAACATGGGACCGGGTCCAAAGGCAAAATATAAAGATTCACACCCTCTCTGTTCGAAAAGATGCCAAAACCTGAGCGTTCTTTCGCCCTCTCCTCCACCACAATCTTCATCATGATCACCAGTGCTATCTTCGCGTCTCTGTTTCTGCTTGCCAATGCACAGCCATGGAAGCAAAATCGTTTTATTGAGCCCATCACAGACTGCTCCCAGCTTCCCTTATACAACATTGACACAAAGATCGCTGGGCCTTGGACAATCAAGGTCGATAGCTGCTACAATGGAGCCGGTCCTCAAGGACTCTGCAGCATCGAGGGCTTCGAGTCCAGCAGCGATATCACACGGCAGCGAGATGACAGGCCCAACACGATCGAACATGGATTTGTAAGTTCTTACCCTAGGGATGGATATGGTCCATGCATGAATGCATACAAACACCACAACAGAAGACCAAGATCATTAACAGAGACTCAGATTACGATCGTTAGCGACAAAAACAACATAAAAACCGAGCTCCGCTGCAACGGCATCCTAAACATAATCGAAGCACGCGTCCTTTCTGGTCCTGGCGCCGGCGCCCTGGACTGGCACGCCGTCGGGATAGACCACCACCCAAGCACGGGGCGACTGGTTTGGGGAAAACCCGACGCTCAGCCAGTACAGGCGTACAGACACTACCGTCATGGTATACCAGTTGAAGGCATCTTCCTGGGATCGAATAATCAGACAAATTGGGCTGTGCACTCGGCTGGGAGGGATGTGAGCATTGTGGACATGAAGCCGTATTGGGTTATGCGATTGATGATTCCGGAGACTAGTATTCGGGAGAATGAGTTTAGAACGTTGATTCGGATTGATGGGAGCTGACTTTGTTGTTTCTTTGTTTCCTGTTATTATACCCCTGTTGATGCATACTGGTGGTGCTACGGCTACCTTGTTTACTCATTAACTAGCAAAAGCTCCTCAACATTACCTATTTCCATCCCACAAATTCACGAGTGTAGATGAGCAGGAATTCATTAAGGGACTAGAAGCAATGAGACGCAACATCTCTGATATTGTAGACATAGATACGTAAATTGTTTACAATAGCAGGGCAGCAAAAAGCTCCGAGAAAGGCCAATCTTCACTCTTCACTCATACTCGGGTATAGTCTCATAGGGATGTTATCGTTTGTTTCAATACATTCGAACACTGAGGGCAAACCCTCCCCGACCTGACACAAAATAGCACGTTCCGTGTGAAACTTTTTCATATAGTGCCATTACGTGTCATTACTAATGCCAATCTGAATTGATAGTCCTATACACCAAAACCAGGCAGACAAATATATATTTTTGGAAATCCTAGAGCGCGTTGAGCCGCGGCTCAGGGTTTTTCGTCCTGGGGTAGATCAACATTCGGAATATCTTCGGGGTTTTTCAAGCGTTCGATCATCGTCGATGTTTCTGGATTTTCTGTAGTTACAACTGGTTATCATGGTTCTAGGTCTTGTTTCGGGGAAGAAAACTCTTATCCTAAAAATAAGCATTGCTAAAAAAAGAAATCTTATAGCGCCCAAAGTAAAAAAGATCAAGATGGCAAGTATAGCCTTCGTGCCGTCCACATGCAACAACAATATTGACGATTTACGATGTATAGGCCAACCACGAGGAATCAGTGGTGGTTTTGTGGCCAACTTCTCGTGCAGGCTATTCTAAGCCTCACAGTCGCAATGTACGTTTACTATCCAACTCAAGCCGTGTCTATGGTATCTTTCTCTGACAACAAACCAGATATATCCTCGTTGAATGGCAATTGTGGGTTACGCCACATATAACAGAAGTCACCGTGTCCTACACCGTCCCAATCGGCCTCGGAATCGTTATATTCGCCGTCCTATTCACACTCATTCTTTCACTTGACGCAATTCACCACCAGAACAATGTCCTTCTCGTCGCTATCTGCCTCTGCAATTCCTGCACCTTGGTGTTCTCCATAATGCGGTTCATGTCGATGCGAGGGATAACGAACACCCTTTATTCGAATCGTTATAAGAAGCCAACTTTGGTGGATACATCTAGAAATATCTGGCCTCACATTCAGCCAGCTGAGATCATTCTATCGGTCATTGTGGGTGTCAGTAGTCTGAGCCTATGGATCTGTGCATATTTCCTGCATAAAGAGTTTTCATGGACTATTTACAAGAGTGTACATGGCAACCCCGAAGCTAGAAAGCGTTACAGGGCCTATGAGGTACTATACCTTCCAAATCCTTTCTCTCATCTTGCTTACCGTATGTGAACATAGATCTACATTGTCCTGATCAAGCTCATCTTCTTCTTTCTGACCGGCTTTATTCTCCAATACAACCTGATCGACGTTCACTTTGACGAACCCGAGTACAGTCTAACCATGGCTTTAATACCGGCTGCATTAATCGTGATTATGCTCGGTATTTACTTTGTCAAACATGAGAAAACATACCCCATGATTGCTATTCTAGTAAGCACCTCATCCAGATCCTGGAACAATACAAAATACTGACAGCATCATCAAAAAGCTGTGCTATCTAGGCCTAATCGCATACCTCATTAGTCGCATATTAATTCTATGCGGCCATACACGTCGCGCAAATACAGCTGGAAAGGACATGATGCTACTGTTCGCAATTGCGGCTTTAGTATCAACTGTATGCACGTTCTTTTGCGCCCTTGTCTGCGTCCTGAATTTCGACAACGGATTAATGGTGGTCGACAAATGGAGAAAACAAGTCGCGCGCGAGTCGTCCCTGTTTCAGAGTGGGTATCACCATGCAGATTCTGAACTACAGCTGTATCCGCAGTCACCGTTGAGGACGTCGCTTCAATAAGGAACATATTTTCTTTGATTAATAATAAAAGAATACGCAAGGATTGTCAAGGACCAAATTCAACCGCTACAGACATGGATCGTGAAACGACGCATGCGTGTCTAGGGACTAAACCTTTTTTTGAAGATCTACTGTGGAAAAGTATCGTAAATGCGGGTTCTATTTCTTTGCTCTATATCGAATCGCCTTCTTCCACCGAAGCACCGAGTCGAGAGCCCGTCTGGGTCTCGGCTTGTCAATAAAAAAGCGAGACAGCCTTAAGCAGTCTCTTTTTGGGGGTTTCAAAGCCAGTGGTCGCCTTTTTCAACCACCCACCGAAGCGAGGGCCCGTTTGAGCTTCAAAGCAGGACAGCAGCAAGAAGGCATGTTTCATTTTTCCAAATCCCGTACCTTCTGCAACCATTACACAGTATATTTAGATGTCACGCAGCATGTCTGTGGAAAACGATATCTGTTCTGCGCCCACCCTCTTTGACAGAACCTCTAAAGTGATAGCTTCTGCGAGGCTCGGAGTTTCAAGAAAACAAGTAAGGAAGCCGCGAGAAGTCTGCGCTTTGTTATGCCGAATCCTGTCCAATCTGCAATTGTTGCTGTATGGATGCAGATGTCACGCAATATATCTGCAGCGAACAATGTCTTTTTTTTGTGCGCTCATATTGGGCATCAGCCCAGTGGTGAAGGGGGGAAGGTCAATATCAATACTCCCAACTAACTTGAACACTAGACCAGCCACGCTGGGAATCTGACAATCGAAGAAGTCGCATATGGTGAACTGTATCGATTAATATAGGATGATATCTGTTACGACGCTGCTTAACTTGGACACAGACCTCATCCCGTAGAGATATCCCCCGCTTTTCCACGTGTAGCCCGTATATTTCCAGTAGACGATGTGACAAAACTTCTCCGAGCTGTGTTAATCCGTGGTGGTATCGCTAACGAACGTTTGGGTTTGCCGAAAGCGTGCTCAAAGTAAACCTGCCCTGGCTTCAAAGCTTGATTCCTTTAACTGCTTCCTTTGGCCTCAAGTGTGTGGTGTAGAAATATTGTGTGCCGGTGCACTTCTGGATTTGACCAATTCTTCGATCAGAGAAAGCCCAAGATCATTCCGAGCCAAGTGTATTGCTTATATCCTGGGGGGACTGCGTCGTCTGATGCTCTGCGTAAGACTCGTCTTCCGGTAGTCGTGACCAAGATCTGGGGAGTCCCATGGAAACAAACCCCGGCCATAGGCAGGTTTTGGTTTTTCACTGCACTGAAAAATAGAAGGTTAATACAGCATCTAAGCAAAGGAATATTGGAGGCTCTCAGGATGTTCCCACCAAGCGGCATACCAAAATGGCCGGCACGATGCCAAGATTTTAGGGATTTGAGGAGGAAGGAGTCAAACGGGCCAGTTGTCGTGGCAATGGCCGAAAGAGCCGACCCGGAAATCGGTTGGATAACTCGGCATTTCTTTTAGGCAAATCGTGATCTGTCGTAGAGTATCACGCCTTTTGCGACATAGATCAGTAGAATTCCAGACTCAGGTGTGTATTCGAACACCAGGACATAGGAAGGGGTCCTCGCGAAGGGTGAAGAGAGAGAGTGTAGATGGTTGGGGGGAGGATGTTGTTGCCCATCGTGCCTTCCCGATCCGATGTTGTATCCCCTAGTAGCCTCAGGCAGAGTCAGGCAGCCGAGCAGAATCATCAAACCAAGTTGTTCCAATTGTCATTTACTGTTCATCAATCGCCAATTTCCTACAGCGCACGAAGTATGGAGTCCAGCTATCTGATTCAGCCTATTTACACGACTTGCTAGAAACCATGTCATAGGAACCCGGTGATGTTCCTGGACAATCCAGGTCTATGCATCTACACCGGTATTACCCGTGGAAGCCCACTTGGTTTGGATGCCCAAATGAGTATGATTGGCTAGAAGGACCCGTCATACTGCTCGTGAGGTACCTAGATCGAGAGAATTAAAGATCGAATGTAAGAAAGTCAGCTGTTAGAGGGAAGCGACAAGGGTCGATAGCCCCTTGCCGATCGGACCAGACTTGTGAAATTGAGAGCACGACACAGATCCCTGTCTAAAGCAAGGTTAAGCACCCCAGATTTTGCCCCAGATATCATTGGAAAGAAGAAAACCCCGTTCCAACACCGGATGTCGGGAATCCGGGGTGGTTGCCACATTTTCCCTTAGGCCGGCCCGAAACGCCGTGACAGATATCTTCGAGGGCACCTGACATGTTCTTGCTCCAATGGGCGGAAAAAAATCTTGACTGGATCCGCAATTGTATTCTGGGCACCTATGCCCAATTGAACCTGCGGCCTGTTTCGCCGTTACAGAAAGGGGATAGCTTCATTTTCCACATTCCGGGGGCGTTAGCGTTAACCAGTCAGGTCCAATCACATTGTCTCCTCTGATTTCCCCAACCTCGCTTCCCCAGACACTACACTACTGGCGGCTGAATTGATTCTTGCGATTCCCACCTTTCGATATTCTTACAGCCGATAGGTGTAAATTTCAGAACATCATGTCCGACATTCCAGAGTTGGTCTAGACTCGCTGACAAGGGATATTGTACGACTCGGAGATGTCTTCTCACATGTACCAAGCACGACAATTAGCCTGAATACCAGGATGGGGTGATCACAGTCTGGGGATCCAGTGCCGAATCGACCTTTCCTTTCTCCACAACCCCAGATGCAAGCTAATGTACATGTGGGTCATCCTAGCAGTTTGGATGTTGCGAGAATTAACGTATATAGACGACAGTCTCCCCCCTGGTCTGAGACTTAGCGGGATCCTGTAGGACAACACAACTGGTCAACATCAACAGTCATCTGTGTTCGATTGCCCACCATGGCGTCCACTGTTGATACTGTACTTGCGGTGGAAAAGACTGCCGCCAACCATGTCGAAGATACCCTCGGCCATGGCGCGATCAGTGAGGCCAAGCAGGCTACCGACGATGAGCACTCGCAGACACTGATGCAAGCCTTGCGTGAGAACCGCAAGGCTGTTATGTGGTCTGTTTTGATCTCCATGTCTATTATTATGGAGGGATACGATACCATCCTGATGGGAAACTTCTTCGCCTACCCCACGTTCAATCAAAAATATGGACAGGATTATGGTGGTGATATTGGATGGCAGGTGTCTGCGCCTTGGCAGACGGGCCTTAACATGGCCAGTACAGTTGGGTGCATCTTCGGTGAGTTCTGCTGCCAATTCCCACCCCAGGACAAACACTGACATGAGCACAGGTGGTATCTTGAACGGATACTGCGCGTCCAAGTACGGGTACCGAATTGTGATGTTCGTCGCCCTTGCATTCCTGACTGCTTTAATCTTCATCACATTCTTCGCCAACTCCGCAGCAGTCCTCTTGACCGGCCAGGTCCTTTGTGGACTCTCATGGGGAGTGTTCGCCACCATCGGACCGGCCTACGCATCTGAGGTATGTCCCACCGTGCTGCGCGGTTACCTCACTATCTACGTCAACCTGTGCTGGGCCATCGGTCAGTTGATCGCCTCCGGTGTCCTCTACGGACTCGTCGACCGAAAGGATCAATGGGGCTACCGTATCCCATTCGGTCTGCAGTGGATCTGGCCCGTTCCTTTGATGGTTATTTGCTGGCTCGCACCCGAGAGTCCCTGGTGGCTTGTCCGCCACGATCGCCTGGAAGATGCGAAACGCAGCATCCGCCGATTGGGCGGCAGTAAGACTGAAGATCAGATCAACGGACAGCTCGCCATGATGGTACACACAATTAAGCTCGAAGCCGAGATCGAAGCCGGCACCACCTACTACGACTGCTTCAAGGGAGTTGACCTGCGCCGCACCGAGATCTGCTGCATGGCATTCGTTGGCCAGATTCTGTCCGGTAGTACATTCGCCTACTCACCTACCTACTTCTTCACCCAAGCCGGTCTTCCCGTAACCCGCTCCTTCCAGCTCGGTGTCGGATGCACTGCCATTGCTTTTGTTGGAACCTGCTTCTCCTGGTGGCTGATCACCGGATTCGGCCGCCGCACGCTGTACGTCGTGGGCCAGGGAACACTCTGCGCTACACTCTTCATAATCGGCATCCTCGATGTGTCCTCATCCGCGAATGGCATTATGTGGGCACAAGCCGGACTCTGCTTCTTCTGGCTCTTAACATATTCTCTGACCGTTGGCCCCATCGCATACGCCATTGTCTCGGAGACATCATCCGTGCGTCTTCGCCCGCTGACAGTCTGTATCGCGCGCACAGCATACCAGATTATCAACGTGGTGTCACAGGTCCTGGAGCCATACTTCATGAACCCTACCGCGTGGAACGCGTCCGGCAAGACCGGATTCTTCTGGGGCGCCACGGCGCTCGTTGCCTTCGTCTGGGCGTTCTTCCGTCTCCCCGAGGCCAAGGACCGTACCTACGCAGAGCTGGATATCCTGTTTGCCACCAAGGTCAAGGCGAACAAGTTCGCATCGACTGTTGTCGATCCCTATGCGATTCGTCCTGCTGAGTCGCAGGAGGGTCTCGTGCGTGAGAAGACGCAGGATACCAATCAGTGAATAATTAATAAACAATCGGGACGGACACTACCCAGGCGGTTGTATATGATGTCATGTGTAAATTGACTTAGCATGTTTCAGCAAATAGTTAATTTAATGAACAGTCGACTTCTTAAGGTTATAGATACAAAGTACAAGAATAGTCGGTCCCTTGTGCGGCCTCGTCATTTTTTCTTTTTAGCGGTGTTCTCAAAATTTCCAATGTCTTTTGACATTATTCCTCTTATTGATCTTAAAGCAACATGGACAGCAAGAATTAGGAGCGAAATATAACATATAGTGAAAAGAAGTATACATCCAAACAAATTTTTCATAACTCACACTTGATATATATCTCAACATAGCTATGCAAGAATAGAACTGAATTGGGAGAATGAGTTTGTACTGCTCCTGGAACATATAATTACCATCTTTCACTAAAGTAGTAGCAGTTCTAAAAGGAAATGATAGAATTGTACATTGTAGGATCAGGATCTTCAGCAAATCGTCGCGATAGATCAAGGCTACGGCACTTAGCGCCAGACCAAAAATAGGCAACCTCATTAACATGTTTCTATTTCGCCTTCGCTTTTGTCACGAGGCTTAGCCCTTAATAATTAAAATTCACAATCAAAGCAATTACTATGTTTCCTTCAAATGGGTACCTCTCAGACATCCCATGCTAGTGGTAGTGGAAATAGAGGTCTGGACCGTCCAACGGGGGTTCCCATGGTCAATGCTCAAGCGGGTATCCTTGGGTTTCGCTTATTGAATTGTGCACGGACACGCGAACAGACCTCTCAACTTTCCACCGAGCATCGGGGTCGTTACTATATGGAGTCAAGTCTTCCTCACCTGAACTAGGTTGTTTTTAAGCGGTGGAGATAGTAGTCGTAACACCGTGGTATTCGTCACTCCCTGTGCCGGTCCAGAGCTGGTGCCCGTCGTCACGGGATATCTGTTTCGATGGCGCGGAGCGGCGGAAGGCGCCAGCGACGTTAGTGGATAAGCGAAACGAGTTTGATGTACCATTAGAGGAGCCATCGCGCAAGAAGCGAACTAAGGGTCGGAGGGTTGTTAGACAGCCCGCCGTGATGCCGATTCCTGCCTCGACATTAGACCACATGGAGAGTTTGTAAGTGGCCCCTGTTGACTGTTAGTTGAAGTGTCTGTATTGAAACAAATGGCGTCGAAAGTGAGGAAATGGCAGGGTTGTGCGTACATAGAAATTCTGGATCTTTGTAGGTGGTGAGGTAGGGGATGCGAATAATAACGGCAGCACTTGCACTACAGAGATGTTAGTATTTGCCACCAGATGAATTAAGGACATGTGCTCCGGAGTCACGCACACGCAACCGACTCCCAAGACAGCGACAACGGCAACCTTAGTGCGACACCTCATATGCAAGTTCCAAATCAACGCCACAGGAAGCAATCCAATAGTCAAGTCAGTAATAGCGGCGCCAACACTATATAAGTATGCGACACCAATGATGGTAGTGGTATTGATGCATTTGCCGTGAGCGTGAGGTTGCATCCGGTTCCAGAAATAGTCGACGGGGGAGCATTGGAACATGGTGAGGAAGAAAAAGAGGACGCCAATAGCGGTGGCGAGAGCCATGGCGGCGTAGAGGATGTATGCGTGGACGCGGGAGATGGTGATTCGGAGGAGAGCGATGATGATGGAGAGCTTTGCGACGATACAGGTTGATACGTAAAAGAGTTGGCCTACCCACCAGCACTGTTCGAAGTATGTGAGCTTAGGTTCAGGATGCTAGGGCTGAGATCGTACCAGCATTGCGCGGTGCAAGTCGTCTGGGTGGTGGATGAAATATGCCATTTTCCTCCCGAGTCCGTATCTGGATCCGACGATTCCGCAGATTGCGAATATTGTGTTGAGGATCTGCAATGGAAGGAATGGTGTTAGTTGTTGCTCGGGCTGCGGAAGGTGCAGGGTGGCTCACCATGGCTATGACCATTGTTCCATCATCCCAGCCCCAAGCACGAACGACTTGTGTACGAACAAAGCATCTTAGGATAACGCTCAATAGTGAAGTAGAAAAGAAAACAGAAGTGACGATCAAAATCGCCTTGCTTCGACTATCATCGAGGCCTAACCCCTCGAACGGGACAATTATACCTTCCATGATGAACGAGCAGAGTGCATGGGGATCCTATCCGCACTTAGATAAAGGAAGATACCAAGAGAATTAGACAAATGGAATGGGGCAATCCCATATATTTATGTTTGGAGATCTCCATAACCGGCTTTGTTAGCTTCAATAACCCTTGACTTGTTAGCTCCAGACCCCCAAGTTCTTTGTTTTCAACCAAAAATTCCAAACTGGGCATCCATGATAGAAAAGATGAGAGCTACCCCTTGAGACATGGGCCACTGAATAATGACTCCCTAGTGGGGGCGTATGGGTACTCCGTACTGGATCTTCGGATAGAGTCAGTCTGGTATCGATAGATCGCCACACGAGACGACCCCAAACAGCTGGCAAGTTCGGGGTTACTTAGCGCGACGGACTTGTTGTTTTTCTTTGAAATTTGAGTTATTTACCGTGCCAAGTGTACTGCTGTTGCGCCCCTGTTAACTGAAATCTTGAGATTAGAGATCCTTTGTATGGCTTGCTCATTCACACAAAAATTATGGACCTAATGAATTTCCCATACCTGGAAGTAGGTAACGAACGCGAAAAAGCACTACCATTTAGTATTTGTCCGGCTGAATCGAGTTTATAATAGGGGTAGTTCGATATCAGCTATCTCGAAAATTTGTGTTTCAGATGAATTCCTAGAGTTTGCGTTTGGCGCGACTCTCGTGTTTATGGGCCGCACCAAGATTGGGTGCTACTAGTGGTCCATGGGTGTTTGTACTTGGCACGGTTACAAAGCGGATTCTGACACTTACGGTTCCTCTGCTCTAAGAACTGGAGATTGCGGGGAAATGCTCGCCGCACAACGTGCATTGAGTTTCACCAGCTTCCCTCCTCTTCAGGACTCCGGCGCGCCGCCCGTCCTGTAACGGTCGAACTTAACCCTAGAAATGGCCGGCGAATATGTACCTAGCCACATTGATCCTCGTGTTGCCAAGGTTTGTGACACATGGATATGACGTTACATGCCCAACCTTATTTATCTTGGTAACCGCAGCGTGAGGGGTGCGTCGGTTCCATGGATGCGTTGAACTCAATTCCATTTCCAACTCAAAACAATCAACCACAGAACACTGCGCAACCATAGTTTACACTGAAATTCGGGGTTATCCGACCTTCTGACGGTTAAACTTAGTCGCCCATTATATGCGACAATCGAGGCACTTTGTGCACTAGCCTGGAACTCTCGGGGTGGAATTGTCCTGATTTATCCCGCCCGTGCGCGGCTATTTACACACTATGCCCGCTACAACCACTTTTTAGCCCGCTGAGGGGTCAATTATTCGTATTCGGTACACTTCCGTTGAGCCCTAATTCACGTTCTGGAGCTTGTCTACCTCCTATGGATCATGGTCACCTTCCTTAGGGAGTAAATTAGGAGAGAAAATAGCACATGGAAATGTCGGTATGCGATGTGCCTAATGTCCTATATATAATACCTATTTGTTTATACAGAATGGGAAAGTCTTTTACATACATTGCGTAGCAAACAGAGGCACTCGCGAGTTTCCCGGGACAGCTCTCCACTTTCCCAGTGGAGCAACCTAGCTGTCAAGCTGCTCAGAAGAGTGGTTGAGTACCTTCCCTCATTCGTCTAATCCCTTAAGCAGACGAGGGGGATGCACTAGGCATAGCGGTACCACTAGGAGCGGAACCAGAGGCACCACCGCCGCTACCGCCACCAAACGAGCTATCAGCATTCTGGTAACCGCCATCAGCACCGTGGAAAGCAGCAATGCTGTAGTAAGAGTTATCGGTGTAATCAGCAGTGGTGTTGATTCCAATCTGAATCCAAGCGAACAATCCGTCGTCCAGGCCCTCACCGAGGTAAATGTACTCAGGGAAGGGATCGTAAGCGCTATCGGCCTGCAAAATACTCCACATATCCTCGGCATTGGAGGTGACGGCCTGCGTGTTGCTGGTGTAGGGGTATGTATCCTCCACGGCTGTGCGGAGCACCTCATTCCAGAACAGCTGTCCGATATGAGCGACACTTCCGGTATCAGCCTTGAGCGTCTTGTTGGGGAGAAGGGTTGCGTTCAAGTGAGTGAGGAGGTGGGTGTGCGTCGCACGGCCGTCGTAGTGGCCCGGGATGATGCTGTCAAAGGTTACGACACCATCGCGGTCTGTCTGCTGGATGCCGCGCAGGTAGGTTGAGTCCCAGCCGTCTGCGGCGTAGTTTCCTGACTCCGAGATTCCACTGTTCATGATAAGTGTTGTTAGATACGATTTGAATGACAATGGTCAGACACGGCGACAGGAATTGAAAACTCACCTGTACACACCGGTGGCATTGGCTTGCCAAATATCGACGATCGCTCCAGGCACGGGCTTGCAGGTGTTGACGTCAATGTACTGCACTTCGAGGAAAACATCCACACCATCCGAGTACAGCTCCTCCTTGACGTTCTGGCGCACAACCTCACCCCAGACATAGTAGGGACCGTCAGTGATAGTGGGCGACAGGACAAAGCTGGTGTTAGCACCGAAGACAACTGACTCCGGAGTCGCGGGGCTGTAATCAAGAATGCCAGTGCGGTTGTGGTCGATAGCCTCCCACTTCTCCAGAGCGGCAAGATCGCGGCGCCATTTCTGGGGAACTTGATACATACAGGTTAGTGAGCGTCTTGTGGGTGATATGATCAGGAAATTGGCTCACCGGTAGTGATCCCACGCTTCTGGCGAAGGTTCTGGACGGTACGTGAGCGACGGGTAATGCTACGCTTGTTCAACTCGCGTGCGTGAGTGGTGCTCTCGCAACCACTGAGGGATCGCTTAGCGTGGGCGGCCATGGAATTCCGGGTATGGATCTCATGCTTCAGGGCGTGGGGATCATGCTTCTCTCCCGGGTGGGCGATGGCAGGAGCCGCCAGGCATGCAGCTGCAACAGCGAGGAATTTGGAAAGCTGAACCATTGTGAAGCAGGTAAGATTGCGTTGGTAGCTCTTGAGAAACCGGACATGATGACCGCGAAGGCCTAGATTTATATCTCTTCGCTATATTCACTGATCTCCGGACGCGTGTCGCTCTGAAGAAATATGGTATCATCAACGCCCAGAATTACCAAGGTACCTGCATGTTCAATGGCTTAGGCCTGAGTGGTAGTGAGTTCAGGGCATCTGCGACACAAGCTTGCTTGGCGCCGCGTCAACACTTGATGAATGTTGGTTTGTTGGCATCTGTGCCCCACGTGCTTATTCGATTTAGGGAAGATCGCCCAACGTCGTCGAATCATTATTCATCAATTAGAAACAAATTTCGCTCATTTCTAATATAGCCCTACAGGACCGCGGATTGTCCGCTGGCGAAGCTGATGGTTGATTAAGCGGAGTGTCACCCGGGCCCCCGAGCTGTTCACATAGAGTGAGGGACAATTCCTAATAGGGGCAGTCTTTTAGGCTTGGGCTTGGTTAGCTAGGTGCTGTATCTTGTTAAAGGGAAACTTGTACTTTAAGATATATCTTGAGCCGAGAGAAAGCGCCAAGAAAATTCTATCAGCACAATGGTTGTCTACCGTGCCTTGGCGCAACGAATCTTGTGGGGCGGAGAGGATTCTTTTTTAGGCATCGAGCTTAATTTTTCAGCTGGTAAAAATATCCACCCACTGCGTTTAGGAACTAGAGTTTCAAATTTTGACAAATGGCAAACAGATCATGTCCTATTGGAGCGCAAGGTGTGGCGAGATGTCGACAGGTATGGATTAAGTCTATGTTGCGGGATATTCTGCATGAATATATCCACAACTACCTACCGTGTCAAGCCTCGTCAACGCACTAATCTTGAATTGTACGTCACATCTTTTCTGGGGCGGCTTAATCATTGTGAACCGAGCATCTCGCTCAAATGAAACTCATGTTATTCCCTATGTTGTTCCCCTATCTCTTCGTTTCGTACAGTAGCATTCACTGGTGACGCGCGTCCACCAACTTCAAAACAAGTAACCTATCACACTTCCGCCTTGTCTGAGGCGGGGTCCTTTTCACTGTCATCATCAGGGTCAAACATGGCCTCGCGCATGAATGGGCTTTGTCGACGAATAGCCGGCCCCTTCAGTACCAGAACGACGGGTACAACCGATAGGGCGAGTCCGACAAAGCCGAGCAAGGACCCAGCCCACCCGTAACCTAGGTTGTTGAAGAGCTGGAAAGAAGCCAAAGGCAGGAAAGCACCAAAAGTATTGCGCCCCAATGAAGCAGCTGACAACGCCGAAGCAGCGTACTTTTCGTATGCATCAGTCAGATAGTTGACTACAGCCATGTAGATGGAGTAAATTCCCACGCCAGTACAGCCAATTCCCAACGTTGGCACGATCCACGAGACAGAACCGTCCCCAACACTGGCCCAGCCGTACCAGAACAGCCCGCCGGCGAACAACAGACTGCCTGGTATAGAAGTATACAACCGGGCTTCGGGAATCGGATGACCCGGATGCTCAGGATTTCGGGGCGCAGACCTGAGGTAGATCCAATCTTGGATAGGGTTCAGGACTGTGCCAATCACAGCTCCAACCGATATGGCCAATTGAACTAAACCAGTCTGGAATGTACCCCAGCCATAATTTGAACTAAAGGTCTGGGCGACACTCGAGAAGAAGAGGAAGAGAATTCCCCACGCAAAGCTGACCCAGAGGGTGAAAAATATGACAACAGGCTCAGTGAGGAGCATTCGGGTGGGGCGCTCGAATGAAATCTGCACAAGTTTCATTACGCTGGTGGTGTCCAAATCGGCTTCAGCATATATAGCGCGGCCAGTCTCCAGGCGGAGTTTCTTCGCACGTCGCTTTAATATTACATCTGCACGGGTCTCGCGAAGAATAAACCAGAAGACCGGGATCAATCCAGCATTATAAATGATTTGAATGTAGAAGATCCTGAATCTATATCAGCAGCGTTCCTCATAGCAGGAAGAATTGTACGCAGAACTTACCATCTCCATGGGCTGCTTTTATGGATCTGTTGAATGGCTGCTCCGATAAATGGACCCAAAGCGATTCCAACCACACTCGTAAATCCAAACAGAGACATCGGTAAGCTCCGAGCTTTGGGGCCATACCAGACATCACTGATGCTACCTCCGACAATGTTGATAGACACCGAAGAGGCTCCACCGCCAAAGAATCGAGTAACGACCAGCGTGGCAAAGTTTTGCGCAAAGGCCGAAGGAAATAGTGATACGACCAGAATGAAATATGCAATAAAATAACCGGGCATGCGCCCCGATGATTCGGTCAATGGAACGAAGATCAGGGGCCAGAATGCAGCCCCCATATTCCAAGAGGCTGTAGCCCATGCGAGGTTTGGAAAGGGCTCATTTTGAACGTGGAACTGTTGTTCCATGTATTTGTTTCCGGCGCCGTATGATCCGGCGGGCAGGCCTGTAAGGATGGAACTGGAATGGGTTAGCATTGTCTCAGCCAGATGGGAAATAATCGGATGCGACTGACATGAAACATATAGTCAAAGTGAGCACCCATTTATATGTTTTGCTCCAATTGAATCTAAGTCGTCAGTGAAAGCTCGCTAGTATCGTTTTCTCGTGTCTTACGGGTTTTCTGGATCATCTGGGCCATTCCAGGTATGTATCTCGATGTCCTCATTACCCCGCAAAGGATGACGACCAACATAACCTATATGACTGTCTCGCCGGAAGAAGGAATGGACTCTACAATATTGTTAGTCGACTCCGAACTCTATAGATAAGATACTTCTATGCACCTTGAGTGAAATGAATCGTTAAACTGGTTATGGTGCAGGGAACTCGATGTAGACGATCGATTTCTAAGTCCACCTTCTCGGACTGGCGGCTGGGTAGGAGGGATTCCATCGGCATAATCTGTCATACTGGATTTGAGAATGACCACAAATGGTTATTTGCTACATCAGATCCTTAGAAGCGGCTGGGGGATTTATTTTGTTCTTGGTGCACGAGTCAATGACTCGACGTTTCAATAGTCTCAACATTGTCGTTTCCGTCATCACTTTTTAGGGTTCTTTTGACAGCCTTTTATTTTCACTCTTTTAAGATATAATACCCCACACTTCCGCGAATTGCCATGAATTACCATGAAATATTTCCATATGTACAAAGTAAACAGAGTGAGAATGCTTCAACTTGTTGACAACGCTATACTTCTCCTTGGCGTGTCAAAGTGGGGCGACGCACCACGTCTAGAGCTGCTGACGGTTTGGACATGTTCTGATCAGGATACGATACCAAGTTAGGAATCTTCTAGAATCCATCTGGAAATCTCTTTTCAAGAATCCCATGTCTCTACTAACCTGAAACACGATGATATCAAAAGGAGTGGATGAACTGATACCGGCTTGCCGGATTCCAGTTCGGGTCATGATGTCATCGCCCCGCCATTCGTCTCCACCAGGATTGTCATAACTGAAGTCATTCCATATTCTTACTGGATATGCCAAGTTGGCTGGAACAAAAGAGGCCATAACCTGATTAAGCCAGGCGCAGGAGGTCCATACTCAACTATACCTGGGCAGGCTCTCTGATGTCAGCGCTAAAGCAAGCCAAGAACTCAACCATGAAGTCATTCGAGGGGCGAGACGTATATAAGCCACCTGCTTGTCCTAAGGTTGCAGGATCATAAATCAAATAACATTCTTCTATTACACATACCCAAACCCAATATTCAAACATACCTCTCTCGACTGCCAAAACACCAAACCAACCATCTACCACAATGCCTATCCCCGTCCCCAAAGCCAACCGCCTCCTCGACCTCCTTAGCCTTAAGGGCAAGGTTGTTGTTGTAACCGGAGCCTCCGGAGCCCGAGGCATGGGAATCGAAGCCGCCCGCGGCTGCGCCGAGATGGGCGCCGACCTGGCTATCACATACGCCTCCCGCCGCGAGGGTGGCGAGAAGAACGCCAAGGAACTCGCAGAAGAATACGGCGTGAAGGTCATCCCTTACAAGTGTGACGTGGGCAATTGGGAGAGTGTGTCCACACTTGTGAAAGACGTGATCAAAGACTTCGGCAAGATTGATGCCTTCATTGCCAATGCCGGACGCACAGCTGATAGCGGCATCCTTGATGGGTCTGTTGAGGACTGGAACGAAGTCATCAACACCGATTTGACTGGTACCTTCCACTGCGCTAAGGCTGTTGGCGCTCACTTCAAGGAGCGCGGAACCGGCAGCTTCGTCGTTACCTCATCGATGTCAGGCCACATTGCCAACTTCCCCCAGGAACAAACCTCATACAATGTTGCTAAGGCTGGCACGATTCACCTTGCCAGGTCGCTGGCCAACGAGTGGCGCGACTTCGCCCGTGTGAACAGCATTTCGCCTGGTTACATTGACACCGGATTGTCTGATTTCGTCGCAAAGGATGTCCAGGATCTTTGGAACTCCATGATCCCCATGGGTCGCAATGGTGATGCGAAGGAACTTAAGGGTGCTTATGTTTACCTGGTCAGCGATGCCAGCACTTACATGACGGGTAACGATTTGCTCATTGACGGTGGTTACACCGTGCGGTAAATCAACTTTTTGTACGATAAACGAATTTAAACGACTACATACTACATAGTTTATTACTCAATTCCAGAGCTATTTTATGGCTATCCCAAGAACTGTGTCGGTATCCTATTCGATTTATCGTATGACGTCATGAGTGAAGATAAGGTGGACTGTTTGACAGCTTTGCCATGTTTGCAGATTGTTTGTCTTCATTCTATTTCAAACGGTGAGCCCATTTATCAAACAATCACCGAGCGCATTACAAAACATTGGAGTAATGTGCTCAGGCAACACCCGCAATAGAAGCCGTGATCGGAGCCTTCTCCACGAAGATGCCGGACCAGTACCAATCCTCCGGAGCCGCGTTCAAACCCCCGTTAGGGAGGCGCAACTCGCCGATATGCCAATCCGCCGAGTCCGTCGAAGTCGACGCATTGACAGCCGACACAACCTGCGTCAGTTTACCGCAGTTATTCGACGCCCATAATCCAACGGTTTTCGCGTCGAAATCGATGTCGTAAGCGAAGTTGTACCAATTCCCTGGTTTCAACTCGGTTTCCCAGTGCGGCACTCCACCGACGCACCAGCGGAGGGTGTTGTCTTCGCCAGACGATCCGCTATCAGCGCCATATTTGAACTCTGTGAAATGGCTCTGTGGTGGATATATTGGTTAGCTGCTGTGCTCCTCGAAATACTTGCGCAGGGCTGTTGTTACCTCAAAGAACGCGATCTGGTGCTCGAAGCTTGCATTCGGTGCATTTATCTCTTCGGTCTTCAGTGAGAAGTGGTAGAACAGATGTCCGCTTCCAAGATCCGCCTTCGTCTGGGGGATGATCTCGGATCGTTCCATGTCTTGTCCATGCCAGAACGACGTGCCGTCCTATTTGCTATCAGCTTCTAGTACCCGCGAGTTTTGGATATGACATACAATTGTGATCCGGACCCCCTGTTCATCCCTGGTATCGGCTGGGTTCTTGTGATCAGGTGAGAGGCTCAGGTACTTGTCCGTGGCCGCATCGCCATGGATATACCACTGCCAATCGCCAACTGGGTTAGAGAACGACCCTTCTTGTGTGTCAGTGTGAATCAATAGCAACTCCGGAGACTGATTTACATTTGTCGAAGTCAGCAACGGTCGCCGAGCCGTTGAAGAACCCGCTCCACAGGACTTCACCAGCTTCGGCCACCATTGGAACGGTGATGAGCCATGCAAGAGAACGCATTTTGGAGATATGCTTGTGCGTTTGAGTTATAGTCGATGATTTAGTGGTATAGTCGGATTGCTCCCAAGCAGCACCTCCGACACCTTTTATATACCCTTGCCCCTAGGCAAGACCGGCTGAGCCGGATATAACACGGATAGAGACTATGAAACCCGGGGTTGATTGAAGTAAGACATCGACAGTTCGCCATGATCCTGCAGATATTACTTCTGTCACTTTCAAAACCCCTAGTTGGTGGTAATCCCGTGACAAAAAGAGTAAACATCACGGACCCTAGGGCATTTCCTTTTCACTTTGTTCGCTTTCTTCAGCATACAACATATACCCTGATTTCGTGCAATTGATGACTCGGAAGTGATCGACAGGCGCCTCTCTAAATCAGTTAAGGAAATAAGGATCCTTGGCTCTGCACGATGAAACTCTGCAGGATGGCCTGAAACGGCGCCAAGTGAGACACCGGTCGCATCATTGGACCGACATGCCGCTGCCACTCTACTTCGTATATTGTACCAATTTACCCCCGAACACAAATGGAAAGGTAAAAATGGTCGGCAGCCAAAAGACTACCCCGTTTGATAAATTCATAATGACCAGTCTCTTAACGGACACGGTCGGGAATCCAATTTAATTATCCCGATACACCAGCAGGACCCTCATTTCATATCTTTGTGAATGGTTTACACCTTCGGCTTCTCAGCTATGGCATCATCGCAACTTCCAACCTCCTTGGCATCGATATCGACGCTATGAGCCTCGGCAACGTGCATGTGTGGAAGCGACCGGGCAATGCGGGGCGGATCGAAGATACTGCGCGATCGCAAGAATATTTCATCAATCTCCTCAAGTGTGCGACCGTTAGTTTCCGGGAAGAGGAAATAAACAGTCGGCACGATGGCAGCATTCAGCACGGCGAAGATTATATAGTACTGCCAGTCTATGGTAGCGAAGCCGACGGGCGTCACTTCGGCGAGAAGAAAGTTGAACGTCCAGACGGCGGCGGCGGAGATGGCGCTAATAGATGCTCGGCACTGGAGGGGAGCGACCTCTGTGGCATATAGGAAGGTCAAGCCAGAGTAGCCGACCGTGAAGATGAATTCGAAGACGAAAAGGAACACGACAGCGCAGACCAAGCTGCCGGTATTATTCTGGAGGGAAGTGGTGCCAGCTAGGATGGCCATCGATATCGACATCCCGACAGCACTCCACAGCATAAGCACGCGGCGGCCGAGTCGGTCGATGGTGAAATAGGCTAGCAGGCCGCCCAGCGGCTGTGTTAGGCACATCGACGCAGCGAGAATACGAGACTGGACGGGATCGAGCTTGAGATATTGCTCGAAGATGGTCGTGGCGTAGAAGGTGATCAGATTGATTCCGCACATCTGCTGGAACATTTGACCCATACAGGCAAGAACAGTGCGGTGGAATAGTCGCTGTTCGCCCATCTTCAGCATATCCTTCCACGAACCCGTTCCAGTAAGGGCTAGGGAGGTCTCGATATCGCGAATATCGAGGGTGATCTGTTCCGACTGAGGGTCGACGTCGTCCAGCGCCGCCAGAATCTCCCGCGCCTCATCGCTGCGACCTCTTTTTACCAGCCATCGGGGCGATTCTGGGAAGAGCATGACAAAACACATGACCACCAATGATAAAAGGACCTGGAACACCAAGGGGAATCGCCAGGAAACCGAGTTGGTCTTAACAAAGTAGAAGCCGAAGTCAACCCAGAGAGAGAAGGTGATACCGGCGCCGATGAAGATACCATCCGTTACTACGTGCGCGCCACGCTTGTTAGGCTTCGAGATCTCGGATTGCCAGACGGGTACTGTAGCGACATAGCCACCGGTGCCATATCCGAGGACGAGTCGTGCAACGATAAATTGTGGAAGGGAGAAGGATGTTGCCATTAGGACGGCGCCAATCATAGAGATGAACGAGGTGAACAGGATGACCTTCCGGCGGCCAAGCCTATCACCGAATTGAATGCATGATAGTGAACCGAATATTCCACCAACGGTATATAATGCGACCACCGTGCCTAAAAGAATACAGCATGAGAAAAGAGCCATGCTGGGAAGAGACCAAGCATCTGGGATTAATCTGCGCCCCGAGTATGGCGGTTAGGCTTACCTTGAATAGTCGAGTTGTAGGTCTTCTCTGCCTCAGTTGCAGTGAGAGTATTCATCTGCGGAAAAGTCTCGGCGAAGGATTCCAGGGTCAATAGACCTCCCATCACACCTTGATTGTATCCATAAGTCACGAATGCCGGACAAACGACCAACCACATGATAGCCCTATTGAGGGAAGGGCCACGGAGGCCAAAATAGGGCGCCATGGTGCAATCTTGGTATTGAAAAGAGGCGAATTCAAGATCTAGAATTTCGAGATCATGCCACATCAATTGCCCCGCCAAATCGATATGAAGTTGGATATAAACATCATATATACACTCATCTGAGTATTGGACGGCGAACGCCGCCTACCGGACGATCTTGATACTGGTGGATCCGAGCAGTACGTGGGGCGGCGTACCCCGGAGGGATGAAGCGCAGCTCCCATTGGCGAGGGTGTGGAACCGAAGACATATCCAGTTAAGAGCTTCACGAAGAGTGGAGTAGAAGTGCTCGAGAGCCATCAGACAGGAAGATAATATTAGCTAAAAGTCTTGGTTTCCCCAGATTCCTCCCTCGCGGGATGTGGTGATGGCTGATTCAAGCGGCATGCGTTACCCCAGGAAGCTTAGCTGAACCCCTGGGGCACTGGTGAAAGCTGGGGTAAACTACACTGCGTTCGGAGATTGGCTAGACCATGCAGCATGGGTGTCGGTCTTTCATACGCGAAGGTCTGCTCCACATCGGACCTGCCCGATGGAGACTTCTACGACCATTTGTGCCTCGGAACACGATAAGACAACTACATGTCATGGATATTTGTCTTTTGGTGGATATACAAACTGCTAGCCGAAAACTGACGTAACAAGTTCATAATTATGATCGTCCCAATTGCATAAAAGCTGGAAGATACACACGAAGGGGTGGATAACTCCTCAGCCCCCGGTCTAGCATAAGCGGCTCGTGCTATGAAAAAGGATAGTTCATTTGACAAAACTACATCAATCTATATTAACAAATTATTTAATTTCAAAATTGCTGATCTCAGCATGTAACATCATATGGGATGAAATCATACCCTGATTCCGCGTGCGTCTCCTCCACGGACTCCATATTTCAAAGTTTGGCCTTCATTCTTCCTTCACAGTAAACCTACTCCATGACCGTATCTTCGGTCCATAGATGAAAAACAAAATAGGCACCGGGAACAACGCGACGGTCAGACAACCCAGCAAAGTCATCGCCCAATTGACGCCGAGGTTGTGGAACTGTGTTGCATTGCGATCAACTCAATTCGTGTGGTGCTAGGAACGGGACAAAACACACCATTGCTGACGCAAACATAGGAAATCCAGCCCCTAGCCATGAACGAAAGAAGGAGTTCGCTGCTATTGCAGAGTTTGCATACATGGGATACACATCGACGATATAATTGAGGCCCTGATAGTCATCGTGAGTATCTCTATTGTGTGCTGGAGATTCTAATGGGAATAAAAATACCTGCAAGAAGATCAATAGGACCCCTGCTCCCAAGAAGCTCCCCGATATGACCTGCGGAACCCAAGTGATGTGGGGATTTGACGTCCAGCCAAACCAAAACATGCCCGCGGGCAGCAGGATACCTCCAATGATCATAGGAAGCAACCGTTCCTCCGGCCGAACTCGGCCATTGCGCAGTATGAACGTTCGATACCGTGTCAATGAAAACACTACTATGATCAAACAAGCGCAAAGAACACCACACATGATAGCGACGAATGGCAGTGCGCCAACGCCATCGTTCCAGCCACGCTGTTCTTGGAAAGAGATCGGGTAGGCCACGAAACACATGTACAGAAACCCATAGATAAAGCCCACATACAAGGTCATAAACAAAAGAATGGGTTCCTGCACGAGCATTTGAAACGGACGGAGGAGATACCGTACCAATATATCTCTTGGACTCATCACCCTTTCTTCTACCTTTGCATGAAGAGCCCAGTTATTGGTTTTGATGCGCAGGCACTTAGCGCGTTGCTTGAGCAAGGTTCCCTCAAACGTCTCTGGAATTACTAAGATTCCGATACCAGAGATTGCAAACGCCCAAATCACTGTAATGTATTCCGTCCAACGCCAACCCAGGTAGGACATTGTTATGAACCCACCGACGATTGGTCCAGCTACTGGGCCGATGAAGGTTGCCGCGGCGAATATGGCCATTGCGATACCTCGCTCTACGGGCTCGAACATATCGGCCAAGACACCGGATACCTAAATCGGGAGTGAATCTGATGAGCGAGAGCGAAAGTGGAGGTTGGACTCAATGCAACAAACTCACAATGGCAAGAGGTGCACTAGCAAAGAGTCCGCCCAGGAAGCGACATATGAAGATAGTCTGCAAGTTCTCTGCTACCGCAACGGGGATCTGGAAGATTGCAAAGACAAACATGCCCAGAAACAGGGGTCGCTTCCGGCCGTACAGTTCAGACAGTGGTCCGAAGATGATAGGTCCAAAGGCAAAACCCAGGACGAACAAACTGACACCTAATAGCATTACTTCTCGGGAGACACCAAACTTCTTCGCTGTCACTTTTGTTGCTGTGCTAAAGACCGAGGAGCCGAAGGTAATACAGACTGTCATCATCCCTAGCATTATGGTGATCACCCACTTCCTCCATGTGGGGAAGTTCCGGGGCATCTCCTAGAATCGTATCAGAGGGGATGAACACAAGCAAAGGAGGACAATTAGATATCATGCCGGATCATTTGGTCCGTCCCAGTCAACGATTAGGCTTTCTTTCTCATTTGGGACTCTCTCTGATTTGCTTTCTGCCGAGTCCCTGCTGCTTTCCGATGCATCAGGAACGTCGTATGTGTCGCCATCATCGAATATAGTCCGCAAGCTAGCTGAATCATGCGCTGCCTCCCGCGTGTTGTACGGAGACAGTGGAGTTGGTGTCTCTTTGTTGGCCATTGTAGAGACGACGTGATTGCGTTCAATGGAGAATGATAATCGAGGGCAGGTGGTTCTTAGGTAATGTAGCAACGGTGAGAACTGAGTGGAAGGTCACCATGAGGCCGTTGATATATGCGCTGCAAGTACTCCAGCCGATCTACTCCATAGAAATAGATCATTAGAAGCCATTTGTGTTGCTATTTTTTTGCACCCCACAATAACAGTTAGTCTGTGATCTTGCAAAACGTCATGGCATCCATCCATCAAGCATGGGCTGAGTCATGCGTGGTGTTCACGACGACATCCATACGTATTCTTCGCCCAGAGTTCAACCATTTCATATATATTGAGGGCGGTTCAAAGCTGCTGAATCAAGCGGTACGTTTCGGGGTGTGGTTGTAGGGAGGTCGATGTGTATCATTCAGCTTTTCTAATAACCTCTGATTCAGATATAAATCAATGCAAGCAACGAATGATTTTTAATGTCCAGATTACCAATATTAATTCACTAGAAATCCAGCCGACATATGGCTGTTCCGAAATTTCATTGACATACACGAAGTTTCGTACGCCGTATGTGCACTGCTCCGAGCCTCGAGCTTCATCCACTTCTGGCAGCACATGAAAAGCTCGTACCACTCGAATCATCATGAATTGCCTTACCAGAAACCCAGAGACCCATCCCACACTTCATCAAATTAGCAGTCTGATAAATGGTCCGGGATTGGAAAATTCGGCATACCAAGCAAGCACCAATCGCGACAATCACCAAGTTGATAGCAGTTAGAGCCATCTTTTTCCAGGAAGCCATATACTGGCCTCGATTCATGAACAACCAGAATATCCCACTAAGGCCGTCTTTTATTCCGGTTAGTATCATCCCCAGTATCGCTTGAGCTAAATGTCACTCACAGGTAAACCAGCTAGCGAAAAGGGAAGTCTACCCCAGACAATCCATGTTAGTAGCTGTCCTACCTTCAATTCCCGGTGATACCAACAATGAGACTTAGCAAAGTATTGAACACTGGGATTGCCTCGGAGATAATCCAGGCTATCACCCATAACACAAGGCTAATCGCAATCCAGGACCCGATCGATAAGAATGTGCGCCTCTTCATATGATCAGTGCCCCGGAACAGGCGGACGTAAACATATTTTGACGCGACATGCCCGTTGATGACACCGGCTATGACAATCTACAATATGAAGTTAGGAAAGGTTGGTTCAAAGTAAAAACATGCGCCAAAGATCCCGCACCGTAGGAATAGCAATTCCATATGCCAGCTTTGCGGTTATGGGTCTTGTCGAACTTAGAGCGGGTGAAGCCACATCTTTCCCACCGTAGACGTATATAACAACAGCAGCTATCACATACATACTTGTATCAATTATCTGGAGCATGTATAGGGTCTTGGGGTAGTCCGTTGGAGTTTCCATCTCCGAAATGAAGCCAAAGAAAGCCACGTGGCCAGCTATATGCAAATTAGTTGCAGGACTTTGGTTGCTTGTTGGTACTCACCATAAGCAAATACAATATTTGTCACGGCTAGGAATCCCTTTGAAAGACTAACTGTTGTAGTCGCGTCAATCTTGCCGTCACCCGGGCGCTGAATAGCAATGGCGATCATAGTAATTAGAAGGGCGGCAAGGATACTTGCAAAAGCTGTGGTAGTTAGCAAGGGACTTTTTGCAGACTAGTTGTCGATTTACTTACAAGCAAACGAAAACCAAGAGACTTTGCGAAGCGTCCGAGGCAAGGCAAAGATGAACGACACGACCAAGCCAACAACCCCAAATACAATCGAGCAGGTGCCGTGATCTGTGATTGTATCCATCATGACACTGAAAGTCAAGATATGACTACCCATGACGAAGATGAGAAAGAGCAGCTGAGCCGATCCCAAAAACTCCCTACCAAAGCGAGCTAGACCAATTGGATGGAACATCACCTCCCCGGCATCCCCCATACTATGTACTTGCGGGTATCGAAGTTTGAATTGACCGATCACATATCCAGTATATGTTGCGACGATACCAAGCCCGACGATGAGAATGAGTGCACTAGAAACAAATCAGAATATTATCTGGATGGGAGTTTGCTGGAAGTAGAAGATATATGGAAAACGTACGGGACAAGGCCTACCACTGCCATAGCCGACGGAAGGGACAGAATACCAAGGGATATGGTTTCTGCGATCATGATCATGCCGCATTGCCACCATTGTAACGTCCGATACTTGACTTCGGAAAGTTCTTCATCCCCAAAGGGATCAGCAAGGTGAGATATGTGATCTTCCGATCGACGCTGCTGTTCTTTTTCCATTGAATAACTCCTTCTGTTGATGTCACGACTTGGACTAGCCTCATGGTGAGAATATGCCATGGCAGTGGCCGGGATCACTGTTTAGAGGTTAGTAGCAATCGCGCTCACTATCAGCAATGATGAGGAGAGAAGATCCAAACCAGAGTCTCGGGAGTGATAGACCCCAAAGAGTATTTTGGACAATCAAGTCGACTTCGTCTGTGGATTGATGATGTGATGATGTCATAGTGTGGGGAAAGCTTCAAGGAAGTTGGAGGATGAACTTGTTCGGTGTGTGGGGGAAAGAGCTACAGCGAAAAGGAACACTCAGAACAATAGTGTGCGTTAAAAACAAATACCAAGTGGAGCGCAATTAATTGACGGAAACGCTTAGTTCCGCCAACCAGTATCCCGATTTGGAGATCACGTCTTGTCTGTGAGAACTTTGATGATACAGTCTCATGTTAGTGAGAGCATCATTCGCTCGTAGTGTCACCTAAGATACCTCTTGAAACTCGGTATTACTGACTACACATGCGATATTGTCCGATTGTCTCCGAAGATGGACTCAGCACACCTGAAGTGGAGTAAATATATATCTACCCATCACCTCATACAGAGATGATTGTCGATGTCACTTTACGCGCAAAGTTCATAATTGGCAAAATCTCATATTAAACCAGCGGGGAAATAGCGAGAACGATGTGACATGACTGTTTCCTATTAGGCGATTGCAATAAGTGTATAATGTTCCGAGCTCCCGTTGAGGGCGTCATCGTCTCTCCAAAAGCTCCACATCCTCGCGATCCACTGATATTTCAATACTTTTCATGATCCGAATTTTTGCCGGAGAATCACTAAAACGCGACCCCGGATATGTTCCGTTCGATCGGTCGGAGTTTGGTGTGAGTTTATGATTGGGTCGCGACTTTGACGCGTCGTCGGTATAGGCCAGTCCGTTCTCGTCGACGTAGGCTGCGACAAATGGTTTCATTAATGGCGCTGTCAGTACTAGAACGCTGAGTGCCACATGGAGCTCCACAACAATGGTAGCGAATGTTCCTTCGAGTGTTGGATCTGGCGAATTGACTTGTTGACTCATGTAATGGAGGTGGATTGCACCGATAGGGATGAGGCTGTAAGTGTGCCGAGCAATTATTAGTATCGACCCAGGAAACTGGTTGAGAGGATTTTGAACATACAAAGATCGACAGCTCAGGACAAGAATTACAATAACTTTGTTGTTTAGATTCGTCTGTAGTCGCATGATTGCTCGGATAGGATATAGTAGCACTATAATTTCAAAAATAATATCCAATGCTGTGACAGCCTGCCACCGAGGGAACTAGACGGATATGAGTGAGAGGACAGATAGTATGGAAATTTACCGTGACCTACCAAAACGGAACATTGTTGGCTGATATCATGCCATGGATGTTGATCACAGCGTACTGCCAGCAGAACTATAGTAACAGGGGCACAGAGCAGAGTAACTGTAAGAAGAACATAGCTCATCCATTGCGAGCTACGTAGAGTAATGGTCCGGTAAAAAAGTGCCGTTGATGCTTTTGACGATGATAATGTTACCATGTAGAGGATATCTGCACTGTATCCGGCCTAGAAGGAGATTTTGTCAAAAATGATCTTGCATCCCCATCATGGACACCTACTTTCTCCATCGAGTTCAGGTATTCATCAGCTATCAGCGATTTTGACTTTCCCCAGCCAAAATGGATCTGCACGAAGACTGCAGATACCTGTGCCAAGGCAAGAACCTAGATTTCGTCAATCCTCTAACATCAGTCACCAAGATCTTCTAAAAAAGTCCACATTAGTTGAGATGGAAAGGCATACCACAGTGGCCGCAAAAGTCAAATCATCCAACTGACGGGCTCTTCTACTATATGCAGAATGCACCCGAATCCCTAGAGATCCTAGAACCAAAAATAGCGAAAAAGAAGCGATGACTGTAATAAATCCATTGTGGTTTATTTCGGTATCCACTGTCAGCGGAGGTGTCATGCCCGATGGCACTGGGAATGGAGTTGCCATGGCCAAGAGAAATAAACACATCCTGACCTGCTCATAGGGACTCGATGGAAAATATATTCAACTTGAGCCAAACAGGCTGGCTGACTCAGAAAATTCACACTGTGTTGCAGGGCATCCTAATCACGAATAGCAGATCTCCATCCACACTCAGCCTGGATCAAAACTGAGGTTTGACCTTAGCGCAATTTGTTGATCCACTGGGACATGGGATATGGCTATACTACTGGTTGCCAGCTGCGGGTTCTTATCTTGATTTTGGATTTTGGAAAGATGCGGGTGTTTCTAGTGAGATATCAAGATCCCTGGTGATCTGTATACATGGAATGACAAGCGCTACCAAATATTCTACTAGATTCAAACTAATTGTGCCTATTGGTGGAACCATATATCGGGTGTAATTTGTGGCTATTGAGGTACCATGTTCCGAGTTTTGGGGACGAATGTATTGAAATTGTCAAACATGCCATTTAGCGGGTCGCTTGGGCGCTCAATGTTCCCACAGGCACAAAGCGTGACTCTCCTTAACCTAGGGTACCGTAGCTTTACGACTACATAGAGCTTTAATATTTCAGTCAAATAGGTAAATTCGAAGTTCTGTTACCTTCGAATTTGGTGAACTATAGTCATTCGGAGGGTTTAGTTACAATGTTACATTTACATTGTGCCGAATACAACAAAGCGCAGTGATGTCCGGTACCTTGAAGTAGAATTATTGTCTAACAAAATATGGAGTACTCCATAGGGAGTACGTGTGTAGCTCACTGTTGTTTGCCTAATTCCAATCCCAACTGACAGGGTATAATGGGGATGGCAGATGCACAGGCGTGGCGCTAGAAGTACAGACTTACCGCAACGGGACCCTCGCAGGTTTTTTTATTTTGATCTTTGCGAACCCCATGTAACTTCTTTCAAGGTCCGTTAGTTCCATAGCCCCAAATATATTCCCAGTGGCAACCTCTGACATGATCAACCAATCTCGGAACGACTTCCAAATCTCATTTCTTTGTACAACCCAGCCGGGATCTGACCGTCCTTCCATCCCCACGGAAAGATGCAGATCGAAGCCGGAATACAGCATGAAATCAACGCCCACAAGCTGGTGGGGAGACAATGAGAGTGGAGCCAACCCTGCATTGGCATCTTGATAGCTTCGTTGGCGAATTTTGAGAGATCGATTTGTGTGCCACCGCCCGCAGAATGGGATAGGTTTGGAATTATTTGCTTCTTTTCGAGGGTACGTAAGACAGTTAATCTTAGCAAACACGGTGCGGTGGTTGACAGCGATGAGTTATTGATCTACTCCTGGACGAGATATCCTTCCCAACTAGATATGAATCGAATCGCCCTGTGCCACTTCAAAACAGCCCCAATATTCACATCATGTTATGCCGATTCCGGTCCGACTGCCTATGAAAGACTTGCCATGTGGTCTTGTGTGTATTCTCATCGGTATATTTTGTTGTTCATCGAGGGGTATGTAGCATGGATGGGTATGGATGGGTATGGATGGGTATGGATGGGGAGAACTTCGACCTCAGAGTCGACTCGCTGTGTCACTGTAGGGGATGCCTGCAGCGGAACAGCCGACATTCCCTACATTTGTCAAAGCCGAGGCTCTCTCGTGCTTTTGTATCTCCAACTTCCGATTGCCTCTAATTTTTGATTAATATCGAGCCTTTGGAGTCAGCTCCTCTCTAACGAATAACCCTTGATAGGGTAATGCCGATTTTCACCCCTTTAATTTGTCAAAATGCGACCGGAGAGTCCACAACCGCAAGATCGTATCGCCTCGTTTGAGAGAATTCACACAATGGAGGAAGAACACCCCGCGAAAGATCTACTAGAGATGGAGGGTAGTCCACGGGACCAGGATGATATGACGCGTATGGGAAAGATACAGGAATTGAAGGTGTTGTTTAGCTATATCTCATGCAATAATGAAGTTATCAACTGACATCTTTGCAGCGCAACTTTCGACCTCTTGCAGCGTTGAGCTTTTCAGCGGTTCTTCAAGCTACTTGGGAGTTTGTACTAATGTAAGATGCAGTTTATACATGCACCCCGATATAAACTACTAATTGCCTCATACTTAGCTCTAACACACAAGGGCTTGAAAATGGCGGCCTCGCTGGTGTATTTTGGTCCTACATGTGGACCTTCGTTGGATTTGGCTTCATCATTGTTTCGCTAGCCGAGATGGCCTCGATGTGAGTTCTGATCGGGTAATATACTACATGCGCGAATATTTCTGACACATCCTTGCTCTACGCACCAGGGCACCCACATCAGGAGGCCAATACCATTGGGTATCGGAGTTTTCCTCACCTCGTTACCAAAAGTTTCTGAGTTACACCACTGGTGAGATTCCTCGTATACTGGCCCCCGTCAATCACTAATCGTTCTGAATCAGGATGGATGTCCGTACTAGCCTGGCAGGCAGGAGCTGCATCGGGCTCGTTTCTGACTGGGACTATCATCCAAGGTCTGATCTCACTCCGTGACCCGAGATATGAGCCCCAAAATTGGCAAGGAACCTTGTTCGTATTCGCAATGATAGCTGTCATTTACTTTTTCAATGTCTATGCTGCAAGCTGGATGCCGCGGATCCAGAACATCCTCCTCGCGCTCCATCTGTTATGCTGGGTTGTCATTGTGGCTGTCTTATTCGCCATGGCTCCGCACAACTCCGCTCAAACCGTATTCACCTCGTTCCACAATGGTGGCAACTGGTCTTCTATGGGTATCAGCTTGATGATTGGCCAAATCACAGCTATATACGGCTCACTGAGTACGTTTATTACTACATTATTCTCTCAAGGTACAAAGCTAACACATACAAATCGCTTACAGGCTCTGACGCCACCGCACACATGTCAGAAGAAGTCAAGGACGCTGGTTTCTACGTACCAATCGCCATTGCATGGGGGTACTTCGGCAACGGAATACTAGCCCTGATAATAATCGTTGGATTCCTTCTTGCTCTACCCTCAGTACCCGATGCCCTCAACGACAGCACCGGATTCCCCTTCCTATACGTCTTCCGCCAATTCCTCTCAACCTCCGGTGTGAACGGTCTCACGGCAATAATCTTGATTCCAGTTATCTTCAGTAACATCCTTTTCAATGCGTCAACTGCACGTCAGACATATGCGTTTGCACGGGATCGTGGTCTACCATTCGCAGACTGGATTTCTCGAGTTGACCCTCGCCGTCGAATCCCAGTACGAGCCATCGCAATCTCGTGCATGATCAGTGGCTTATTATCGCTGATTAACATCGGCTCGCAAGTTGCATTCAATGCGATCATCTCTCTCAACGTTGCTGCACTCATGTACACATACGCTGTTTCGATCAGCTGCGTGATTTACCGGAAGATTGCCTGCCCTGAAACCCTACCTCCTCGACGTTGGAGTCTTGGTAGTTTCGGTCTTGCAATAAATATTGCTGGGGTGCTTTACGTTCTTTTCGCACTCTTTTGGTCTTTCTGGCCTCCGAGTCCCTTGCCTTCGGCGCGAGATTTTAATTGGAGTGTGGTTATCTTTGTTGGTGTTTTTATCATCAGTCTTTTGATGTATCTGTTCCAGGGCAGAAGGCACTATGTTGGCCCTGTTGTGACGGTCCAACGGTAACTGGCATTGTGATCGGGATTGGCTTTCTTGTGGAGGTTACCTCCAGGGCTACATTGCTGAGCTATTACGAGGTCATGACTATGAAACGAATATAGGAATTTCGACTTGGCCCCTCAGAGATTGTGGAGTAGACTATTGACAAACAAATACCTAATTATGACCGCGATTCTGTAGGGTCGACCTAAGCGATAGATGATCACTGTGCAGTTCAAAAATTGTTGCCTAAGGTCATGTTTGTGGTCCGGTGGACTGGTGGCATATAAATTGGGGATAGGTTCGCTGAAATCTTCTTTCCTCTTCATACCCCCACCCTGAATCTCTGACTTCATTGCCTTCCATTAGTTGGTATACTTGACGTGATATCATAGCAAGTGTTGTGGTATTATCATTCAGGACAGTTGGATTCACGGTTTGATGGCAAGATGAGCACAGAATGTTTGTTCCCCAGCCCTTGTTTATATTACTTCAATCGTGATTGAAGTTGTCGCTTACACTGTGGCTGTATAGACCGGAAGTATAACCTGGATGACAAGGGGAATGTCAATATTGAAGATCTCCGGCTGAGCTCGAGCCTGTGCATTGCCATATCTAACCACGAACCTCGCCGAGACGTTGATTGGATAACACCCCAACCGTATCCGGCAAATCTCAAATCCAACGCAGAGGCTATCGCTGCACATGGTCAGTGTTGTGGAGATGTTCTTACACCAGCAAAGTCATGCGAATTTTGCAAGCGTGGTGGTGGGGTCTTTCGAAGTTGTGTGGTACTTTCTTATCATTTTACCTTCGCATATCTTCAGGGTCGTGGTTGTATGAACTGTTACTTTACAAACAGATCTCGTTGCAGGTGTTCGCTATGTAAGACGTCATATCTTTACCTGTATGCTTACTATTCTAATCACATTCCAGGGCTAGGGGCCAAATCTAACGCAACGGGATTCTGTGATCCCTCTACCCAACTCGAAGGTCAACCTGTGAGTTTTACATCCTTAATATAGGTCTCATGCCGGGGGTTTCCGCCGATGCTATAAGTAACATAAACGGGGGAAAATCACTAAAAAGATAAAAAAGTAGGTTGTTTCAAACAACAGATCCCTCAAATACCTGCAAGAAAATAAGCACAAGAGAGATATCGAGTATGATAGCACCTACTATCACTCACCTCTTGAGAGGTCCAAGATCAAAGGAAAAGGAAGTTTCTCGGAGAAGTGCCAGGCACTTGAGTCGATCCACTCCGTTTACGACCGCGTAGTGCATGATATCGATCGTCTTTTCACAACCCTCTCAGACGCAAATGGGCTGAAGTCAACTGAGGAAGCAGAGGAAAGTGAAGAAGATGTGGTCCGTGTTGGCTCTAATACGAATGTCGAACACAGGAACGAAAATTGCCCGGGGGGCTGTTGTCGAAGTTGAGGAAATTGAAACGAAGGATATGAAGATTGTCGAATCTACTAAACCCAAGAGGTCCCGTGTACGAAGGGGAAAAGGAAAAAGGGCCCTCGATGTTGAGGAGACGTGATTTTACACAGAGTCAGTACCTGTGGACGTTCGATGGTCCGTTGTTCTTGGGTTTGGTTCGTATAGTTTTGGCATTTTAACTATGTGGCTTCTGCAATCATGTTCATGTCTTTATAACAGTGTCGGGGAAATCCTTGCGTATGTTGTGATGGTTTGGTTACTTTCTATTGTGTGTGTCTGTCATCCATATGGGTGGCTTGAAAAACGAAAGAAAAACAACTTGTCTAGGATATTTCATTAATTTAGTAAAAGCACTTCAGAAAACCACACATTTTGTATAAATAGGCATCAGGAATTAGTTATCAATCTCCAATTAAAGGGGAGGTAGAACATACATCATCCCTCGACATATCGGCCTTAATTCCCATCCCCTATTACACTTGACAGGACTTACTTCAATACTCCAATTACTCCAATATTATATGTCATAATAGTGGCAGAGACAGGGCCTAACCACAACTTAGAAGACATCGACCTTGGCACCCCGCATCCGCTTTCCCTGGATCGCAATGACCTCGAGATATACCACCCAAAATGTATTGATAAGCGCTGTAGGCTTCAACTTGAAGTAGTAGATTCAATAGATTCCATAGTGGTGGCAATGCACACCATTTATTGCGCGCGATGTGGTATATTTAGTATCTTTTATTCCCACATAACATCTTGATATATCTCACATACATCAACATCAGCCGGCAATCTATGTAATACCATTGTTGCATCTCCCATGTAACCCTCATTCTATATTTTCCTCAGTCTTTCCCTTCCAGACCAACCACGCGCCAACAATCAATAATTTCATGATCGCTGCGGTCCACAGAGCTCCCATCATCCCCACATCGCTATGAGCCCAGAGACCCCCCAAGATCACGCCGAACAACAAGCACAAGACTGCACCAATGCGCTGTATTTCCTCAGCATGACCGACCACTTTTGTCGAGAGGAAATCAGGATGTGAAAATAAATCGCAATAAGTACTAGTAAGAACGAGACTGGTCAAGCCACCAAAGTTCAAAACACGGCTCGTCACCGCCTGCCCGCTACTCTGGAATGCGACGAGCGCAACCGGGACGAGGACCAACCAACTCAAGGGCGCACCGCGAACCGGCCGATAAATCGTAACAATCAAAGCAGCAAGACAGACACACAAGGTTTGAGCGAGGAACGAGGCACAGAGCACCCATCTCCGTCTCGCCGGGAAGACCCGATGGAAGGTAGCGAAGCACAGCGAGCCCAGACAAAACCCTCCAATAGAAACCCCGGATTTGATCCACCGACCGTCTTCGGTGCCAAGGAGACCCAGGCCGAAGTATACAGTGTTGCCGGTTTGCATGCTGACGAAAGAGCCCCATATGAGAACCGCGGAGCTGTCGAGGAGGCCGGTGATGACGTAACAGAATAGTAGGACCAGGTCGCCGTACGTGGGGTCGAGATCGCTGCGCAGGTGTTTAGATACTCGGGATAGCGCAGATGATTTAGAGCGTCTATGATTGCCCAAAAGGGTATCTGTTTCGCCAGACATTGAGGGTGAGGTGGTTGACAGATTGAAGTGGAGGGAAGTGGTTTGATGTTGTTTTTTTATGGGGCCTTCCGCGTCGATATCGATACCGGCAGAGAGTGGAACTTCGTCATCCCGGATTATCCGAATGCACTGCAATTTACTCAGTAAACCGTTGCTGTAAACAGCTGGAGAAGGGATAATGCGACCGGGATGTGCACAATGTCGTGACGTCGATGCGGAGAGCAACATATTCTCAGTTGAGAGACATCTACCTTATAGGAACTCATCCTCTTTTTCTCTGCGTAACTAGTTCGTTCTCAAGCTCACCATGCAGATTACACACCTTTTGTTAAACTTAGCATCTCTGCAGGCTGCATGGGCTATCCCAGCCCCAGATCATAGCCTGCAGAAGCTACTGCAAGTACCGGCTGGCCATCCCGCCGAATTGTTCGGTCAACAGCCTATTTCGCGAGACCCGCCTTTCTCACCGGGACATCGCGACCCATATGATCACAAGGTTGACTCCGTTGGTGAAGATCTACAGCCACTGCCGTTCCGAAATGGAGATGGTGCTACGGTGATGGGACCGCGGAATCGAGATCGCGAACGCCAGAACCCCGATCTTGTCCGTCCGCCGAGTACCGACCATGGTAATATGCCTAATATGCGATGGAGCTTTGCGGACTCACATATTCGGATCGAGGTATGACTATTATACCAGGTGAAGTTCATTATTAATCTAAACATGTGTGTATAGGAAGGCGGATGGACCCGACAAACGACTATCCGCGAGTTGCCTACAAGCCGTGAACTTGCGGGCGTGAACATGCGTCTGGATCGGGGGGTAATTCGCGAGCTGCATTGGCACACCGAAGCGGAATGGGCATATGTTCTTGCTGGAAAAGTCCGAGTCACTGCGCTGGACTTGGAAGGTGCTACTTTTATGGACGACTTGGAGGCAGGAGACCTATGGTATTTCCCCGCTGGACATCCACATTCGCTCCAAGGTCTGGGTGAAAACGGCACAGAGTTCCTTCTGATATTTGATGATGGCAACTTCTCCGAAGAGTCGACCTTCGTTTTGACTGATTGGTTGGGTATGTTAATATGTCTGTATTTCAATATGTGGTCTACAAATACTAACTCTATCTCCAGCTCACACTCCCAAAGCAGTTCTAGCAGAGAACTTCCGCATGTCTCCAAAACAATTCGACAACATCCCAACATCCGAGAAGTACATATTCCAAGGCTCAACACCGGGAAGCATTGACCAAGAAAAACCACGCACCTTCAAGAAGTCGAAGATCAATTTCACACATCGTATGCACGCCCAAGAACCACTGGAAACCAGCGGTGGTCGCGTGCGTATCACCGACTCCACGAACTTCCCGATTTCCAAAACAGTAGCAGCCGCCCATTTAGAGATTGCACCGGGCGCACTACGGGAGATGCACTGGCACCCCAACGCCGACGAGTGGACATATTTCAAGAAAGGCCGCGCGAGAGTTACGATCTTTGCCGCCGAAGGAAACGCTAGAACATTTAACTATATGGCCGGTGATGTCGGGATCGTGCCTCAAAATATGGGACATTTCGTTGAGAACTTGAGTGATGATGAACCGCTAGAGGTTTTAGAAATCTTCCGCGCGGATCGATTCCGGGATTTCTCTCTGTTTCAATGGCTTGGTAGCTCACCTCAGCGAATGATTGCTGAGAACGTATTCCCCGGCGACGCTAAGGCTGCAGCGGAATTTTTGAAAAAGATCGAAGATGCCGAGAAAGATCCTATTAGGGATACAAAGTCATTACCATTTACATAGCTTGAGAGCTGGATTTGTGTTTTTACAGATAAACGAGGAAATACGAGCTATTTGAATAAGTGGCAGCAAAGTGTGATAGTGAGGTTGCGGCCAGATGATACACATATTTTGCTCCATACTTGCTTTAAAATATACGAAATCTGACATTCTTTTCTGTATACCCTATTCATGCTATTAGGAGTACCCACTAAGAGCAATAGTAGGAAAATCAAGAATAATCGGCGGTGTATGTAGCCGTACCATATCATTTTATTCGTCGTTTAGCAGTCGCTGCAGCTGTATGTTTCAACGCAGCCACTCCAAGGGTAGAGGAGCTGACTGTAATTTATCCATAGTAGGCCTTGGATAGTCTGTCTAATCTAGATCGTCAGATAGCGACGACTTCCGCCTTTGCGGCCCTATCACATCTGCATGACACGTCATAAATCTCTCCTTGGCATCGTGAATATGTTCACCCGAATACCGAATAAGCCGAATATGTGATGTGACATGGTGGCGGACTTGGTGGATGCACATCACTCTTTGGCAAGGTTTGTTCAGAGATCATTCCCAGTTGACAGGGAAGGGATAGAACTAAGTCCGGCTTGATGTCCTTACTAAACAATACCAGCAACCCCAGTGTACAGAAATGAGCATTCAAACCACGTGTACGGCTTACTGTTGGCCCACTACATGAAGAGGGGAAACGAGGACCAATGCCAAATCTATTGAGGTGTATGAAACATCACGAACTATGAAGCGATCTAGTCTAGCTAAGGTTATCAGGTGGGGAGTGGGAAGCGGAACTGCTGCCGAGAACCTCCCCAGATCGAGTCTAATCTCTCTTCCATAAAACCTCAAGCTCGTCGAGCAAATTCAAGAATATTTTGCAGGGTGAACTCATTAGTCACTAACTTCTGTACGATTGCCAGAAAATGCTATTTAAATCAGATAACCAACAAGCAACACGAACTGCATATTCAGGGTTATATTGTATAGTATCCCTGAGGCTCAACGAGGGGGCCAATGCGGTCAATTTCACAATTTTTACCTGGGTTGAGTCTTAGAGCGCGCTGAATAGCGGTGAACCCCTTTCTGCATGGGCCCATGAACCAGAGTCCTATAATTACATGGTTGGGTTGGGGGGTCTGCACTGTTGATTGGCGGATGCTTTTGCCATACTTGCACGACATATCACACCGCGTCGGCTCCCCCTTCTTACACGTGGTGAACTAATTAGGCAAAGGTTCATTGCGTTCTGCGACCTTGTTCTCAAAGCTACATGTCAGGGCATTTTGCCCTGGTTGTGCTTAACCTCCTTCCTGGGGCTGTGTGTAGAGACGGCTTGTTAAGATATATCGACCGTAGTTTCAGCCACATATATGGTATTGGTCTGGATCTCAAAAATAAAATAAAATAAAAACAAAAGTGGGGGGGATGAAGGATATGATAACCAACTACACTGTAATAGGGCAACAACGCAAGGCTTGCGCCCAGTCGTAGGGGTGGACGAGTCAGTACAGTCATCAGCAGCAGTTTCTTTAGCGCTGAACGTAATCGACTCACTGGCCTGAGGCTGAAGCTAAACCCCATATGGAAAAATGGAGTGTATGCTGGGTGTCCAGCTGAACAAGGCTGCAGCGGTTCTCTCTCTCAAGTCTCTTCAGCTCAGAGGACGATTCAACCTTCGCCCAAATCAGACAAGCTAAGTAATAGCATACTCGTTATGGTCAGTCAGAGCTACCCGGTGCATGTATGGCTCTCACTCATATAACATAGCCTCTACGACAACTGTACCCCGACCCCGCAGCAGCGAAATCGACGCAAGTCGATACCGTCAAGGTCGAGTTAGTGTCACGCTCGATTAGCGCTGGCTTCTCTAACAATATTCAGCATCATTACAGTCCACGGCCTTAACCCTCGAAGCAAAAACGATGCCGATCACGCGTGGGATACTTGGCGTACGCCTTCCGGAAATTCTGGCCGCCTCTGGCTCCGCGACGACCTGCCCTCATCAGTGCCCGAATCGCGTATTTTTCTCTACGAATATGACGCGAGAGCGGTCTACGGAAAGGACAAGGGTACCTTTATCGATAAGGCAAACGAGCTGCTTGAGGCAATCCGATTGAAGCGAAAGGGCGCTGATTCCCGGCCGATCATTTTTCTTGGCCACAGTAATGGGCGGTCTCCTGATCAAGCAGGCGTTAATAAATGCGCACAACAACAAAAAGTACACATCGATTAAAGATGCAACAACAGGGTTGGCATTTTTTGCCACACCGCACCGCGGGGGCCACGACATGCTGCTTAGCCTCGGAGGGGTGGCAGCTAACATTGCTTTGTATGTCGGATTGAAGGAAGGAGACAACGTGATAGAGACCCTGAGGAAGGGGGGAATCTTCTCGGATATTATGCAGGAGCATTGGAGACACCAACTGGAAGAGTACAACATCATCTCCTTTTGGGGATCGCTGGACGAGGTAAGCTAAATTGGGTAGTATATGGGAATTTGCTTCTATACTAATGTAACTTTAGGTCGTTCCAAAAGAGAGCTCGCGAATTGGCCTGCCAGGAGACCGAGAGAACATCGTGAAACTGAAAGCAGACCATAGTAAGGTATGCAAGTTTGGCCAGAGCCAGACAGACCAGGACAACCTTAAGCTTGTACAAAGTAATATCGAGGATATCTATGAAGCCGCGCTCAAGAAATGTGAGTTGAACGCTGCTCCGTTTATCATGGGTCAAAAGGGGAAAGTTTCCGTCGACGACGATGAGCTGGAGTCTCGATTGGCCTACTTGAGGGCAAATAAGACTTAGGTTATCTAAGCACGAATACCACAGATACTTCTCTTATCTATGTCCTCCTAATTTCTTTGTACATAGCGCGCTAATATTGCATAGTAGAGCGGCAGCGGAAGCAAGATCGATCAATCCTTAGTTGGCTCACACAGGTCAATTATGCCCCACAGCAACGCGATTTGATCGGGCGCAGAGCAAAGGGGACAGGACAATGGCTTCTCAACTCGGCAAAATTCAAGTCATGGAGAGACGCTAAGAATCAGTCACTATTCTTTCCAGGCATCCCCGGTGCCGGCAAGACAATTCTCACATCCGTCGTGGTTGACCATCTCAATGAACTGTTTCAGAATAGACGTACTGGAATCGCATACATTTATTGCAACTTCAAACGTCAAAATGAACAGAAGTTGGAAGATCTCCTTGCAAATTTACTGAAGCAGTTGACTGAAGGCCAATTCTTTTTGCCGGATGATGTCAGGGATCTTTACGACAGGTTCAAGAACGAGAACACGCGGCCATCCATCGACCATCTCTCAAGAGCTCTCAAATCCGTAGCCATTTTGTATTCAAGGATCTTTATTGTCGTTGATGCGCTCGATGAATGCCAACTATCCGGTGGTACCCAAGAGACATTTCTCTCTGAGCTTATCAATCTGCAAGAAAGATGCAAAGCAAACCTTTTTGTGACCTCGCGGTTTGACCCCAATGTCACTACAAAGTTCGACCAGAATACATGGCAAGAAATTCAGGCAGATAAGGGAGATATAGAGAGATACCTGGAAAGCAACATGCAGAAATTAGCCGTTTTCTCGGACTGGACTGAAAAATTGAAAGAGGATGTCAAGACTGAAATTTCAGATGCCGTCGACGGGATGTGAGTTACCACGCGATAGCCAAGGGACGTAGCCGTGCTGACTACCTCCAGGTTCCTTCTAGCCCAGATATACCTCTGGTCGCTCGAGGGTAAGACTACAACAAGGGATGTTCGGAGCGCCTTGAAACGACTCCGGAGACAGATTCCAGGGTCTACCGAGGACCAGAAGCTGGAAGTTCTGAATCAGGCGTACAATGAGACAATGGATAGAATCAGCAAGCAGATACCTGCTCATTTCCAAGATCTTGCTAAGAAAACTCTGTCATGGATTACGTGCGCCAAAAGACCTCTAACTACCTCAGAACTTCAGCACGCTCTTTCCATAAAGGATGGTGATACCCAGCTTCACAGGGATGGCTTTGAGAAGATTGACAGAGTGATCTCAGTATGCATGGGCATGGTCACTGTCGACGAGGAGAGCAATATTATCCGGTTGGCCCACTATACTACACAGGAATATCTCGAGAAAGCACAGGACCTTTTGCTCCCGGACGCCGAGGTTGATATCACAAACACATGCCTTACCTACCTCTCATTTTCTGGTTTCCAGAACGCGCCCCGTAAGAAAATGACCGAACTCGAAGAAAGTGTACAGTCCAATGTGCTTTACGAATACGCCATATACAACTGGGTATACCATGCTCGGGAGGCTCCCGCTTCATCCTATCGAGTTGTGGACTATTTAAATGGACAAGCGCAAGCTGACGCCTCGATCCAAGAAGTCTACTTTGCAAACAATTGTTATGGTTGGGACTGCGAATTTAAGTTCTCAGGGGCAAGCAGACTACATATAGCGTCGGCTTTGGGATTGGAGCATGTTGTGGAATTCCTGCTTGATATGAATGAGGCAGCTCTGAAAGATGCTCGGGATCGAACGCCACATAGCTATACTGCCCGGAATCGGCACACGTCCTTCCGTACACAGTTACTTGCAAAAGTGGCTTCTCAAACGAAATTAGTGAGCCTGTTCAAGTCCAACCCCCTTGATCTGAAGGATAACACCGGGAGGACACCGCTTATCCACGCTGTGTATGCTGGGTGTACGCCTATTGTTACGGAGCTTCTGAGAAATTGTGCCAACACCAATCTGAAGGATACCAGAGAAAGAACAGCACTTAGCTATGCAGCAGAGATTGGAAATATAGCCATTGTGACAGAGCTTCTCGCGAATGGTGCGATGACTGACGTCAAGGACAAACTTGGTAACAGGCCACTTACCTATGCTGCGGAGAAAGGACACACAGCCATTGTGACGCAGCTTCTTGCGAAGGGTGCTATGATTGAGGTCAAGGATAAATTTGGTAGGAGACCACTTTCTCTCGCTGCAAAAAATGGACATACAGCCATTATGACAGAGCTTCTCGCGAATGGTGCGATGATTGAGGTCGAGAATAAATGGGGTAACAGACCACTTACTTTCGCTGCTGGTAATGGACATACAGCCATTGTTGCAGCGCTTCTCGCGAAGGGTGCTACTATTGACGTGAAAAATGACTATCTTCACACGCCACTCGACTATGCTTTAAAGCGGCACCATAACGCTGTCGTCCAACTTCTGCAAGCCGCGAAACGCTAGGTCACAATGTGAGAACATACAAAACAAGACCTTGTGAGACGACATTTTCCACTAGTCAGCATTAATGTCGAACACAAATTTTGCATTTGAAAACAGGTTATGGCGTTGTATGAGGTACGTATTTATTAAAACAAGGAGATATCTTTTTACATTGGTTTGTGAATTTTAACGGTGCTGGATAGTGTTTGCGACTACCACCCGTTCAGACAGCTGTACAAGTATGACAAGCCCGAGTCTGGCATTTCTATGATCACGGACCTCACCGGAAACAAATTACCACATATGAAAGCCGACATTCACCATGGCCTGTAGGGGGAGGATAGCACATTGTGCCGTGGAGAGCTATTGATTATCCTCCGCCTAATATCAGGCCAGCTGAGACTGGTCTGGTTACTTTACTACAATGTCGCGCCGGTAAGTCTTTGAACACCTCCCATTTGCAATTTGGGTTTTGCAGATTGTTGACCAGGTTTTCTATAGATTCTAATTGTGTCTTTTATGGGAAAGAATCCGCGGAGCCCTATTTCGAAGGTTAAAGCCGTGTTGTGCGCTCTTCTGAGCTTGATGACTTATCTGACCACACAACTACCTCGATGGGTTTCAAGGGCTTCGCGGAGTGGTATCTCGGTGGCCCAGCGGGAAACACGTTCTAGGCCATGGATCTTTTTTCTTTGGGCCGGGAAGGTATTGAATCGGGTAAAGATTGGTCTTGATTCATATTCAGTTAGGTTTTGATTCCGTTGGAGTTGGCTTCTTACGTTCTTGATGCGTGGGACGTATTAGGTTCTTGATGTCTTCAATAGGACAAGTTACAAATTTGTAAATATACCTTGCTCTTCCAGATTCATAGGCGACAATCTTCTTTATTCTGAACACCGCTCCACCATGCATATCTACTTGCTGGGGCAGTCAACTTGAATGGGAGAATGTTTTCGACGTTGAGTAGCAAGTCCTAGTGGAAGTTTCAAACAGATGGTCTATCTTCCACTTTTACATAATCTACTTTGACTAGAGTGGAAAAGAAACACAGGGTATCTACTATAGCTCCATGCCCTGGTCTACTGGCTTTTATGCCGTGCACCGCTTGATTGGGGGTACTGAGTAGACAGAGACAGTCATGGGGCATGGCCTACACTACTAGAACTAGGTAAACAGTAAGAATAAAAGTCTTCGATTGAAGTTCGTCGCAAATCTCAGAAGGAGGGTCCGAAAAACATATGGTGGACATTCTTCACCCATATCTCACTCCTTCTGTTACCCCCAAGCACCACGTGTAAGGGGTTTATTCAGAGTCTTCCTCATCTTGAACAAAGGCTTCCAGGATCCTCTTTCCTTCCTCAGCATCCTCGGTCTCCCAAGGCTTAAGCCCGAAGCTTTGCAAGAAGTATGTCCAGCCACCGTAGGATTTCACGATCGCTCGCTCGGCCGGAGTAAGAGGGGGCTCTGTTGTAGCTCTAGGTCAGGCACAGATAGCACTTTATCTTAGATGGGAGAAATTTGGAACAAACATACGAAGTGCATCAGAAGCCGGCATTTTGACGGTGGATGAGAGTGTTCACTTTGCTTGTAGAGTTGAAGCAGGAGTGTCTATTTCATGTGCAGATGTTAGCTATTGGCAACGACTTTCTCGAGGTATGTTAATAAAACTCACGATCAAATGACTTGCAGTGTTGAAGCGTGTGGGATGGGAAAAGGATGAAAAAGTCAGAAAGTGAGAGGTCAACAAACCAACATTGGGAAGGTGCCCGCAACACCGTATATCCCGCATATCATGGTATAGCCATAACAAGCTATTTGCAAACAAGTTTTAATCGTGTGCCATGTTTAATCAATTATGAAGTTTATTTTTCCATCACCTAGGTAGCATCGAGATCCATGAACACATCAAAACAGCTCCTGGTTTCAGGAATTCTCTTCTTATCGGCTTTTTCCTTTATATCAACGAGGTAGATCAACCTTGGAAGCCCCGAAATACCAGGGTCCGCGCATGGATAACACAATTCCCTTCTTCGATCGTTTCAGGCTCAAACCAGAAGCAAACAACAAGTAAGCAACATAGATAGGATCATCCCAACAAGAACAATAGCACAAAATAGACGCTGCAGGGGTATCAATATACCAGGTATATTATTGTAGAAGACTACAGGATAGAGAGGACCATCTTGTGTATATCAGGGAATATCTGTGTTGTCTCTAATTGTGATATGACCGTCTTTAGAAGTTTGTGAAGATATAAGGCCCCACAGGGCTTTTCCTGCGACGGAACCAAATTTAAATGAAGAGCTTTCAAATATATACCTCGCACTATTAGAAAGTTCCTAAAGAGTTGGGTTAAGGATTTTGGACATCAATAATTCTCAAAGGCACCCGCTGTAGGGACTAGAAGTGGATAATGGTGTTGTTCGCCTGGCGGACAAATCGGAGGAAGCCATGCAAGTCATTGTTCTTTGTCGCATCGACAAAAAAACCCGCGGGTTTCCCGTGGAGTGAGGAAACGTGTGCATTCAAGCCACCATGGTACTTCCTGCCAGACCAAACGTGAGTGAAAGTTTGATTATTGCGGGGAAGTAGACATTCACGCTCGTGCAACCAGGGTCCAGCACCGGTGCAACGTAAAAATAAGAGTCCAGGTAGAAGCTCTGGTAGCTGATTGCCTTGCCGACCTCATCATCTGGGTGGTAGAGGACTGGCATACGGAGCAAGGGCCAGCCTAGGTTGTTGCTTTCGGTTTCCAAGATGCGACGGCGGGACTTGGCAAGACTGTCAAACATGCGGACATGGTAACCGAGCCAAGAGTATGTGGTAGAGTTGCTGTAGAACTGGGCATTGACCTAGGGGACGTTTCCCTCGTGGGTACGGAAGACTACACTAGATACGGCGGCAAGTTCGCCCCAGCGACCGAGTAATTTAGAAGAGCGAATGAGACTATGAACGTAGTATGGATTATTCATGTTGCAAAGTTCCAGCTAATAAACCTACGATTCTCCGTACTATGGTCTGCACAGTCCCGAGATGACATGTGCGGATATGTCTGTCCCACTTAGTGCAATGGCATGAATTGTTATCTGTGAGCAGTTTGTAGCTTCAGGCCAATTAATATGATGTCGTGCAGGTTTCTAATGATGATCAGCGTATTTCATAACCTGAGTTGGGCGTGGCAAAAGCTCACAGAGAAATAGGATTCACAGCCGATAGCCCGTCGGCTCATCGCGTATCACCCCTGCGGCAACGGACATTGCCCTCTTCAACACAAAACCCCCAGGATGAGGTCAGATCTGTGGATAAGATTAGCTTAGCTCGCCGGGATATCAAATCAATACTTACGTTGTATCTGCATACTGCGATATATCTGGGTCGATATAGGTCCTCCTGCAGAAAACGGGTCGGCCCCGGGATACCCGGTCTCGAGGGGGAGTGGGACTGACTCCACACAGGTTTCCTGAGTTCACATCTGACGGAAATCACCGGTATTGCAATGTATGGTTCAAAATGACAGATATGTATGACTCTAACTGACTAAAAATGACAAATTCCACTATTTTGACAATCTGCTTGGGCATAGTTGACTAAGCTCACTATGCATTTTGTATGGGGCCCACTATCACAGCGGTCCATGTATTTTCCGAAGTGTTGAATACTCGGTTTCCCAGTCATGTATTGTAACATAGCTTTCGACAACATCTTTAAAGCTAAAATGATATATGTTGTAGGCTGACATTGCCTTGAAAGAATAATAATATAAATGTATGGACTAGTTGGCTAACATGCTGATGATTGTGCCACTTAGGTCACCTGGTTATATATATTAGGCATTCCTCTTAGGTACCCTGACAAGCCGATGTGCCAGAGCACCATCATCCAATTTGAGAACTGTTTGCTCCCACTTGAAGCCTTGGACTCTAGGAAGAAGCTTAATCCAGACATAATAGTACACTCCACACAGCCCGATACTATATTGATGGATCAGTGATATATCCCAACAAGGATGAGTTGGGACAGCAATAACTTACATTCCAAGAGCAACCGCGCAATATGTTGCATACCAGAAGCTTACATCGCCTCCATTGGCTCCAGTACTGGGCGGATACCACGGCATCACGACCATGTACAGGTTAGAGAGAATTGCAAATGCCACTGTAACGTGCCAGGCCTTGTAGTCCGGAGGTGGGAGATTCAGGCGCGCACGGCGAATTCGTGTGACCACCAAACCTATGGTAAGTACCGAGCCAAAGAAGCTTGATGCGTATACTCCGAGATCCACCACTATGTCCCAGAATTAGCAAATGGCCTTTCTGGTTCCCGCGTAGTGATAAAACGGAAGGTCAGGGCAGAGACAAGGACGTACCGAAACTGAATGCATCACCAGCAGGTGGGGCCAGTATCATTATGACGGTTAAACTCCATTTCACCAAGTACGGACCAAGCGGTGTTCCAAACGGTCTCGTCGAAGTCCAGAATGAGGTGAACGGCAAAACACCTTGTCTATACATACACAAAGAACAGGTTAGGATGGCTTCCAAAGCATACACAATTTTTCATCACTAACCTTCCACACTCTCTGAGCATGCGAGACTGTCCAATAAGCACAGCAAGGAGATTTCCGAAAGCGCTTACGCAGATAAGGAAATTCAATGCCTTGGCCGCACCACCATCTCCAAATACCTTCTCGAAAAAGACACCAGCCGCAACGACTTTCGACTTGAGAATTTCCTCCTTGCTCGCAGCGCTGAAATATGCAATGTTTGCCAAAATATATAGAACTGCTGTCACACCCAAGGAGAGCGGAGCACTCCACTTCAAGGTTTTGGTAGGATTCTAACGCAAATTAGCGTGTGACTCCTCATGATCATGTGGGGTACATACCCGGACTTCATTGACAACATTGAATGCATTCTCATAACCCGCAAAAGAGAACCAGACCTTGGTCAATGCGTTTGTTGCTCCGTAGGCTGTGGCTCCGCTAGTACCATCAAAGGCATTTCTAAAGTTTGCTTTAGGGTCTTTCACGGAAGTATGACCGCCGAGAACTACCAAGCCAGTAATCCCGATGCTAAATTCAAGTTAGCTTTTCCGACTGAACATCTAAATCCCGGAAAGGCATTGCTAGTTAGTACTTACAATATCAATGTCACTAGCTTGATCAGCCCAATGGCATTTGCAAGTCTCAAAGACCACCTGGTATGAAACGCCAAAGCTGCGGCCAGATTGTCAGCAACATACCACACAACTAGCATAACTACCACTCACCGAGTACTGCAACAGTATAGCAAGCCACAGCAACTCCCTTCAATTTCCATGGAGTGACCTCGGAATCTGCAAGTTTGAAGAGATACTGGGCCAGGACTAGATAAAATCAGTACTTGTCACTTCGCCATACACCAGCCAGTTAAACATACCAACAGCATTGCTACTGCTAAACGAGAAAAGCACCGTCTGCATTGCAAATACAGTAGGGAAGAAGTATTTGGGCCGGGGATAAGATTGTTCCAAGTAGACAACCTCGGAACCGGACCGACTAGGGAAAGACGATGCAAACTCCATGTAGACCGATAGAGAGCTTGATGCCATAAAATACCCAATGACCCAATATATCAACGCGAGACCAACCGAGCCGGCACCTTTGAGAACAGTCGATGCTATTGTGTGTAAGCATATCCTCAAGTCATCCAGAGGCTGTTGAGTTGTACGTACGTGTCGAAAACACTCCAGTCCCGATCATCTTGCTCAAATTCAAGAAAACCACAGTAACCCAACCGACCGAATACCCCAACGGGGAATTAACCTCGACGGGCGCTCCCGATGCCTCCTGGTATGTGGCCTTGGAGGTGTTCCCGCCGATTTCGGTGGTATATTTCAGGCTATCATTATCGCTGCTGTCATATTGGGGGAGCTGCTCAGTATGTTCCCGTACAGGAGAGGGAAGACCCATTTTGGGAGGCGAGAAGGAGGTTGAGGGGAATGGGATTGTTCGTGAAACACATGGCTAGGCATTTCGTGTACATATACTATTGTTCAACTCGGGCCCCCTGTGATAACTGGGGCGCGGTCAGGGGTGCGGCAGGCATCATCTGTTCGAAAACTATAATAATGCGATAAGACGGAATGACCGACAGGAATCCTGATCCTTGTGGCGTTTATGTTAAATTCTAGCTTCGGTAAGTCTTGCCCTGATGCGCGGTCTAATCCTTCTTAGGCATCGTGCATGGTAGCTTACAGCGGATATGGTTATGTTCTATCGCTAGGTTGCAATGAGAAAGTGGAGGAATAATTTACAGCCAGTCAGAAGACCAGTTAAAACATCAGTGGAGTTGAACTTTATCAATGGCCAAGGAATTGTGTGTTCATTGCGAGACGGGATGCACTATGGCGCAATACTTTGCAACAGATCATGAGAATGAGGTGATGCAAAATCAATGAGGGGTTGGGGAAATGATTGTCAGCTCCAATTACACATTTAAATAACACACAAAGCGATATGGGTATGCTGAAGGATCAAGCTAGTAGGGAATATATGGTGATTGACAAATCTGAATGGAGCAGCAAGCCGATGGATGAACGTAGGAAATCGACCTTGGCAAAAGCACGACACCGAGATTCCCGTCCAAAATCTTTTGGATCTTGAAGCGACCTCTTAAGTGGTTCAACCGCACGATATTCACCTCCAGTTTGCCTCTTCAATCCTGATTTCTTGGGTCTTTTTGAACGTGCTACTGGTATCAAGTTGCCCACAGAGGGCTACTTCCCCACGAAGTGGGTGTAGCACTCATCTTAAACTCGATTCTCGCCGCATTCACAAGCTGACTATGCTTTAAAATTGGGGCGTTGATAGGCTTCCCATCGACCTTTAAACCATCAATATACGGCTTCGTGGGTGCCCCCGGAGCGCTAATCTCAAGCCTCCTCTCTCTGCCATTGGATTCTCCGCCACTGCTCGCTCCACTAGGGAGGAGGATTGAGACCTCCTCAAAGAATGGCGTGCCGACAATATACTCATCACTGGCTGAGTTGACGGGATAGAATCCCAACGCCGAGAACACATACCAAGCACTCATCTGACCCAAGTCTTCATTTCCACCCAGTCCCCCACTGGTTGTATTGTAGTTGGCCCAAGCAATGTCTCTGATTACCTCGGCTGCTTGGCTGGGATAACCGAGAGCAGAATACAAATAGGGCACATGGTGACTTGGTTCGTTGGTGTGGTCATTGTGACCGCCCCGGAAATGCGCATCCAACTTGTCCCGGAAGGCTTTACGGCCACCAAAAAGGCCGGCAAGTCCTTCCACATCGTGCATCACATCAAAGGTGTAGACCCAATCATCGCCTTCGGTCCATCCAAAGGCGTTATTAGCCCAAGTCCCATTCGCGTTGCGCGCTTGCATAAATTGAGTCTCGTTGTTCCAGAGATAAGCGTAGTTCCTGCTTCGCTTCTTGAGGGCTTGCACAGTGGCGTTGTCTTCTCCCACATGGGCAGCAACAACCGAACATGCGTAATCATTAAATGCGTAGTCCAATGTGCGACTGCCGGCCTCGGACCAGCCATCATTGGACACCCAGCCGTGCTTCATATACGATGTGAGTCCAGCACGGGCCTCATATGAGGTGCCGGGCTCACGATCATAGTACAGGGTATCAGTGTCGTGGTCAGGTGGAGTATATGCATTTTTCTTGACAGCCTTCCAAGCCTTTCCAATATCGAAGCCACTGAATCCGCGCTCTAAAGCGTTGGCAAGGACGACGTCTACATTGGTCGCGATCATAATATTGGTCTCCACCAAGTTGGCCCACATCGGCAGCCAGCCGGTCCAATCAAAGATCCGTAGCAAGGAGCGCATCATGCTGTTGACACGCTCCGGTGCGAACAGAGTCAAGAGAGAGTGCTCGGCTCTATATGTATCCCAGATTGACCAGGACTGGTAGTATGAGTCGTTCTCGGTGTGAATACTATCGGTATAGCCTGAGTAGAAGACACGCGGAGCCCCATCCTGGTTTGATGTTGGTTCGGAAAAGTCGCTTGGATACTGAAGGGCATGGAACAGGCCGGTATACCAGATAGTGCGGGGGTCATTATCCGGATTGGTCTTGTTGATGCCCTTGATTGATACCCTACCCAACTTCCCAAGCCAGGCTGACTTTAATTTTTCAACAGTATCCTCAAAGGTATGCTCATCTGGGGTCTGAATGTCAAGGTTATTCCTTGCCTGTCCGACGTTGATATACGAAACACCAGTACGCACTTCGACGCGGGATGTCGAGTTAGCAAATTTCACATATGCACCAGTGAGATTCCCTTCCCGCTGAACCTCATTATTTATAACTGAGCCTCCATTTGTCACACCAAATTCAGTAAACGGCTCTGAAAAGCGAGATACGAAATATCCTTTGAACGACGATGCTTTGTCCGGTCCAAGGAGGTAATCCTGACGCTCAGTGTTGTAGCCGTAGACCTCCTGACTATTCGCATCAATATGAACTTCGCCTGTCCAGTTCATACGCGAAGCTTGGATAAACACCCATGGCTCACCCTCACCATCCACATTAGTAGAGCTGTGTTGGAAGTCAAATCGGAGATGTCCCACATGAGAATCTGCAGACATCGCAACCTGGAAACCATCAGAAGGGATTCATGACGACCGCAAAAAGGGAACAAATACCTGGATTGACCGCTCATACTCATCACTATCTGTATTACCCAGCACAGACTCAATCTGCCTTTTCCGCGTCCGCCCATTAGTACCCTCCTTCACCTCATCCGGGACAGAGCCCACACCACCAGGAACTGGCCCATCACCCACAGCCTCAGCCGTCGCATTCCAGTTACGGTCCAAGAGCTGCGCAGCATCAACAAGCACTTCATAGACGTACGGAGTACTCCTTTCGTCCTTCTTCCGGAACTGCAATCCCCTATTTTGAAACAGCGGCTGCACTTCGCCAATTCCTGGGGTCACCACAATCTGGCCAGCTTCGCCCATCCAGATAGCCGGCTGATGCGTGGCTTGAAACCCATGAATGAGACGGTCGCTGTCGCCGTAGGGCACTTGCGAGATGAAGTTCTCGCGAGTCTGCGGTGTCCAGCGGGTCATACCGAAGGGGGGGCTGACGGAGGGGATCATGCCCCCGTTGCCATCTGGTGTTACTCCGTAGGTACCGATGAGGGGATTGACAAATTTGAGGACACCGGTATCGCTGTGGTAGTTTGTGTCGGTCCTCGTCTCCGTAGTTGGCTGGGAGTATGTACTGCTTGCAATTTCTGCTAGGAAGATGGGGAGCACGCCGATCATGTTGATGGTGAAGCATTGATAGAAGACAAGCTCTCCCCACATTACATGGATTCCACTCCGCAGATCCGAGCCCCGGGAGTTGACTCAGCTATTTCGCAACGGTGAAGTTGATGATCCCAATTCCCTAAATGCGGGGTTCACAGGAATGTAGTAGCGACATTCCTCGTCGAATACTTTTTTATTTCTCGAAAGGGCCAACCAGTTTTTACATAATTGTGTCCCCTGGTTATTCATAAAAAAAATCATTTGTATTGTCGACACCTTCTAGCGCTTTCCTCATGGCACATATTAGAGTACTCCATTAGATCGTTTTGGAGGGGTACGACATTGTGAAGGTATTTAATAATACGTAAAAGAAACTCTAAGAGTAATCCAAAGTGTTCGTACATATAAGGTCCCTTGTAGCATCCTAAGCCAGATAATTCAGATAAACTTCTATGCCATCACCCGGGCAACCTTAGACAGTGGGGCGCGGGTGCTGCATAACCCTCCGCAATAGGGAAAAAATAGTATATACAGTCAGAAAAGCTTCACACTATCTAGAATACAATAAACGTAGAAATTTGTATGGTGGCAATAGATTGAACGCCTAGAATCGATAACGTATATAGATATAGAGATGTGTATAGTGGATATGGCTTTATCATTTGTTCAAACGCTGAACTTAGGTATTGTATTGATTTAGATCCTGCCAAAGTAGTTCGGGTATCTTGGTTTCCTTACATTCTACAATAGGGCATAGTCCAGGCATCTACCTAAGAAATCAGACATCTGACCCCCGGCCGCTATACATCTTCGTGCCGCTATATCCGCATCATTACAGCGCACGTATCCACGGTGGGCAGAAAGCAATGTGGGATCACCGGCAATTTCATTCGAATGGTACTCACCTGACTTCTGGGCACGTTCAAACCATACACTAGTAGTCCTACATGTATTTACATACATGGTATCGGAATCATTTGTATATGCTTGCCTTACGTATCTCGTTTGTTGCTTGTCACGGTATTTCAATATGTCTTCCTATCCTCCTCTCAACTGATTGGCTAGGTGATCTAACTTGGGGAGTCAGTATTTCGTCATCCAGCACAGTTGATCTACACCAACTGTGCTCTTCTTCGTCGTGTAACTAGAATATATGGCACGGGTCAAAGTCGTGGCGTTTGAGGCAAACATATAGTATCATCAATTCTTCCGCACAGGTGAATCCTTCACCATTTCGGAACGCTTATTGGATTCCCAGTTTCCACGTCAAGTATGATAATCATGAAAATCTCGCACAAGTGCTACAAGTGCAAGCTTCATTGCATATGATCTAGTGCTTTACAGAATGAAGCGCGGCGATCTACACCACGCCTCAACTGAAAACCTCTCGATTGGAGAATCTTCAGCGGTGCGAGGCCGGATGAATACCCCTCATAGAAAACTAAATTTCGCGGCCCAACAGATATAAGGTATAATATGCGTATAACTTTATGAGTGCCAGTATATCCTGGAATATAAATATCTCAACGCTGTCCATTCTAATCCACCATTCTATCCAGATCAACTCCGAAGACAGAAAAGCCAACTTCAAGCTCTATCGTCAAATCGTTTACTATTATCCCATCCAACCATCATGTCAGCTGCGTCCGAGGCTCCCGAGATCAAAGTTCGTAACAGCAAGTATACTCCCAAGAGCGAGTTTCAGGTTTCAACTAGCGATGCTCCGCTGAACGCTCCCAATGAAAATAGCGAGCACGTTATTATCATAGGCGGCGGTGTCAGCGGATTGCTAGTCGCATGGATGCTTCTTGATAAGGGCTTCCGGGTGACCATTCTTGCCAAAGAGTGGGCGCGCACCGGGGACTTCAGTGAGCCCCGCCTCACTTCTCAGATTGCTGCAGCTTTGTGGGAGATGCCCCCTGGGGGGTGTGGCTTAACTGAAATTGAATCTCCCGGCAAGGGTTGGGCTACCGTGGACCATTATCGAGAGTGGGCTATGCAAAGCTACAACTTCTACACAGATTATGTGAAAATTCCAAACGAACACGAGAGAGGTGGACACTCGTTTGGTCTTTCCATCGCTAAACTTCATCAATTTTTCTACGAGGACGTTATCTCTGAATGCACCGACAAAACTTCGCCAACATATGAACACCACGCCAAGTACCTTGATGTCAACAAGAGGATTAAAGGAACTGCGGCGTATACTGACAAAACTGCAATCGCGAATAAGTTCAATTCGTCACTGATCAACCTAGAGTACGGTGGGGGAAAGTTCAAAACTGGTTATACTCACGATGCTCCTATCTTGAATACCGACAAATCTTTGGCCTACCTCATGGCACTTGTCCAGCAAAAGGGAGCAACACTAGAGACACGAGCGGTGAAAGATCTTCGGGAATCTGGCCAGCAGTTGTTGACAGACTACAAAGCGGATGTCATTGTCAATGCCACAGGCCTCGGTGCAAAAGACCTACTCAACGATCAGGATGTTTACCCCGTTCGTGGTGCCATTCGTCGCATCGACAACGTCCACCATAGCCAGTTCCGCCATCTGAATGATGCCTACCTTGTTCCTGCACAGATTGCACCCGATGGTCTACCTTCCAAGACCGTGTTCATTGTGCCTCGGAACGATGATATCCTCTACGTTGGTTCCATCATCCAGCCACACAACGACACGATGAACCTGACTCCTGAATCTCCCGAGGTGCTGCAGATGTGGGATCGAGCGGGAGACTTCATGCCCAGTCTGCTACACGCTGGCCTTGTGAACCACTTCCCTTTTGGCCAGGGTTTGCGGCCATTTACCAAGAAAAACGTCAAGGTCAGAGCCGATGAGGAATGTGCATTTCCTCTGGTCCATAACTATGGGCATGGCGGGTCTGGATGGACATTAGGTGTTGGAACCGCCCATAGCGCGGTCTTTATTGTCGACAAGATTTTTAGTGATAGAATTGACCTGATTGAGGCGGTTGAGTCGTTGAGGTTGAAACAGACAGAGACAAAGGACCTCATCGAAATAATAAACAGCAACGGAGACTTGAACCAAAGTCATCAACAAATTCTCTCGCAGGCTGTTGTTGAATTGCCTTCAGCGCACCCTTTCAAAAACCGGGGTTTGGAGTTGATAGAGGCATTGGACCATGCCCCGAAATTGAGCGTTGCGTCGGCGAAAGTTACCAACAAGTTTATATATGGAAGCGCTTAGGGTCAATAGGAACATTGTCTTGGTAAATAGTGTTGAGATGGATTTATTCCAGCCTATGTCCATGCAGAAGGACCCAAGAGCCAATTGAAAACCTACTCAATTATGCATTTCTATACGCCTTTTTTGTGTAACCACACTCACAAATTCTGATAATGTAACAACAGTCTGGAGTCGCTCAACATCAATCGCCTACAAAGTCGTTATTACCTTAGGGCTAGCCAAATATGGAGCTCGCGTAGTATGGAGCTCCTGTGGGTGGGCTCCAAAATAAACGAATCGAGGGACAAGAGTACACTTGGCCGCCCACTCCCCAGAAAGCTTTGCTGTGTTCTCATCTTATCTTGGAACTTGGATGTAATTGAACTTAGTGCCACTACCTAAAATTACATCCCAGGCTTCCATAATAATAATTTTTACTCGTAATGCAGATTTAGCGCACCATTTCTTATGATTATTAGCTGAATCGGGGATTTTTTTGGCTTTCGGGCGGGCCGTCCCGTGAGTGGCTGGCTGATTGATAACTGTCGAACTAGGAATATGGCCCCTAGGCCTTAAGACAGGAACCTTGATTTTTGTTATGGTCTAGTGGTAAAATGGCTATGTTTTTCCCACAATAACCAAGGTTACAATAGAGTGCTTGTGGACCTCGGGATGCGCCTCGCCCCCGTTCCATTTGCATATTCAATGCGCACATAGTCACTTTTACCAAACATCTCGATCGATACGGATGACGTGATTTGGATCATTACGCAAGAACCAAGGCTCAACAATAACTTTTGAGGGATGAAGCATGATCACATATGCGAGGCTAACCGTGCCAAGCACCCAAAACATGTACCGAATATAGCCGGGGCAGGTGGCCCTCGGGGGCGCCCCGGGGGTGCTTTGGGCTTGGCATAGTTAGCTTGGAAGAATTTTCGGATTAAACGCTATGTCGGAGAATATGGTGGAGAATAGCTGTTGAAAGGTTTCTCTCCCCACAGTTGACTTGTTTCTCTGGAATTCATAATCCGAATACGCTAAACAGTGTTGATTAGTGGTATATGGTAGTAGGAATATTGCGATTTGTCAACTCAGTCCCTCAAAATTTATATATCCTAGTCTATCAAAGAAAACATGGATTCTTGAGCATAGTAGACAACTTTCATTCTATTCAAAGGCGCTACATATTCAAAGAAATTAGATGCTAGAAATTTCAAAGAGTAATGACAAAGGTAAAATCGTAGCTTTGGTACACAAAGGCTGAAAGAGAGAACACTTGCTGTATGAACATTAACGAAATCAAGCCATATGCAATGTGTTGAACAACCTATTACCGGTATCGGTGGTCCCCCTGCCGGTGAATTGGTTGTCAGAAAGACGCAGAGCGACGAAAGACAGTCCGTTAAATCGACCGAGTGCCCGAGCAATCCTAGTTGCGGAAACAGTCTGTGAGTGGATCACGCCAGCGACTACTACAATTCTAATGGTAGAATGGAGAGTCCGGATATGTTGCACGAACTGCAATATCGACTTCCCACTATTCACCACTGAGTCGACCAGTATGATTGTGACCATATTCTTCAGGTGGTCATCTTGAAGGTCACTGGGAATCTTGGCATGATAGAACATAGCCAGCGGAAACGCATCGTTGACCCCGAAGGCCATTGGCTCGCCCCTTCGCATCAACGGCACAATCAATGTTGACTTCTCATTTAGGAGCCCATAGCCGTCAGTCTGATGACCTTGAACATGCGGAATTGGGTTGGATTCGATGCCAATGATTTGCGTACAAAATTCTGTTGCCAAATAAAAACCAACTCGCCGATGAACTTCTCGTAACGCAGGTCCAGAGATGGAGGCATCGCGCATTGGTGTCATAAGCAATTTGGCCGCCGGCCGTTGAGTAGCGTGAAGAACATGGAGACTTTGGCGTCTGGCAAGGACTGACTCTATGAAACTTTGAGCTGTTAACTGTACCAGAGGCAGCCGAGTGGTGTCCAGGCGTGGTGGTGCATGTGGAGGGAGGACTGCCTGGCGTGGCATGAAACCCGTTCTTCCCAATAGCCTCTACCAACTTCCTTTGCATACTATTGCTCCGTGTCATTTCTTCCCCGGTGACGACAATAGCCTGATCTGCCGCTTGGAGCATTTCCAAATCGAGCGGACTGTCCCCAAATGCAAATACATAGAGGTTTCGAACCGTAGACAAGTAAGTGACCAATTCAGCCTTGACTAAGGGCGTCACAACAAGACCGTCACGTAGACGGCCACCGCCAATCACTTTGACTGTCGAGGAAAGACCTTCCCTTCCAAGTACCCTCTCCCAAACAGATCGAATCCCACAGGTAACCACGACTACGCGCACATGTCTCGTGTCGCGAACCAAGTGCAAGAGATTCAAAATATCACTGTGGATGTGAATCATCAGCGACACAAGCTGGCAGCAATCCTCAAGTCGCTCATCCCCAAGAACGTGTTCATACAGCAGTGTTGCCTGGCGGAAGGCAGTGTATTAATACCCCAGGGGACTGCTGAACAAAGCTTTCAAGGGGCCGCTCTTCTCGTGCTTAGATGATGCAGCGTGGACCTGCTCCCAGAAGAGCACTCCACTATCTTCCTCGGCCAGCGTTTTGTCTGCGTCCATCACTATGACAGTTTCTACCGCGAGGCAGGATGAGAGTATGTCCTCCATTCTTTGCTTGGCGAGAAACATGTTGTGCGTCTCTGTATGACACCGGAAGTCCTGAATAAGGGATTCTAGCTTGGTCGTAGATGCTAGGGGCGAAACTAGTACGAAAAGGATATCATGGCATCTGCAAAGATCACGAAGTTGGCTTTGCTCGATTTCCTGCCACTTCGTCAGATGGGAGATCAATACACTTGGGCGGCTCCATTTGGTGTCATTCAAACGGTACTCCACGATGCGTTCAGCGGGGACATTCAAATATAAGATATGCGTGTATGTAGCCAGATCGCCTGGTGTACAAACCGATTGGCCATCCTTATCTTGCTCAGCCAAGAACATGAAGTGTCCAGCCACAATAGCACTTTTCCCGGTATTGCAACAATCTTGCTTGATTCTGGCTATGGCGAGCTCGCGGAGCTCGCTTTTAGCCTCTTTTATCAAATTCTGGAACCCTTCAAGGCCCCCAGGAGTGACTGCTGCAATAATGTCACTGCCATCATAGTACTCAAAGTTGTCGTTGCCGAGTACCATCTTGAGCTCACCCAACCGTGAAGTCTTACCAGACCCAGGGAGGCCATACAGACTAATGACGACTGGCTTCAAACTACCGGTAAGCTCAACTTGAGTGGATGGCATTCTTCCATAGGTTTTCATCTTGAATATCGAAGATGTGGAGGTGAGCAGGAAAAGGAGTAGACTGAAGTTGATCTCCAAGAGGAAAAGGCGTGATAGTTGAGAGAAAGGTCGGTATAGACTTTCCATATTCAATGATTCTTGATAATGCAGACTTTAGGTGAAGTGAATGCACTGGTGAGCCTGATAGCGAGAGGCAAACGAAACGAACAAGGTAAATCAACTTGCGGAGTATGTCACATAATTCAAGCAACAAACACGCAACCAGACCATGTACCATCCCGGGATCACTACTTTTTATTCAAGGAAACAGTGGCCAGATGCGCCTCAGCTGACCGCTAACTCGCTGAAAGGTCTTCTCATCAATCATGTGGCGGGAAGCGACTTCAGTGAGTTTGTGATCTTTGCCTGGGTTCACTACCTCATGTACCAGGTTCCAGTGCCGGGCATTACATAAAAGGGCAGCCACTTTGAAAAATGACCATCGCGATGTGTACTTTGCCAGCATGTACATATATATCGGGCTGGAGTGGAAGCCGGACAAACAAGAAGGATTCCGCGTTGGAAACCCATCGTATTGGGCCCGGGTGATCGAGAAAAGAACATCTGAAGTCTCACTAAGCTTTTGCCAACCTGTCTCTGCAAGTCGACGCTCGCGTAGTTCCTCTCGAAGTCGGTCTCGATGCCATGAGAGGTGCGATTGCCGTTGAAGACTTAGCATCTTGAACCACCATCTTAATGTTGTACGCCCCAGAGAACTCATTTTGTCCTCTGATTTCATGGGGGGGCTGAATTGTCAAGTAGTACCAGCGGTTGAAATTGGATGGTTAGTCAAAGGATGAAGAGCAGCTAAGGAAGCAAGGTGTGTTTGTTGACATTAAACTGATCAAACGCAGCCCCCTCACAACTCCACTATATATATCTCAACGGTTGGCAGGTGTGACCCTCCCACGTTACATTTTCAGTTATATTTTCATGTTATATGAGAACCACATGTCGTATGAGATTCGGCATTAGCAAATTTCATGCAAATCATAGCATTGACATTCTGATAGATGGTATGTTGTAGATAAAAAGAGTATGAAAACCCTTCAGCCTAAAAGGCCAAGCCACTAAAAATAGCCACGGCAGATCAGCCACATGCGCCACAAGAATAACAAGTGGCATGCGCGTCCCTATAGGGACGCGTGGATGATCCCTTAGACTCTTAAGAGTTTAAATAATCTCCACTTGCACTTCCTCGGTCATTTTGCATATCTGCATTTTTCCACATCTCGATTTTCCGTCGATTTTCCGCCCCTGTTTATCCCACACTATGCCAGCCCTATATGCAGCGCTAGCTCAAAGCGCGGTGGAAACGGCCCCGCACCAACTGGCCCGGCGTGGCTTGACTGTCAACCACACCCAAGCCGTCACCTTGGGGGTGATGGCAGCGTATGTAGTAGTCATCGCACTACTATGGAACTTACCATATGTCCGCTGGGTATTATGGCCCTTTAAAGTAAATACTCCCATCCCTGTATTGACCGACTGTGACTAACTCCTTCCATAGATGCTGGTGATTGCCTTCCATGAATTCGGCCATGCTATTACTGCCTGCTGTACCGGCGGAAAAGTCAAATCTATCTCGCTAGATCCGCATGAGGGTGGTGTCACTCATATGCAGGGTGGTATGAGTGCCATCACCCTGCCTGCTGGGTACCTGGGGTCATCGATCATCGGCGCTCTATTGATCTTCGCTGGCTTTAATATTGTCGCCAGCAAGGTTGCCAGTATTATCCTCGGCGTCTGCTTTCTACTTACCCTTTGGTGGGCACGGAGAGACTGGTTGACTATTGTGACTGTTCTTCTTGCGGTCGGGTTATTGGTGGGATGCTGGTTCATTGCCCATGGTGAAGCCTTGCGCTGGGTCGTGGTATGTCTAATATTTTCATTCATACTGTTGTCAACTTATACTAATCTGCTTTTCTCCATAGCTGTTCATTGGTGTTATGTCTGCTTTGTACAGTGTCTGGGATATTGTAAGTACCAGCTCCGCTCTATTGATTTATGTCACTAATAACCCTTGCTCTAGTGCGATGATCTCATCCTTCGCAAAGTAAACAGTTCTGATGCCAGCGTCTTTGCCAAGAGGTACGGTGGATCTTCCCAGTGTTGGGGAGTCATCTGGTCTCTCATCTCTCTTGCTTTTATGGCTATTGGCATCGTTGGTGGGATCGCAGCATTCCCTCAGTCATTCAGCCAGCAAGAGTCTGATTCTAAGAACTTTATCTCGACTCGCTAGTAGCTCTTGAAATGTTGGTTTGGGGACATTACAGACTGAAAATAACGATTTTTATGAGATATGATAGTGCGTTAGGCCATATTCCCACATAGCTTAGGAAATTCGAAATTCTAATTACTTTTCTGGTATACTGTGGCTTTAAATACATTGACACTTTTGTTTTTATGGGCAATTACATTGTAGATGGCCTTGCGCAGTACCAAGAAGGGGTCAATTAAGGCCCAACAGGAGGTTCGTTTTTAGATGGGTATGTTGACAGTCGCTATCATTCCGTCAGGACAGCAACACCCCCTTTCTCAGGTTCCCAAACCCTCCGTACAGTTCCTCTTACCCAGGTGGGCCTTCTAAGACACCCACAAAGTTAATCTTTGATAGCCAGTTTCATCGTACCAGGCCAATCCTTTGCAGCGGACATCGTCACATTAGCTAGCACATCTACGAGTCCACTTAAGCCTGCAAGTCCCAGTAGTGTACCAGTCGATTTCAGTTGAAAGTTTGATCATAATACAGCTATGTATTTTATATTGTCTATTGTACAAGTATGTGAATGTTGATCGCCGACGATTTATCGTGCATTCTCGGCCTCTAAAGTCTCCTCATGCTGTAAAGCCATCTTGGCCATAACGTCTCGCGCCGCGACCTTAGCTTTCCGCTTCTCATTCATAGCAGCCTCATCTCCGTCGTCCTCTGGACCACCGGTTCGTTTCCCATTAGGAGAGCCAGTGTTACGCTTGCTCTTTTTGTTGGGGGCTGGGTGAGTCTCAGGAGGAGCCTTGGCCAATTCTTGTGAGTTCTGCTGGTCCTCTTGACTAAGCTCGTGGTTGATATTTGGACCAAGGGATTGTGCGCGCAAGCTGCGACGAGACGTGCGACGTCGCACTGTGTTTTGTTGACCGTTTGATTCGAAATCCCCCTGCGTGCTAGAGGGAGCGGTACTGGGTGATTCGGTAGAATCGGGGATGGTGGGATGGCTGATCGATTTCCTCGGTCTGCCGGGTGGTCTTCTTTGAGGAACAGCTTGCGGTTGCGGAGGAGCTGCTTGGGGGTTATCTTCGGGCGGCGCACCTATCCGGGGGCGTTTGGCTATGGTTTGCTGCAAGGTATGGGGTTGGGTTTGAAGGGGGCTTGAGGTATTTTGAGGCTGTCGAGCAGGCATCTGCACCTCTAAGGACCTCAGTTCTTCTTCTGCAAGTGGCCCATTGGTAATTGCAGGCTGGCGTTGGTCATTGAGAGGAACGCGAGAGCTGTACATCGGTGGATCTGATAGTGACATTTCATCCACCATATCGTCTTCGTCGAACGAGTCCGCGATTGCCTGACTCCGATCACTCGAAAAAGCGTCAGGCCAGTTACGTTTCCGGCCCGCTTGAAGCAAACCGGGACTCCGAACTTCGGGAAGAGCAGCGTTCATATTCATGATCGACAATGACTCTTGTTGGTGTGACTGGGTCACTCCCATGTAGCGATTCTTCAGTTTCAGGGCCTCAATCTCCAACTTCAGTTTCTCGATCTCGTCAGACTTGGACTTGAGCTCCTTCAGCACCATAGCAATCATATCAAAGTCTTGTCCCTGAAGTATGGAACCTTCCCCAAGATTTCGGCCGGGTCCATTCAATTCGATTCGAAGTGCTGTAAATGAATGTTTGAGGTCGGACATTGTGTCTTGTAGGTGGTTCACCGAGTTCGAAATCTGATCAATGCTTCTACCCTGGTGGAGCATTTGCTTTTGCATGGAGGGGTCGAGGGTAGTGGGGTCGGTGCAGCCAGCTGGCACTAGTGCACTGCCCTGAACGAGGTCGGGGGTTCGGCGCGGAGGTTCTTTCGGAGGACAAATTAGTCGTTCGAGGGCGCCCTGTTTGAAGACGGGTTGTACTGTTCGCATGGTAACAATTTCTCTAAAAGCAACTTTCGACATTTTCCACAGAATATTCATCCTAAGAACAAATTAGCCGTGAAAAGCGTCAGTTTTGGTCCATATCCACTTACCCGTTGTCAAGTGGACAAAGTACCCCCATCCGTTGCTGACAGAGTTTACATGACACTTCTTGGATAACACGTCCACGCAGCAGGGTCATATCCGATGTCTGAGGGATTTGCTTCCGCTCCGAAGAAACAGCGATGCGATGGAGGTCGACACTGAGCCATGCTGTTGGGATTGAGTAGGCGTTGGAGAGTTTGGCCCATTCGTTCTCCAGTGCAGCTAGTGAGCTGGAACACCGAGCACACTGACACAAAATACCAGGCCGTGTGAGATGGGAAAGATCCATCTTTGCGCGACTAGTGTAAACAGTTAGAGAGACGGTAAGATTGTGCGGATTTGAACCGTTGAAGCGCATTGCCCGCCAGCGGCCAGCCAAAGCTGACTCAGCGGTCGAGGCCGCCGGTTGGACGCACTAGTCCCGATTAGGTTATCGATAAGGAATCGTACGGTGGCCCGGGCGTCATCCATGGATAGCTGCGGAGGTATCAAGTTACAGATTATACTTCTCATAGGTGAAACATGGGTTTTAGCTTGTACCTAAACTAAGCTAAATATTATGCTTATCCCCCGATCATCAGTGTAATCTTCCACACAACGATAATATCTTTATCGCCTGGTTCCACAATGTAGCATCCATTTTATCCCCGGATCACGTGTCGGCTCCCCTCTTTCCCCAATTCCCCCGAGGCATCTGCGCTTTCTGCCACAAAGCCTCATCCATGAACCGATTGATAAACCCGATCCGTCGGTCTTCCTCGGCGCTTCGATTGACACCTCCACACGCACGTACAAATATCCACCCGATCGCTATGGCACAACTCTCCACAGATGCCCTGGCTCGTGCCTCGGCAGTCATTGGCACCAGTGACAAAAAGCCCACAGCCTGGCACGGAGCCGGAGCTGCCGAGTTTGATCTCCGAAGTATGACTTAACCGAGAAGAGAATGGCGGAATTAAAGCTAATTTGGGTCAGGCGATACAATGACAAAGCCTACACCGTCGATGCTCGAAGCGATCTGCCAAACAACTCTTCTAGATGATGTTTTCAATGAGGATCCAGTCACCAACGAGCTGCAAAGCTATGTCGCCGAGATCACCAAACATGAGGAAAGTCTGTTGGTTCTTTCGGGTACAATGGGCAACCAGGTGGCCATTCGTTCGCATCTTGCGCAGCCACCTCATTCAGTATTGTGCGATCATCGATCACACATTATTTGTTATGAAGCTGGTGGTGTGAGTGCTTGGACTGGTGCCACTGTGAGCCCTGTTATTCCCAAAAATGGAGTCCATTTGACTTTGGAAGATATCAAGAAGCACGCAGTTCTTGATGATAATATCCATTATTGCCCGACCAAGTTGATCAGCTTGGAGAATACCCTCGATGGAATGATCATGCCGCTCGCGGAGGCGAAGCGGATTGTGGAATGGGCCCATGCTAATGACATCAAGGTTCACCTTGACGGGGCGCGGCTATGGGAGGCCGTCGTGTCCGGTGCTGGGAGCTTGCCTGAATATACAAGTATCTTTGATAGCGTTAGTCTTTGCTTCTCGAAGGGGCTGGGGGCACCCATTGGAAGTATCATTGTCGGGTCCCATGAGTTTATCAAGAAAGCACGCTGGTTCCGCAAATCCATAGGCGGCGGTGCCCGACAGACAGGCGTTATTGCAGCTGCCGCCCGCGTTGCGCTTACTGAAACTTTTGGCACGGACCCGAAAGGCCAGACCGGGAAGCTTGCAGCAACACATAAAAAGGCGAAACAGGTAGCTGATCTGTGGACCAGTCGCGGTGGCAAGCTGGAGTACCCCGTGCACACCAATATGGTTTGGTTGGATCTCGAGGCGTCAGGGGTGGGGCCAAACGACCTGGCAGAGATTGGACAAGAAAAAGGGTTGAGATTGATGGGCGGCCGCGTTGTGGTCCATTACCGTAAGTGCTTCCTCAATCTGTCTAGAGTTGAGAATTCGTGACTGACAATCTAACCTGTCACAGAGGTATCGGACGCAGCGCTCGCCCGGCTAGAACAAGTGTTCGATATTGCGCTGAAGGGTGATTTCAAAAGGAGTGAGGACACTAGCAAGCCATACGGGAGTAAATAGTTGCAGCCAATAATTACTGAATCCAGTAGCATACATACATGAAAGCCTTGCTTCATGGTGTATGCTTAGCGCACATGTGCCACTATACGTACCATCCCCCCGTAGACTATATCCATAATATATTAGCCCCAACAGGGGTCGTTCATGTTATAATAGTTACTTTGTTGACATCATTTCTCCTCCCCTCATATACCGTTTGCATCCGGGCACAGGTTGCGCGGGTTTTGTAGGGCTTCCTTTTTTTTACCGGATAGACTTCAAGGGGCAAAGGGTCAAAGGGATGCTACCAATACATCATCATTGGGCTAGTCTTGGTGAAATGCTCGTATCTTCTAAGAGAAGTCATTTGTCGTTATCCTAGCCATCCAACAAAATTGCAAATTAAGGCACACTGTTAGGAACAGCGGGGGAGACTGTTGTTCTTAAAAAAAACCAATATGGTAGCACGGTTTCAAGCAGTCTTCTTACACCAGAGACAATTACCTGAGTTGAGAACGGACTTTAGGAAGATGCTATCAGGTATCACATGCTGTAGAAATGGTCCCGGAGTATAAAATAGCCCTTGCATGATCCGGTTGATGGAAATATTCCGTGATATCCTACATCTTTCTAATTGTCTCCTAGTCTTCGAAGAGATGACTGTTGTGAGACCTAGTCCTAGGCTGCCGGAATGAGATAGCTTTGTCTGTAAACATAAAAGTCATGTTAGCTTTTGATCAGTTGAAATGCACAGGCAGTTTGGTGAAGGAATCGAGATACAAGACTATCGCGATGAATTGTAAACTTGTTCAACCGTGGAATGTACCTAGAACTGATGACCGGAATTAGTTGGTGTTTATCAGACCATGGTCCAAAAAACCGGCGCTAATGCAAGACGCTTACGGGGATCCACCCTCCCCCAGGGATCTGCAATATCCACCGTTAAGTATCTACCTGTTTAGCCTTCATAAGCTAAGACATCTATATCAGCTTCCAGAGCACATCACCTCTTCACATAGTATTTTGCTCCACAAAGCTGACGTAGAACCAGGTTTCCAACCTTGGCTGCATCGCGGCCAAGTGTAAGCCAAGAAGTAATCCACGGTATCATTTAATTTAGATGAACAGTCTCCGCTATAAATATTTGCCTGTTTCCAGGACCAAACCAGACTTCACTTTCCTTCTCTCGCAATTTACTGTTCCTTTGCCATGGCACTCATCAATGACGCTGCTATCAACGCAACGATGCGAGCCGTTGTGTGGCAAGGCAATGCCTACAATGTTAGCGTTGTCGATCTACCTAAACCCACCATCATCAACCAAACCGATGCTGTTATTCAGATGTCCAGAGCAGCTATTTGTGGATCGGACCTACACATCTATCGTGGAACAAACGTAGGCCAGCCACCCCCATTCGGTCTTGGTCATGAGGGAGTTGGCTATGTATCCGAGGTCGGTTCAGGTGTTGGGTCACTTAAAGTTGGTGACCCGGTGATTGTTCCTTTTACCGTCCACGAGGGTCACTTGCACTCCGATCTTACTTCGAATATGTATGCTGGGTACGGTGGTGGAGGGCAGCTAGGTGGAATGCAAGGTGAGCATCTCCTTTGTCTCGGTACACAGCTTTGATATTAGCTAACATAGATAACGCAAGCTGAGTACCTACGTGTTCCCTTCGCGGACAATGGTCTCATACCAGTTCCTTCCTTCGAGTACACGAACTCAACTACGAATCAATCTATATCTCTGGCAAACGACTACCTTATGATGTCCGATATCTTTGCCACCGGTTGGGCTGCTCTCGACTTTGCTGGGTTTGAAGCAGGCGATACTGTGGCCGTCTTTGGAGCTGGACCGGTTGGCTTGATGGCTGCATACTCAGCGATTCTTCGAGGTGCCTCAACTGTGTATAGCGTGGACTACGTGACCGATCGACTCGAGCTGGCTGAATCAATTGGAGCTATCCCCATCAACTTTCTGGATTCTGATCCCGTAACGCAAATCTTGACACTCGAGCCCAATGGCGTTGCTCGAAGTGTTGATGCAGTTGGATACGAGCAAGTTAACAGGAACCTCACGGTCCAGTCGGATGTTATTATTCGAAACATGTTAGCTGTGACATCTCCGGGTGGTGGCATGGGGACTGTTGGAGTCTATAATCCAGAATCCAATAATACAGCAACAGCACCACGTGCTTCTACTGTCAATACGCACTTCAACTTCTCGCTTACTGATTTCTTTTTTGGAGAATTCAAGTGGGGAGCTGGGCCTTCGAAGCCAATTGATCTTGCGCCACAGCTTTTGCACCTTATTTCTGAAGGAAAGGCTAGGCCAGGGTTCATTGTTAGTGATGTGATTGATATTGAAGACGCACCAGATGCATACGCCAGGTTTGAGAGACACGATGCCATGAAGGTCGTGATCAGCTTTGGTCCATGAGGCAGGCTAGAGTGTGCTCAACGTCGGGTCAGAGTGTATACCACATCAGGACTTATTACCCACATACGTATATAGGATGGTAGTCCATAGAGAAGTTGGTTCGAAAGATATACGTTTTTATCACTAGAAACCATTGCTGTTGTTGATTGTATTTTCATACCTGCGGCTCCGATATCTTTGAATATTGACCTAACTTATGCCATGCTCATTGATTTGAACTAATTGTGCAATTTTTCATTGATGGATCCAGTTCAGTTATCGACGGAAGCGGAATTTTCTAAGACATATACGCCAAAGATGGAGTGGGCTAGTCGTCATTTTGTCTCCCATAGTTCGTTTGACATGTAGGTTGTGAGAGGCCCGGAGATTAACGCAGGGATAGTATCTCCATAGGTTTTTAGAGATGTCGGAGCTGTTTAGATATCTGCTAAACGTATCCCCCACTTATCGGCATCATGGATATCCCAAGCGCCGGAGGTTCCATGCTAACTCCGGAAAGCCAAGATAGCACAGCCATGGGCGGTCGATTTCACCTCTTCATCCAGGAAACGAAATAGGCCAAGACATAAGCTGATTGATATTTGATATTTGCCTAGCATTATCACTATGCGCGTAAAACCACATATCTAATCATGACAAAGAGTTCTCAATGCTAACTAATTGTTTTCACCATCAGGGCTAGATCCATAGTCCCAAACAGGTTAGAGGTAAGCTACTTGCATTAGCAGTTCACCTTCAGCAAAGATTTCAACTTCACTACATGCTCAAATCGGTCATCTAGAAATGGGAAACCTAGTGTTTGTCAGAATTCTCCTCTTGGCTCTTTCGTTGTGGCTTGGAGAAGCTATTGCTCTGCCGAAGTCTATAAGTATCCCATGGAATTCCTTGGGAGAACTTCCAGTTGATCAAGAAAATGGACAGCCTAGGCTGGCGTCTCTCCTCAAAAAGAAGCTCCATGATGCGATTGCTAACAACGAAAATTCATCACCCGATCAACTTGGTATCCACCGCACCAGTGATGATTGTGAACACTGGATACAATCTTACGACCCACCGTACATATCGTCTGAGACAATTTCGGAGATATTTGCCACTTCACCCGAAGGCTCAACCTTGAAGAACAATATTCTCCAATGTCTCCAGGCGAGATTTGGAACCATTGAAATAATAACCGATGCGATCGAGCGAGATTGCTCTTATTCGCAGCAAAATCTGCCTTCAATGTGAGGATTTCGTGTAATCATTTCCACCGCAAACTTTATCACTGACTTACATCTCTTGATTAGCCGATATTTTCAAAGTTTGAATTATTTACTCTTTTTCGAACTGTGTGTGGTCGGGACGATAGCATTTTCTGCGTATAAGGTTATACGGGGAATGGACATGATAACCAAACTATATTGGTGAAATGATATAATGAATTTCCTGCATTGGATCAGACAAAGCCGTTCTGTTCAGTCTGCAACAAACTACCCAACAAGAACATGCGCGATGTAATAATGCAGTTATATTATCAATGCCTATGAAGTCGGACATGTCAAATTGACCCATGGCATAGGTATTAGCTATTCTTGTTAGCTATCTTGATAGATATACTAGAGGGCGGTAAAACGCATACTTCGTGGAAATCAATTTTCCACGTATAACCTTTGATAGGGTTTGACCGACAATGCTTGATAGTAGGGTCCGATTAGGACTGAGTATACTGAGCGAAAGTCCACGGGCAATGTCAGGTTAGAGTATAATCATCAACCTGGAGCCAGGAGTGCATTAAAGTTAAGCTCACTGTAATGTGTTAAACAGTAGGCACCGTGTGTAATTAATTAGTTTATGGCTGAGATTGGTTAAAGACTATTGTTTTGGGATGATCGAGTGATGTGATAGATACCCAGGTGGAGCCCAGGAGCCCTGGAGCCCTCCAGGGCTGGCTATATTGATTATGTAATACAACTTGACCACCTCCAGGACTCCTTATGGGGCACAACCTAAAAAAGTAGACTACTACTCACAGGAATGCTAAGTGTTACTTTATGATAAATGGCAAGGGATTAACTAAAATGTAAGGAGAAACGTTCCAAGGGATCATCCTGTACAAATGGAGACATCTCATAGATCGAACTTGAGAGATTCCACGGTTAGCCCCCGCTATCTCCCGCTTGACCAATTAACGGGTCTGTTGCCTGATGAGTAAGGACTTTACGCGCCTTCCAAGGTTAACGCGTCGTTGCCTCAGGTACCTAGTCATAATTGTTGCGGCTCGTTCTTGGTCTTGTTCCTCGGACGACCTTCCAAGGAGTGCGATTTTGCTCTGTCCCGGCGTCCCCATTTTTATCTATTTGCTATCCCAATTTTACTAGCCGTGGACAGGTTGATAGCAAATCTTTTGAGCTGTGTGAGTTCTATTCTCGATCTCGATTCTCGAGTCGATGCTAAGCACAGTCCTCTTCAAGCTTCCAAAGGATGTTTGCTAATTTGTTGGAACCGAATTTCACAGACATACCTCCTAGCCCTCTCGAAATCGCAGAATACACTCCCTTCCTTAATTTGAGCATTGTTGATACGGAAACACTATTGGGTAGCATCTCATTGAACGGCATCTTCACAGTCTGGTATCTCTCCGCCGGTCGACATCTTCAACCCCAGAATCGAGCTCTGTATTATTATCGCTTGAGGACAAAGGCTGCATATACTCACCTCCATTTCATGGAAAGCGTCATCATCTGTGTTGATCAACACTGGCTTTGAGGAGAGTTGAGGAGGGACACCCCACTTTGCAAGACACACGGTTCACAGTTCACTTATCGCTCACCCACTGAGCAAAGCCTGTGTGGGCAATCTGTTGATCAGGCGACACATACCCCGGTGAATTTTTCATTGGTCCCGAAGCATACATATCATTGTCTTGCCCGACTTTTGCCCGGGTGTTCGGGTCCTTGATCCCAGTACCTATTCCCCTCGAGGTATATATATATCAAACACTCCCTGACTCTTCTTTGTTGTCGCAACCTTACTGACTTAGTATATCTCTAGTCTACGACTTTAATGACCTTTTTATGCACATTCCCCTTGCTGGCCTCGCAGCACATATACCCTACCCCATTGGAATCTGTACCTGTAGTTCATTTCTCTTTTCATTCCTCTAGCACCTTCGTTTACACTTGCATTCATCTTCATAATGGAAGCCACTCAGGAATCAACCCAGCCATGTGCTGATCCTCGCCGAATGGGAATGAATAACTCTGGCATCCAAGATCAAGACTTGGCCGACATCATCTGTATCCTTCATCCGAACTCGCATGCTGCCCATGATGCTGTTGGTGCCACTGGAGGAATGTGTGCTCAGCATATCCTTCAAAGGGACATACTGGAGCACGAATCCTCTCACACAGCAACATTAGATTTGGCATTGAGGCTCTCGTCGAAAGTTCACAACCTGGGGGTTGGCTTCTGCTTCGGTCGCAATCGCTCTCGCTGTGATATTCTCCTCAGTGTCGATGATGATGCTAAACGAGTTTCGAACACTCACTTTCGCATATATCTAACCGAGGACGGCATTCTCATGCTCCAGGATACGTCGACAAATGGTACCATCGTGGACAATTGCCGCCTGCGCAAATCTCAGAAAGATGGGAATAGTCGAATGCTCACGAACGGATCTGTCATTCAAGTCATCACTGGATCTCAAACATCCGACGAGGTCCGCTTTGTGGTTCGAATTCCGTCCCGAGAAGGATTCGCTGTCCAATATCACCAGAACTTGTTTAGCTATTTCAAACGGGTTCATGCGCATACCCCAGCGCACAAAGAACGACAGGGCCCGTCTGCCTTGGCGTGGTCGTCCGCCAACGCTTATGGCATGCATTGGACCGGTGGTACCGAGTACAACGTGACTGGTCAGATAGGGAAGGGTGCTTTTGCTACTGTGTACAAGATTGCAACAAAGCAACATGGCGCCATCTATGCTGCAAAGGAACTCGACAAGCGCCGCTTCATGAAAAATGGTATCCTTGATCAAAAGGTCGATAACGAGATGAAAATCATGAGAGACCTCACGCATGTAAGCGATGTTTTTCAGTTGGCTTGTTAACGATCTAACTAACGCGCTGCAGCCGAATATAGTTCAATACATTGATCACCACGAGCATGATCGGTGGATCTACATTATCATGGAGTATGTTCCAGGCGGCGAACTGTCGACTTACCTGCAGACCCAGGGAAGAATTGCCGAGGAGATGGTGAGAACGATTGCACGACAAGTGTTGCGGGCGCTTCACTATTTGCATAAACGCCGCATCACCCATCGCGATATCAAACCAGACAACATCCTGATTGCCTCGCTAGACCCGCTCAGAATCAAATTATCTGACTTTGGGTTGTCGAAAGTCGTGGAGCAGGAAACTTTTCTAAAGACCTTTTGTGGAACGCTTCTCTACTGTGCGCCAGAGGTGTACCCGGACTATGATCAATATCGCCGTGGCGAGCTCCGAAAGAGGCGTCGCGTTGGAGACCCGTAAGTCCCTAATTTCTTTTTCGCTTGAGAAGCCTGTGCTGATATCGAAAGACCGCCCAAAACATCTCCGTACAGCCAATCTGTTGACATGTGGTCGCTAGGGGCGGTTCTTTTCCATATCCTGTCCGGCGTTCCACCATATTCAGGGCGTGCAGAAGATCGAGGTGTCCAGATGCTTCGCACCATTATGACATGTGATGCTGATTTCGACGCCTTGCGCCAGGCGGGCGTGTCTGAATCTGGTATCGACTTTGTCACCCAGCTTCTGAATCGGGACCCTTTCTCTCGTCCGACAGAGAAGGAGTGTTTCCAGCACCCTTGGATTGCAGAGGTCCCGGATGTGGATGAGTATGAAGATGACGACGACTTGCTATATGACCATCAAGATGGGCTTTCAATTATTGGCGAGGATGCGGAGGACGAGCTAGATGCTTCACAATTGTCTATAGCTGAGGGTCCGGGCTACGCCCACGAAGTCGACGGCGAAGAAGGTAGGAGCAGTGAGGGAATCTCCAAGCGGCCCCGGACTGAGTACATTCCCACCGACGTTCGCTATCCCAGCCTTCCGAATATTGAGAGCTTCCAAGATGGGCAAGCGGTGGTGGACAATCATGCCAAACGTTTGTTTGGCGAAGTTTCTGCCTCGGCCCTGCGGAGCTCCCACGCTCTCGGCAATCTGGATTCATATGACGCCAATAATTTCCACGTTGACTTTCTCTCTTCCGGTGAGTCGATGATGAGCGACGATCCCAACGACTCGATTATTTCCCTCCCGGCGGTACCCTTCGGTGGCACTGCGCCCAGTTTGATGGGTGCAGAGAAACTCGTTGGACAACTCAACATGAATTCCTTGAACCCCACTCCACAAGTCAAGGGTGGCCCGGTTAACAGATCTTCCTTGCGGCAGACCACTCCTGGGCACATCAAAAGCACGATACCAGCTAGTACACTCAACAGGAATTCTGTTCCGCCAACTTCGAGTCCCGAGGAACAGCCAGCCTCAAGTCCCCAGGAGCCAACCCCGAAAGCAAAGTTCACACGTCGGATTGACTTGGCTCTTGCAATCCCCGACACAGCCAGCGAGGCATCTAGCGACAATAGTGCCCAAAACAGCCGCCGCAACACTGCTCCCAACGACCCCTCTCGCCCCTCCAAATCCGAATACGATCCCGAGTTTGCTACTACACTCGATGCGCAGACAGGCCAAGCGATCTTGGATCGGGCCCGGGACGAGGAGTCAGACTCATCAGAACCGATTGTTCATCGACCCAAATCACCCCCTATTCCCTCCGCGTTGTCTGATTCCGAGTTCGCCAAACCACCAAAGAGATATGGAAAACTGAAGAGTCTCCCCGGTTCGATCTTTGACTTGACAATATACCTTGAGGATAGACTCACCTCGTGGGGTCGAGGGCCGTTAGCGACTGTCAAGCATGCCGACCCCATGGATACAAGGATCCCCGCCTATGCACTAGAGGTCACATTCTGGACTCCAGGAATCGAGGCCAGCATTGCGGCAGGTGAAAGCTGGCTTGACATTCCAGGTGTGATGGCCATTCTCTCCACCAAAGCGCGTTCTGGCATCTGGGTAAACGACACATTGCTGCGCCGTGGCTCTATGACCGAGGATGGTCCCGAGGCTTTACAATTCGGGAAGCTCTACACCGGCGACATCATCACTGTGTACCAAAACAAAGACAAAACGAAGTTCCTCAAGCTCCAGTGTGACTTCACCCATGGCGAGAGCGCCCAGCCTCGGCCCGGACACGAAGCCGGGTTCATGGTGCGACAGGCTCTCATGGCCAAGGCTGGCGGGGCCGCGAACCGGATGCCGATTCGGCCCCAATGCAAGGATCGGGATCAGATTGAAATCTAGTACTATTAGTCTTTCCGCTTTGGACATAGATTGATAGGAGTTGCGTGGTCCGGTGGGAATTAATCGTCACATACTTTCCATGCTCCACAATAGCTTTGTCCGCAAGCAGTACAGAGTAGAGTAAATGTAGAGAAGTGGAGCCTTTATCCGCCAATCGATCCGCGCTTGATTAAGTAGTTCATAGGTTAAATTAGGCTAAACTATACTAATACCAACTATACAGGAAGACCTAGAGATGCAAATCACCAACGATTTAGAGTATTGAGGCTCATGCGAGTATCAAATCCAAATTTAGTTTCCAACCAAGGGAAGGATCAAAACTTAAATCGCACTTTCCCAAAGACCGTGGTATCAGCACAGACATGCCGCATTCGGCCTCAAGTTCCTGAATCTCAAGTCACATCTCCATCCGGTACTTAATGGCTAAAGTTTAATGATGCTTTGTGTGTCTTAATTACCTACTCACCTCTCTTCCTAAATTTCGTCACTCGTTAGGTCTGTCACACTGACCTCACGACGAATCAATACCCCCTTCACTCGAATCTTTCCTCCGATCAACATCCTCAAGGTTTCACAACGATCGCTCTCTAGTAATTCATTGTTTAAGCGCCGATCACCGCGATGACATTATCGCGATCACCCTCTCCCCACTCGGGCGGGGGGTGGTCCAGCCCGGGACTCGTTCCGGCCAGCGGCACCACATCGCCAAACGGTCCATCGCCCGGTTCATTATCGCCAGGCGGTATTTCATGGGCTGCAGCAAAGGCGAAAAGTGATGAAGTGCGTGGGTATCCATCATTCGCAACACGCAATAGCGGCTTCTTCTCTCGACAGCGACACAAGATCTCGAGTCGATTTCCTAGCCTTCGAAGGCTTTCCTCACGTGAATATGTCGATAAGGATGATTATGGCCGAGAATTAAAGCCTGCGGGTAGTGGATGTGGCCTGCTAGGTGGATTACGGATGCCAGTGAGGCGAGGTCGGCTCCGCCTGCTGTTGGCATTCTTGTTGGTGTGGATTGGGTATCTGTTTTTCTGGACGAGTAAGTGATTGCTGCTACAACGATTGTTTCCGGGAATTCTAACAACATTACAGGCATTGTCCAAACATACCGAAGATCACCCATCGGCGGCGGGAGCAAGTTCGTTATCATACTTGGGTCCAACGTGGAGGGCGGCGTCATGGAGTGGAAGGGCGCACGTGAGTGGGCCATTGAACGCAACAGCATATGGAACAAGAAAAGATATACAGAAAAATGGGGCTACGATCTCGAGCTGGCTAATCTGCTCGCCAAGAAGCGATATTCACATGAATGGCGCGAGAGTTGGGAGAAGGGCGATGTGATCCGCGAAGCCATGCGCAAGTATCCAGACGCAGAGTGGTTCTGGTGGCTCGACTTGAACACCTGGGTTATGGAATACGACACATCACTCCAACACCATCTATTCAATGACCTTGAGTCGCACGTCTACCGCGATATCACCGCCTACAACCCTCTCAACATCACCCATCCACTCCCCGAGTTCTGGCTTGACGAGCTAGGTCGTTCATTTGAGGGTGATGGTCAGGCAGATTCTTTGAATATGCTCCTGACACAGGATTGCACCGGCTTTAATCTCGGATCGTTCTTCCTGCGAAGATCTCTCTGGACCGATCGCCTACTCGATGTCTGGTGGGATCCCGTCATGTACGAGCAGATGCATATGCAATGGGAACATAAAGAACAGAATGCCCTAGAGTACATTTATCAGAGTCAACCGTGGGTTCGGAGCAGTGTTGGCTTTTTACCACAGCGCAGTATCAATGCTTTCCCTCCTGGCGCATGCGGCGACGGAGATAATTCGGTCGTTCACTATCAGCAGAACGCTCATGATCTCATCGTGAATATGGCTGGATGCATGTTTGGTCGTGATTGCTGGTCTGAAATCTACTACTACCGCGAGCTCAGTAATTGGCTTGGTCGGTCAGGTTGGGAGCGTTTCAGGGACGGTTTGACTGATGTATACGACCGAATGATGGGCAAAGAGGATAAGGATGACTGATCCATACTGTTTTATGCTCATCACGTTTATTATGCTTTTTACAGTAGGTTTACATTTCTGTGATTATTCCTCGCATTATGAGAGGTTTTGTGTTGAAATTTTTGTTTTGTATGTATATTGCTTTAGTGGTTCCGCATTATTTTGATTCGGCATATGTTAGTTGGTGTGAACAACCATGGGTCATTGAAAATATGATATTTTTGCGAGACATTGATTTCCTCAATTAACGAAAGAATCTATCGCTACTCTAAACCACATAAAAATTCAATCTCAACTTAGCGAAACTTCCCTTACTGCCTGATCCACCGTTTTCGGATTGTATAGATCCACGTGACTACCAGATATGCACAAAAGGTCCCCTCCGTCTCCCGCACAAAAGCCTTCCTTACCGCCCTCGTCCCACCCAATCACAAACCAGGTAATCCAACCTTCAAGATCAACGACCCAGACAACCGCATCAAGCAGCCACCAAAAGCCGCCTCCCTCCCACCAACCCTTGCTGCCATTGTCCTCCGTCCGAGCAAGCAATCACCTCACCACACCCGAACCATACCCCAAACCACACAAACCAACCACCCACAATGCCAACCGCCGAGTCCGCCGCCTTCCTCGCTAAGAAGCCCACCGTCGCCCCGACCTTCGAGGGCGTCGACTTCGAGGACAACATCGCAGTCCACAACGCCCGCGATGCGATTATCCGCGAGCAGTGGGTCCGCAGCATGATGGCGCGTCTGGTTGGCGAGGAATTGGGCAAGTGCTATGCGCGCGAGGGCGTGAACCACCTTGAGAAGTGTGGTGTTTACCGAGGTGGGTAGTTTTCCGTTCCATCTACCGTCTACGCTGCATATCCAGGATAGTGAAGGTTTTGCGGGTTTTTGCCTGTTAATGAACCACATTTGACTGGATTGCGGCCATGTGGATTGGTTGAGGTTGTGATTGCGATGCGTTGTACTGACCCATATATCCTCTACAGAGAAGTACTTCGAGCTCCTGAAGGATAGCAAGATTAAGGGTTACCTCGGCCAGGAGAAGAACCGCTTTGGTGGAGAGTCGGCATAAGCTTTTACGTCTTTTCTTGCGTGTTCAGCTATGCGATTGCGATTGCGTTTCGAGGCCTGGGTTTGATGGTTGATATCGAACGCCGCGGGGACCGAACAATTTTGATGTCGATATGAAATGGTCGACCTTGCGGACGGAAACCCCGTGGTTTTGATCCAGGCCTATCTGAACTTGATCTTATAGCAACCCAAATCGGGTCTGTGTCGGAGGGAGACGAAAAGATGGCAGAAGAGGGTCTGGAGATTACCCTCTGTGCTCTTGTCCGTTTGTACTGTACATAATATCACTTTGTTTGATCACTATTCCTTTTTTTATAAGATGTTGAGGTGCTGTTCGGAGATCGTAGTCAACCGGTGACCCACACTCGGTCCTCGGATGCTAATGTATGTATTCTTACCGAACCCTTGTGTTTGAGCTCACACCGGCAACTAAATGCTAAATTCGGTGTATATATCACCATACCCCATCTTCTACATATGTACTTATTTGTCGGTGTCTTTCAATAATAAACGCTCGATGCTGTCGCACTTCGGTCCGGGAATGCACCCGGAGGCCCGCGGCTATCAGGCTGTCCTGCATCGTCTTCACTGTCGTCGTCACTTCCGAACTGAATATCGTCTCTCTCGTCTGGCGGAGCACGCATTCGCATGAGTTGATCCTGATCTAAAGAAGGAGGCTGGTATGGTGCCGGGGGAGAGTGAATATCTCGACCAGAAGGCAGGTTAGAGAGCAATGGTGCAGAGGGTGGAATGAGTTGTGTGTTCATCTGTATTGAGTCAGTACGAAATACAAATTGAGAACCGCCGGGATCATAGGGGGAAAACAAACTCACTGTGTCATTCATTTTCGCCCATTTCGTCTCAAGCATCGCAAGGACTCGTCCTTCCTCGTTACGACCAGCGTCATCTCCCGCATCCAATGGACCCTTTTCGCTGCGGCTACCACCAGCATCCTGAGTGGCTCGACGATCCTCACGCCGCTCTGTCCACTCGCGCTTTAAACGGGAGAGTCCACCCTTTGTAGAACCACCCGAGCCAGCAGCATCTTCCTGTGAAGATCCAGCTCCACGTAGGCCGAGTGGAGTGCGCGCAGCTCGTAACCACGCAATTCCCTCGCCCACTTTACCTGATAGCTCAGCATCTACACCAAAGAATCTACAGGCGCGTGCCCGAGCAACGCGAGCCAAAACTCCTGTATAGCGTACCAAATCCTCATCTACCCGGCCTGCACGACCAGATGTAGACCCAACAGCGCCTAGTCCGGCAGCTGCTTGTTCGGCGTACTCTGCAGCGCGAACGCAGAGTCTTGCGAATAGCAGAGCGCGCACCTTTGGGATCTGAGGTGCATGGACCATCCACTCTTTATCGTTCGGGTTGCGCGACTGGATACACGCCGCAACATATGCATCATCCTTAAGGACAGCTAGTAACGTAGCCTCGGCCATGGCTAGAGATGACAGAGCTGACTGCGTAGCAGCCTCAAGGTCCGGTACTGTCGACACAGTAGCTGCAGTGAAAGTCGGTGAGGACGCGAGCAGGTTATGCACCGAGCTAGCCTGTAGTAGATGACGCGTCGCAGTCTGCACAGCAGTAGTACGGACATCCGCAGACGGGGTAGACGATGCGTATAGCACAGCGACGACTCCTGCACGCGCCATCCTACTCAGTACATACCCCAGAGTTGTGAGCGTGAACGCCAATTCGAAGTGAATGCCTCGACCAGAGACTCGCCCATTCCGCGTGCGGATACCGTTTCCGCTGGTGTTATTTCCACTAGATCCGAAATTCAATCCGCTTGAGGATGACAGCGTATACCTCCATGCGGACTCTATCTCCGCGCGGGTTGTGATGTCGACTATCTCGCCGGCGCGGAGATTCGTTCCCCCTGACGTATAGCCATCTTGGGGAGCAGATGAATACGCATCTGTTGGAACAGAGCGACCATTCAGTCCATTTGAGATTGCGAATAGGAAGGGGATGTATTCGTTCAAGGCGGACAGAACTGTGGGTAGGTGGGCATCCTGGCGCGGGCCGCGGGGTAATCGCTTGTGGGCCTTCAGTGCGAGGCGGAGAGCATGGCGGGCTGTTGAGGCTGATTGGGGGAGGGATGGGTGAGTAGCCGAGGAGATGAACGATTGAAATGAGAGAGGCGAGGTGGTTGGGAGGATAAATGCGTAGACCATGGTGAACTGGGGAGTTTGAGAAGGGAGGACTGGGGAATCGGAGCTGATGTCACTGCCAAGACCTGACAACATTTGAGATGAGCAGAAGAGATATTTCCAAGATTATACATAGAATTCTACCTAGAAAGGTCCTTCCAAGGCTGCATATTTTACGCTTGTGTTCGCCTTATTCTACTAACTACCACATATAAATCTCGAGGTGGCTAAAAACAAACATCTAGCAAGACGACCAAGAAGACTACTAAGAACATACAGGGCCGCATAAGCAGCCAACTATCCTTGTACTACTGGCTAGTATAGGTCCAGTTTATACGCTTATAGTGAAATGTGGAAATGTGGAAAATAATATATCACGAAAACAAAAAGATTCTATAGTCCAAAACAGCAATCCAACCAAAAACCCACGTGAAAGACATATATATCAGAACGCAAAAGATTCGCCACATTGGACTTGAAGAAAATAAAAGACTTTGCTTATCAGGGGACTGCTCCTCCGGCTGATGGACCTGCCGGTGCTGCAGTTTTAGCTTGCGGTACTTGATTCACTGGAAGGTCTGGTAACCAGGAGGTCATTTGATGCGGACTTGCCGTGGGAACATTGAGTGATTGTGGGTGTTGGTCGCTAAAATAGGTAAATCTTGTGCCATCCGGAGCCGATGCTGTATACATCCTGTGTCGTGGCCACGGGCCATTCAATGGAATAGTCCATGGAGTATTGGTGTCATCGTGAATGAGGACTTGTATTGGATTCCACACCAGGTCCAGATAGTCTCGAGCGTGACTATCCCACATGTTGACCTCAAACCGTCTGCAGATGCGGGATATGGTTGTTCCATCCGCAATTTTTACGTGCATGCTACCTAGCAAGGGTGGAGGAGGAGGGGGGTTTCGCTGCGTGTCACAATTGAACGCTATGAGTTTCTGCACATCGCTCTCATTTATCTGCATGGTACTAGCCCCAGTATCATCCAAGAAGCTTATAGTGTTTGGCATTGACGGCATAATAGGCTGATATGTAGCTGTAGGGTGCATATTCCACTGGGGAAGTCTTACTTCGATGTCCATCTTCAAATCAGGTTAAAGACAAAGACATTCTTCTGAGGTTGGCATCTGAACTCACGTAGGCACAATACATTCCCTGTCCAAGAAATGGCATACTTACCCATTCTGCCATTTGGAGTCCTGGAGCTGGTCCTTCGAGCTAAGCATGTTAGTTCCTGACTAGTGCGAGCTTTGAAGGATACATACCCCTTCTACCCAAAACCCTGTGTGACCAGCATGTTCGGCGTTGATGATATCAAACTCAGCCCACCTGAATGGCCTCGGCTGGCAGAGTTGGGCGCCTCTAGACCAGTAGGTAACAAGACCTTGATTCCATCTCAATTGGCCCGATCTGTATGCTGCGATGATGTTTGTCACATTTCCAACAAGTTCGTACTTGTCATTCTCACTCTGGAGCCATTCCAGAGTCGACTGGAGGGATTCCAAGCGCTGGACGACAGCCCAACTCAACCCAGCGGGCGCCAAGGCAATCATTTCACTAATGATTGAGTTAAATCCCGTTAAGAGAAAGGTCCCGGGACATACTCACTCGCGCCTTCTCTTCTCTTTCAACAAGTCCTGCAGCTTGAATTCAAAAACCCGGGTCAGGATATTATCATCAATCCGCTCACGGCACCTTGCAATCTGAGCATCCAAGTCGCTAACATATATCAATAGCTATCCACAGATGTCGATATAGCGAGAAAGACTTACTCAGGATGAAGATCGGGTTCTTTATCATTCCAACCTTTTGGCGTATGCTCCTTGAAGAGAATTGGATTCGTTGCCGGCTGTCTCCATCTTGGCTGCCGGCTTGGCAGTCGTGGTGTCGATTGTGGAATTCGGCCTTCATAGGATGTATTCAAATCCAATGCGAGTGCGGTCGGATCCAAAGGTTGAGGCGCAATAACGGGGATAGGTTGCGTGGCAGGAGCAGGAGGAGGGGCAAGAGTAGGGACTGGCAATCCCATCGAGTCTTCCTCGTATTGAGCCTCAGCCCTCTTTTTGCCCTTTTTTCGAGCCGACGAAGCAGTTGAACTCGTTTTCCTCCTTTTTGTGGGAGAGGTGGAGGCGGCATAGTGACCCTGCGGCTTTTGAGCAGCGGCACGCCGAGGACGAACCATGGCGAAGAACGAGATAATAAGAATAGTATGAGGATCTACAGGTGCGAAAGCTTAGTGTAGCGTGAGGTGATCGAGACATGTTTGAAGTAGAGCCTTCGAGGAGATATTTGTACCCACAAACAAAGGTAGATTGGAGAAAAGCCTCCCCAGGTTCACAAGCGACGGCGTAATCATTCGACCTCAAAGAAATCACCCAAAGGTACAGTTGAATTTATATGGGATCAAAGGACTGGAGCTTCGGGTTCTTTTTTTAGTCCCTACCTTGGCCTTCCTTTCAGGATACTTCTCAGATGATATTTCCAAATGGTCGTTTTTAGAGATTATCTTTGATTCATACAAAGAACGTAAAATTCAAAAGCAGCGTGGGGGACTTTTCTCTATATACTAAGGGACTGGTACTCCTTTCTAAGTCTCTAATTTCGTTAAACTATCGTAAGGGGAATGTCACAGTCGGTCATCCACGGCTTGCAATATGGAATGATATATTTAGCATCTGATCTCAAAGGGCCTTTGTGACAGTAAGCTTTATTCCCAAAAGAACGACTGCGAATGGTTCCCTAGTAAGAATGATCCCTCAATGGAACTACTGTAGCGCACCATGTACTTAGGGCTTCAAAGTACCTTTTCAATAAATATTGTATCGAATCTTGGTCTCCAATGTACCATTGAGGTAAACACACCTAACATGTGATGGAAATGGTTGTATATCTTTTCTTTTTATTTCTTTTCACACAGTATCTGGCCTTTTAACTGAACTTAGACAGGCTTCTACCGCTACGAGAATAGAGACATGCCTTGTCTCCTCTAAGTCTAATGTTGCCGTCAATGAAGAAGTCGCTGCCATGTAGTTTTAATACAAATTGAATTGCAGATGGACTTGAGACTGTTGTGTAGGCCTTTCTTGCACTTCCCTGATATTTTGTCTCTCTTTCAATTAAAGAGATCTCATGCCTTACTAGTTTCGGACATGTTATCACAGAAAAAAGCAACAACGAGGCAAACTGATTCGTTGAGGGGTCAAGTCCTCGACCACATGAAAATAACAAAGAGAATTTCCAAACAATGAACTTCAATCACTTTGACTTCCTCTTTCAGAACCATGCAACATTTTGACAGCCTGCGGAGGTATGTAAGTAGTGATAAGTATCCTTGATGTCAAGATTCTAGGTATATTCTAGGCGATCTATCTCGTAGTACTCTGGGTTAAGCCAATCGACAATTAACGCTACAAACTTCGGCATATTTTCATTACTAACATTATATTCACAACAATGTCCCGGATGCCCATATTTGAACCGGGCCTCAACGCGGACTACATCAAGATAGTCCAGATTGTGGAAACACATATTGAAACTCTGACATACAAGGTCTGGCGCCGCCGCGAAGTGATTGATCAACTGGAAACCCTTTGTCGCGAGCTGGTATTCCAAGCAACTTGCGATGAATGCAAGCCTCGTAGTCATCTTCTTGGCTACGCCCAATTCCAGCGGTTCTCCATGACACTCAGACTTTGCTTACCTGAGGCAATCCTCGTCCTCGAGAGTGATGGGACTAGTTATCAGGTAAGTAATCGGGCTTTCCGCTGGATGAGAGAGGATGTGATTGAACACAGGGCAGCTTGTATCCTCAAAGAGGCACTTACCGCTGCGCAGTCCACTGACTGGTATCTTTGACATGGGTTGTTTGGAGAATTGATTTCTATAGGATATATTTGCAGAATTTTAATTAATGGCTTACGTGCTAAGTACCTCTAACACATTTATCTAAATCAAACCCTTTCCTTGTCTTGTAGATCCTCCCATAAATGAGCTATTTTGTGTAATTTGTTTCCCCTCGAGGTACCTTAAATCTACGTTATAAGAAATTCGAACCTTGCTATGGCGCTTTTTAAAACCCCAGTGGGTGTTGAATTCAGCGATTCATAGAGAGACACGAGGAGATCTTGATAACTGCTAACCATTCATGGATTTCAGATCCATATCAAAAAACCTGGGAAAATATTCCTTGGATGATATGCAAACACAGCGAGCCCAAGTCTACACCAGGATAAGTCCTAGGATAAGTGTCAGAAGGGCAAGATAACCCGAACCCAGGGCACAAGCAGAATTGAAGGAACTCGTGGGTGAGATAGCAGCACCAGTACTTGACTTGGAAGTCGAGCTAGCTGCGGTGACGGTGCTCGCTGCTGAGGTCGAATTGGAACTCAAACCAGTGCTTTTGGGCTCAGCGGATGAGACTGTGGGGAGGGTGCCAGCGGGATTGGAAGAATTACCGGTAGAGCTCGAAAATGCCGAGGACAAGATCGAAGAGGACAAGGCCGTAAGATACGAAGTGGATGTGACAAGGTCAGTAGTGGTTTCAGTTCCTGACTTAGCCGAACTCGACGCGAGGGATGAGGTCGCAGTAGATAACCCCGTAGAAGACGAAGTCAAAGAGGCAATATCGGAAGCAGTTGAAGTATCAGAACTGGTCGAACTCGAAATCTCGCCCGAGGAGACGCCACCATGTATCTCAATACTGTCCGAAGAGCCAGATTTGTCGGAATAGACATAGTTCTCCGCGGGGGTGTGATTGACGATCTCAACCGACTTGACATACATCGTGAACGGTGCCTTGGAGTAATCAGTCTCGCCGCCAGCCCAGTCGATAGTGCCCTTGATTTTGCTCGGGTCACCTCCTGCCCAGATACCAATTCTCACACGCATCGGTGTCTGTGGGAAGCGAGTGCCCCCTTTCGCATCAGCATAGTTGACTGTCTGAACAACGGTGCCATCAATCGCCCATGTCAGTTTCTCCTTAGACCAAATCCAGGTGTATTTATGGAACACTTCTTGAGGGGTCGTCACCGGCTGCCAGGTCCATCGATTGTAATCTTCACTAGTGTCACCTTTGCCGAAGTAATCTGTCTGGAGTTTGTCGGTAGAACCACCCAGTGCTTCCTGTATATCTATCAGCATATATGTTTCCTGAGAGATGCATTGCAAGTTAGAGCTCACCCAGTCAATCTCATCATTGTTGTCTGACAACATGTAAACGGAGCTGACAATGCCGGTACCAGGGGATCCTTTCATCTCAACAGATATCTCCCCGTAGAAGATGTAGTAGTCGGTTATGATTGTCGGGGTATCACCTTGCTTGTGGATCGTGAACTCCGCACCATCAGGGCCGGTGACTATTGCTCCACCAGCTGTTGTCCAATCATTCAAAGCGGAAGTCTGTGTCAAGTCGTAGTTGATATGGCCTTTGGTATTTCCCTTGTTAGACGGACAGGTTTTGTCGAAGGCATTGCAGTCTGGCGCGTTCTGAGCAAGAACGAGGGAGACTGTGGCAGCCAGAGCTGCGAAAATGAGGCGATACTGCATGATTGATATGGATCAGTTATCGTGAGAAACAGACGCGTCTCGTCAACAAGAGAGACGAGACGAGGAGTGACAAATTGACGAGCGATAGGCAAACAAAGCAAACGGATGGAGGTTCGCAAGAGAAAGAGGAAAGAACACAACAGGAGATAGGCAGAGTAAGGTCTGACAGTCCAATGTTTACTTCTGCGAATGCTGTTGTGCTGCGAGGACTGCCCACGGTAGTAAGTGTTGATACAAACACTGGACTCATGCTCAAGGCCTTGGGTCTTTCTCCGGCATTTTTTGTTTTGTTTGGTGTGCTAACTATGTAATTAGATGTAGCTGTTAAAGAACAAGAGAGTGAGGAGAATAATATGTGATTGAACTTGTATACAACCGGCAGGAGTCTCTATCCATATCCACTGCTGAAAGACAGGCCTAACGGGGCCTCAATATAGAGCGAGTCCAACTACTTTGGCAAGGACATCATATGCCTGCCATTTCCTGGAGCCAACTTTCAAGCAATAAAATGCTTTGAATAGTTCTAGCTGCAGATGGACCAGGGAAATGAAGTGCTTGTCAAAGTAGTTGGCCTCGATCTAAGTTGGTTCCCCATTAGTACTGGGATGGTCGTATATTCTGCGAATATTGCCAGAAAATGTACAGGAATTGATAAGTTGATCCCATTACCTCCCATCAACCCAATATAAGCTTCCTCGGCAAAAGAAAAAATGTCGAAGGAAAAAAGATGCCGAAGAGGCGAGCTGGTTTTTTAAATACTCTCCAGGGCTGTTTCATAGCGATAACAATAATAGCTTTGAATCCACTGCGCCTTTTTTTGTTCTTTCTTTCCATTTCCACTTTTTAATTTCCTCATCTTTTTATTGAACAGGGAATAGCCAATGATCGGATATTGTTCCTGATGTGTTCCTGAGAGCGGATGCTAGCGGGCTTCATAAAAATAGGGTGACCAATTGGCATCGATAGAACAGCCAGGTGAATTACGCTGCCAGTGGGGCTTCAACAGGCAGCCAACCCATTAACGGCAGTTTTAATTTGCGCTAAGGAGCTAGTTAGTATATAGTGCCGAGCCAAGCTTCGTAAAAGCTTTCCTTCGGCCTCGGACATAACACAAGTCTCCACAACTTCAATCTCAACTGGACGAGTCGTCTGCCACACTTTTTAACGCTAAACTCGACTAAGTATGGACAAGGTTCTTCTCCGTAATTACAGCTCGAATTGGCGATGCCTTGAGCCTGCTATCTCGCTTATTGACCTCCCTAATCTTGATTTTGCTAGCTTTTGCTAGCAGTCATGGCGAATTTCCCAGTCATTAAACTCACATCCACAGACTCCCTTATCTCCTTTTGTGGATGACTTTCTTAGATGTTGATTTCTATATATCCATCCCTCCGGCTACCGTGATACTTCTGCTGCAGAAATTGCCATATAAAGCGGCATTGTACAGGCGCTAGGATCGGACTGAGCATACCCACCCACGTTAATACAAACCCCGCCATCATGAAATCCTGGATTTCGCTCTTCCTTTTGCCCCTGACTACGATTGTCGGGGTCGCCAACGCTGCTACTGAATACACCGGAACGGATTGCAACCCCCTTGAAAACACGACATGCAGTGCGGATCCTGCCCTCGGAACCGAGCACACATGGCTATTCAACTCAACTCTCGACACCGACCTCTGGGACATGAGAACCGGCACTCTGGACTACACATCCGAAGGAGCCGACTTCATCATCAAAACTGAAAATGCGTCAACTCTCCTAGTATCCAACTTCTACATTTTCTTCGGTGTGATGGAAGCACACGTCAAGATGGCGAAGGGAGCCGGCATCATCAGCAGTGTCATCCTACAATCCGACGATCTGGATGAGATCGACTGGGAGTGGGTTGGATACAACACGAGCGGAGTGCAATCCGATTTCTTCGGCAAGGGAAACACAACCACGAGTGACCGTGGCGGATATCACGCGGTTTCGAATGCAGATACCGAGTTCCACAACTACACCTCATACTGGGATAAAGACCGTCTTGAATGGTGGATCGACGGTGACTTGGTGCGGACAGTGAACTACTCCGAGCCATTGACTGTGTATGGCAAAAACTACCCCCAAACACCGTGTCAGGTCAAGATCAGCAATTGGCCGGTTGGAGTCAAGGGACAGACGGAAGGCAATCTCGAGTGGGGTGGTGGTCTGGTTGACTGGTCCGATGTTCCATTCACTATGACTGTATCGAAGTTGCGCGTTCAGGATTTCCACACTGGAAAGGAGTACAAATACAATGGGACCACGGGCACCCGTGAGAGTATTGAGGTTATCAGGTGAGTTTGTTTTTGAAGCCGGGATTGAATGATTTAGGGACTAACTTCAATTCGCAGTGGAAATTCAACCGCAAGTACACAAATCAACAAAACACCGGCCAAGTCCCTTTCCGAGAAATGGGATGATCTTGGCCAGGGGGCTCATATCGGAGTCTACTGCGGTGCAGCTGTTGCTGGTGCGCTTCTCCTTGGTGCATTCATCTTCTTTTGTCTGAAGCAACGCCGGAGCGGCCGTTTACAACAAGCTTTGGACGATGGTCAATATAGCGCGGAGCTCACGACGTTGGAGCAGTCGAAGTTGAGATGGGGGCAAAGTGAATTGCGTAGCAAAGGCAGCTACCAGCCGGTGCCTTGACCGGGTCAGTTCGGTTGTATATATTTTTGGTCATTCTTATTAGTATTTAACGTCTTCCTTCTTGTATATTATATCTTACATTTTATCCAAATGGTATCCATTCAAAAGTCGTGTGCACATTTTAGAGCGGTTTCTAGATGTCTAGAACACTTGAGAAGAGGGATAAGACATCTGAAAGAATTCAAAAAGACTGCCAAAAGACATGACAAGGCCGCATAGGACGCTGGTTATAAGGTTCGCTGTCCGCCAGTGGGAGGTTTGATATTTCTTGAAGCATCTTTAAGCTGCTATGTGACACAACTAGAGACGTGGAGATCATATTTGTGATCCACGCTGGATAGGATATCCGCTCAAATGTTCGGATGCAAACAAAGAGAGAGAGCGAACCAGATAACTGAGTTAATAATACAGGTCCATCCCCAATCAAACGAAACCCTGGCGATTTGCACCTCCCAAACAAACCGAATCCGCTTATAACTCCCCATCAGCCAATCACACCCGTCCCATGAGATACCGTAGGATACATAGGTAAAGTTATGGTGGTTGGCTAGCCAAACGACATTTGTCTGCTTCGGAGAGTGAAGTGGGGGCGATGATCATGCCTCGAGTCAAGTCGGAACAATGTCGGCGACCACTGGGGAGGACAGGCTTTGATCGTCCCAGCACATGGTGGTGGGGCTCTTTGTACTTCAAATAGGGAGGTAGAGATGAAAGACAATCCGACCAGAAGGGTGACCGGAAGTGTGACATGTCGGATCAGGTCTGGGCACGTTCGAGAAGTAGAGATTCAAGCTTTGCGACTGTTTCAAAAGTCGAGCAATTCATGAGACCGCGTAGAGCCCTTCACGCTCCCATCGCTTCATCATCAGAGAGATGACTTGGTGCGCTGCTCACACCTGAGCTGTCGCTCTCTGTCGTCTCTGAAGCCCGGGCACGAACCTGTACACCCCAGTCTTGGATGCTGGGGGCACCACCCTCGATGACGACAGGGTGCTCCTCGGCGTGTTTTCCCAGAACAGTTCCAGCGTAGCGCGACTCCTCGCCAGTCTTACTGTGTTTCTTCTTCAACGCGGTCAAGTAATCCTCCTTTTCAACGGCGTCGGGGTCCACCATGTCACCCTCGCTGGGAACAAAGCCGGCAACACGTCGGATTTCACGGTGGGCAGGGCCAGTGATCCAGCTGAGGAACGCATCAAGACCACGCATATCTTCTTCTCCCTGCCATTCCTCTTCCCATTCGCGTAATTGTGGCCGTATGGCTCCTGCGTCCTGCAGAGCTTGATAGATGTCTTCGAGGTCCGGAACTGGGTCGTATGGGTGCGCATTGGCAGCATGCTCAGCTGCAGATGAGGCGAGAATAATCAGATACCGGCCAGTCAGGTCCTGGATAGATTCTAAGACTGAGGGGCGTGTGGAGTGGAAGCCTTGAGCGCGGAGGATTTGGATGATCGGAGGGCGGAGGAGAGCGTTGTGAAGGTTTGGGCCGGACATTTTCAATAGCAGAGTATCGGTTGATGAGATGAAAGCAGAGCCTATCAATTTATCTCCACTAAAATGAAGACTTAAAAGAAGACTGAAAAGAGGATTGAAAAGAGAACTGAAAAGCCACGACGCAAGTGTGAACTGTGAAAGAGTAAAAAGGAGTGTTAGAAACGGAGGTGCGGTGTTAACGCGCCGCAATCCAAAGCGGAGAATCTCATCTTTCCGCAACCTCACGTCCTCCACCTACACATCCTCCATCCTCTCTTCTCGCACTTGCTACCTCTCAGGTAGCTCTCATATTGGCATAATCATGCCTTTAAAGATTAAATTCTCAAGAAGGCCAGACCCCCCGCCAGCAGAAGAACCGGCGGCGCCTGTACCACCTGTGCCTGCGCCTGCGACCCCAGTGGCCGAAGCTCCTCAACCTCCGCGCAAGATAACGCTTAAGATCGCACGAAAACCTCAACCTGAGCCGAGCGAGGAGAAACCAAAGAAGAAGAAATCGACAAAGAAGCGACCAGCCGAAAGTCTCGCGCTGCCCGAGCCCGAACCTGAACCCGAGACAAGCCAACAAGGCCCCAAACGAATAAAGCTCATCCCATCCAAGAAACCCGCCTTACAGTCCATCCGCATCAAGAACAAGGGAATCGTGCCCAACCGACCGGTGGGCGTTGGGTACGACTCCGAAGCCTCGGACACAGAAAATGATCCCGCCATTGAAGAACAATTCATCCTACGAATGCTCCCAGGAGAAGACTGCGATATTGTGAGGAAATCAATCAGTGATAGGACATTCAAGACTGGCGAAGTCGGGCTCAAGCCCCTCACGCGTGAGGGTCGGCGCTCCATCTTGAATGTTCGGGGTCGCCAATATGCGGCAGCCCTAGTGGATCTACCCTGCATCGTTGAGGGCATGAAGAGTTGGGATCGACGAGGCTGGTATAAGTCAGCAGATATCTGTCAAATGCTCTTGGTTCTGGGACGTGTCAACAGCGACCAAGAAGCTTTGGAATACCCACTCCCCCCGGGTGTTGACTCCCCCGATGAAAAGACACTTCAATACGCACACGGTATCGCACCGCCCCTCCGCTGGGTTCGCAAGCGCCGGTTCCGCGACCGTGTTAGCACGCGTACAATTGAACAAGTTGAAAAGGCCGTGGAAGAACTCATGGCCCAGGATGAAACTTCGATCTTCCCTCCCAAGTTCGAGTTGGTGGACAGCACATCCCTGAATCGCGTCGAGGGCTTGGTGCAAACGGGAGAATACGAAGATGAATACGATGATGAGCAGGATGCATACGGTGAAGCAGAAGAAGAGATGATGGACGACTTTGAGGACGCCCTTGCTGCTGAGATGGAAGCCGCGCTTGCTGCCGGCGACGATGAAGCACCGGGCCCAGGACCAGAGCAGATGGACACTCCATCTATGCAACCTTTCACACCAGCTGGAGGGCAGACCGAACGCGGCGACACCTCTGCCGATGAGAGCAATATCTCCGACGAAGACGAAGAAGATGAGCTGGATGACGATCAAATCGAGCAGCAGCAACAGCTCCAGCAACAGCGCGAGGAAGTCGCCGAGCTCGAGGCTCTCATCCGAACTGAAACCGCGCAGTGGGAGAAGGTGCAGAATCACATTCTACGCAACAAGATGGGCCGACGTATCCAGGAACTAAAGAAGGACCTGCAACTGAAGAAGGTCTCCATGGGCATGCCAGCCGGGGACGATATTTGATCTCCCTCTTCACCTCCTATGTTCAATCTTGAAAATTTCCGGCGTTATCGTTTCAATAATCATACCCAGTTTGTCTGACCGAGAGCGAGTCCGGTTTCCATGTTGATACAAGCAGCGCTTAGCTAGCTCGAAATCCTTAATGAAAGTTATGTCCAAATCTCCTAAGTACATTAAATTACGCCCCTTCCAACGCTATTCCAAGATCAAATCCAGATCCATTACCGGGATACACTTTCATTACCTATTTACCCACCACTGGATCACCAGTAGCCTGTTTAACGGCCCCTTCCACATCCAACTTCTCATCCTGCTCCAACTTACGTCGTCTAACAACCTCACCTTCGCTCTCCGGATCAGCCGGACTCTTCCCAACCCTGTCACCAAGAACCCGATCATGTTCAACTCTCTTCGCCCCCAAATTCGCCGCCAGATCATCCGCCTCCCCGAAACCAGGATGCCCAGGTCCACCCGCACTCCCAACTGGACTAGCATGCGCACCCGCCTGTGCACGCTGCATTCCCATCCCCTTGCGCTGAACAGTATCCGCAATATACCCCTCCGCAGGCTGCTGTTCTACGCCGTATTCTAGATCGACGTCGGTGGCATTGTGCAGTTCTTGTTCGTGTTTCTGGTGCTGTGAGCTCAGACGAGCTCGTTCTTCGTCGCTTGAGGGTTTTGATTCCGCTGTGCGTTTAATTGCTCCAATTGTATCGCCGTGGTGTCGGCCCGGTTCGGTGGTTGCTCGTTGTTCTTGTGGCGTGTGTGATACAGGATTCGAGGATTGGGTGTAGGCTGCTTGTTTTGGGGGCTGGGAGGGTTGGTTTTGGGTTTTTGAGCGGGTCTGCATGGTTATGAATGTGGTGATCTAGATTTGTATGATAATAAATAGTTGATTGTAATGGGAATATGTTCAAAAGAACAAGAAGAACAAGAAGAACAGGAAGAATAAGAAGTGTAAGTCAACGGTTGAAGAAAGTGACAGCTATGTACCCACTTCTGACGTCAGGGATGATTGACCAATGGGAGCAAAGTGGAAGTACAAATGTACAACCGTGGAACCGTGGAACAATGCTCTTGTTTTGTGGGTTGGAATCCTGACTGCGTACAATCTTGACCCCTCAGGTCTCAGTTAATACAGTCTAAGAGATAAATCCTTTTAGTGTGTAACAAAGTACTGTGTCCTTCGTACCAAATCAACAAATGCGAACCAACAAGGCTACCAAAATGACCACTTTCCAAGTGAACGACCATCACCTCGTTCCGCACAGATCGCCACGTTGACCCAGACTACCGGGACTCCCAAAGGCTCGGTGGCAATAGCAGCATCCCATCCCGTCTATCCCCGCCCAAGCGGCACCACAACCGTCTAATTGTAGTTAAACCCGCAGTGCACGAACTAATCAAACCGACCAACGGGGCCCGGGAGTATGTTACCCAACCCACCAAACACCCTAAGACAGTTCAACGTCCGAGGGTGAATTAGGGGAACTCTATTCGACTCCACAGTCTGCCCACTCGCTTACAACTCACTTACGATGTTCTCCTCCCTCTTTTTCACCCGGGCAGAGACAGTACAGTACACCCGTCCATATCTCCTCCATGGCTAAACAAACCTACTATCTGCCTCGCGGCTCGCGAATCCTCGTGACCGGCGCCAATGGCTTCGTTGGGAGTAATGTCATTCACAGCCTGCTTGAACTAGGGTTCCGGGTGCGCGGGACTGTCCGGTCTCCCAAACCGTGGCTCGATGAGATGTTCCGGGAGAGATTCGGGCGGGATTCGTATGAGTCTGTTATTCTTGCCAACTTTGAGGATGTGGATACTCTGGCTAAGTTCATGGATGGTGTATCCGGGGTGGCGCATGTGGTATGTGTTTTGCTAATCGGAATGGGACTTGAGGACGAGAGTGCGTGTACTAACGAGGTGTTGGGATATGTAGGCATCAGATGTCACTTTCAGCTCGAATCCGGAAGAGGTCGTACCGTGGGTAGTGAGAGCTACTCATAATGTGCTGGAGGCTGCCTCGAGACATTCCAATATCAAACGGGTTGTCTTGACCTCTTCTGCGGTCGCAGTGTTAATTGCGCAGCCGAACACAGAGGGTATTGTTGTTCATGAGGGTGAGAGACAAGTTCCTAGAGAAAGGAAAGGAAGGATGTATTGGCTGACACTGCATCTAGATTCCTGGAATGACGAGGCTATCAAGCAAGCCTATAACCCGGATACTCCAGAGTATCTGAAGGGTATGTTCGGTTATGCCGCCTCCAAGACCGAGGGAGAAAAGGCAGCATGGAGATGGATGGAGAAGAACAAGCCGAGCTTCCAATTTAATACCGTGTTGCCGGATTTTACCGTGAGTTCTATGGTCTGATGACAGCCCATTCAAACGTGTGATATTGACTCGGAATAGCTCGGGAGAATCCTTCACGAAGAGATCCACGGCTCGACATCGGGCTGGGTCGCTGCTCTGACGAAGGGAGATAAACGTATTTTCGAGACATTTGTGCCGCGTAAGTGGACACTGCCGTTAGATTGGTTGATCATAGCTAATGTACAAAACAGAATACTTCTGCGATGTTATCGACATTGCGCGTCTCCACGCAGCAGCCCTCCTCGACCCGAACACCGTCTCTCGGCGACTCTTCGGGTTTGCTGCTCCCGTGAATCTCACTGATATGATATCAGTTGTTCGGAAGCTCCGACCTAATAATACTTTGATTCCTGAACCTCCCGTTGACGACGGACGTGATCTGAGTGAAGTTATCCCCGCCAAGGAAGCGGAACGGATCCTGCGGGAATTCTGCGGGCGGGAAGGGTGGACTTCGTTGGAGGATAGCATTGCTCAGGGACTTGAAGTGTCTCGAAAGAGATTGGCTTCGTTGTAGAGTTCCATCTTCCATATGACAGACTCCATTAATCTTGCAAGTACATATTCATGAACAAGAAATGACTATTTTTCAAGTTTCGGTTGAGCCTCTCATTCTGCAGGTTCCGGGCCCTTTCCAGGAACCGCCTTCTTGCTGTGTTTCTTCATCGTAGGTGTTGTATTTTTGTCTTGAGTCTTTTTTCGATCTTTTTTTGCGTCCTTTTTTGACCATATTGACCGCGTGCAACACGGGCCACTGTTGACCTCGAGAGTCCCCCGTCGACACTGGCAGCGATAGCAGCCCAACTGGGTCGATCGTCTTTCCTCGCCAAGCGTGCAATGTAACGTGTAGTCTGGCCACTCAATTTAGAAGGACGACCTGATCTGGGCTTTGAGGCCATATCTTTACGTTCTTCAAACCGCGTTTTCGTGCGGTAAACAGTGGATCGCGCGACGCGTAGATCTCCGGCGATTTTGATGGCCGAATCGCCATTTTCAAGCGCTTTGATTATTGCTGCACGTGTTGTTTCTGATAACTCAGGACTTGGCGCTGGCTTTTTGGGTTTTGTTGGTTGTGCCATGGCTGAATTATCGTTGATGGTTGGGAAGAGACAGGTTGTGGGCGTGGGATTTGCCGAAGGAATATTGATTGGTCTTCAAATAAGTCACCCTCTATCTCCACAGGCCTCATATCTTCATACCATCATTTTATCGCAGATCTCGACAGTAGAATTTAGGTAAATATTGTACTATGGGAATATCACCATTGAAGTTACTGTGGCAATGTGACCACTGCTCTTCCCGTAATACCATCTCCCCTCAATTTCTCTATCAAAGTCGGCACAGCCGAGAAATTAAAAATTTTGATCGATGGAGATATCTTGCCAACAGCTGCCGCTTGCAGTAAGTCGGTCATTTGAGCTTCGGTGCCCACAGATGACCCTATAAAGGTGAGACCTATTGTTCCAAGGGTTAGTATATGATTTCGACACTGAGATCACATCCAAAAGCCATCTTACCTCTCGCTGTGCAAAGCGTAGCCGAAAGAGGAATATCCAAGTCATTCGGCGGCAAGCCAACATTGACAACAAACCCCATATTTCTCACCAGGTTAGGTGCCATCTTCAATGCTTCCTTCGTACCCGGCACCACGATTGTCGCATGCGCGCCCTCTCCAGTAAACTCACGCACTCGAGCGATAACATCTTCAGTCTTATAATCAAAGAAAACTTCTGCTCCAGACTCCAAACTCAACGCTCTCTTATCATCCCCGCCATCAACAGCAATAACGCGCAGACCTTTCATCCTCGCTGCAATTTGTACACCAATATGACCCAGCCCGCCTCCAGACCCCGAAATAACAATAAAGTCCCCAGCCTGCAGTTCGTTATCAAGTTTTGACAAAGCACCAACCATAGTAAGACCGGCACACAGCAAAGGCGCCGCAACTTCATCAGCCAAGCCCTCCGGGATCATTGTCAAGAACCGTGCATCGGCAATGACATACTGCTGCAATGTTCCAGGGACATGGCGACTTGTATTGAGCTGCAGCGCACAATTGTGCGGGAATCCTCGTTTGCAGACTGAGCATTCGTTGCATGCACTGTAAAGCCATTTAACGCCGACGCGTTCACCGAGAAGGGATTCGGAGACGTCGGCACCGGCTTTCACTACTGTGCCAACTCCTTCGTGGCCGATGATAGAGTTGTATGCGCCCCAGGCTAGAACGGCGCGGAGTTCTGAGCGACTTTTTTGATAGTATTGAGTTAGTTTTTGGATTTGAATTCACTTTCAAATGGTAGCGCTTACCATAGACCGGTGCAAGTTAATTTGATGAGAACTTCATTTTTTCCAGGACTTGAGACAGGTATATCATTCTGAAGAGTGATAGTTCCATTTTCTCCGGGGTTTTGCACCACGGCGGCTTGTTGTAGAGTGGGTGTGGAATTTGCCATCGATGCGAGTAGGCTCAGATGACGTTGTCTAGTGTTATGGAGCGTTAAATTCGATGCGATCGATGTTTACTAGGGTTTATTACTCTATAACCTTTTTTTAATAGACAGCACCAATGTTGAAGCCTGGTTTATAATCCATTTTAGTCGAACAGAGAACGATGTTCGGTTTACCGAGGTAATTGATTCTCGGTCAGAATATCGGCAAGTAGATGACGGGTACGGAGTACTTAGTGCTATTGTTCCCATTCCTGATAACATTTCTGGGGCTAATAATTATCCTTTTGGTTAGGAACAATGTCTTAAGAAATCACACCTGAAAAGAATATCCAAAAAAGACATCCAAGTGCCATCTTACGCCTTAATATCCCTAAGATCATCTCGAGCCAGATAAATTAGATCATTACAGTCTTAGATCGTCAAGGACAGAGGCCACAGACACGGCCAACTACTCTTCTACTCATTCAGTGAAAAACATATACAATAACCACCACAAGTGGCCAGTTCAGACCATCCTGCACTCACTGGAGGCTTTTTTATTACTATTTTTCTTTTTCTCCCCATTTGCCCACTTCAAAGGTGCATTGTTAAACAGTCACCCAGACATTCAGCAATCGCGCATTGGCTATCCATGCCCAGATTCTACTCATATATGCCCATTCACTTTGACAAGTTTACAGGCTTCCCGTTCAGCACATACGGGGTAGAGTACCCCAGGGAAACCAAAGCCTTGGAGACCTGAACCCAGTCTTCCTGATCCTTGACCGCGATCAACCACTCCGGATCCCCCATGATTTTCTTGATAGTTTCCACGTCGGGAAGAGTGTACTCGATGAAACAGTCGAAGTCAGCGAAATCCCAGCTCTGTCGAAGCTGTCCGATTTCCTGTTTCAATGCGTCATTCATAGGAGGAGGTGTGACAAACTATATATCAGTAATCAGTCACAGTTGCAACTTAAAGTCCCGATAACAACTACTTACGAGCGAGTATTCAATGACTCCGTATTTGGTGAAGACGGGCATGGCGAGAGGTAAGTGCTCCTCGACCATCCACTTCATGAATGCCTCATGCGAGTGTCGTTGCTGACGGTAGTGGGTAATTGTGAATCTTACAGGTCGGTTCTCTGGGATTTCAGCCATATTGATGTTCTAGTAAAAATAATATATCTGAGAAAAGGATCATCCGACAATATCTGGGGATTCGATCTATTTGAGCTTTGGGTTTCCGGTGGTACCCGGACCCTGTAGGGAATGCCTAATGCAGCGACTGGACTCGTTGGGGAGAGGTGATGATCTATCCATCAGCCCCTCGAGACCCCGGGGCCCGGCCGTGCTTAATTTTACACAGCAAAAAGCGGCAAGGCGTTGGGCACCAAAATGGAAATGTTACAACCCCATGGAGCACGGAAATCCGTAGAACATCTCTATTATAACAGTATCCATGTATCATATCTCTACAAGTACCTGACAAAAGATTAGTGTAACTTTTTCCATAATACTCTTGATCCTCTATGTTCCTTCAACCCCGATTCTTAGGATCCACTATAACAAAACTATCCCCCGCAGTAGTGAAGAGGATATTCAGAAGAGCCTCGCACAGGCTAAAGTGGAACTTGAATATGCCGACTCTCATAGTGATGATATAATAATTGTCAATCACAATGTGCAAAATGCGTTTTATGAGATTAAAAATTATTGCCTTACTTTTGCTTTATTGAAAGTTTCCGATTGCATCTGTACTTGTGAATCATGCTACCTAGTCTAATTATATATTTAGCCAATGCTTAATCTAATATGCCAGTTGGCAGCCATCTCCCCCAAGGGAAGCTTGGACACCAATACATTGTCTCTAGTAGCACTTAAAATAGAGGATCTCCCGAAATAATGAATATCACGAGCAATGCTTTTCCTTACGAACCAATTTGGATGGCTTTGGTCGTCACGTGATGACATCATTACGGCCAGCATGTGATGGCGCCGAGGTCTGATTAGTATTCAAATAGCCGATCATATTTGGATAAGGCATCGTGTCTCCTCAACAACTTTCTTACTCCAAACATTCCCATCATGACGACTCTTTTCACCGTACCGATCAGCTCTACCGGAGGCTCAATCATCTGCACAAACCCTAGCGCAGCGAAAGAGCATGAGACCATCTACGTGCTCACCTTTAGTTCACCCCCGGACAACCGACTGACACCCATTTTCATTGATGCCCTGCTGCTCGCTCTCGATATTATCGAGCACCGTTACCCCAAGGGTGTCGTAGTGACTACTAGTGGAATTGTCAAGTTCTACAGCAATGGGCTTGATCTCGATCTTGTCGGGAAAACCGAAGGGTTCCTTGAGAACTGGCTGTGGCGATTGTTCCGACGACTTTTGACGTACGTTTTTGTCTCAAATCCTCATTTGAGGATACAGTCCAGTCATGCATATTTCCAAAAACAAAACAAAACAAAGAAAGAAACAAAGAAAGAAATACTAAAGCCTATCTAGATACCCCATGCCAACCGTGTGTCTACTAAACGGACACGCTTTTGCTGGCGGCTTCATGTTGGCCATGTACCACGACTACCGAATTATGAACCCAGACCGTGGTTTCCTCTGTGTCAACGAGCTAGAATTCGGCGTCCCGCTTCAGACGCCCATGATGGCTATCTTCCGCGAGAAGCTGACGCCAGTCACTTTCCGCAGTGTGGTTCTAGAAGCTCATCGCTTTGGTGGACGTAACGCCCTCCAGGCCGGTATCGTTGATGCCGTTGGTGGAGCCGAGGAAGCGCTTGCGCTGATCCAGACACGCAAGCTTCAGACTAAAGCTGCGACGGGTATCTACGGTACCATGAAGGAGGAGATGTACTCTCGGGTCTTGAGCGGATTGGATGATCATGCTGGAAACTTGCAGTGGCGCGAGAAAGTTGAAGATAAGAACCATGCTGTTCGGGAAAGAGGGTTGGGCTCTGTACAGGAGTTTGAGAAGAATGGGAAAGCGAAGCTTTGAAATTGGTGGAATCTAGAGTTTTTTTGAATTCCTTTGTTGATATTATACTGGATTGTGTACATATACCTATTGTTGGTTCAACCATTTAGACCAATAACTACCTCGGCCTATCGTGTCAGTATCACATTCGCAAAGAAGCTGGGAATAAAACTCTTGGCCTAATCAAGCTACTACAAAAATAATGTATTAAACCTCCTTTTGCACCTTTCAGACTATATATACTAGGGACATTGTTAAACGAAAGTCGCTCCTTTGCTCGTGAGAAAAACAAAAATCCGAAACGGAATTCAAGATGTGAAGAAATAGTTCACCAGTCTAGCAAGTCAAGTGATTGAAAGGATCCAGTAAGGGCGTCGGCTTATCCTTGTAGTCAAGTAGATGCGAGGCAGCCACATTGGTATCATTGCAGTTGATCTGATTACCAGAGTTCCAAAGTATCTTGTGAATCCATTCAGTTGATTGTCCCCAGGCGTAGATGTCTTGCATGAACTTGATCGACTTGTCCCAGGGAATCGTCTTCAAACAACGTGGCGTAGACTGACCCGGTGCAATCTCAGTAATCCACAAAGGCTTATCGTTATACTTCTCGCGGAAGGCATCTATTTCGGCTTTGGCTTCCTCGAAGGTCGGTCGATAGATATGGACGTTGTGTGCAGTGAAAAAGTCTCGGCAGTTGCATTCGTTGTGGAAATCAGTGAGTCAGGTGCTCATTTGGTGGGCCGGCACGGGTGCGATGAATTCTGTATGGTTTCCAGGTGACTTCAACAATGGTTTGATAAGATCAGCGGCATCTTTGGGATTCAAGATCACTTTGCCCGTCTTGTAATCATTGTCGGGCTCGTTGAATGTGAGCAAGTAGTCCGGTGGATTTGGGCCATTGACTACTGCGATGGCCTTATCAACAGCGTCCTTGTTGTTGCCTAACATTGGGATTTGCTTAGGCTGAGTTCCAAAACAAAACGTGAGCCAATTAGAAGCGCCAGGCATCTGAGAGAATTGAGATGGGCTGTAATTCGAGTTAAAGACAACGTTCACAAGTCCATCCGAGCAGTGTGCCGTTACCCCTGGGATGGTCAAGATGCCGTGTATTGCCATTGGCAGGACTAGCGACATTTGGGGAACGAAGCGCATCTTGGAAGTGTTTCAGCAATGGTTTATGATGGTTGAAAGTCAATGGACTGTTGGAGTTTTGCTCGACGGACAATACAGATTTTATAGTTACTTGATTCAACAAAGCCTCCGCCATTTCAGGCCAGCCAAGTGAATCATCATCCTACCTATGCATAGGAAGGCTTTTGAGACTATCACTTCCCCTTCCAGAGCCCGCTACAGCTGAGATGCCCAAGATTTCCCATCACTCGGCCTATTTTAGGACGCCTGAGGCCCATCATAGGACTTCGCTTGCTTCAGATGGGATGCCTAAGACCCATCTCCACACAGCCCACTATAAGGGGGCAATTTACGGACCTCTAAAGACTTATAGAGCCCTAGGTCGATTGAATGAAGCACGGATCAACGCTGCATAGTACCATCTGGGCAGGGACCGAGACGGGATGACTGCTCGAGCCAACCAATAATATCGCGCCGTGTCGATCAGGCGTTCAGCCAGGAAGTTATAAGCGTCGTAAACTCACGTCTTCCAGGGGTGAAATAAAGACGTGACTTAAGTTGATAAGCTATTATCATGTTGGTGCGATGCTACTGCCATGTTATTCTTCAACGCACAACGTTGTCATGTCATTGATGTTTAAGCAATTTGATTTCGCGGAGTCATACAGGAGAGGTATTACCACTCATGGACAGGAAGCTATAAGAGGAAGTATCCGCATTTACGGAAAGCATAAGTACATGAAACATGGCGTCGTTAGTTAGGAACTAAGACACACATGTCTTAGCACATTAGACCCCACATCAATTTCGTTAACCGGCCCATCAAATGGGTTTATACCATATAAAAGCGCATATTCAGATTAGTCAGATTGAGTTAAATTCATCTTAGCCATAGGTTTTAAAGACCTCACCGAAATTGTAGAAATACTTGGTGTAAACGCTGTATGATGCGGCAGGTCTCTATATGAAGAATACTATATGTTGTATATTGCTTCACTATCTCCACTATAAGCTTGTCTAACTAACAGGAACTAGCTTGAAAGCTAGTATTCTTTACAGTAGAATAATCTTTTACCATAAATTGGTACGTTTTTTAAGTAACTAGTAGTTATTTATCTTTCCCTCGAAACCGTTTTACATATTGAAACCTTCAATGTATTTTTAAAACATGTTAGCAACATACAACGGTTTCGAGGTAAAACATATTATTCTAAAATATCAATTTTCACTTCTTATATATTATAATAGCGTAGTAAGATAGTTTTAGTAATAACAACGCACGTATACCTATTGTTTGTAACAAAACCATCTCATAACTATAAGTACTGAGAAATTACAAACCACAAGACCCCCATGATTGTCTGCGGCATGCCTACTAGCGGTAGTTATATACGCGGTCATAAAACTATGTTCATATATATACCTGGCGCGAGGTTAGTAGTTGTTGCAGCATGCTATAAATTTGCCGCCGATGCTATGTGGATCTTAGCCCTGAGTTTAAACAAGGCCGGGCACAAGAGAGCTATAGATCTAACCGCTATTCTAATTCGCCCCAAGATCCCAAAGCCTCTTAAACTTGCTATCTCGCTTCAGGAGAGCACGAGGATTACCCCATTCCAGGAGCCGACCACCGCCCATGACAGCAACACGATCGAAGTCGACGACGGCACCGAGGCGATGCGCAACGGCAATGACAGTGCAGTTGGCAAATTGCTCGCGCATGACATCCCTAATGAGCTGCTCGGACCGCTCGTCGACGTTGCTGCTCGCCTCGTCGATTAGAATGATACGTTTGCCCGCTAGCATGGCCCGGGCGATGCACAAGAGCTGGCGCTGGCCCTGCGAGAGCCGTTCGGCGTCCAGTGGGCTGTCTAGGCCGCCTAGCCGATCTACGAGATCATCCATTTTGAGCTGACCTAGGACGTGGAGGATCTTGCCGTCGTCGAATTGCTGCTGCTCCTGCTGTTCGTGCTCCTGCCGGTGCTGCTGTCGGCGAAGGACGACAAGGTTGTCGCGGAGGCTCGTATGTTTCAGGAAGAAAGGGTGCTGCGGCACAACGGCTACTGCAGCGCGTACAGCCTGCCGTGGCAACTTCGTGATGTCGATGCCGTCGATAGTGATGTGCGAGCCGGGGCTGACTTCAAGGAGGCGCAGGATGCAGCCTAGGAGCGAGCTCTTGCCGCTCCCGCTGCGGCCACAAATGCCGACCTTGGTACCGGCGGGGATGTCGAGACTCACGCCGCGCAGAACAGGCTCGCCGCCACCGCCAGCATCGTACGAGGCCACCAGATCCTTGATGGTGACGCGGCCGTGTGTTGGCCAGTTCTCGGGCACGGTACCCGTTTCATCGGATCGGTTCTCCGACTCGGTGTCGGTGCAGAATGTCTTGACGCGCGCAACGGCGCCAAATGACGTCTCAAGCTGCGTCCAGTCCTGGATGACGTGGGCCAGTGACTGGCCGAACGACATGATCTGCACGAAGGCCAGGGCCACGTACTGCGGCGATAGCTGCGCCCGCAACTTCACGACTAGAACCATCATGACGGTCACGAGCACGGCTGTCATCAGGTCAAGCACGAGGCCCAGCCAGCGCTGGATGCAGAAGAGCAGGTAAAATGGCTTTTGCGAGGCGTCGAGAAGGTCTAGGTACTGCTCGATGAAGCGCGGCCCCCACGCAAACGCCCGTACCGTGGACAGGCCCTGGAGGAGGTCGAGAAACTGCGTGAAGAGAGGAGATTTGGCTTCGAGATCAAACAGTCGGATCTGCCGAGACGTCCGCACGTAGAACTTTTGTAGCACTGTTGGTCCATAGTAATATTAGCTTGGGGGTCAGTGCCATGGCTTCTTGGGTCTCATTAAAGAGTTCGGTGGCGGGCTGTCAAAACTTACACCAGCAGAAAGCGACGAAGGGCACAAGCGTTGCTGCAAAATACCCAGAAAAGACGCACATCAGGATGACCGACATGACGATGAGGGTAAAGTTGACGCAGAAATCCACAAGGGCGAAGGGCAGCTCGGTGTCGACGACTGCCATGTCCTGGCTGAAGCGATTCGTGGTGACTCCGACGTCGGTGCGCGAGAAGAAGGCTACAGGGGCATTCATGACGGAATGTAGAAGCCGACCGTGAAGAACCTTGGAGCTCAAAGCCACCATGACGACCAGGAAGAAATAGGCGGCTCCTGTGATGCCCAAGACGGCGAGACCGGTGAGCATTCCGAAAAGCCCGAGGTAATAGTTATTGGTGGCTTGGCCAGTTTCTTGCGCAGTGCCCGTCCAGAAACTGAGTACGAGTGCCGTCATCCGAAATCCTCCTGCGTACAGAATGGTGAGGGCAGCGAACAGTATGGTGTGCCATGTAGGAACGGAGCGAAAGTAATATGCATATGTGGCAAACTCGCCGAGGACTCGTCCGGGCGATTCAGAGTTAGCGCTGTTCTGGTCAGCATCTTGTTCGGATTGGCTCTTGGGAACAGTCTCATGGCGATGCTGCACCGATGCTTTAGCTGTGTCCCGCGCGTCAATGGCGCCGTTCTGCTCGACTGCCAGCCCATGCAGATAGTCTGTATCGGATTGAAGTTGGGCGAATGAGCCTTGGTGCACGATATGGCCAGTGACATCCAGAGCAACTACATGATCGGCATAAGCGAGTCTATGGATGGCATTCGTGACACAGACCACAGTTATGCTCATCTGCCGGAAGAGACCCGCCTCGGCAAAAAGATTCTGGAAGACGTGCTCCTCAGTCCCCGCATCCTGCCCTGCAAAGACATCATCCAATAAGACTGTCTTTTCCCTAGAGTAGACGGCTCGGGCTAAAGCGAGCCGCTGCTTTTGACCGCCGCTCAACGAAAAGCCCGCGCTGCCCGCCCTTGTCGCATCTCCGTCGGAAAGTTCGCCGATATCCTGCTCCAGCCCACACGCGTCGACAACTTTGCCGTACCATTCTGCATCGTAGCTGGCACTGCCTAAAATATTCTGACGTATCGTCAGGTTCTGGATCCAGGGCTCCTGACCAACAAACGCAATGTTGCCGGGATTGGCATGGATGGAACCCGCTCGGAGCGGGACTTCTCCCAGAATAGCTCGCATAAAAGTGCTCTTGCCCGAGCCCACGGGTCCGACGACAAAGGTGAAGCAAGACCTACGGATGTTGACGGTGATGTCGTTGAGGATGTCCGGCTTTCCGGGAACCCAGCCAAAACTGGCTCCTGATATCGCCACAAGTGTGTCTCCTTTCTCATTGTCTTGGCTTGGATAATGATCCCGCTCGCCCAAGGGCAGTCTGTAATCGGTACAGCTTTCTGACAACAAGTAGGTTTGAATGCGAGAAAAACACGCGAGGGCGGCACTGACGAATGGGATTGTACGAAACATGACAACCATGGGGTCCGACAAGAGGTATATCAGCGAGAGCGAGGTATAAGCAGATTCCGTGTTCAAGGGCTGACCAGTGCTCTTGGAAATAACCACAAAGGTTACAAACGTCGCCAAAGGGGCGATGGTCGCCGTGTTCATTGCTGTTCGGCCAAGGGGGTCAGCACTGTCATGACCACACGTTGGAAACGCGGCATAGCAAGGATCCATTACTCAGGTACCTACCAATAAAGGTCTGTATGGCTAACAGTCTGCGATACTGCTTGGACAAGTCCAGCTCTGTTATGCGGAGTTTCTGGATCATGTTTGCGACAATATCTGACAAACCAAGCATTTTAACTTCCTGCAGCGCACCTATTAGTGTTGTATCCTATCATTAAGAATAGGTATTATCGGGCGTTTGCGCTGGCTCCTAACCTTCATGGATGCGAGGACGGAAGCCGTTACATCGACCCGCGTTTGGATGCCCCTCATCCATCTCTTCTTGGCCATTCCAATGAACTGGGCAAGCTGCAACATACCAGTAGTGGCAATGATTGCTACAACTACCGGGGCCAGAGCGGCAAGGCCAAGCTGCTTGTGCAGGAGAAAGATGGCGACTGCAGACTCGATTGGCGAGGCCCAAAGCTCGTGCAAGGTTGCGGCGCTTTGACAGATACTCTCGGTGTCCGTGGACATGAGCGATACCGCCATGGACTCATCGAGAGCAGTACTGCTGAGATCCAACGTCTTGGTGTATATCAAACTGGAGAGACTGCCGCGAACCGAAGTGACGAACCGATATGTCATCTGGTAATAAAAGCCGTTCGAAATTGCTTGCCCAAGGAAGACCAGCAGCCATGCGCCCGTCAGTCCCCATCCAATTGCATCCGACTGCGACGGATCGGCAGTCCAGGAAGTCGTTCTGGTGATAAGAAATGGCAGCGTGTACTTGAAAGCTGCCAATGAAAGTCGGGGTGCCACGCCAGCCAGAAATATATACTTGGTGGCCCACAACGTGGAGAAAGCCAAGGAATGGCGGTTGGACTGATTTGATGAACCAAATGAGTTTCGTGCTTTGGGGAGTAGTGTTCGTGCCGCTAGGCTGTCGTGGATGGGGAGCAGATCATGGTCGGTGAGGGAGCGAGCGAACCCGGTTCGCATCAATGAATTCAGCCACCAGAAGACACCCCGGGCCAATATGCCACTAGTTGTCTCTGGGGAGAGATGCTGGTACTCAGGCAGGAGTATAGGTCTTTTTTCCCAAGTTTCTGAAGTCAATACAAAGAGTTTGATCGCGACAGTTGAGGTGAAGAGGCCTGAGATGGTGGAGTCGTGGTCGGCAAGCCACAGGGTTCTGGCGACGACGCAGTCAAAGAGCAGGGTAAAGAGTAAATAAACGTTGATAATGGTCGATGGTCGCACCGAGCGCGCGTGCTCGGCATAGGACAGGAACAAGAGCAAAAATCCATCGACGAAGGCGAGCACAGCGGCCGACGTCCGCAACTGAGGGAAAGGCCACTTCCCTGTATTCAAAGCCCAGTATACCAAGACTGCAAGTTGTAGAGCTGTGTAGACGCCGATCAGCCCCTGCAGTTACTGAAACAGTCAGTAGTTGTTTTTTTCTTCCGGACACAATGGATCCAGGTTATGACGTGCCACTTTCACGATTGGCCGGTGGCTTTTGGCGACCTTGCGAGGCTGTCTCGCGAGCCAGAAGAGACGCTGTAAGGCCACTACCAGAAATAGGGCCGAAGGGACGATGGAGAGAACGGCGTCCTCAAAGGCGGGCGTGAAGTCGAAAGCGCCCGTGCTAGCAGCAACGGCAAACCGAGCTTCGAGCATTTTTAACCTCTCAAAAGTCAGGAAAACCACCTAGCTACCCCCTTAAAGCCTTAGCAAAGCACTTCAGGTCTTACATATAGGGGGGAGCGCGGTGGTTATATTTATGCTACGGGAAATGCAGGGCTGGGTTGCGCGATGCGGAGTATTCTTGCGCCATGTGCTAGATCCCTGCATCATGTTGACAGGACCCATATTGGTTTTCTGTTCCATTTACAAGATGAGCTTGGAGGCGCTAATGCTTCCCCCCTTGTTGACACGCAAAGTAATCCGCGAATGACGAATGACGACGGTCTCCGCGGACTCGGACTCGGACTCGGACTCAGCGAAGTGAGAAAAGGGAGGTGGCAGAAGTGCAAGGGGTTCGACCCTTATATTCATTAAGATGAATATTTCGTATGGATCTGGCGGGTCATAGGGTGTTTGAATATCCGCTTGGCGTAGGTATAGGTATCTCAGCAACCCGGAGAATCCGGGCGACCGCGGCTCAACCGAGGATCAACCACGGCTAGGCGGCAAAGACGACAATGTCGATGGCGTTTTGAGCGGATATTTGTAACCCCCTGGTTTGAACTTCAAACTTATATAGCTATTATAATTCTATACTCCAAGTTTAAAGTTTATACAATCAGTAGAGGTCAGAATACAGCGATTACAAAAGGCCGGTTTATAAGCACTAAACCCCCCTCAACAGGTCATAATGGGGGCCTACAAGGCCCCTATCAACAGGCCATCGGTTAGGTTAGGCTTTGAAGGTCGGGCCTATAGCCCACTGCTGGTTGGGCTTTGGGCCCGGGGTCTTGGCCCATTTGTGGGCTTTGTGGAAGTCCAAGTATGTGCTAGCTGCTCGCCTAGCTGTTAATCCAGCTGCTAATCCAGCTGCCTGCCTAGCTGCTTACCCCTTTCTTAGTCCAAATTATATATAGACTCTATTTGCTCCCGCTTCGCTTAACAAACATTACCCGTCTGCGCCTCCACCGCTCGGTGGTCGCTTACGGGTAGCTGGTATTTACTTTTTATATAGTAGATATCCTACTAAAATATACATTACTAAAATATATTTTTATAACTTTATAAGTATTTTCTAGCTTATACCATATCTTAATATTATAAACTGAAATAACTATAGAATACTGTATTTTATTAGGATAGGTAAGTAGCTTCATATAGCTTGGCCTATCTCTATTAGGAAAATCATGTAGCCGCGGGTTACCTATACGGGTTTTGGGTTGGGTTACGGGTTAGTCGAGTCTACCCATCGGGTTTACGGGTTCGGGTTGTGGGTCGGAACTTCTTACTAGACTGCGAGGGCCCACGGACCTTTTTAGTAAGCAAAATTAGCTTAACACGTGATTTTATTGGCATATTTCAAAATATTTCAACTATATTTATATAATTTATATACTTATACTAAGAATTCTGGATTTTTGATAAGATATGTATAAATATATAGAGTATAATTTACTATATAACTTATTTCTATATATATTTAAGATAGCTTTGTATAACGGGGGGCGTTATGGACGGGCACTCGAAAATCCAAATAGCCCACCGCCCACCGTGGACGGGCGATGGGCACCTCCTAGGTGCGTGCTATGGACAGGCGGATGTCGCAGTCTACCTCTTACCCATTCTCGGGTTTTGGCGCAGACTAATAGCAGTCTATGTATTTTCCGAGGTATTGAATACTCAGGTTCCTAGTCATGTATTGTAACATAGCTTTCGACAAAAAGGTCTTAGGGCGAGCACTGCCCGAACGGGCCGAGTCCGGCAATTTCCCAATATCGGCTCGGGAACTACCCGTAACTGCAGATAAGCTTCCCCCACGACGCAGGCACCAAAGCTCACATAGGACCTTGGAAGTTCTAACTTCTTCCATTCATGCATTTCATTACCTAAAAATAATTGGTTCCCACCTTTGATTGTCGTGTATCTTCCCACATATGTACCTAATCTTCCCCAATTGTTCCCGCGTTATCCCTTATCTAATTTGTCCGTCGTTGATCTGAGAACACGAGAATGCAAGAATCATCCGAGCACTGATAGGTAATGATATTAAGTGAACCTAATCCGGAGGGATTCAAACTCAATAAGAACCCTTCTGCCCCAGAGTAGACCCCAGAGTAGAAGGAAAGATTAGTTTCGACCACTTTCCTGTCGACAATCTCATCATTTTTGTGCTTCGTTACTCGCAATAGAATGCTGGGTCGAAGCCTTCTCCTGGCGGCTGCCGCGGCCTTGCCCGTGCATGTCATCGCCTCCTCGGTGGTTCGAATTAGAGACATAGCCTACTATGTCCCAGACAAAGTCGAGGTATGTGTGTATTCTTACCATTTCCGAACACGATGGCTGAGAGAAGAATCAGGTGGACAAACCTTTCGATGTCAAAGAGCCGCTCCCTATCACGGTGGTGACTTCGACTAAGAAATCAATCTCGGCTGCATGGCTCAATGAGACCATCGCTGACTTTAAAGCAAAAGACGATGTCTATTCAGAGGACTTCTTATCAGGTAAATTGGCGTTATTGTTGAGCGATATGCTGTGGCTAACAAGACATCGATAGCCTTTTACTTTCAAGGTCCTGAGGGAGTTACTCTTGCAAGTGATGCTCGGGATCTCGTTCACAATCTGAAACCACACCTTGTTAAATTTTCTCATTCCTCTTCTCATGATGCGCTGCCTGACGGTCCGTACTTTGCTACACGCTACGGACTTCACCGTGCCTGGCGCCTCTATGACGACTTCAGCAACTCTTTTGTCCTTGCTTCAGTTCCATCGGACGAGAGTTCGGACATCTATGAGCCTCTTGCAGCCAACAGTGGAAACCAGTTGGGAGTGATCTCAGTGGCTGTCCCATCCAGACTTTTCTACACGCCTACCGCCGAAAAGCCTCTCGCTGGGTACCGTGTGGGAGTCAAAGATGAATATGACATTAATGGTCTCATCACGACTTACGGCAGTCGAGCTTACGCAAAGACATACCCCCCAGCCAACCAGACCTCTGGAGTCATCCAGAATCTGATTGACCAAGGTGCCATTATTGTCGGCAAGACAAAGCTGTCCTTGTTCGCGGGCGCTCTATTTACAGCCTCTGAATGGGCTGATTATGAACTCCCAGTCGTATGAGAGATCCCCCCTCCCCACCAGAATGAAAGGTACTAACCATGTGCTAGAATGTCCGAGCGGATACGTATCAAGTTCCTGGTGCTTCTTCAGCAGGATCTGGCTCCTCGATGGCTGCATATGACTGGTTGGATAACACAATTGGTGAAGATACTGGTGGTTGTAAGTTTCATCTAATTGATCGGCTCCATGAGCTCTCGGGCTAAAAGTGCAGCTATGCGTTTCCCGTCCGCACTGAATGGTGTCTTCGGCATCCGCTCGTCAATCAACAGCACAAACAACACCGCCACAAAATTCGGACCGTTCGATGTCGCGGGACACTTTGCCCGTGATGTTGACTCCTTCAACACTTTCGGCTCAGCCATGTATCGCGGATCCGGATTGAAGAATTACACCAAGTTCCCCACTAAGATTCTCTACCCACAAGAGTACTGGGTCAATATCGCGAAGAACTATACCGCTCCCGGCGAAGAATATGTCCAGAAGTTGGAAGCATTCCTGGGCGTTAACCGAACTATTGTCGACACCAACAAACTGTGGCTCAAGACTTCTGGTCACGGAAACGTCAGCATAGCAGACTACTTCAAAGATGTCAGTATCAACCTGGGTGTCGATTTGAAACGGTCGATAGGAGACAATAGCTAACCAGACTATTCTCAATAACAGACTTACACATATGTTCAGAACTCCTATACATTTTCCAATGATTTTAAGGCAGACTACTATGAGAAGTTTGGAAGTTACCCCTACATGTCTGTCGACACAGTAGGATCAAACTCTACCGAGCCAGAGAGCAAAGCCAAAGCCAAGCTTGGAAAGGACCAAAGAGAAGAGTTCCAATCTTGGTACAGAAAATACTTCCTTGGCTCCGATGATGAGACGTGCTCACAGACGATTGTTGTCTTCCCATTCAACGGAAATGGTGGCGTTCCTTGGTACCGAGACGCTACCACGAAGGACTCAGCGGGTGGCTTTGCCGCTGCACCAGAGGGATACCTCAGCTGGAACATGCTTTCAGTTCTCAACGGAAGTCCTGAATTGGCAGTTCCCGTTGGTGAGGTTGGATATACGAGCAAGATCAGCTTGGTTGAAGAGAGGATTCCCGTTGCTCTTGAGATCCAAGCGGCATATGGATGCGACTTGATGTTGTTAAACCTTGTCCGTGAATTGGCATACAACACAGACGCTACCAAGAGTGTCAAGACGGGACGCTTCCTGTTCTAGATTTACCTACCAGCATCAGTCTCATTATTTCTATGTTGTAACTAGATTTTTAAATACAATCAATTTTCCCTACCAAAGCTTTGCCAAATGGATCTTAAGTAAGCTATGTGACAATTTTCACCTACTTAAGTACAAGTACAAACCCAGTAAAGAGTTGCCATAGGGGTTCAAAAGCTTGAAAGTCTTGACCCACTTACTATTTTCCCACCAAAACTGACCATTTTTGAACTCTGCATTTTTTTGTAACATACGAGGTAATAGTCTATGTTATGCTATTTAATAAAATATAAATACTAAATAAATAGAAACCTGATTTCTGAATGACTCAATATATATAGTTGTTCAAATGGCGATTGATTGAAATTTCGGGGTTCAGGGATTTGCTTTCGGTGGAACTCTCGATTTTGGATGCCGAATGATTGAATTATCAGTGGGGCGTCTTAACTCGATATGATGGGAACCGATAGTGTATATTTCACGTAATTGAGGCTAAAAGTACTAGCTAATCATGCTATCAGAGCATTTGTACCTTGCTATTCAAGGTTGGTTGGTAATAAGAGGTTGGTTACTGTATGGGGAAGGGAATGAACCACCATCAAGGGAAGAATGAGTGTGTCAATAGATTTTCCCTGGCTCGCGATATTCAAGTCAAGAAGAAATGCAGTACAATAAGTCTATGGATGATAAATTTACAGTTTAAGGGTCAAAAACCTTTCCAGGGTTCATTAACCAGAAGGGATCCAACGCATTTTTGATCCCACGCATGACAGCCAAGCTCCCCTCTCCTACCTCTTTCACCATAAACTCTTTCTTGCCCAAACCAATGCCGTGCTCGCCCTAAGCCTCAGTCAGTACTCACGAGAGCTCGAATCGAACAAGGATATCACTCACTGTGCAGGTCCCTTCCATTTCAATCGCGCGATGAACCATATCGTGAACACACTTTGACACCTGCTCACGCTCTTTGGCCCCGTCGTACAAAATAGTCTCATGGAAGTTACCATCACCAATATGGCCAAGCATACTGCCAAAGAGCCCCAGCTTCTCAAGATCCTTTTTCGACATCTCTGTTATCAATGTGAGCCAAATCATGCACCAAACTGTCGTATACTTGGTGAAAACCAACCGACTAAGTCCGGAAGTCGAGAGATGGGGACAGCCACATCAGTAGACCAGGCCTCATGGCCAGATTCTCTCATGCAAAGCATGCTCCAAAAGGCCTCCTTGCGTGCGGACCAAAGCGCTGCTTGCTTGGACTTGTCTTTTTCCACCTCAAGATCACCTCCCCTATTTTGGTCAATGATCTTTCGAACGGATTCGACATTATCTTGAACTCCTGCCTTTGTGCCACTGAACTTGAAAAATAGTGTTGGCATCTCTTTCCACACCCTGCCAGTGGATCCCATTTTGTTAATGACAACCATCTGAACATCATCCATCAGCTCGACAGCCCCAACTGGTATTCCCTCCCGGACAATTTGGGTGGCCGCATTGGCGGCATCTCTCATTGTAGGGAACGTTGTCAGAGCAACGCCGGTTTCTTCGGGAATACGAGCTAGCTTTAGAGTGGCCTCAGTGACAAAGCCTAGTGTTCCTTCAGAACCGGTAAACAATCCGTTCAGGTTATAGCCGGCCGAAGACTTGCTGGATTTGAATTAGAATATTGTAATACCTGTAAGAGACAAAACTAACTTACCGTGGCCTTTGTCGAGTTTTGATCACCCTTCCGTCCGCGAGAACGACTGTCAAATTGACAACCCAGTCTTTCATTGTCCCGTAGCGCACGGCGTTTGTGCCACTTTGTTCGCAAATCAGTATGGCGGTTGTTCAACTTTATCAGGAAAATCAACCGATAGTTGACCTACCTGCAATTGGTTGCGATCATTCCTCCAATTTTGGCCTAATATCAGAGTCAGAATCTCGAACAACATGATGGGTTAGATGAAAGCATACCGGTGGCCCAGGGTCAACCGGAAAAAATAGTCCACTTTCTTTGATGTCCTCATTCAGTGCCATCCAGGACACCGACGGTTGTACAACAATATCCATACTATAAAGGTCAGACCTTGATCATACCTCATGGGACGGAACAGGGAAGACAAACTCTTCTGGGTGAAAGGCAACAACTTTGCTCATGTTGAGAAAGTCAACACTTACGCCCCCGAAAGGTGCAGAGAAATGGCCCTCAACGCTAGATCCGCCAGAGTATGGGACTAAAGATCATAATCAATTTATGTTTGAGATTCCGTCCTAGTGCTCTGGTACTTACTCATGGGCACTTTGTGTTTATGGCAAACTCGGGCAATTGTGGCCACCTGTTCAGTGGACTCAGGGAAGGCAACCGCTACAGGAAGACGATCGATGTTGACTGAAGACCATTCCGAATAGCCGTGCATCTTCAAGTCCTCGTCATCTGTGCTTATGCATTCTTCCCCCAGCTCTTGCTGAATTTCTGCAATAGCCTGTTTGCCAGTGTCAGAGGTAAGATAAAACAATTGAGGAAGACAGACATACTTTCTCCATATTTTCAAGCGTTGCGTATTTTGGTTTGGTGATTGTCTTTTCATTAGGGGGTGATTGCTTCAAAGTATAGATCAAAGATGCCGTGGTAACAGATGCACCAGCAGCGGCTAGGAGGAGCTTAAACCAGCCGACGGATTCTGAACGAGGTTCAGATGTGCCATGGAAATATGCACGACACGATGATCCATTGAGAAGGATCGAGGATGCCTTGGACCTTTGTCTTCTCGCTGCTGGTTGGAGTTTCTGCTGAGGTTTGACTGCGGACAAACGTCGTAACATGATGATGGCTTCAATGAAGATCTCGGTAATCCCACTCTGGTAAAATGGAACGAAACTTTGACCACGAGATTATTTAATGTTCTTGAAAGTATGAGGTCACGATACCTTGTAATATGAATGATTCAGCCTGATCACCGACCTGGGCTTCGGCCTCGGGTATTTTCCGGGGATTTTGTACTTTCCGATGCCGACTGGGCTCAAACTTGTACCACAACCATCGGGGCAAGATATGCCCCTCGATGAATCATCGATGGATGGCAATTTCGACCTCGGGAAATACCCGATCCATCTATTTATCTCCAAGATGGGGGTTCAATATAATAATCAAGAATCCTATATCTCAAAACCTGGCAGAGACTACATTGAGAACAGTTGAATGACCATACAACCAAGATGTAAACTCAAATCTCCCCCCCCTCTCCCCCGGGAATATACTTTTGAAGCTCAATATCATACAGGTACACCGCATCTTATGCTTTCTTCGAGGCATTGTGGGAGTTGGGGGTCCGGAATTGCTTCGTGAACCTGGGCTCTGATCACCCCAGCATCATGGAGGCAATGGCAAAGGGGCTGAAAGAGAAGCCAGATTCATTCCCCAGAATCTTTACCTGCCCAAACGAGATGGTCGCCTTATCGATGGCCGATGGATACGCACGAGTCACCAAACAGCCTCAGTGTGTTATCATTCATGTGGATGTTGGCACCTCTGGCCTTGGGGCTGCAATCCATAATGCGTCAACAGGACGTGCGCCAGTGCTGATCTTTGCAGGTCTATCTCCTTTTACCATGGAGGGGGAGATGCGGGGCTCTCGCACTGAATATATGTGAGTGGAACCTCAACCCACAATAGCAAGGGTCGTTACTGATCAAGAAATTGATAGCCATTGGCTTCAGGATGTTCCAGACCAGAAGCAAATTGTCGCACAGTATTGCCGCTATATTGGAGAAATCAAAACTGGCAAAAATATTAAGCAAATGGTCGGCCGCGCTTTGCAATTCGCAACTAGCGATCCGATGGGTCCGGTGTATTTGATGGGAGCTCGTGAAGTCATGGAACAAGACATCCAGCCGTACTCCTTGAATGCTGAACATTGGAAAGCCTGTGAGGCGGCCGCCCTTCCTGAGGCCCATGTGGAATTTATTGCGGATCACCTTGTCAACGCTCAGGAGCCACTTCTCATCACTGGCTATAGCGGCCGTGATCATGACTCGGTGGAAGTTTTGACCCAACTAGCAGACGCGGTACCAGGTCTACGCGTTCTCGATACTGGCGGTTGTGACATGTGTTTCCCTGCCGACCATCCAGGCTGGTTGGGGATGCGATATGGGTCAGACCCTAGCATTGAAACTGCTGATGTCATTCTCATTGTCAATTGTGATGTTCCCTGGGTTCCTACTCAATGCCGCCCGAATGAAAATGCAACAATCATTCACATCGACATTGATCCTTTGAAGAAACTCATGCCGTTGTTCTATCTCCCAGCTATTCGGAGATATTTGGCTGATGCCACGGCCGCTCTGACTCAGGTATCATCATTCATTAATTCGTCACCCGCTTTACAAGCGGCTTTGAAATTGCCAGTTCAACAAGAACGATTGAGTTCGCGCCAAGAAAGTCACCAGAGGCTGATTAAAACTCTCGATGAGAGATGTGATCTGTCCACGGATTCAACTGGCTTCAACGCCTCTTTCTTGTGCCAGAAATTGAGAGAGCTTGTGCCAGATGACACCGTCTTTGCCGTTGAGGCTGTCACTAACTCAGTTCTCGTTGCTGATCAAGTCCGTCCCACCGGTCCCGGTCAGTGGATTAACTGCGGAGGAGGTGGCCTTGGATGGAGCGGTGGTGGTGCATTGGGGATCAAGCTGGCTGTTGATGCATTGAATCCGACCAAGAAGCCACTCGTTGTTCAAGTGGTGGGAGATGGAAGTTTCCTCTTCAGTGTTCCGTCGAGCGTGTACTGGATCTCTCACCGATACCAAATTCCTATCCTGACAATCGTGCTGAACAACCAAGGTGAGCTCACATCCTGACTGGTACTAGCGCACCACACTAACACTGGCTCTCCTGCAGGTTGGAACGCACCTCGACGATCGATGCTGCTTGTTCACCCAGATGGACATGGATCGAAGGTTGATAATCGTGAGCTTAACATCTCGTTCGAGCCCAGCCCAGACTATTCCGGTATCGCGAAAGCTGCCAGTGATGGAAACATTCATGCGGTTAGGGTTAAGGATCTTACTAATTTGGTGCCCGTTCTCAAAGAAGCTATTGAGATTGTCCAAGGGGGCACCTCGGCCGTCGTTGATGCGCATGTTCTATGATTGACTTTTGTCTTAGAGTTAGAAGATTCACGATTTAGAAAATTTCAATACAAAACAGTCAGGTAGGATCATATGAACTTTATTGCTCTATTACAAGGAATGACATGAGGTGCTACGCTGAGCATAGTAGAAGATAGGAAGCATCGATCAGAAACAGAGCAGGCACAAAGACATCCTGTATTTCTACGGCTAGGAGGAGAGATGGAGCGAACAGAGGGGGGAAGATAGCCTGAAAGAGTCCTGTGACTGCCCTTGACAGAAAGGAAACTTCAAACAAAAGAACTAAGAGAAACACCATGAGACATCAGAAGTCAGAGAATTTACTTCATCCCCGCTAGTTATATAACTAATGATAACGTCAGCTTCGCCGCCTTGGCGCGTCGGGTAATTCCCGAGACCAACTACGCGAAATTCCCGAAGTCGCGATCAGGCTCCCTTAATATCATTTCTACAAGCAGGTGGCTCAGTTTGCTTATTTTGAGTAAACATGACAAAACCAGTCCAGAGTAGTGTATGTGGTATCCCTGAGCCTGATCCAGTGTTCTCTGGTCCTTGGAAACGACCTGCTTACTCTCGTCACGGCCATGTAGGCGCACGCACGATCCGGTTCTGCTCAAAGTTCGTCCCCGAAGCGCAGGCGCGTCGCGCTAGCATGTCAAAACTGCCGAGAGCGCAAGGTGCGTTGCGATGGAGACAGGCCAAAATGCGGTGCCTGCCAAAGGCGGGGAAACACAGATCAACCATGCGAGTATCTAGTGATTGCGGAAACGGCCAAATATCAGACTGAAAAAGCGTGGGTATTCCTTGTGTCTTCTTCACATGTTCAAAATTGACTTGGAATTATGCTTCAGGTATTTCCATTCACTTCGTGCCCACCTTGCAGATCTAGAGGGAACCGCTCAACCTCCCGGATCCCCTCGTCCAGCTGAAACTGCGCTTTCAGATCGGGAACCTCGAAAGGAACATACTGCCTCTCCCACTAATAACACACTGCCCATATCTCTCGCCGCCATGGGAACGGCGGTGCCAAGTACACCCGACGCGGCCTGTCATGATCAGTACTATGGACAAAGTTCTCTGGTATCCCTAGTACATCAATATACCCAAGGCTCACATAGGAACAGAGACGCTCGGTCGCAAAGGAAGAATGCGGTGATAAGCAGCATGTCTCCGTCATCCTTTGCATCTAGTCCTAATGTGTCTTCGTCAACAAATATGGCCACGTTGCTCTCAGACGACTTTTCGCTTCCGCCTAGACGTCTTGCAGACTGGCTGCTCGATGTCTATTTCAACAGCAACCATACATTCTACCCCTGGTTTCATAAAGAGAGCTTTATAGCCACATATGAAGGTTTATGGACTAATCAAGAGAACAACACGAGCAAGAACCTTCCAGACGTGGGCCTCGGTGGTTTGGATTGCCCACCCACTGTATTCAATTGTGCTTTGAATGCAGTTTTTGCCATAGCATGTGAATTTTCCAACATGGACCCTTGCGACAAGCGAACCTCTTCTTTGATGTTTTACGAACGGATGAAGAGCTTAATGAACATTGATATCCTTGACAGCGGAAGTCTAGCCCATGTCCAAGCGCTCTTGATAGTCGCGATATATCTGCAGTGTACACCATACCCCAAAAGATGCTGGAATGTGATCGGGATGGCACATCGGATGGCAGTCGGCCTCGGTCTGCGAAATCGCCGACAGTTCAGCCACATGACTGCTCTGGAACAGGAGATACGCTGGCGAGCCTGGTGCGCTTGTGTACAAATGGATGTGTATGTTCATTCTATCTACTCCTCGTAACTCCCAGGACTAACTCCTTCACAGAATTATTAGTATGACGATGGGACGTCCACCCATGACCTCAGATCATTCAAGAGTTCCATTGCCCTCACCGATTGATGACAAGTACCTTTCTCTCGACAAACAAGGAAGTCGACAGCCCGAAGGAACAATATCTACGAATCAATTCTGGCACCAAAATATGAAGCTCATTGGAATCCTTTGGAAGGTCCTCTTAAAAATCTATCACAGTGAAGACGATTCCTCAGACGAGGAACACTCACCTACGCGTGGAAAGAATTTCAAGGATGTTATGGAGATAGACAAAGCGCTGGAAGAATTCGAATCCTCGCTCCCCACCGTCTTTGCATGGAAGCTACCCAACATTACAAGTTCAAATCGCACTTTCCGCCGACAATCCAACGTTCTCCATGCTAGGTAAGAGCCGTGGGTGAATAATCGTATCCAAATAGTAACTTTATCTCCAGGTATCTACACTTGAAGCTGCTGTTATACCGGCCTACCTTCAGCGCTTACTGTTCCGCCACTATGTCTCCTTCTGACCAGGCGCAGCCTGGCTCCTGGTCAATTATTTACCGCCAGAATGCTGCCCTAAGATGCGTACAAGCTGCGTGTGATCTCATTCATTCGCTGTCAAAAGCCACAGCAGAGGATGCAACAGGTGCATGGTGGTACGGAGTATTTTGTTCGTATCATTCAAGTCTGCACTGGTACCCTATCGCAACTGCTAACATTTCATTAAGATTTAATCAGTGCTGGCGTCGTTCTTGTTCTTACCGAATCAAGTGGCGCAGACTTCAGCGGTATAACTCCAGTGCAACTGGAAGATTCGTGGAATGAATGCATCGAAACACTGAACCGAATGATCGGGGTGCACCCATCCGCCCGAGATTATTGCATTGCATTAGACGAGCTTCGGCATAGCCATAGCGCAAAATTATCTCGAAGTGAGATCATCCGCTCTACGTCCTCCTCGAGTCCAGCTAATTGAAACTAGGGCCTGATCAATATCGAGCGAGCCAAGCGCCCGCAGACGCTGCGGGGCAAGATGAGATAAACCAAGGCCCCGGCAGCCTGATGCAGCCTGATCACACAGATTTCGGGGTCCCAGATCCATTCTTTCGGAACTGGGACACGGACATCGGCGACATCATGCTTCCTGCTCAATTTTTACAAAACTTAGACGAAGATATCTTGCTGCCAACCCTCTTTTGAGAGCGTGATCTCTTCGAGACTTTGGTGCTTGCGGTAGATAGCAAGGAAGTTTTGGTTCTCACCCTTCCATAACTACCTTGAATTATCAACCTTAACAGTCTATAAGGCAGAAAAGGTCGAAGCCTCAAACGAAAGAAATCTAGAGTGAAAGGATTCACAGAAGCGGCGTAAACCGATGCAACAAATAATCTTTATTCTCGGTACGGTTTCTGGGAAATGTGGTTATCAGTAAGTGGCGAGCCTTCATATCAAGATGATGAGGACGTGTCAATCATAGAAGCCGATGAATTATATGATCCACTTCGCAGAAGAAAATCTGTTAGCTTTACATAATACCGAGTCGAAGCCAGTTCTCGACACTAGGTGGCATTTCTTCCCCCGGGGTCTGGGTCGCGCACGTCTCGGGCACGGGTAGTTCCCGACCAGTGGATTAGATGCTCCCGAATGTCTCATCCCAATACGCGATTGGATTATTCCCATTCTCCCCGCACTCACAGAGTCGCCCAGGAAACTCCGTAAATGTACGAATTGCGGGGTGCGTGCAGATCTGGGGTATCAATCGTGGATACCGATGAGTCGTGATCAATCAGGAGCAGCTGATGACAAACGGACATCTGACGCCAGTGAGAAGCGGCAATTCAAAATTTTGCCTCCCATTTACTATTAGAGTAAGAATAGAACACATCGTCATAGCTTTAGCTCGCCATTTATTTGATCTGATTCTGGTGATTGAAGATGTACATGCTAATTATTAGATATGAATATGTTATTAATCCTGTGTCTGAATTGGTTGTTTTTGGCCTTACCCTCGTATCTGACGTTTGTGGTTTGGCCGTAGAGGATCCTGATTTTCTACTATTCCTATTTATTCCTACTATTTTTATGATTGTGATGGTTTTTATTGTTATCACTACTTTGCGCTTTTTGTTTTGGAACGGTCCTTGCAGTAAATTAAACCATATCCCTACCTTGAATCCACTTGTGAAAGAACATATTTAGCAACCACACATGAGAATTTCAGAGATAAGAGAGGAAGAAACGTACCTTATAGATTGAATCGACATAGTGAATTAGATACATACTTTGAGATAGCGGCTAGCATTGCCCCTTCTACCAAAGCAAGTTGAATCGAGGGTTGTTCGTCGGTGGCGCGGAACCGTATGACTCCCACAGTAGGGTTTTTGGGGGTGGCCACTACTCCGGGCTGACTCGGGCAGAATGGCAGCCTCTGAACGCCCTTTTGCAGTGATTTGGACCAAATGGTCCACCGAACAGAAAGACCCTGGGGGCCCAAGACCCTTGGACGAGATTCTGAACTCGGCGAGTAGACCCCAGAAAGAAGATTGACTGCTGCTGCGGCACACGGAAGGCATTCTCATGGCAATTGTATTCACCCAGTTACTCATGCGCTAAAATAAATACACAGTCGTTTACGCTCAAAGATCACTCAACATATCTCATCACCAACAAGTACTTCCACTCCCCTCAGTCTGATGGATGCTAGATCAGCCCGTTTGCTACCCCTCAGTCCAAGACTAAACTTGATCTCCTACTAGGAAATTGGTATTCTATGCCTCCTTCTCCTCCTTCTCTGTAGGCTCTTTCTTCTCATTTTTAGACTTGTCATGCTCGCCGTCAAAGAGGACAGCGATTGCTTCAAGCGAGGGACCCTTTGTCTCAACAAAGAACCTCCAAATAACGACAACCTCGACGCAAAGCCAGGCCACGTAAACCAAGTATAACTTCCAACCAATTGCCTGTAATCCGATTGGGTTGACCAGGATGTTGATGAAATTGCTGGCCTTGCCAAAAAGCATGAGAAGAGAAAATCCCTTGGCACGCATGGGGTACGGAAGGACTTCGACGGGATACGAGTAAAGAAGCGCATTAAAGGCCAAGTTGAAGAAGAAGTAGAATAGGAAGAGCATGGCTATGACGACGTGTCCAGCGGTCACGTTACCGTAGTCGTTGAACAAAGCGGCACAGAGAGTCTGGACAGCGAAGACGGCCAGCATGCCAAAGCCAGAGATGAGGAATTGGGTGCGGCGTTTGATGTGGGCAGTGAGGAAGGCAGAAGCCACCGACGTGACCCAGTTGAAGATCATCAATGAACCATTGAGGATGTTCTTTTGTCGGGTCTCAGTAACACCCACAGTCTCCAGGACTCGAACAAGGTAGTACCTAAACTTAGTTAGCAGAGCAATCCCATAATGGGGGATGTGTAGGGGTATTCACGAAACCAGTCCATTGCCTGACCACTGCGAAAACACGCCGAGACAGATGATAATTAGCAGCCTCTTACGGTTTCCGGGGGTGGTGAAGAAAGCCGACCAGCCGGTTTCATTGTTGATCTCTGCCTCGATGATATCGCGCATCTGGTCAAACTCGAGACTGACAAACTCACTGCTGACATCATCGTTGGCATGATACTTAACCAGCACAGCCTTGGCTTCCTCAGCGCGACCTTTGGCAATCAACCAGCGGGGGGACTCGGGCAGGCAGTAAACCCCCAATATCTGGCAGAAAGCAGGAGCGGCTTGCAGGAGAGAGGGAATTCTCCAGGACCAGTTGTTGGGTATGCTGAAGGTGCCAAAAGTGGTCCAGGCAGCGATAATGGCACCGATGTACCAAGAGGTCTGGTACAGCGAGGTGATGACCTGACGCTCTTTGGGGTGGGCTAATTCACCGATAAGCATGGGGGCGAATGCGTTGGCAAAAACGATGCCGATTCCAATGATGAAGCGAGATATCATAAACATGGCGACTGCAAGCAACGGGTGTCAGTAAAGCGGGGATGGGAAAGTGCTTCGAAGTTTTTGTGGCTAGGTTGGTGACAACTTACTGTGAACAGAGGTCCCCTGTATAATTCCACCAGCCGCCATGATGATAGAGCCAACGAAAATACCGGTCCGTCGACCCCAGCGATCGCCGACGATGGAGATGAAAGGTGTGGTAAGAACACAGCCAAGGGGCAGAATGGCAGACATGATACCAAGGAGACTCCCTCGAGGTTTGTTGAAATCTGGAGCGGAATGAGCATCAGTCTCGGCCATTACGTCAACAGGAACAAGATAAATGAAAAGAGGAAGCTAACAAACGTCCCAACTGGGCACCGCCTGCAGACCATTCATCATGGCACCATCAAAACCAAGGGTGATTGCAGGAACCAAGCATCCTGGAATCATGAGGAGGTACAGGATGAACAAATTCCGGTTGCGATAAAAGGGCGGACACTCGTCGGCAAGTTTTTGGATGTGCTGGCCGACGTCCAAGGTATCTGCGTCCAAGCCTGAGGTGGCTTTCTCCACAAAGGAGCTGCTGGGCAGCTCTTTTTCAGTACTCTGCCTGGACATTGGAGAATGTTGTCTGATTGGGTCAGGATTCAATGCTCAGAAGAAACTATCAGAATAACAGCGAGTGAGTCCAAGAAAATCGACGAGGCGTAGAGGACTGCTCGTTTCGTCCCCAATTAGCTGGGCATCCACCACCTTTTTGATACCTGGGACCCGAGAACAGGAAATCGCTAACCGAAGCCTAATTTTCGTATTTACCCCGCCCTTATTTCCCCGTGGAGAAGAATCTGATACCCCGATATTGTGTGGGGGATGGATCTAGATACCGGGGCCCCAGCCCCAAACACCGCCCCTTACACAACCGTTCAGCCAGGGCTGATTGATCACCCCGAAAGAAGCCCGCACTGAAGTTATTTTTCTTCATGGTGCTATATCATTATCTGTGAAGCATATCAGGGATGATTGGAATGCCTGAGATTAGTGCCCCTCGCTGCCCAGCACTTGCAACGTTGTCTCGCCAAGAACTGCGATTTCGTCCACTTGGCCAGTTCCGAGACATGCGACAGGTTCCCGAACCGAATTAAGCTTAGCGTTCGGGAATCGGGTATTTCCCGAAGGTATGAGCCGAGAGCATACTTTGATGAGCTGCGCGGGGTTCCTTTCCCCAACCTACGAGCCTCATATGTCTGGATAACTTCCGAAGTCTGAACAAGAAGAATAAAGCCGTATTTATCTTTTGAACAACGCCCCTCATCCGTTGCCAGAAAGTGTGTGTGTGTCTACTCTATTGCCTCCCTGCTCGTATCTAGCCTAGTTATTCTCTCGGCCATGGCCAACGAGACCCAGCTCCTGGACCGCCTATCAGTGGAGGAGAAGGTGCAGCTTCTGTCGGCGGTTGATTGGTGGCGTACTCCGGTTATAAAGAAGGACGATGTATTCATTCCTCACATCAAGGTACCTTGCCTCGAACAAGCCTCTTCGTCTCGTCTCGTCTTGTCCCGCCATTAACTTATGACAGATGTCCGATGGGCCGAACGGGGCTCGAGGCGAAAGCTACGTTAGTGGCATCACTGCAGCCTGCTTCCCTTGCTCGACCTGCATTGGGGCTACGTTTGATGTCGACAGAGTCCATCAGCTCGGCGAGGAAATCGCCAAGGAGACAATCACTAAATCAGCAAACGTGCTTTTGGCTCCAACCATGAATATCATCCGGTCCCCTCTAGGTGAGCTTGTCCCATTGCCAGCCCTGTCCGCGTTACGGTATTGCTTATCAGAGCGTGCATAGGGGGACGGAACTATGAGACATATTCCGAAGACCCATATGTCGTAGGAACTTTGGCCGCTGCTTTTGTCAATGGTAGGGCTCCAGTGTCGAATCTTATGTTTGGATGCGGCTCTCACATTTGTTCAAGGTTGCCAATCGCAGGGAATTGCGGCGACCCCCAAGCACTTTGTTGCGAATGACTCGGAGAAGCGCCGCACAAAGATGACGTCAGAGGTTGACGAGCAAACCCTGCGGGAGATATACATGCTTCCGTTTCAGCTTGTGCTCCGCGATTCAGACCCATGGTGTTTGATGACATCGTAAGTCTCTTTACTTCTGAGAAGACATAAGAGAGTGGCTAAATCAGAGATTCGGTGTAGTTACAACAAAGTCAACGGAGAATACTGCGCCGATAGCAATCGACTGATTGAAGACATTCTCCGAAAGGAATGGAACTTTTCTGGCGTTGTCGTCTCGGACTGGCTTGGCGTATACTCAACCGCCAAGGCTGTCAATTCCGGTCTCGACCTGGAGATGCCGGGCCCAACAAGATGGCGAGGCTTAAAGCTTCTCAAGGAGATTAAGAGTTCCGCCGTGCCTATTGAAGCAGTCGACCGGAGTGTGGAGAGAATCTTGGCACTGGCTAGGAAGACAGGCCGCTTTGAAAACCCGGAAGAGTTGCCGGAAAAGTCGATTCCTGACGACGACCGCATGGAGTTTATCGCGAAACTCGCCGCTGAAGGAGCTGTCCTTCTCAAGAACGAGAATGGGCTACTGCCACTTAAGCCCGGTACACGCGTGGCCATGATAGGTCATCATGCAACGATACCCAGCATTGGCGGCGGCGGAAGTGCCAAGGTTCTTGCTCAGCATACCGTCTCTCCCCTGGAAGCTCTAGAGAAATCAGGGCTCCAATGCCGGCATAGCCCGGGCGTTCCGGTACATGCGACAGTTCCCCATTGTAAGCCCGATGTAATTTCCGCAATTGATGACACTGCCCTAGGCCAGAGAGATCTGAAGGATCTCCCAATTTTGCTGGAGTGGTTTAATGGTTCTGCCGTGGGCCGCAACAAGGTCCATGAGCAGAGGATTGCCGTTGCTGAGTACATGATCAAGGAAACATGGCCGGAGTTCCTCGACCGCGAATACTGCACTCGCATGTCGTTTGCCCTCAGTCCGCACAGCGACGGACTCCACACTTTCTCGGTTATTACCACCGGGGTAGCGAAAGTCTTTGTCAACGGCGAAGAGGTTTTCCACCGGGTACAAGAGCCTATTCTCCAGCCTGAGTCATTTTACTTCTACAAAGCTAAGATTGAGCGGAAGTTTTCTCTTAGCCTGGCCAAGTATCAACGCGTCAAGATCGACGTTCATTCGTGGGCAGCTGACGCAGATGTGCTGGGTCGTGTTGAGGGGACAGTTTTCCAGGGCTCGTCACTCCGCTTCATGGAATATTTCGACATTCCAAAGGCTATCCATGATGCTTCCATCATTGCCTCTGAAGCTGATGTAGCCATTGTTTTTGTGGGAAACACGAACGAGTTCGAGTCGGAAGGTTACGATCGTGAGACCATGGACTTGACAAAAGACCAATACTTGCTGATTTCCGCGGTGGCAGCTCAAAATCCCAAGTCTATTGTGGTAAACTTCTCCGGTGCTCCCGTAACGGTCAATCCTTTCATCGACCATGTTCCCGTGTTCTTGCAATCCTGGTTTGCTGGCCAAGAATGCGGCAACTCCGTAGCCAAGGTCCTGACTGGTGTCGTCAATCCATGTGGGAAACTCCCCATGTCATGGCCCCGGAAAAATGAAGATAACCCGGCTTTCAACAACTTCCCTTGCGATGATAACGACGTGCTTCGTTACGAAGAAAAGCTCAGGGTTGGGTATCGCTTCTATGATGCACAAGATACGCCCAGTCCCCAGTTCCCCTTTGGATACGGCCTTTCATATACGACTTTTGAGCTCTTCAGTTTCAAAATTACTAGTGCTGAATTTGGCGAGCCAAACCAGACTAAGGTCACACTTGCCTGCGAGGCGGGCAACACGGGCTCCAGGGCTGGGAAGACTGTTATTCAGATTTACGTCTCATACAATGGAACTTCGACTGGGGCACAGCACCCTCGCCCCCCGAAGGAGTTAAAATCGTTTAGAAAGATCCACTTGGAATTAGGAGAGCGAAAAGGGACGGAGTTTGTCCTTGACAAGTATGCATTTAGCTTCTTTGACCCACGGGAGGGTCAATGGAAGCTCCAGGAAGGGCCATATACTGTCCATGCGAGTTTCTCGTCTGCGGAAACGCCGCTACACGTGGAGCTCAATGTTCCGAAGTCACACTATTGGAAGGGTATTTAGGAATACTGAGTAACAAGCGATTCAAAGCAGATGATAGTTTTGAGAATTGTGCTTAATTCTATTCTCTTGGGAATTCAATTCCCGAAATGTATCGCAAAAATCCATAATTCTGACCTGGTTGTTGTCCCACGTGGATAGGCCAATATGAAACGCCTCACCTGTCGATTACCCCTGATCGGCAGAGGTTTACTATGCCTACGGCATAGTAAACCGGGTCCAAGCTTGTATTTCAAGAGCTTTTTTCCAGGTTCTACCTAGTAGATTAGACAAATTCACTTATTTGATTCTCACCCATATATTTCAGCTCAGTAGATCAAGATAGCTCCTTCATGCTGTATTATTCTAGCCTGCTAGTCTAATTCAACAGATAGGGTAGCGTTCCGCAAAGCCCGTAAATGGGCCCGAACACCGGGCCCAAAGCCCAACCAGCAGTGGGCTCTGGGCCTAACCTTCGAAGCCCAACCTAACCCGTAGCCCATTTATGGGGGCCCATAAGGCCCTCATCAAAGCCCGTGAAGAGGGGTTTACCTAGTATCTTATAATCGCTGTATTCTAACCTTTTACTTATTATATAGAGTTTAAATTTTTAGAATTTATAATTGTTATAGCTATATAAGTATGTATTTCAAATTTAAATAAAATCCAATCAGAGGTTAAGATACTACAAAAAAGTATAATATTAATACTCCAACACTCGATATATATCTAAGATCTATACGGGAGTACTACTACTTTCTAAGTGAACTTCTATAATTTATAAATTATCTAAATAACGCGCTTTCTCGCCTTTTTAAACGTGATATAGAGAGATGACCAGTAATTATTTCTTAACGATATAAACTAATAAAATATTACCTTTAAAATAAGGATTAGAAACGGGGGTTCAACTTCTGAATTCTCGGCATGTTTGTATTGTTTGGGGCCCATGGGGCCCCCATTAAAGCCCAGTGGGCTTTTACCCCAGGCCCAAAGCCCAGCCCATTTGCGGGTTGGGTTGGGCTGGGCTATGGGCTTTATGGGCTTTGAAGAGCTCTATAGCTGGGTAGGGGCTTATGGAAATGATGAAACGACATGGGGAAAAAATATAGGTTGAAATGAGGATGGCACGATGGCAGTCTGGCATAGCAGACGGGTCGATATCAACAGAGAGGACGAGCAATCAACCACTCCCACACTCCGTAGGAAAATAGAGAGTAGTCCGTGTAGGCGAATGCGTCCTCTGATTAATAGCACATCATGAATGAATTTTTGTTGAGTAACAGCATTCAGTTTTAATGAATGTGTGTCTAGCGTGAATCCTCTCTTCTTCTAAGAGAAGAGAGTGTCAAGAAAAGTGGTCCTTACAGCACTAGCTTACTCGAGTTTTAGCAGCACCCATTTTGCTTACTCATTTGCTACAGTATAGATGGCTACTTCGCCTAGCCATATACCGCTTCATGAGCACTCGTTCAATAGCGCAGTATCGGCTTTTGTTCTAAAAATTTACACTCATTCTATGATATCAGGCCGACCATTGGTCTATTGTATAACTAGCGCGTACCGTATCTCTTGGAACCGACAGATAAGTTCAAGTACTCTGTAAAATACAATACTGTTACAATTTTTTATACAATCCTACACTCAAAGAGCACTCAGTGATCAAAAAGCGGCAAGGGGTGAGCACTAATATGGAAAGGGAACGGTCTCGAGTGCCAGGCATTATCCGGTACATATGTCAATGAACGGCACAGAGAGAACTATCTTGTCAGCTAGGATACTGAAATATCAATCAGGAAAGGAACTGATCGTAGGTTCCTTCTAAGCCTGAATTAAAGACTAGTGTGCCCTTCCTATTGGTATAATGCCTAGTAGATATGGCCATCGCTCCTTCTATTTGGAAGGAATCAATTGTTATTATGTCAATTGAGAATCCCATTGAGACAAGCAGCATCAATATGTCGTGAACATTTTGTGGCACCTTTTAGACTTCTGTCACTTCTTTATCACATCTCTCTCATAATTAGGCTTTTTGAGTGTTAACAATTGTTTGATGTTTTCTTATCTTCCATATGCCGAGCTCTTCTTCTAAGCAGTCAGCCTTGGGACCAAACATCTTCGGCATCAGAATAAGATCCCTCCCTCTCTAACTCAAACTGAGCATCCCTCCGCTCCTCATATCTAAATCACAACCTTCACTAGTGAGTACTCTTCCTTTCCTATCTCTCACTTTCACCTTCATCCAACCTCACCTTTCATCCATCTAACCTCACACCATCAAGTCATATCACCAATACTTACAGCAATGGAGAAACATCACCCTATCTCACTCTCCTTTGAGGAAATTTTGGCCCTTAAGCGTTCTGAGGGCATTACTGACTATGAGGCCTGGAGACAAGCCATGGTCCAGTACAGCCAGCAGCGTAGTGAGCATACAATTGTCACCACCCTGGCCACAACTAGTTCTGAGATCCCCCTCAGCGAGAGCGTCTTGACATTAAAGACCGCTACTCCACCAGGTGCCCCCACTGTAAAATACTTGTTCCAGTTCATCCCTCCTCGGCTTTTACTGATTCAGGTATCCTAGATCCACCTTAACCAACTGCCCGTCAATGCAGCTGGAGAGAACCATATCCTCTCAACATGCAAGCCTGATGACCCTAGCGCCAAAGAACGTCTCAGGGAGAACACCAAGCTTCTTGTAGACTCTGGTGTTGCTGAAAAGCTAAGCATCGACCGCACCTTGGATCCCCCCCTCCTCGAGCAAATCAAAATCTCAAACGTTGCCGATAGCGACACAGATACCGAGACCACCCAAAAGCGTGCCCAGGAGGCCCATACCCTCTACTGGGACGCAATGGCAGCAGCCGATAAGACCATCGGAAGGCGTCTTTAGGGGCCGTGGACGCCTGGCTATTCTGTTTTGCTCTTCGCTCTTCTTCGCCAGGGGAGGATGGTGAGGTTTCCCCTGGCTGAGGACTAGGCATACGGTGTCCCTGTTTGCCTTTTTTGTGAAGTTGGTGACGATCACTCTCCCATTTAATGTTCTTCGAACTTCTGGCAATGATATTTTGACTCGAAGCCATTCCTGATAAGTTTGTAGAGAGCTCCTTAGGCGCGTCGATCTGACGATTGAATGCCCTTATTCATATAGACACACTATACAAAGTTGGCCAGCAGTTCTTCAATTTAAACTTTTCTTTTTATAGTTGCCATGTGGGGCAGCGGGAGCCATGTATTCCTGCATCGCGGAGTCCCGATTGGGCCTGGTGTGGACTTGTATTTATGAGTCAGTACATACAACATATAGATATTTTTTTGTACACCCTTCAAGTTTGATATTTATCTATTTCCCATGCTTGCGACACTATCTCGCTATCTCGCCACTTAATTCATATTCCCCGTATACGAATATACTGTGTCCATATCCATTACAATCGTCCACAGCTCTTGAACAGCACTGCCCCACACATTCAAGAATGGCTTCAAAAGCCCACAGGGCAATCCGAGCCAAACAAACCCCAAGTACAATCACAGTATACCAAGCCTATTCCCCCGAGATAGCCGACTCAGCGCTCAAAGCCCAAACCTTTGTCCCTCCATTTTCACGAGAAAGAATGACATGGATCAAGCCCTCTTTCCTATGGATGGCATACCGATCAGGTTGGGCAACAAAGTCCCGACAGGAGCGTGTCCTGGCGATAGCGATTACCCGCGAGGGATTTGAATGGGCATTGCGCCATTCTTGTTTGAGTCACTACACGCCTGACGAGGATATAAGCCAGGAGGAGTGGCAGAAGAAACTGCGTGTCAGTCCAGTACGCGTTCAGTGGGATCCCGAGCGGGATATTTCAATGCGGTCATTGAGTTATCGAAGTATTCAGATCGGGTTGAGTGGGGAGGCTGTTGGGAGGTATCTTGATGAGTGGATTGTTTCTGTTACTGATGTAACTGCTACTATGAGGCAGATTGATGGATATCTTAAGCGTGGGGATGTTCAAGCTGCTAAGGGTTGTTTGCCTGAGGAAACTCCGTTTGTTTTACCTGAAGACCTGCAGGAGCAACTTAGGATGAAATAAGTCATGATTGTTCTCTCTTTCCTTCTAGTACATAAGAGTCAAATATATGTCTTATTTGTATGCGGGGGGGAATGAGGTTTCTTTTCTTTCCGTCTTTTCAATCAAGGGCGCAAAACAAAGCGCCAAAACACACACGAAACCATATGAAATAGTCAATGAAACATGCAAGCCCAGCTCTGTTCATAAAGTGTAAAGTACATAACTTCGTAAAAGTCCATAATCCCATAATAATGATAGCCACTTTACAGACTCAAGTCTTTTTTGCCTTGCTAGGACGACCGAGTCTCGAGGGCCCCTCCAACTGATCTACCAACGGCCGATAAGGCGACGCTAACACATGCTCTGGTGCGCGCCCTCGCCCAGGCTCTCCGGAGCTCGGTCGATTTAATTGCTCCTCGTGCATGCGATCCAGCGGTTCTCCAACAACCTGATACTTGGCCCAGTTGATAGGGGGCATACGGACGATATTCTGCGGGACAGGGATATGACCAAAGTTTGAAGCCGGTGATCCGTCTGGATTCGTGCGTTTTGAACCCTCTTCATTCTCTTCGTCGTCCCCCGCATCGTCTTCGGAGAACTGGATCACAGCACCATGGTCCTCGGTCTTCAACCGACCTGCTGCCAGCTCGTGCGCGAACCCCTCCGGATCAGCCGCGGCGGCCTCTTTCATGCGATCCAAAGCCTGGATGTCGCGCAAACTTTGCTGCTTCTGCATTTGCAGGATCGAGATGGCGGAACGGAGCGCGATGGCATCTGGATTCTCGCTCTCGGAGATAGGGACAGGGGGCGGTCGGGGCTTGAAGACGGGCGGATTGGGCGGAGGAGGCCGGGTGTGTGAGTAGTTGGGGTATGTCTGTGGAGGGAGGTGTGATGTTGGTGAAGGAGATGCAGGTGGCGGTACGATTGATGGCTCGTTGGAGGCGACTGGCGCGAGATGAGCAAACACGGGCGTCACCGGGGAATAAGGGGGACGAGGTGGAGTTCCCGGCTGATCAGGGATTGGGGCTTCAGCCCCTTGTTGCTGCATGATGAGATTCGACAAAGTTGAGGATCAAGCAAGTCGGGACTAAGTGGGGGGGGGGACAATCGAGGTCTTTCGGTGATAACGCGGGATATGCGGGTGATGACGACAGCGGTGCCTGGATTTGCCGCAATCACATGTGCGATGGCTTCGAAGATTAAAATAAAGATTGTGGCTGTTATGAAGGAACTTTTGCTATTTCAGATCGGAAAGATAAAGGAAAGACGTGCAGGAACTAGTTTGCCTTCGGATAGGGATGAGCGTATCGGCTATGCACCCCTCATCTACGAAGAGAGACCAGCCCTCCTAAATACAAGTGTTTGAAATGCAAGTTGATTGAGATTTAAGCTATAAGCTAGAGGTGTATTATTTGTATAACAATAGACTAAATCTTAGAAATGAACTGTGACCTTCTATCTTTGAGCTGTTGATGCAACACCCCACACAGTTGACCGCCTCATTGTGCGCCCTCACCGCCCGGAAAAATCTATGAAACATCAGACCACTCGCTGTTGAAGCTCCCATTCCTCTACAAACCTCAAAAATGAAGCGCAAGACAGACGCAAGGGCCTCCCTCGATGGCAATGCCATGCCCCAGTCCAAGAAACGGGCTCTCTCCAGCGAGGAAGCTGCTGCCCGCTTCCGCGACGGCCTTTTCGACACCGCGGAGCAACAGAAGTACACCAGCGAATACGCCAAGTCTTCTCCGTATGCATACACAGGAAAACAATCTAATCACGAAAAACTGACATTTCTAAATCTCTAGCTACCTCCACGGCGTCATTCACCCTTTGATCGAACCCACTCTCCTCCGCTCCGTCCGCGAGGAGATCGAAACCCAAGTATCTTTCACCGAGAAGGAAACAGATATTTACAAGATCTTCCAGTCTGGCGATCTCGCCAACCTCGATGGGCTGGATGACTCCTCCCTCTCAAAGCTGCCGTCAGTACTGAAGCTGCGCGACGCAATGTACTCAGCGCGGTTCCGCGAGTACTTGTCATCCGTAACTGGCTCCGGCAAGCTGAGCGGGCAAAAGACCGACATGGCCATCAATGTCTACACCGAGGGCTGCCACCTCCTGTGCCACGACGATGTTATCGGCAGCCGCCGCGTCAGCTACATCCTCTACCTGACCGACCCCGACACACCCTGGCAAGCTGAGTGGGGCGGTGCCCTGCGCCTGTTTCCGACAACAACCCAGAAGGACGCTAAAGGCGAGGACGTCAAGATCCCCAGCCCGGACCACAGCCTCTCCATCCCTCCCGCCTTCAACCAACTGAGCTTTTTCACGGTCCAGCCAGGTGAGAGCTTCCACGATGTTGAGGAAGTGTACCACGCACGCGAAGGCGAAGACAAGACCCAGAAGCGCGTCCGCATGGCAATCAGCGGCTGGTTCCACATCCCGCAAGAAGGCGAAGACGGCTACGAGGAAGGACTGGAAGAGAAGCTCGCCGAGCGCAGCAGTCTGGCACAGCTGCAGGGCCGTGGTGATATCTACGACCTACCGCAACCGCAGCCGGAGTCCTGGGAGGAACCCGAAGTCGAAGGCAAGGGCAAAGGCAAGGTGGAAGAGCAGACCGAGGGCGAGTTTACAGAAAGCGATCTAGCCTTCCTGCTTCAATACATTGCGCCTTCTTACCTAACACCCGATATCGCCGAGGAGATGTCGGACGCGTTCTCAGCCGAGTCCTCGCTGAGCCTAGAGCGGTTCCTGAGTGAGAAGTTTGGATCGCGCGTGAGCGCTTACATCGAGGAGCAGGAGAGACAGCCTCTGCCTGCTTCTGCGGATGAGATCCAGGCACAGCGCGGGTGGACTGTTGCCCGTCCTCCGCACAAGCATCGCTTCCTGTATCAGCGTGCTTCCGGCGAGAATGATACCGAAAGCCCGATTCAGGAGCTGTTGAACGTACTGTTCCCATCGCAGCCTTTCCGGAAGTGGCTCGGGCTTATTACTGGTGTGGACCATCTCACGAGCCACGATTTGCTTGCGAGACGGTTCCGTCGCGGTGCGGACTATACTCTTGCTAGTGCGTACGAAGGCGAGGAGCCTCGACTCGAGTTCTCGCTCTGTCTTACCCCAAGCACAGGTTGGGAGAAGCAGGAAGAAGAGGAAGACGAGGATGAGGATGAGAACGAGGATGAAGAAGCCAATGGCTCATCTGCCAAGGCATCCAAGCCAAAGGAGAACGTAAACGACGACGCTGTGGAAGGTCCTGCCCTAGGCGGGTATGAGATCTACATGGCTGGTGATGAGGATGAAGATGACGACGATGAGGAGGATGCCGAGAACGCTGACCAAGTCCTGGGTCGGAAGAAGACCAAGGCCGATCCGGCTGTCTACCGGTCTGCGGGTGCAGATGAGGATGATGGTATTCTGTTCAGCACGCAAGCGGGATGGAACCGGCTCAGCATTGTGCTGCGCGATAGCGGCACTCTCAAGTTCGTCAAGTATGTCAGTGCTGCGGCTAAGGGTGATCGGTGGGACATCACTGGCGATATTGGGGTTGAGTTTGAGGAGGGCGATGAAGATGAAGAAGAGGGTGATGAAGACGAGGACGAGGACGAGGACGAAGAGTAAATCTTAATCATGATGGCAGCATGACTGCAGTGCATAAGTTTCGAAAAAGATTGTAGATATTATATATGGCGCATATACGACTTGAATTGACTTGATGATATATTACTTGCCCCGGGACACCGAGCTTGATTCTAAAGGTTTATTATGCAGAGGTGTTGGTATCGGCATGCATATCAGACACTCTGTCTTCTTATTTGCATTATCGAAATAGGCCTTTCGAATTGATCATTGCCCATATCATCATCCCTTGGGACCTCTTCTTCTGAATCGTTACCTTGGTTCATCTTCACAATCTTGAAGATAATAGGACCATCTGCGCCATCTCCCAGCTCAAGCCGGGTGTCTGCCCAGTCGGGATATTTCTACCACCTTGTTAGCTCGGGAAGCAATAAAAGCGGGCAAGTATTGAGTGGAAACGAGCAACATAAGCGTTGGCTTGAGCTGTATTCGCCTTTCCTCTGACGAGTCATTGACTAACCTTCGCCCAAGCAAAGAGCATAAGCCTCTTGATAACCTGCGACGCGCTTACACAACCAATGACAAAGGGAATAAGCTGTCCCGTGGTCTGAATGTCGTGAACACCTTGGATGTAGTTCCAGTGTATTGTGTATTCAATGCTAGCGATGAACCACGCGATGCTCAGGACGACATAGACGTTCCATAGGGATGAAAAAGTCCGATGCTGGAAGCTATTTTACAATAGTTAGAAGCTTTTTTTCACAGAATAGGAGTATTATAGCGGTTTCAGGCACCTAGCTTCTTTCCAGCCTGGCGTCATCCCCATACCACGCGTAGGTAGTGTGTTTTCCCTCTCATTCCCTGTCACCTTTCCAGTCCCTAGCGACACACAAACCTTGATCACGTCAGAAAAGCGAATTGCGTCCGCTTTCGGTGTGGCCAAGAACCCGAGTAGATCCGAGAGTGTTGCGACCGGGAGGCCAAATAGGCCAAACGGCGTCACATAGAGCAATGGTATTCCTTGCTTTTCTAGGAACACATTGATTCTGCCAAGTGCTGAATTAAGGGCCTGGGGCGCGACTGGGTTGAAAGAATAGATAATATCGCGGTACAGAAACAGCAAAGCGTGCCACAAAAGCACGAGTGTTAGCTGGAGGAGGAGGGAAGCTGGAGGGAAGACGAAGATAGCAATGATAATAGCCGCGGCGCGGCATAGAGTGACAACCGAGCCATTTAGTGGCTGCTTTGAGAGGAGGAAGATGTAGAGAGGCCCGCAGCCTTGTCTAGGTGGTTGCTGTGTACCACTGCTAGAATCGTCAAACCAGAATATGAGATTATACGCGGCAACCACGGCAGCTGTGGTCATTCTCCAAATTACTCCTGACCAAGAGAGTCCAGGGGGCTTCAGGGTCCACAACATGTTGACAGGCGTCCCGAAGAAGTAAAAGCATAGCTCCAGAAATCTGAGTGTTGTCGAAAGGAGCAAGAACGGTTTGCGAGTGGTACCCATTTCGTTTTGAGCCGATAAATCAGACTGCCACCCATTTGATAGATTTGCAGATGGCTTCTTAAATAGGAAATCTAGAAAAGCCTTTGTAACACTCAATAATGACTTGAGCGCCATGGTTGTGGTTGTCTCCAGCTTAGCAAGCCGATTGGGGCTCATGAGCCATAGACGCATACCCAGCGTGCTGAGCGTAGTAACGAAGGAGCCAAGCATGAACTGCAACATGATATATATCTCGATGGCCGCCGTCCCTTGCTGTGCTGCGATGATACTTGCGACCATTATAGCGAAGACAAAAACCGAGTTGGTGTCGTAGATAAATTGAGCCGAATGTGGATCTAGGAGCAGGCTGATCCACGCTGAGATCCACTGTAGATAAACTCCGAGGCGAATTCCAAGACCGTACAGATCGGAATTGCCTTGAAATGGTGTGCAGGAGTCCATATTATCGGGGGTGCGTCAAAAGCACCACTGATTCGAATGGTACTCTAGAAATTGGAAGTTAGTGCCCAGAAGCAAGATTCCTAGGCTCAACATTAGGTGATGCTGAAGAGATAAACAAGTCGAAGTGACCGGTCGGAATGTTGGCGGCAAAAAGGTACATTGTGTGAGATACATAGATTTGCTGTCCCAGCGCACCAACACTGCCCAGGTGAGGCGTACCAGCCCCACTGTCCACCTGGGCAGTGCTGGTGTGCCTCACCTGGGCAGTACAACTAGACACAGGCTTCTCATCAAACACAAAATATAGAAATAAGGTATTCTACAGTGTATATTTGAAAAAGGTTGATATTGTACATGGGGAACATACAACTTGAATTGACATGACGATATAGACCTTGTCCTTTTCCATTTTAGTGCTCACCTCTTGGCGCTTTTTGATCTGCGGGTAAGATGGACGTCGAACGAGGAATATGACCCCCTAGGCCTTGAACAGGAACCTTGGTTTTTGTTATAGCCTAGTGGTAAAATGGCTATATTTTTTTCCCACAATAGAATCCCTAAAAGTCTCCGCTCATTTACTTCTTCGCCTTACATCTATGTCCCTTGTCAACGCCCACGTCTCGAACCTTCCTTCAAAATGGACATTTTGACTGTATCCAACGAAATTACACTCTTGATTTGGCAGCAATTACAATCCTAAAAGGATCTCCACGCGCTGATACAAGTTAAATGCCGCTTCTATCATATGCTAAAGCGCCTGTTATATCGATACAACCTTCGCCATCAGAACGAGGATGGCATTCTTCAGGCAGCTAAGTTGGGATCGATCCATGCAGTAGCCCAATTCATCAAAGAGGGATACCCTGTGAGAGACCGAGCTATCCATGCAGAACACCTACCAGAACCTGAGTTAGGACGCCCGGCCCCATAGCACCCCATCGTCATAGCGGTAGGTATTATGCAAATATTGTTGCGCCATGGAGCCCACATCTACCCTGAGAATCCGAAATCCGTGGATACTCTCGCCCACGAGCACATAGCAAAGCTAGCAAACGGTATATATATCCCTCTTTGTATAATCGTTGGGAGCACAGATATCGAATTTCCGATACTGATTATAGGGCAGGAATTGAGAGCAGCCCGCTACAGGTATATAGTTCGTCTCTGATATTCAGTCCAACCCAGAGCATGACCAAGCTTTGCTATCAAAAAGATAGAGTAGACTGGGTTATCCACGCGTCACCGATGGAAGACGACTGGAGTGCATGCCTTCAAACACTTGAGGGTCATACTGGGAGACACTGTATTGCGTGGTCCCAAGATAGCCGGCGCCTCGCATCCGCATCTTATGATGCTACTGCGAGAATATGAGACACAGTCACAGGACAATGCATATCCGTTCTCCGAGGACACGAGGATGCACTATACAATGTTGTCTGGTTGCAACATGATCAGAGACTCGCCTCGGCATCTAAAGATACGACTATTCGAATTTGGGACCCGGTCACCGGCCAATGCATATCAACCCTCCGTGGACATGTCGAGCCAGTATATACAACCTCCTGGTCGCCAGATTTCATGCAAATTGCATCATGGTCAGAGGATAAGACAGTGAGAGTTTGGGACACAGACACCAGGCAATGCTTATCTATTCTTAAGGGACATGGAAGTCCCGTTACAAAGGTGGTTTGGTTGCCGCCTAGCAGGCGACTCGCCTCGACATCGGAAGATAAACCATCCAAATATGGGATGCGATCAGTGGTCAATGTATTTCAAATCTCCAGGGCCACAGCAGGATAGTGCGGTCTCTTTCCTGGTCGCGAGATGTAAGTCGACTCGCTTCAGCATCAGCCGATGGAACCGTGAGAGTCTGGGACCCAGACAACGGAGCTTGTCTATCAATCATAACACAACATAGGAATATATTTTCTCCAGTCATGTGGTCTCCAGATGGAAGTCGACTAGCATCAGCTGACGCAACGATCAAAATCTGGGACCTGATGACTGGAAATTATGTATCGGGAGCCGAGAAACATGTTGCCATTAAATCTATTTCCTGGTCACCGGATGGAAATCTAATTGCGACAATATCAAGCCCCTTTCAGGATAGAGAAGTTCGAATCTGGGACACAGCCACTGGAGATTGTGTGTCGTTTTTTGAATCACATCGCTTAGATGGCACCTCACTTGCCTGGTCATCGGATGGAAGACATATCGCATTAGCTGGGACAGCAATCAAAATCTGGGATCCAACAATCAACAAGCCCAGATCTATATTTATAATAGTTGACGTATACGTGTGGGCTAAGCTCGACTGGTCAAAAGATGGAGCTTGGCTTGCATCGTTGCTATATTATGACGGAGTAAGAATATGGGACCCGATGACCGGCTGCACATCAATACTCCCCGATAGCCAGGATGTTACCTCAATTGCCTGGTCCCAGAACAGCTGCAAGCTCGCATCCGGGTCATGGTATGGAGAAGTGCATATCTGGGACCCAGTCACGAGAGAGTACATATCAGCTTTTGAGGGACATGTCGATCCAATTATTTGCTTGGTCTGGTCGCATGATGGAAGACTAGCGTCAGGGTCAACCGACGAAACAGTCAGAATCTGGGATCCGGAGGCTAGACGCTGTATAGCAGTTCTAGCTGGGCCTTTTGGTAAAGTCAGGTCTATTTCCTGGTCTTTGGATGGACGTTGGCTCGCATCAATGACAAAGACAAACAAAAGTACAGACTACATTGTCACGGTCTGGGATTCGGCCACTGGGCAATGCATCTCATCGATTAATATTGATTTTTTAATCACCCAAGCTCCCACTGAGGTGGTTAACAAGGATGATTTTTCCGATGCTCTTCAATTTGATACAGAAACTCTGAATCGCCTGCATACCATTGGTGGTACATTTGATTTTATCAGTGATACTCTCATCTTGGCCTTCACTCCCAATCTATCCCCTGCCGTGGGACAGCAGATAGGATATGGCATCAGCACTGACATGGCCTGGATAACATATCGAAGAGAAAATCTCATATGGTTACCCTCGGAGTATCGCCCAGATTGTTCATCTTTATTCTCTATACTCGAGACAAAGGCGGGAATTTATGTGGGAATACTTTGTTCGTCAGGTCGTGCTATAACTTTGACGCTCGCTCAAGACATTTCAATCCAAAGGTGCGATTCAAGTTGCATGGTTGGATAAGACTAGCCAGCCATTATCGTATGATATATATACACATATCATTACTCCATCTTCACACCCCCATAGGAGTGATAAGAACGGGCTCGTACTTGTAGTGGCTGCATCACGATTGCTGCAATGTCGTTGGACTAATATTTCCGCAAATATATATTTGCATTTCCAACCAATTCGTTGAGTATAAAGTTTAATGGATAATCAGACAACAATATACCTATGCACATCAAAAAAAAAGTCTCCACACTAGCACCTAGCAACAAGCTCAAATATCAACTAATTCCACAAAGAACCACTGACACTATCCACAGCGGCGATTGAAACCCCTAATAAGCAAGACAGGCGGGATGATCCCGAGAGCCGGCGCGAGCTGAAACAAGCACATGGCGGGATAAATGGACCTCAGGCGAACCGATCTAAGACACAGCAAGGAAGGAATAATTGGGTATTAATTAGGGACTATTAACGACTATTTCGATACAGGAAAAACAAAACATAATTATGTTACAGAAAATCTTGGAAGTGGGGATATTCGAGAAAAAGAAATATCTAAATGGAAATCCAAAATCCAAACCACAAAATATGTACACGAGTGGAGGCTCTCAGGCATCTACAACATTAGGTCGCATTATGTCGTAGCGCACATGTACGATGCATGTATGTACTTCGTACCTAAAAAAAAGGGAGAGCTACACATGGCGCAGAACATATCCACATATCCGCATACCCAGTAAGGAGGTAACCTGGGAAGCGGCGACGACTCCCCGTGGAATTCTCGAAATGCAAGACAAGACATGTTTGGGACGGTATGGCAACTCTACTCCACCGGGGAGTATTAAGTTTACCCCTTCCTACAGGGCCTTTTGACATTCGACACGCGACAACACCTGAACCGAGAACGAGAACAGGATGGATCGCCGGTGGAGTTGTGTTGTGGTAGGCAAGGGGTGTGCCACGATGATTTCAAGGAGAGGGAGATCGTGGAATGATCTGCCAATCACACCTGGTTATCGGGGAGGAAGGTACAAAGTACATATGGTGGGATTATCCAGGCATGGTCTGATGGATGTCCGAAGGCTTCTGATATAACATAAAGTACTGTGGATCGTTGCGGTTCTTGACTGCGAAATATGATTTGGTGGTTAGCTGAGGCAGTCGTAGCCTTACCTTCGACTGACAGTTGAATAAAATTAGTTTGCCTTCAGTCGAGTTTTTATTTGCGAGGTTTGCGCTGAATGACCGTTGGGGCGTGCGGATCCTTTCCTTAATTGTTGGTAGACATAGTAATCACCATATTCCTGATTAGTGACCTCATTCAGAGGGACTCACCAGATGGATTTATCGGTTGCGACCGGGTGGATTCAAGCCAGATCGTCGTGTCGATCCCGAGTGCTATATATTATTGAGGATCATTTGCCTAATAAGCTACTGTTCGACCTCGGGATGGGCCGTTGGAGAAAAGTGGCCCGAAGAGGGGTCATCGATGGATCCTTCGACACCTGAGAGCCTGAGGCACTAGCCTTAGGACAACGGGTTTAGGTACCAACAGGGTTGTATTGTAGTTCCTCTAATTCCTCTGATCAATTCATTATTAGGCTAATGGCTATTCTAGGCTGTGGGCGATGCTTATCTAGTCGTTCTACTTAGCGCCCTAGGACCTCAACGTAAACGCGAAACAATGAACACCACACCAACCCAATGAACTACTCAGATTAAGCGCTATATGTAGAATAAGCGTCATGACAATGGATCAGAAAAATAATTAGGTCAGGCTAGCTCCGTCTTCCCTTCGTCCCACTGTAACTACATCTTAACCATCTCTTCTGCCATTCCATAATACGACTACTATAAATATCCGATATGTCGACAACAGAGAATGCCGGCCAGCCCGACATAGACTCACAACAGCTCACCTTCGAAATCAACGGTCTCTACATCCTCCTATCTGACCGCGGCGATAAGAGCTACACATTCCACTGGCGCCTCTATCTACACCAGAGTGCCAAATCGGGCTCCATTTACCATCTACTAAACGACATCGATCCAACCATCTGGCGCTTTGAACATCTACCCGACCAGACCGTCATCTATAATCAAGCACTCCTTGGAGCCCTCAAGATAGGAGTGTTAGATCCTACGCTTCATGCACATTTTCTCGAACGTCTTCATCAAATCCCAATCGTGGATTCAGTCCGATTCCGTGAGAGAATCACTTGCCGGGTATGGCTCAAGGAAGCTCTTTTTGCGCTCGATGATGAAGGATATATCATGCTCACTCGTAGTGTGGATGAAATCGAAGCTGAGGCAAGGAACCTCGCACTTCAGAATAAGACTTTAGGGAGGCGGACGGTTGTGAGGAGTTGTGGGAGTCAGGGTTGAGATTCCAGGTGTCATGTGGAATATTCCAGTGGATTATGGTGATATCATGTGCAAGGAGGGGGGGATGGGGAGAGGAGATGACATTTTATATGGATCAGACGAGGTTGGGCGATATTGGACGGAATCTATTTTGAACCTAGTGGGAACCCCATTTTGGTGCTATTTCAGTCATAAGTGGAGCTAGAAATGACAGCCTGTCAAAGCCGAGCGCCAATATTGTTTCAGTATGGTATCTAACAATACATGATGCCCAGGTGGGTTCAAAATAGTTGCACTACAGAGGTGGTTGGGGGGCGACACGCCGGCGGAAGTCACGGGAGGGCTAAACGGGAGGTCCCTACTCCGTAGCCTCAGTGGATATCTTAGGCGATAATTGATTATTGAGTCTGTGCTCACATTCTAGCTGAGAATCCCGGTATGATATTTCCCAACCTTTTTTGCATGTAACCTCTAAGCTTTGACTGTGCGCTCCCCAGCTTCGGGGAACGGGAGCCGGTGCGAGGATCGTCGGCAGGGGAGTTTGAGTGGGAGGTACTCCGTCTAGTACTGTGTACATACATATGTAAATAGACAGGTATGTGCAATGTACTTCGTAGGTTGTATACATATGTAGAACCAAGTATGGGTAGTAGTGCAGAACGCGTAAAGACACGGGACTGGATTTCGTGCTGGAGGGTTTTTTTCCGAAGACTATGGGAACACTATTCAAATGAAGTCATGTTCCAGAGCATTATTTGCACGAAGGGGCTGTTTCCATGCGAGGGAATAGGAGCTGGAATTGGATCCGGAAGAGGCAAAATGAAAAATAAAAGAGACAGAAAAAAAATAAAAATAAAGTACCTACATCCCTGGACGGTACGACCCGTGTGTCAAGACAGACTATTGGGAAAGAGCAGCAAGGCACGGCCCACGAGCACGACCCTCAAAAGAGGCGTGGATGCAGGAATGGGCAAGGAGCCACGGTATTGCCATGATGGCACCAAGTAGATGGGATTGGGAGAGCATGGGTGATTGCCATGGGCGAGCCATGAGCCATTCGAGGAGGCATTCACATAAGCCATGCATTATTAACATAACGAACTCTAAGCTCGACGACTAGTGATCCCATCCCTTGATCGAAATTAGGCAGGTTGGCGAGGGTGTACAACGTTGTAGAGATAGAGTCGTACTCAGAATTCCCGTTTGGCGGACCGTTATTTTTGGCCCTTTTTTTTCCTGGGGTAGCAGCTATCTGGCAGAGATCGAGCTTGGAGTCTGAGATAAGCAGTGTCCTTTCGTCAAGTATGGAGAAGTGCTACCGTGTCAGAGGTTCGAGGAATGTGCCGTAGATCGGGTGGCGATCTTCGAGACATTCTGCAAGGCGACGATGGTGCCATGTGGCATGCTGGAAAGGGAAGACGGTGGACGGTAGTACTTGACATGCATATGGTTTATTGTATTGAATTTCTGCCTAAATTGTTTTGTATAGCTAGCCTCTTTTGAGGTGGATAAGAAAGGACGTGTTATTACAGCCACAGTGTGGCGGGGTCGGCTAGACCGTCGGTTGGGCCGATGCAAATTTTAATTTTTGGGGTTTAGTGTATTTTATCATTGTATTTAATATGTAATCAATATGTAATTTTCTATTTACATGTTCCAAACAGGCTAGATCTATTTCTGGACGAACACCCGATCAAACGGAAAGATCAAATCGACACATCAACCCAAAAGCCACCTGGTACAGGCAATGCGGTTCCGCGATTGTAGTGGCGTAGGTGGCTACCCCTTGGGTAAATACCATTATCTCAAGGACAATCTTCCCAGAAACAGACTATGAGACTATAGTGTACTATAATACTATGGGATAGTACCTCGAGGGCCGATACCTATATGTACAAAGGTGAATCAATAAAGGTAGATCCAGATCTAAAGACCAAAACAAATAAGCTTGGTCATATTCGCCAAGACTCCAGGTCACACTGGACTGTTCGGAACCGGGATATTACCCTCAATAGCCCCGTGAATAGGTGAAAATAGCCGCGCGACATAGTACTCCGTACTACCCCTACCCTCAGACTCTGACAGGTCAACATGTGATGATTTGGGCGGCGGGGACGGGTGGTTGCATGGCTACGGTATGAAGCTCAAGCTCATGGAAGCGTGGGTGATCCGTGACACACTTTTCTGTCTGTGTCCGAGGTGTTACAAACAGAAAATATGTAGGGGAGAAAGTGGATCATGTTTTAGCTAGAGGGTAATATATCCATCGATACTAGTACTAGGATTGTAGGATTAAAAGAATGGAGGATTATAGGGATTAGAAGGATCAAAAGATTATAATCTTGGACAAAATTGTAAATAGATACATATGTATTTGTCGTGATCAAAGGTACCCTCGGTGAGTAAAGCCAACTAAATGCCATGTGTGGGACTGAAGAAAAAGACATGTTAATTCGCATGGAGGACAAGGATTAAACTGACAGGGATGAAATTTCGTACTAGGTACTTCCGGGCTTTGCTCAATATCCCGAACAAAAAGAAGCAGAAAAGATGTATTTGCTACTATTTGTCCCCCGAGACTGCCGATCAACCCTGCATCCTCATGCCATGTGTCCAACGTCAACATGTTGTTTATATATGTTGTTATTTTACTTTGTACTTGGGTACGTTCCTTACAGTACCTTAATCTCCCAAACGGGATTGTGCAGTTAGCCCCGGTCGCGAATACAGCCTGACTGGAAAGAGAAGGAGACTCAATTGGTAGGAGACTGCAAGGGAGAGAGCCACGTGAAGGGGTATGGTAACAATAGTATTCTAGTATTCTATATGAATATGTTATAAATATGTTATAAATTAAAAATATATTATAAAAACATATATAAAAATAAAAATAAAAATCCCAAAATCCAAAAAAAGATGACGTGAAGACTTGGATGCAACGAAACGTGTTCTCCTTGCTTTTCCCAGGGATCTTTTCTTCAGGAATGCTACTATTTAGTGGGTATATATATGTACGTATGTATATATATATATATATATGTGTGGGCTATGCAGTAGACAGAGTAGATATAATAGAGGATAATGAACATAATGAACATAAAAGAAAGTGAAAATAGTCTGTTAATAGTGTTTAAGTGTTAATAGTACCCTAAGACAAGTATAGCATAAAAGTCCTTACTCCCCAGGGTCAGCCTCGTGGCACACACAGTTGCAGTAGGGCCTTGGCGGTAATACCAGTACATTCTTTGGATTTTCTTTTCTTTCTTTTTCTTTTTTGTTTAATTTTATATATTATTTTCTGTTTTAATTTTTAATTTTAAAATGTAAGAAAGGGGATGCCAAAAAAGAAGGTTAAAAAAAAAGAAAAGAGGAGTTTCAGACGACTCGAAGGCTTGCGGGTTTCGAGTCTCCAATTTTCTATTCTTTAATCTCTCGACTCTCTCGATTCTCACTCTACACTCTACACTCTACACTCTCTACACTACACTCTACACACTCACTACTCTTAAATCACTCTACTGCATAATACCCTATACTCTAATACCTTTACACTTCCGTGCCACGTTCCTTTCGGTAAGCTTGATCTGTGTTGCCTGGATGTCTTTACGTCTAACCTTCGATCTAGCCTTCCTTTTGACCTTCAAGTTGCGCGAACCTTTTACAACCCTCGCAACGAAACGGTTTCACCGTGAATCGTTTCTCGAATTGACATCTCTACCCTCTCGATTTGGAATATGCGATAGTGTGGGAGGAAAAAAAACAGAGCGGGTTGATATTCGATTCTTCTTCACTGTTCCCCCTCCCCGCCTGATTCAGACTCTCCCGCCATGGATCCTTCTGTCGCACATCGCCCATGGGAGGCAGTCTCAGGGCCTCAGGTTACTGGAGGCTCAACGCAAACTCTCCCCTCTATCTCGACTCTCACCGCAAATATGCCTGGGACCGGAGCCACCGCGGAGAAATCCCCCGGTAACGGCTCACTGAACACGATCGAGCGTGACTCCGGGAATTGGTCAATGCCGCAAAGCACAAGTAGGAGACCCTCACCTAGCATGGAATGGGAGCGGCGCGGTGCTGACCATGTAGGATCGTCCACCTACTCCACGGCGACCAATGGCACCGGCAACAATTATCCCTCTCTCAGCTTCATATCCGCGTCGCAACCCTCCCCGAATCGCGGACACCCGGCTGTCGATCGCTCCCCTTACCCCCACGATCAATCCACCACCCCTTCCTCCGCTGGTACCCAACAACCCTCTCCAAACTTCGGCCAGCCAAATTCAACCCTCCCCTCCATCAACCAGAACTATGAAGTTCCCTCCCAACGAACGAGTGTGGCCGAGACGACCGAATCCCGGCGCAGCAGTGTCGACAGTCGCATGAACCAAGGAATCAGTTCTCTGGCCATCAACCCAGCCTCGCCATACCACAGCACCAATGCCTCCCAATCATCGATTGTGTCAAGTCTACAGAGGGAACGAGGGATTCCGACCGACATGAACTCATACCGTGGACCTCGGTACTCAGGAGGCAGTCAGCCACTCTCTCCATTGGGCCCCCGCGCAACCGACCAGCAGCGGAGTTTTGCAGCCGGTCGCACTGCTCCAGCCATTTCATCGAATCCTCGGTCGGAGATTTACAACGCCGAAGCACCCACGGCGGGTATGGCATATGCCTTTCCTGACCCGGACATGGCGCGCTCAAGCTCCGTTTCCTCGAAGGGAGAGTCCAACCCGCCGTTCTCCCGAAAAGGCAGCATGGCGGAGTCTATGAACAGCATGTATTCGGAACGGATGCCACGAGGACAACACGGTAAGAGGATATCACCAGAACAACACACTGGACGCGCAATACTAACAATGTCCCAGACCTACCCCAAAATGTACACCACCACCATTCCCTCCAACACAAGGCCGTGCGAGAGTTGATCGGCGAAGAAGACGGGCCGGCGGGCAGCACACCGTACAGCCGCACGCCTGAATTACGCGTAACACACAAACTCGCTGAGCGCAAACGGCGCAGCGAAATGAAAGACTGCTTCGAAGCGCTCCGGCTACGTCTCCCACCGGGCCAAACCAACAAGTCCAGCAAATGGGAAACACTCACCCGCGCAATTGATTATATAGCGATGTTGGAGAAAACCGTTACCCAATCAAATCGCGACCGGGCCGTCATGCAGGCCGAGATTGATGAGATGCGTGCCCAACTCAACCAGCAAGCCAACGCCTCCCGCCCCCCCTCCATCTTCGAACACCACCAAATGAGCTCCAATCAGGTCAATGGCCAGGGCCCTGTCTTTGGTGCTTTCGGTAATGGCGTGACTCAGGAGCAGCCGCGCACGTTACCGCCCCTCATGAATGGCTCTAGTGCGGCTATGCAGGGCATTGAATATGAGCGGCGGTAGGAAGTGTGGTGTGAGGTGCGCGGAAGCCGAAGCTGTGTACGAGATATGACTAGTCACGCAAAACCTATCATCAACGACTTTGTTTTGGACTTTGTTCTCTTGATATCATATATCCCTCTTATAGATGCGATCCCCATTCGACTTTCTCGATTTGGGGATTGGTTTATACTGACTTTGTTTTTGTTTGATCTTATGGAGTGGTCTCTGTTTTTTCTCATATTTTGTTCTTCATACCCGCAATTGCTTTGCTTTTTTTTTTCTGGGCCACTCTACATGGAATATGATAAGAGGGAATATGGAATATGGAATATTTGAATAGCTGGAATAGCTGAAATACAGATATTCATGTTTCAATTAAAAAAAAACTTCTCTTGTTAGCGTATAGCTGGTAGAGTGTGGAGTATCACCACACATCTCCCCATGAAATGGAATGATATAGACCAAATACATCATCTCATATAGACAGTAGCACGAAAACATCATGTTTCAGAACCCCAGATCCTGCTTTAAATATGTATCATAATATGAAGATCTATTTCTGTCCTTCCACTAATTGGCCCCTCGAAGCGCCCGCCCCCCGGTCCGGCGCGTAGTGACCGGCCTCAGTCTGACATTTGCATCCAATCCATCGTCTTCGTTTCTGCTTCCCCTGGTGATCTCTCTGCCAGTCGTCCAATGACCGACCTTGAAGAAGCAGCACGGAGCTAGTTGCAGCGGGATGTCTGGGATCGCTGCAGAAATTCCCCAGCGACGATGATTATTGGTCGGGTTGTTTATAGCTTGAGCTGTGTCCTGTAGAGTGACCGGCCTGGACTCTATTTCTGCACTGTGATGATGCAGAAATGCGAAATGCAGAAATAGAGAGCTTGGGCTTTAAATCTCGGAGCTTTTCTTATTTTCTTTGTCTTTTTGTCTTTCTTTTGTTTTGCATTTGACTCAATCAACTTCTATTCAGGGTTGTTGTCTATTGTTGCCTTTCGCATTGTTTTACTGGCTATAATATTAATAGACCTCCTCTTTATTACGTCTCCCTGTACTTTCATTCTTTCATGCTTTTCTGACACATGGTATGCATCTATCGGATACTATCACTTCTGCAGACTAACATCTGAACACAGTCAAGTCTACTAAACCATCATGCTCAAACGAAAACCCCAAGCCCTCCAGGTCCCAGTACCAAACTTCCCATTCTCATCGCCGATCAGCGAAGAGATCTCAAGTCCCTCATGCTCCTCGGAAGACCAGGATGAACGAGATCGACCCTTTACACTTCTATCAAAAGCAGCACGACAAAGGCTCGAGGCGAAGGCCGCCAAAGATGGGAATCGCTCGCCCATTTCCCCCCGCGAAACCTCTAGACTAAATATCCGCGTCACGAAGAAACGTAAAAGCGTCGGGAAACCGGTCGGCTTGAACCTCGTTACGGATTTCACCTTAGCGCCGGCGCCGAGGAAACAGTCAATTCCCGCAGAACCAAACGCGGCTGCGCCGTTCGTCGATCTGAATGACCTGATGCTTCTTTCGAAAGTGCGAGAGAAGGAACGCACTGCTCAAAAATCAAAGGATACATTCAGGAAGAGGGTTTCACGGGGCTTTCAGCGGTTACCCGAGACAGTGCAGAGTCAGCATCACCATCAGAATGGAACTGCAGCCTCTTTCCTTACCACCAGAGATGAAGACCCATTCCATGACAAACACGGAGATGTTATCTCGCCCTCGGACCGCCACGTCATGATCGGACTGACTGTGCCTCGCAGCGAGTCAGTAGAAAGATCACAAGAGCTCGATAGTGCAGGAACACCGCTCACACCATCGATTGTCGTCACCCCAGCAAGAGGCGACGCACCATGGAACGCACACTCAAACTCGAGTACGGAGATGCTCCGACCAAGGGCAACATCAAGCATCTATTCGCAGCCAACACCCCGTCTTTGGCAATATGAAACAGATATTCCTCCCGTGCCAGCCATTCCTGCAGAGCACTCAGCTGCTGCCAAAACTCCCGCCCAAGAGACTGGATACCAGAACACACTAGGCGTAGAAAGGAAAGCGCGCGCCCTCTCAACAGCTTCAATCTGGGAAGACGACAGTCCACCCCGGACACCAGAAACCGTACGCCAAGCCTCAAAGATCCAGCAACCGGGCCGTCTTAGCGTCAATACCCAAGCAGACGCCAACAGACCAGAGTCACAAGGCTGGTGGACATATCTCCTCTCCCCACTGCTAAGCCGATCCATAAAATCCCCCCTCAGTCCATCCTTTCCGCAAGAATCACCCTCCACCCCGTCGACAACAACAACCACAGCCCGTCCCCAGCCAAAAGAATGGATACCACGCGAGAAAGAAATCTCCTGCTTCTCGCCCGATACACCAGAAACAGCAGCCCCAATGGGTGAGAAAGCATTCGAGATATCCCGATCCTTCGAACAAGAACAATACCAGCAAGACCAATACCAAGCCCCCGAACGCCATCAATCTCCACCACCTGCTTACGTCTCCAACGTCTCAAGTAGACAAAACACCATGTCCTTTATGTTCAGCAATAGCCAGACAATTCAGGGCGAAGCAGCTGAGTACTACCAAGCCTGTGCGCACGAACTATTCAGTAAGACGCCGTATTTTGAGTGTGTCAATCACGTCTGCTCGATAACGCCTGTTAATCCCGTTGCCGTGCCAGCTGGAGCTACGAATACGGCTGTAGAGAGTGGCCGAGGACTTGCGCTTGTTGCGGTTGAGGAACCTGGAGTATCTGGCCTCGAAGAGACGCGTGAAAATGATATCCAGGATTCGGTTCCGTCGACGACGTCGACTAAGAATGCTGGTCTGCTTATTGATATTGACTCGCCTCGTCCGGAGACAACGAAGTCAATTCCATCTGGGTATGCTGTTCGCGCGAAGGAGGTGCAGGTCTTGTCACCCTCGTCGGAGTTTAGTTCTCATACGTGGGATTCTTCTGTTGTTGATGAGGATGAGAAGGAGAAGGGTTCAGTGGCCCATGGTACTAGGGGTGGAGTTTCGGAAGCTCGGTCTCAGCGTGTTGCTTCCCCTCCCATTCCTGTTCCTGTTCCAGTTGTTGCGCCCCCTGTGGAGGCGGTTGATAGACAGGTTTGGGAGCCAGCTCCGCCTGCGCCAGCTCCTATTGCTATGCCCGAACCAGCCCCTGCTCCTGCTCCCGCTCATATTCCTATGCCTGAGCCAACTCCCGCTCTTGCTCCACAGATAACCACTAATATCGCGCCCCCTGTTACTAATTTCCATTACACTGTTCCTCCGCCGCAGCCTCAGGTACAGCCTCTGCAGCCGACAGTGCAATATGTGCCAGTCTTCGCTCCTCAGGCTGCACCGCCAATGGAGCCGCTACTGCAGCAGCCTCAACCGCAGGAACAGTCCCGAGAAATCTCCCCGCCGATGCTCCAACCAGCTCCTCAAGTAGCAACGCCAAGATCGGAATGGCCATGGGGAGTACGAGAACAGCCGCATGAGCAACCCCAGGTCCAACAACCAGCTACCCAAGAACATGTTTCTGGGTTTGAATGGGCGTATTCTCCACAAGGACAGCCTCAAGGACAGCAACGAGGGCAACTGCAAGAACTTCCTGTGACACAAGCTTCCCCACAGCAACCGCAGGTGGCATATGGACAGGCTCCTCCCCAGACACGGCAGGCAACTCTTGGTCATGCAACCCAGCCTCAAGGACCGCTTGTTATCCAGGGACGGCAATCTGGTTCTGGGTGGCCGTTTGGTCTAACCGCACACCCTCACTCGAATGCACCCCCTGTGCCCCCACTGCCACAAACCCAGCCCACTGGATCGGAGGCTCAGTCTCAGCAAGAGCAATCCCAACAGTCCGTGCCTCAGGATCGGCAGCCTGGATCTGAAGAACCGCAAGCGGCACGGGGATTGTCTCAAGAGACTGAGCTATCGCCTCCCCAGGGACATTTACAACCTTCTGAGCCTATCTCTCCCGGTTTCCAGCGCGCTGCTGGCGGACCTGGCTCGATCCCAATGTCTGATATGCAGGCACCGGCTCCTGCGTACTCGCAACATCCTCGAGATCCTGCTCTGCCGCCTCGATATGATACTCAGCCACGTTACGACAATGATCCCACAGCTGGAGTTACCAGTGTCAACCCAAGTGGGGCGATAGGACCTCAAGAGGCCCGACGCCGCCGGCTGGAAAAAGAAGAAGCCACTGGCCGAAGGGTTTGCAATCTTTGGCGTGGCCGTGGTCTTTTCAGCAAGAAGAGTGGACGACCAGGACGCGAGGGTCGTACTCGACGGAGATGGTATTTCATTATCTGCATTTTCTTCTTGATCATCGTGATCCTCGCCACTATTCTCGCGATCACTCTGACAAGAAAAGGAAACGACACCCCCGTTCAATCGCAATGGCTGAATCTCACAGGCTATCCGCCTATGCCTACTGGAATTGCAACGATCGCTGGGACGGAGGCGCAGCTTGAAAAATCGACTTGCATTACTCCTTCTTCAATGTGGAGTTGTGCTTTGCCCAAGGACCAGCAGGATGCCAATGAGCCGTACAATGCGAACCAGCCCAATTTCCGTGTTTCCATCAACTTCCGCAATGGCACGTACGAGAACAGCACTACTGTTGGCTCAAAGCTACGTATCAGGAGCGATGACCTTTTTAACCCATCGCCCGCAGCCCCAACAGACGCAGAGGAGAGCTTCCTCGGCCAATACACAGACAATAACACTGCACCCTACGCCGGCGAAGAAACACCCTTCTACATGTCCCTCCTCTCACCAGTCTCCCTCTCCTCGGCAAACATCTACCGCCGTTCAGAGACATCCAACGGCACCGCATACCCCAACATATCATCCATAATCCCCGCGCCAGAAGAAAACGCAGATGGAACCCCATCTGCAGCAATGCTCTACCCCCTCCCCTCATCCCAACCAATCCGCCTATACAACCGCGGCCTCGCAACCGAGCACTACGGCTTCTACAGCTACTTCGACAAATCCATCTTCCTAACCTCCCAAACCAAATCTTCCTCTGCGGACACAAACGGCGGAACCTCAAAATCCAACGCAAAATACCGCTGCACATGGTCCCAAACCCGCCTTCTAGTTCAAATCTGGACGCAATCCGAAAAAATAAACCGCCAGCTCCTCCCAAAATCAAACGACACAGCAACAAGCACCACAACCTCCTCATCTGCAACACCAACATCAACAAACTCACCTACATCTTCATCCTCCGCAACAGACTTCTCCCGCCCAGGCTCATTCCCATACCCGGTAACAATAACAGTGGACCGCCACGGCGGCGCCGAGAAAAAGAAAATGGTCTACTGTTACCCGATCGAAGATGACGGTCATTATAATATCACGGCTGTGCAGCTGCAGCTTGAGGACCGCGCTGTCGGGGGTGAGCTTGTTAATCCTGCTGTTGGACTCTTTAAGGGGCTTGGTGAGACGAAGAATTCTACGATTGAGAATGCTGGAGGTGTTGATGGTGGTTCTGGGGGATGTGAGTGTCAGTGGGTTAATTGGATTTCGAGTGTTTAGAGACTGGGACAGAGACTGGAGTGGTTGCATGGATGGTGTTTTTGTTTATAGGGGTGGTGATTATTGATTTTTCTTTTCTTTGATTGTTGCTGATGCGTTGCATTGCGTGTCCTCTGCATTGCGTGTTTTCTGGTGTTTGGGTGGCTTTTCTGCTTCATTTCCTTGCGAACGATGACGATGCTTCATAAAAGAGTATATACATTATTCATTTCTATAGTACTATGTATCTAGTCAGTTTAAAATTCAAAATCACTGTTACAATTCAAAACTACAACCCTACAACCCGACGATCACCAAGAATCTATTGATATCTCGTAATATAGAAAGCAACAACCATGGATCAATCCAACGGCTCCACTGAGAAAAGCTCAGGTTGCACCAAGGGCACAGAAGCTAATCTAAAACCTTAATCTAGCCAATCTCCAAGCTTAGAATCTTGAAATCCATACAGGAAAACTCTAAATAAAAGTCAACAGGTTGGTAAACGGGTACGGTAGCTTTTAGTCAATCGCGTCAACCCCCACATGATTTAGTCGTCCTTTTACCGCATTGCTCTTATTTGATTTAAATGATGAGAACAGGGCGAAAAAATAGGATTCAAAAAAGAACGCTAGGAAGAGTGTTGAAAAGACCATTGAAAAGAGTACTAACAAGAGTGCTTAAATCAGTGCTTAAAAGGGGGAGGCTTACTAGTAGGGTATTGAGTACATTAAGTTCTACTACGATATTCGAATATAGCCTATATATTTGATGTTACTCATTGTTTTACTTCTTCTAGATATGACCTTGCTAGAGTGGTAGGTGAAGGCTTATGGTCATAACAGCTAGTACTCATCTACCGGTAAGAACCCAGGTTGGCGCGATGGACTCTTAAAACCTGCCATAAACGGGTAGGAAACGCTCGCCACCCGACCCTGCAGGCACGACTGGATTGCGTTATGGGCTTCTATTGTTAGAAGTATGACTAGGGTTGCATTTTTGCCACTGGGGGGATTAAAGTTTGCTCTATGAGTCTCTTGATATTTATTTTTTATGGAGTATTTGGAAGTAAGAAGGGATTTAATCTGTTAGATATCATATCCCGGTTCTGAAGGTATTATCCAAAAACTTTTCTTTGAATTAGAATTATATTAAGTACTCATATACCACCCAATAACCAATCACTAAACTCCTAGAAACAAAATCCAATCATAACATCCTCCAACGCCTGACTGGTAATTCCAATACTCCAACCTTCTATTTTAAATCAAGTCCCTAGCTGTGGCTAGTTCTCAGATCAGATATCAGAAGAAACAAAGAGATCCCAGCAATTGAAAAAAAAAAACAACGACATTAAGAGACAGCCTTGTGAACATTAAGCAACTGCGAGGCGTTTATGCAAGGAGCATAAGGGCACCGTAAACAATGCTGCCAATAACAGCGCTGAAGACTCCGACCTGGGGTGCCGTGATCTTGGAACCAGGACTGGAGGGGCTGTAATCAGTCGAGCCGGGGGAGGCTGAGCCGGTTTCAGAGCCGGAACCAGAGCCAGAGCCGGAGGTAGAGCCAGAGCCGTTGCTGCCAGATCCAGAGCCGTTGCTGCTAGAGCCAGAGCCAGAGCCAGAGCCAGAGCCAGAGCCATTGCCGCTAGAGCCGGAGCTGGAGCCAGATCCAGAGCCGTTGCTGCCAGATCCAGAGCCAGACTCGGAGCCGGAGCCAGAGCCAGAGCCACCGGAAACACCACCAGCACCACCGGAGGGAGAGGCGCCGTTGCTGCCAGAGCTAGAGCCGGAGCCGGAGCCAGAGCCAGAGCCAACACCACCAGCACCACCGGAGGGAGAAGCGCCGTTGCTGCCAGAGCTAGAGCCGGAGCCAGAGCCAGAGCCAGATTCGGATCCAGATCCAGAGCCAGAGCCAGAGCCAGAGCCAGAGCCAGAGCCAACACCACCAGCACCACCGGAGGGAGAAGCGCCGTATGTCTTGGTAGGGACATTAACGGGAATGGTCGCACTACCGTGGCAGCTGAAGCAAGGAGCAGTACCAGTGACGATGATAGTACTGTTCTTACCACCACCGCTGTGGGTACCGTTGTTGTGGGTTCCAGTGACAATGGGGTGGCTACCAGTTTGGGTACCGGTACCGTTGTGGTGGGAGCCGGTGACGATGGGGTGAGTGCCAGTCTGGGCGCCAGTAGGAACGACACCAGTAGGAATGACACCGGTGCCAGTCGCACCACTAGCATGGTGCTTGCCGATACCCTTTCCGCTGATTACGGGGGGTTCATGCTGCTGCTTGGCACCACCGGCCTGGACGCCGGCTGCGAGAGCCAGCAAGGCCATAGAGGGGGCAGTGAAGTGCATTTTTATTTGAAATGAAAAGCGATTGGATTAAGAAGTGAGATATGGCTTGCTGTCTTAACGAGCGACGAAGCTAGGGCTGGGGTTAGTGAATGTTCTTGATATCGTGGTGCTAGTACTAGCAGATACTTGGTAGCTTGAAGACTTACCTAGGATGATAATGCCGATGCGATTGAGGTGGAAATCGAGTAGGAATTTGAGGCGAAGAGACCGCCATTCTTATAGATCTTGCAAGTAGTCCAAATCCGGCCCATGGATTAATTAAGGTTAATTGGTGATGACATGAACAATTAGCAGGGAAAATTTTTGAAATTCGAATGTGTGCCTCTCGATGTTCCTGTGGACCTCGATGTTCCTCTCTGCCCTGATGGAACCCTTGGTAAAGTGTGAACAAGATGTGGTGATTTCCGCATCCGGGGTTAATGTCACATTTCTCAGATCTCGACCCCACATTGAAACCCCGGTACGATCGGTTTAACCCGACGCCAAAGCGTCATGATCTTCCAAACTTGCTGTTCGTCCGAACGGTGGAGACGCGGCTCGGTTGGACCTGGTCACGTGATAGCATGTCCTAATTAGGAAGGTGCTGCTCTTGCAAGCGGACATCCATGCCGAACACCCCACCACTGTGGAATTCCACAGAGATCCACTTCAGAGCTGTCACAATGAATCTCAAGTGGATTCTCTTTGTCGATGACCTGTTTTCAGGATCATACCTATACCTGACGACACGTCTGAAAGGATGGAGTCTTGGGGGACAATGGGTGGAGAGACCCCATAGCTCTCTAAATCCGCGGAGTACCCAGGAAAAGCAGCTCGAAGAGAGTGGAAAACCGCCCGTAATACTCCACTTATTACATTACCGTTGGGTCGTGAGGCTCCCTGCTTCCCTGGGCTACAAGATAGGTCTATCGCAATTTATATCCGGTAAAGCACACTTGGTCTCTAGAAGGTGTCGCGAAAAAGATGATTTGAGAATAAGCTGCTGTATTTCTTCCTCTATCATGTCATTGCGAGAGCCTTCAGTTATCAGCAGACGAAAATCGCCAAGGGCGCTCCCTGCGTAGGCCTGGTCTCTTTGTCGATCCCCTAGCAACTGCATCCGGCATCCAATGAGTCTGCATCAACGAAACTCACCTAGCATCAGAAATTTTATCTTCAGTATGTGTCGGCTACAATGTTGCAGCGGAGTTTAAGTCAAGTCCATAATCTCTGATCTTTATCATTTTGCGATCAACCTGAGGAATGCGGCTGCCACGCACTAGCTGTGGAATGTATGTTCCTGCAGAATAGATGATACCCCGACAAACCTCGTTCGCACGCTCCAATGGAGCTCAATATCGTCTGCAGGAATGGAAGGGCAAGAAATTTGATTCCGGATATTAAGTAACATGGGGAGTAATTTCTCGTGGATGACAGAGGCCTAGAATGTCTCAAGGTTGAATTGGGTGCAAATTGCACATTCTGTTACCAAGAAAAACTCGCGCAGAGCAGCAAACCGTCTTCAAGTCCAAATCAACACGCTCAGACTGTCCTGCACTAACCTGGGGCGCTTTTCAAGAAGCGACTTGGAAACAATCGGATGATTTGGAACCCAAACTAACGCCGTTTTTACATGGTACTACAAACGTGGTCTTGAAGTCTTTCTGGATATTACCGTAGACTTCCCCACTGTATGGGTTGTTTGTACCATACTCGATGTAGTATATTGCAGTACCTCGAGCATTGTACATAGCTTCAACTGTGTGTAATCATGCAGACTTAACACAAATGACAACCACTAAACTTATGGCACCCTGCTCACGCTAGATCCCAATTCTTCAATCCACTGTTGACTGCATCTCCCGCCTTTGTGCAAGCCTCTCTGACCGACGAGTACCAACTCTTGGTACTCCACGCTCAACTCGACGGTTGACTGGATGCGCGACTCGACAATTCACTGTCTTGCCGCCATTACGTCTGGGAGGTATGCGTGGACCATCCTCAGCAATTGATATAATGTGCTCTAAGACGTTGAGTTGTGCCGGATGTGCAGAACTTTGGCAAAGTTTCTCCTGACGTTCCCTTTCTAAATGCACCAACTTAGGCTCTTCGCCTATAGTCTTGGGTGGTAACATGTCAAAAGTCAAGATGTTGGGTTGGGCGTCTCTTATATGCATTCTCCGGGGAAGCCAAAAGGGCCGACCGTACTGAAAGGGCATTGTTTCAGTTCGTCCTCCAGATTTCAGTGTCAATTTTTGAAGCCTTCCATATCCCTCTGACATGTCCGCGGATCCGGAGCTTTCGTTGTATTCTCGGTGTCGGATGGCAAAGAAGTTTGTACCGATCTCTCTTGCTGCCTTGTAAGTTAATTTAGGCTCAAAGCTACGATAACTCCCATTCCACATGCTGGTGGGTTCAAGCAACAAATTACCAACCCGTGAATGGAGCGCTATTGTTTTGACCCGTGAAAAGCTACGGGCCACGGTATCTAGAACATCTTGAGGCTAAAACTAATTAGTATATTATTCGTTGAGAAGATTAGGAGATACACATACCCAATCCTCTTTCTCAGTGTCGCGCTCAATATCCAGTTGCAGATTTTCGAGTTGGGGACATAGTGCGTCCAAAGATATCAAGTCCTCGCTTTCAAATACAGTGCGAGAGTCTAGAAAATTCCAGGTGTCGAAAATATGAACACAGAGGTTGGCTAAACGAGTATGCTGAGTAATGACGTGAATTGGAACGAAGCAGTTCAATAGTTCCAGATCCACCAGTGTGTCGAAAGCCACCAAGAAATTTTCAAGACTTTGGCACAGCTCTTCGTTTTGAACGTTATTTCCTGTAATTTTGAAGCGCTTCAAATTACTTAGACGTCCTGTCATGACATTGAGATTCTCAGGGGCAAACAGCCCCTGGCCGATCTCAAGAGACGAGAGACTTGACCAATTGAAATGATCTTCCCAGCCATGCCACATCTGGGTACCGATATAGTACTGATAAAGGTCTAGATGTTCAAGGAAAGGAAAGGGTTTGTGAATGACGGATCCCTCGATATCGTTGGGGGTTTCACCAACTACTGTTTCCTTCGGGTTTCCAGCTACCCAAGAACAAGACTTCAGGTTAGGACAAGAAGTGATGTAATTTAGGAAGTTGTCGGGCTGATTTAGTGGAAGTTGTTCCCCGCCCACTCCACATTCGGTACCCCACATAACTCTGATCTCGGTCACGCGTGGGAGGGGGCGAGGACAGGGCTTTCCCCAGCCCCCTGCGAGTAAGTGAAGTTCCGGCTTTTGAGGATGCTCGTCAATGCTTTTCATGTAATTGCTACTAAAATCGCAAGCTAATTCGAGTCTGTTATAGGTGTTAGTCACCATAGGCATAGGAAATCTGCCCAAGCATTGATGTGAAGATTCATACCTTACTTGACGCAGGTTCGGGAGGCGCTCTATCAACTGGGATAAAGGCAGTTTGTCTGTGTCCGTCGCCAATGGGCCACTTAGAGTAGAGAGCCGAGAAAACAACCGATACCGTGAGATAGTAAGTTCTCGAACAAAACACCGCGGTGAGTCGTGAGAGGTATCTAGCAGCCTATATAAAAGGCCACCAACCTTATCCTCCAGAGTCTCTTCTAACATCCTGAGGCTGATAGAACGGTATAAAAAGGGAGTTGCCAGATCATTCATAGCTTTTGAGACAAGACAGAGACTGGCCAAGTCCGTTTTGGTCTCCTGGCAAACAAATGATTTGTTGAGTTTGTAGGCCATGAGACTTGAATATTCGGGCCAACATAGGCTTTCACACACCAGATACCATGCGTACCACGTTGAGTCTGTGAACATGCACTGGCTTTTCTTGATACGCTTTCTTTCTAAGGCAGCACCTTCAGAAGATGCAGGCTGGCCCCGTTTCTGTCGTCCCTGAACTGATGTTCCAGGTCCTGGTAGGTGACCATTCACTGGCCCTCGAAAGGATTTCATATTGGGATAGGAATAGATGGAGACAAAATGCAGCCAGATCAATGAGATATTGTTAGGGTCGCGCAGTGGTTGAGAAAGAAAGGATTTGAAAACGTGGCTGGTTTGTTTTTATCAAAACGGCGCTAAAAAGGCACGAACGCTCGGTGATGTAGATTGGCTGGGGCTCCTAGAAACATACAGCACATCCACTAACGGGCCCTCTGGTAAATTAAATTTATTACAGACCATCGCAGGCAACCTTGTAGGCGAGGGTCCGCCACCTATATGAAAGGGATCACCGACGTCAGTGTACCTTTTACTAGGCATACCACACAAAAGGTACGCATAGAGATACTTTCTTTCTCGACTACATTATGTTAAAACCGTCTATTTTAATTATTGTAATGCTTTGATTAAATTTTAAGGGTAAGTTCTAGGGGCGCCTTTATATTTATGTTTCTCAAACTAGGCGCGTCGTAGGTTAACATATTAGATTGTAATGCTATAAGAGGGCTGCCTAAAATCTATGTTAAAACTCGAATATATGATTTAAATCAATAATTTTATTATATATATTAGGTTATAATAAGATCTTAAAGAAAATTGTAGTACTCAAATTGTATCTTCTACTTTTCTAGTATCATCGGAGTTGACCGTTAGGAACCACGAATTTATGCATAGTCCTTACGAATAGTGCTTTGTTTACTCGGATACTAAGTCTATATCTTATTCATCCAAGCTTGTATATATTTAAAATTATTTTAGATGCTGTGGGTAGAGTGGTTAACGATTAAAGAGAACGTTGTAATTTATCAAAAGAACTGACGTTTGGGTGATCCCTTTTATATGGGTGGTGGACCCTCGTAAGCCAGGGTCCGTATTTTTTGTAAATGGATTTCGGGGGCCGGGTATAATGTTCGACCATATATTTTGCTCGGTTCATCTTAGCCTAATTTCCCTCTTAGGAGCTCGATCGGCTGCTCCAGGAGGTGGCAATGACTACATACTAAATATATATATAACAGTATTAGTCTTCCGCATAACCCATTTTGAGCCGAAGGTCTCGACCCAGAACCCAACCCATACCTACATACAATCCACTAACTATTATTTAGGAGGCAAACAGGGGCTCAATACTTGTCTTAAGTCAAAATACAAGAGTCAAGACTAGTGACTGGAAATACGATGGACTAAATACATGTAAAGCAGTGTCCCACTGAATAGATTTACTGTATTTGCTAAACGCCTTGGCGGCGGTATCATATCCACCCACGCCCTAGGTGAGAGATAATGCCTGCAATGCCTCCGCCCTCTTGTACCTCTGGGTATAGCCCTCCTGATCCATAGCATACTTATCACGAGCACCGGGCGCCAGCTCAACTAGCGAGCTGACCGCATTGCAAATGCCGCGCCCAGTTGCGGGCGAAAACTTGACAAAGCGAAAGTCCCGCTGGGTTGCAAACGCCTTAGCTTCCACGTGCGACACTGGGGCTTCACCTTCATCCATGGCGGCGATCATTGTCGCAAGAAAGGGGGAGACCCCGTCTTCGCAGCGGCTGCGCATCCCCTCGCAGGCGGCGACCATTTCGCCCCACGATTCCCTCGACGAAGCGTCGTACGAGAAGACGATGCAAACATGCTGCATGAGGCAGAGGTAAGCTAGGCTAAGCCCCATGACGTTAGGCGGGATAAAGCGGACATTGTAGATATGACTGTCGCAAAGGTAATCTGTTTCGAAGTCGTCTGTAGGGTCAAACTCGCCGTAGGCCTTCTCTCTCTGGAGTAGCTAATAAATCTTACGGGTAAGCTCGGCTAGGGGTACTCAGAGCATACTGCGTGGGGTACGTATACTGTAAAGATACGAGGAGTCGGCGGCGCCTTTGGCATTCGCGACGATAATGGATATAGACTGTGGATCGGAACAGGGTTTGCGGGGTATCTTAGTAGGTGACCGCCTTACGTCGCTAATATGGATGGCGTGAGGGGATGGGTCAACAGTTTTGCTCTCTCCTGTTGTGGCCGGCGCTGATTGCGCGGGCTTGCTACCACGAATACGGAGCTTGCGGAACATGATCAGACAGCATAGGTGAAGGGTGGGCGAGGTAAGTGGATACGGGCAATGCTAGGAATATACCTGGAACCGAGGCACTGCCGGCCGTACTTGTGCGGAAATAGCCTTGACCGTGGTTTTGAAGGGAAAAAGAATTGGTCAGAATTGACTCACCGAGATGCTCCGTGATAGTCAATAAGGGGTAAAGGAGTCGGGCAGCGCCGTGGAGGTTACAGGGGCCATGTATCCCCCGCTGCCTAGTTACTAGTAGGCTTCTAGCTACTAGCCAGCGCCGCGGGCGTGGAGTGGGACTACTCTACAATGCCAGTCCGGCCCAGAACTACGCTAATATATATGTAGCATTAAGATGTGAGTGCATAGTGACAGAGCCACTAGTTTAAGATCAGTATACCCAAATCGTCCATATATTGTTAAAACCTCTTGCAGAATCAAATTCCGGTGTACCTATAAGTCTAAATTGCTCCTCCCAAAGTCACCTTATCATAGTTAATGGTAAATAATCAAGAATAAACAAAGTAAACAACACAGACGGAGCAATTCTCATAGATCGGGCCTATCGGGCTTATCGCAAACGATTGTTGGGTCTTGGCAATCCTCTGATCTCCTTTCTCCATCTCAGCTTGGTTTCCATGTCTTCATCAGGCTAGCAATGCGCCGCCCAGACACTAGTCATTCCCTTCTTTCTCCTGCAAATTACGACAACGATGCATCTTCGTTGCGGTCGCCTTCCGAGCAGGACTCCGATTCCGACGATGACGCCCTCCTCGACCAGAACCGCAGCACCTTAGAAATCGCAGAGCACGATAGGGCAGTCCTAGAAGATGAAGAGGAACTTGAAAATCTTCTGATCCGCCGTGGTACTGGACATGGTCTGCGGAGGATTTTCAGCCCAAATGGTAGCACTGTGAAGATCGGCAAGACGAAAAAGGAGCGGCGACAGCGGAGAGGGTCACGTCGAGAGAGAGTCAGCGAAGACGGTGAGCTGATGTATGAGATGGAAGAGGGAATTGGTGACGACAATGCTTCCCTATTGAGCGGATCGTCGTTAGATTTGGATAGAAAAGGCGAATACACATATGAGCCGGTAAGACGTACCGTGCGTGGCTGGTTTCTACATCACCTACTAACACATCCACTGCTTAGCCTCCACGGCCTTCATGGCGAAAAATCCTGTTTATAATTACTCTCGTCGCGATTCTCTTCGTCATCCTCCTCCTCGGGGCGTATAAAGCCTCGAGCGGTTTCCGATCTTCACGAGCACACCCTCCACTCTTGCTCTCCAACGGCACGGCTCTGTTTGCACCAACCACTATCGTTATCTCCCTGGATGGCTTCCGAGCCGACTTTCTCGACCGTGGGCTCACTCCTGCGCTGAACTCCCTCATCGCTAATGGCGTTTCCCCGCAATATATGAACCCCAGCTTCCCGAGCGTCACCTTCCCAAACCATTTTACACTCATGACTGGACTCTACCCCGAGAGTCATGGAATTGTGGGCAACACATTTTGGGATCCGAATATGAAAGAGGAATTCTACTATACCCATCCCACTGTTAGCATGCAACCCAAGTGGTGGATGGCGGAACCGCTGTGGGTGACGGCAGAAAAGCAGCGTGTAAAGACCGCTATCCACATGTGGCCGGGATCTGAAGCGCACATTGGTGACAAGGAGCCGAGCTTTTTGGACAAATACAACGGGACGGAAGTCTTGCCTCGCAAGGTGGATCGGATACTAGAGTTTTTGGATCTCCCAGGTCTCGAGGATGAATCGCAGATACCGCCCGAGCGGCCGCAATTTATCGTGGCTTACGTTCCTGACGTTGATCAGGACGGGCATAAATTTGGCCCTAACAGCACTGAGATTCGAAAGACGATTTCCGAAGCGGATGGTATGGTCGCCGACGTTATGACTGGTCTTGAGCGACGCAATCTTACCGAGGTGGTCAATATCGTGGTTGTCTCGGATCACGGCATGGCCACTACCTCTACGGAAAGGCTGATTCAGCTCGATGATCTCATTGATTATGATCTGATTGAACATATTGACGGGTGGCCATCTGCTGGGCTACGCCCCAAGCGCCCCGAGGATCTAGAAACCCTCCGGAAGCAATTGGAGAAGGTAGCTCCAGACTACGAGCATGCTTTTGAATTCTACACACGGGAGACAATGCCTGAACGGTATCACTTCTCGAATAACGAACGCATTGCGCCGTTGTGGGTCATCCCTAAGACGGGGTGGGCTATCGTTAATCGGTCAGAGTTCGACGTGAAAGAGGCTTTGAAGATCGGGAAGGAATACCATCCTCGGGGTATTCACGGATATGACCACGAACATCCATTGATGCGTGCAATCTTTATTGCGCGCGGCCCAGCCTTCCCTCACAAGCCAAACAGCCGGGTTGAAGTTTTCCGTAAGTACCTACTCTGAACAATTGATCGAGATTGGCCTAACGAATTTGTATAGAAAACATCGAGGTATATAACATTGTCTGTGACTCTTTGGGTGTCGATCCTCTTCCGAGCAACGGCACACTACGGCTCCCGCTGAAGCCAGTCGGCCTCCACTCGGACGCGAACACACCGGTCTTGGACACACCTCCTGATCCCCCGGCTCAGACTTCTGCAACAGCAGGACCATTGCAACCAGCACCCTCACAACCACCATCCCCACAGCCATCACCCCCACAACCAGTACAGCCAGCAACGCAACCCACTTCAGCAGCTGAGGCACCACCCGCTACAGACCATCAAAGTGACGACGAAAAGGGCTCGACGTGGTGGGGAACACTTTGGCACAAATTTGACGATCTAAAGAATTGGGCTGGTGGTGTTGCTGATGCTGTTCAGGGCAAGCACCCGGAGCCTGAGAGTTCATAATTTTGCTCCATTTTGTCCATTTGGCCTTGCATTTTGATAGATACCCATATTCACGTATTTAATGTTTAAATGCTCTATTTTCTCTCGAGAAGCGATGTTGGTTCAGTTAACACTGAGGTCACTACACTCACGACATATTCTCCAATCCCATTGGTTTTAGCCATCTTGTCACATTATGGCCCCGGGGCGCAGTATAAATTACTAAGGAAGCTTATGCAGGGGCCGTGAGGCGCTTAGCATGGTTACCGCTGGAACAAACCCCTCATCTTCCATTCCTAACCTCCCCCAAGACTCGAGGAATTTCCAAACCCACTTATATAACGATTCTACTGCTTTATACATATATTAAACCACAAAGCCTCAACTACGTTATTCGCTCATTTTATTATTCGCTTCTTTCCCCGCTCCTTCCCTCGTGTCTTTCCAGATGTCGAGAGTTCCAGACTGGGTTCTCGATTCTAAGCTTGAGACTCATTTCCTACCAGGTGCCAAGCACGAAATAGTGCACACCTACTATGAGCAGCAATCTCTTTCCCAGCGGCCAATCAAAAAATTCGAACACTGGCAGCGGGAGAAAAAGATTGGCGGTGGTGGATTTGGAGAAGTTTGGCTGGAGAGATGCACGAAAGGAACGAATCATGGCAATCACGTCCGCGCAACAAAGCAGATGGAGGTGCGCCGTCAGGTAGACTATGCCCGTGAGCTCGAGGCCATTGCGAAATTCTCGCACACAAAGGCTTGTCCTCCCGCAAGTCAACCCAATGAAAGCCACTAACAGATCAGCAGTACGAGCGATGTTTTGTCAAGTCTTTTGGGTGGTATCAAACCGAAGCGAGCTTATTTATTGCAATGGAATATCTTGAGCTGGGGGATCTACAAAATTATCTACACGACCAGAAGCAACCACTGCCGGAATTTGAGGTACAGGGCATCATGTTCCAAATTCTTGAGGGTCTTGATTTAATGCATGATAATGGCTACGCACATCGTGATTTGAAACCCAATGTGAGTCGGTTGTCCAATAGCAATTAACCACTTCAACTGACCAGTAACTCTAACCTTATTTAGAATATCCTTTTGAGATCTTGTCCACCAAATGATTGGTGGGTCAAGATCGCAGACTTTGGGATCAGCAAACGTATCGAAGATAGCCTTGGAAAACCAACAACCCTGAGGGGTACCGAGGGATATATTGCTCCTGAACTCTATGAACTCTCTCAACGCGGTACTCCATATGCCGTTGACATTTGGGCGGCTGGAGAGATTATGTTCCAACTTTTGACCAAGCAACCCACATTCCAGCATGTTGGATTGCTCTTCAAGTACGTCCAAATGCCTGACATCTTTCCTTGCAATCAACTTTTGGCCAACGAGGTCAGTCAACTTGGAGTTGAATTTGTCTTATGTCTTATGCATCCCACCCCAGCAGGCAGAATGTCAGCCAAAGATGCTTTACAGCACAGGTGGATTGATCACGCATTGCCCTATAATCGTAAATCAGCTCCACTTGCATATAAAGAGGCATGTAATACATCAGCGCCTGAGTCAATGACAGAAAAATTTGCGTCATGGAGCACTACCAAGCCTCCAGATTCGTTGGAAACTTTCATCTCGAGGAGAAAAGAGGAATTGGAGACATCATCTCTTCAGACTTCTAGCAACGAAAATTTAATGTCTGAGCCAGTACAACAAAAAACTGCCACGGCTGCCAGAATGATGCTTCCTGGTACGCTCAAGGGCCATTCTTCCCGGGTGACTTGTGTGGCATTCTCATCCGACGGAAAACTTGTGGCATCTGGATCTGATGACCTTAAAGTTAAACTCTGGAATACTACCACAGGCGCTATATACAGAGCCTTTGAGAGCCATTCTCAATCTGTGACTTGCGTGGCATTCTCAGTCGATGGCAAATTTGTGGTAGCTGGATCTGATGACCAGACAATCATATTCTGGAATATTATCACGGGTGCCACACATAGGACGCTCAAGGGCAGTTCATATGTCAGGTCCGTGGCGTTCTCACCCGATGGCCAATTAGGGGCATCTGGATATGACGGTGGCACAGTCGAACTCTGGAATAATATCACGGGCACTATATACAAAACGCTCAAGGACCCTTTCAGTGTTCCTTTCCTAGCATTCTCACCCGACAGTAAGTTATTGGCATCTGGATCTATACCCAGCCAAATCAAACTCTGGGATACTACTACGGGCGATTTACATACAACGCTTGATGCTCACGAGCGAGTTCTGTGGCATTCTCGCCAGATGGAGGACTAGTGGCGTTAACATTTGGTGATAAGAACGTGAGGCTTTGGAATACTACCACAGGCGCTATAGACAACACGCTTGAGGGCCATTCTCGACTTGTGACTTCCGTGGCATTCTCACGAGATGGTAAATTTGTGATATCGGGATCTGATGACCACACAATAAAGTTCTGGAATACTATTACGGGCGCTATAGACAAAACGTTCTATGGCCATTCTTCATCGGTGACATGCGTGGCCTCCTCGCCTGATGGTCGATTGGTGGCATCTGGATCTTGTGACAACACAGTCAAACTCTGGGATGCTGCTATTTAGATACAAAGCTCAGGTTCATATATTGTTTAGAGATCATTCGATAGTGCTGCGATTCCTAAGTATATCTTTTTCCAAGGATCGCCTATTGAGATTTTCAGAACTCCTCTTTGTTCTCATCCTGTTTGTTGGTCTAGTTTTCAAAATGTAAAATTAGAAAACTCACATTACCAAGTGCAAGGACAATATCACACTCGGCAAGACATGATATATATGCTCTCTGATCTCCCAGCTCGAACTTCAACACCAGCGCTTCCATAACCAGCGCTGAGACACACCATTCCCGCAGCTGAGGCATCACCCGCCCCTGACCACTAGTGATGACGAAAAGGGCTCGACGTGCTGGAGCATACCGCGGCACAAATTTGATGATCTAAGCCGGCGGCATTGCCGATACTATATATGGCAAGTACATACGATGTGTTCTCAAATCCCGTTAGCTCTAGTCATCTTAGCATCATGAGCTGTTTCACCTTTACTCTAGCGCTAGAGGCCCTATGCCTATAGTGTATCAGTGTTTAATGATGGCCACGAGATGCCACAGTTTATGACTATCCATTTCAAATAATCATACACTACAATACCGAAGGATAGCCGAGAAAACAGCAGGAGGACAGCAGGAAGACGGTAGGGAGACAGCTAAAAGAACAACGTCTCAAGCATCATAATCCAATGCAAACATGTGAGCTGATCGTCACTTCACCTTCACTTTACCTTCACTTTCCTTCATTTTATCCTTGGTCTCTATCCCTTTCCCCGTCAAACGCCACTCCTCTAATCCAGTGGCCAGTCAAACACATCATAATCTCTATCTCCACTTGACTTCCGTGTTCATCCTCCAGGCTCTTTTTCATCACACCCAACTGTGTGAGTCAGCTACGACAAGCGTTACCCATCCTCATTTATTAACAACCATCTAGGACCGAAACAATATTAACAATAACAGTCAGAGGCCCAGGATCCTTAATACCGAATACTCCATCTCGGAAGCGCAGTCCAAGGAATTCCCATATTTTACACCAGCATCATATTCCTGTTCATCTATGGGACATGCTTCTTTTGATGCTGACGGTCTTTATTCAGCATCCTCAGAGTTCTTCTCGGCTATCTTGGCTTCCTCTTTCTTACTCCTCTTCCTCTTTTGCCTTCACTCAACACAGACAATTGTGATAATAATATTGACTTTACCGAGAATCTTCCTATCCCTGAAATATTTCTATATGCACCCAATCCGATGGACACACTGTCAGAGATATACAAGAAAGTGGATGGATTGGCTGCCCTTATCAAAGAAGGCAAGAGCCTTGACATTCACATAAATCTCCGAAAAGTTTTTTTTTTTTTTTTTCTTTTTTTCTTATCAACATAGCATTGACCAAAATGCCTTTTAAAATTATCTAATTGTAAAGGGATGGTTTTGATACAATCTCAGTCGCACCCGTTTCTCCCGCATGGATGAATCACTCCGTCCATTGATATCCCAAGCCTCTCAGGGACTAAGTTGAACGGAATCAAGCTACACTTTCTCTCTTAGCCCGCTTTCCTGTACAGGCCAGGCCGTTCAGTCGACCGGTAATTTGGCTATAACCTCCTCAAACAATCTCTCCGTAATAAATCCCTCGGGCTGCTGCCGCAGGAGTCACAAACAGACTGTTTCTTTCAGCCCACTTCCCCGTACAGGACTCTTAGTCGACCGGTAGTTTGGCTATCTCCTCCCCAAACACTCTCTCCGAAAGGAATCACTCAGGCTGCTACTACAGGAGCCACAAACAGCCTGTTTGTCTTTAGCAGAAGACTCAACACAGTGACCAGCGATCCAGCTGTAATGACCAACATGTATGTGCTGCTTAGTGCAGAGACGATCACGGCCAACACCCGCTGCCGATCGTCTGCCGACATGTTGTCGAAAAGTGCAGACCCGGCTCCTGTGATAGTCTGCTGGATCTCCGCGATTGGTGTGTTTGGTAATATGGTCTTGATTCCCTCTTCACTTTTGTTGAGGAATACCGCATTGGCAATGGCGAGGGCTAATGTGATGCCAGTAATTTGCCCAGTTGAGATGAAACCAATGGATGCGGGAACCATTTCAGGTTTGACAATTGCCTGGCCAACTGAGAATGATGCCTGGCAGAAAAGACCAGCCCCAATGCCGATGAGGACGGTATACCCATATATACTGGAGACGGATGTCGCTGTGTCCACCGTATACATGAGTGCACCACCAATAACAACTAGGATACCTCCCACAAGGTACCAAGGCATGTAATACCCCACCTTTGACAGGAATGTGCCGTTAAAAATGGTGGCAAAGATCATTAACATGATAAAGGGTAAAAGTCGAACGCCAGACTGAAGCGCTCCATCTCCACGACTGAACTGGAAATAGAGAGGTGTCATGTAGATAGGGATAAATAGGGCCGTTCCACCAGCTGCAGTCATGGCGAACAAGATTAAGATGGTGCGGCTCTTAAAGAATTCGACGGGGAGGATGCGACGAGCAGGGGTAGTAAAGAGAGCATAGGTCTGCTGCACGCCAAACAGGATGAACAACATACCAGAGCAGCAAAAGACGCCAATGATCTTGCCCGAGTTCCACGGGTACACAACACCACCGAATGATACAGCCATGACTCCGGAAAAGAACGCACCAATCAGAAGGATGGTTCCGAGGTAGTCAAGTTCACGAGCACGGTTGGCAAAGCTGGTTCCGCGGCGCGGGTCCTTGTTGGGCAACATGAATAGGTAGACGGGGGCGCAGACGGCACCAACACAGAGGTTGATATAAAATGACCAGCGCCAGGTTGCAGACGAGTCTGTGAATGCGCCACCGATTATAGGACCCAGGACTGTGCCAATACCCCAGACCAGGCCCGCTCCGCCGATGTACATAGGACGTTCTTGGATGGTGGTTGTGACGGCTAGTTGTATCATGAGGCCAACATACATACCGGCTCCAGAGACACCACAGATGGCTCGACCCACGATCAAGGAGTTCATGTTTGGAGCAGCGCCGCAGATAGCTGAACCAACTTCAAAAACGAAGATGGCCGAGATGTAGGCCCATTTGATATTGAACTGAGAAAAGATCTTGCCCCATACCAAGTTTGTTCCCGCGGCACCGATGAGAAAGGCAACACTGACCCATGAAAGCCTGTCCACGGAGTTGAATTGCTCGACAATTGCAGGTTGGACATTGGCTACGATCGTCTGGTCGAGGGCGAATAGGAATTGCGAGTTATAGATGGCCAGCACAACGACAATCCATTTCCAACCTCCGATCTCGCGCTTTTCCTGCTGATGTAACTCTTTTGGCTTTTCGGCATCGTCAATGACTGGTGCAACAGTGGTACTCTCGTCGCTCTGGCCTGGGTCGGTGTCGAGTTTGGGATGATTTGGGAGTTTCCCAGAATCTGCCACAAGTTGCATTGTGAGTCGAGCTCCCTGTCTTGTCTTGCAGAAGAGTTTGTACCCAAGCTTGTTGGTTGTTATCGGTTAAATAGATTCCACAACACTATGAAAAGGAGAAAATTCTTGTTTCCCGACGATATACATGACAAAGGATGATAAATGTGAAGAGGGAACCTTGGAAGGAGACAGAGAGATTACCAAGCACAACCAACCTCTTAGAATATCTACTGCATGTTGCAGATCCTAAGATAGAGAGGGCAGGGTCGCAGCTGCCTAGTGGCCAAAGACGAGGCCATTTTCCAACACTAACTGCTAGCTGCTAGCTGTTCTAGCAAAGGCGGAAATATCAGGCTTAGCGTCGCCGCGCACCGGGAGAGTCCGATCGGAGATCTGCGCCCCATATACCGTCCAAGCGATCTAATCCACGGTCAGCTAGCGTTACCGCGCATTGCGTGCAGCGCGGCAAGTGGGTCTGACGGGTTTGGCGGGTCTCAAAACGGCTAGCCTTAGCGCGCACATCTATAGGATATGTTTTCCTTAGGCCATTCATTGATCTCCAATAACTAGCCCATCAACAGGTTAACTAGCTAATTAGATAAGGGAAGTTATTTTAGGGTTCTATTCCATAATTGCTCGGATGACAAGGGGTTCGAGGGTTCAGAAGGATGCTCCCATCGCCGGTCTAGGCCAGGCTATTGTGCAGAACATGACCAAGAATGAAGCCGATAGCCACGAGGATGAAAATCCAGAATTAGCAGCTTTAAACTAAGCACGAGCGAATATCAAATGTCTAATTAAACATTTTTGAGGCATAGAAGAAATAGAATAAAGATCAAATACGTATAAAAGAACTCCAGTAGTAAAAATATAATCGATAGTTCAAGTTGGTACTAGTTACTAGTAAGTCACGAGTCGAGCTAACGGCAGTCGGCCAATCCTTTATTGCCCACTTTGATCACAAGGATCAAGTACTCCATCCTTGGATGGAACAACATTTCTTCGACGGAGCACTCTCTCAACGCCAGGTGGTTATAAGCCAGCAACCGCCGAGGGCACTTTCGGAATCAATGTCCCCCCAAACCTACCGTGCCATTGCCCACCGCAAACTCAAGACCCTTCAATCTCTCATCCCCAAAAGCTGGCTCCTCGACGCACTACCCGACCCTCTCCCACTCGACGTCCGCTCCCTTGTTTCAGAAAGCAATGTCCTGACTCCAGACGAACTCTCCATAACTTCCTCGCACGACGTAACCTCACTCTCTCAACTTATCCATTCCCGGGCACTCACATCTGAAGCCGTAACCACCGCTTTCTGTAAGCGTGCCGCCATCGCTCAGCAACTCACCAACTGTCTCTCGGAAATCCTCTTCTTACCGGCTATCGAGCGAGCACACACTCTGGATGCTGAATACAAACGAACAGGCAAGACACGAGGGCCGCTGCATGGCATACCGATTTCTTTAAAGGATACGTTCAATATCAAAGGGTATGATTCTTCGATCGGCATCGCAAGTCTTGCAGCGAATCCCGCAAAGGAGAATGCCGCGTTGGTGGATATACTTCTCGAGCAGGGAGCAGTACTATACTGCAAAACCAACGTCTCGCAAACTCTCATGGCCTTGGATTCGCATAACCATCTCTTCGGGCGTGTTATGAATCCACGGAACAGGCGAGTTACAGCGGGTGGAAGTAGCGGTGGTGAAGGGGCCTTGATTGCCATGAGGGGCAGTGTTTTGGGTATCGGCACGGATATTGGAGGCTCAGTATGCATACCTGCCATGTGTAATGGTCTCTACAGCATCAAACTGAGTTCGCAGAGAATCCCTTTTATAGGCCAAGAAATTGGGCAGCTGCCTGGGATAGATAAACTGGGGTTGCAAGCTAGTGCGGGACTTATGGCGACAAGTGTCAGAGACTGCGAGCTGTTTCTGAAAGCGATTGCAGATGCTAGTCCGTGGGAGAAAGATCCGAATGTCGCTTTCGGGTCGTGGGAAGGGCAAGGGGAGATAGGAAGGAAACCATTGTTCGGAGTTATGAGAGCTGACGGCATTACCACGCCACTATCACCAGTTGCCAAGGTCCTTGATGAAACGGTAGAAGCTCTTCGCAAAGCCGGCTTCGAAGTTGTTGAGATCAATGCTCCAGCTTTCAAGAAATACCACTCACTGGTCAACTCATTTTTCGGTATCGGGGGGAACAACCATACATTCGATATACTTGAGAGAACCGGGGAACCTTTGATTACCTGGCTTAGCACAAGGTTGAAAAGAACAAAGCCTGCAGATTTGATGAAGCTTAGCGAATTACATGTCAGAAAATCGGCGTTGGAGAAGGAAATGTTGGAAATCTGGAGGGATGAGAATGGGAGAAAGATGGATGCGTTGATCTGTCCAGTGGCTCCTCATCCAGTGCCAGAAATTGACAGGTGGAATGGTGTTGGTTATACAAGTGCATTTGTCATATTGGACTATCCGGCTGGAACACTGCCAGTCAGAGATGTCTCAAATGACGATTTAAAGGACGAACTACCTGAATCGGAAGTCCTTGGAGGTTGGAATTCGAGAAACAGGGATTTGTGTAAGCTCTCTACCTTCATCCCCCTAATATTCTGTCTTTCATACCACTCCTACATGTTTCAAACCTCTGATTACCTGTTCCCTTCCAGTGTGGAAGCGGCGGTAAATCCTATTTTGCAAGGTCATGCTGATCTATCAGAAACAGGGCACCAGAGCACCAATGATAGGGGCGTATATTTGAACACGAAGCTATCAGTTCAGGTTGTAGCTCCCCGATTGCAGGAGAGAAGGCTTTACCAAGCGATGGCACTTATTGATGAGATCTTACATGATGCGAACTCGGAAACTAGAGCTAGGGTTCAATCACGGAGCACGGTAGCTTGATATCTGAAGCCATCTATAACCCCCGATGTCAGCTTATGCAACACTGTTTTGCAAAGCCCCTTGCTTTATTGGCATATTTCGGAGAAAGGCGGAGGAATTTTATTACTACCGTTCGTCATGTCTTATTCAACACTATTCCTTACTGATTCTTAGGGCATCAACTGCTAAATCAGCAGACTCAACCTCTTTATTTGCTCATATCATTCTGTATTTAGAACACAGATCTCATGTATGGTTCAATGCACATTAATCATTTTCAAGGCTCGACTTGTAAACCCACTACGGCCCCACAAACTGCCCAGTTCCCAAATGCAAGTGATAGCTACGACTGCCGACGATCTATGGGGCTTCCACCCGAAACCCTAAATGGTTAAAACATTGTCCTGTTCAAATAATATCAACAGCATTCTTTGCAAACCGATTGGTACGTGCGTTTTTGAGTATACTGTCTCCCATTTTCGTTTCTCGTTTTTCTTCGTCCTTCTATTCCTTTTTTTCATCCTAGAAAAACATAGCAACCACGTCGCTGCATCGCTGTAACCCAATCACAACTCTCGGAGGAAATAACCCTAGCCTTCCAGCATTCTTCCATGATTTCTAAGGCCTCCAAGCACACCCCAGTAGCATGTTGGGTGATATCTGCTCTAGAAACAAGACCTCGGAAGAAATCATAATGTTTCTCCAACGCCAAGCATCCCGAAATACAAAATGGCCATACCAAACTTCGCAATAATCGTGGGTCTTTCAAACCCTTGAAAGCAAGGACCGTTTCTGAGATGCTTTCAGCTATCTCGGGCACTTCTGGATAAGGACCTGAAATGACAACATGGAGATACGTTATAGCTCCCAGTACGAACACTTTGCTGATATCTGGATGCGTAGGTGTTGGGGTATTAGCAGTAGCGACTGCTGAAGAAGTGGCTAACAACGATTCTCCTCCTGCCCATGAATGATTTTTCCCCTCAATGGCTGCTAGCTCTTGCCGAAGACGGTCCCTTATTCCGTCACCACGTTTTACCAGATCAACAAAACTCAGCTTGTTAGCGCTTTGAGCCTCTCTCTTCCATTTGTCCAAAAGGGAGATTTCCAGTATAAGAGCCATTACTGAATCCCGGCACCCGGTGTGGCTTTCCAGGGAAACTTCAAAAGTCTCAAGTACTTGTAGGTGACTTATGTTAAAGGTTAGATTTGATCGAGTGGAAGCGGAAGAGATGATGTCAATTGCGATGAAAGATCCGAGTACGAATTTAAATGCGCATTCAATCTCGGGGCATAGAGCGGTCATCTCACTTCCACTGGGTGGAACGATAGAGTCGTCTGGTGTCGTTAAAGGCGGAAGCCGGGCCTGTAGGAGTGTATAAATGGAACCAGATGCCGTCCGCATATGTGTCTGCCATTTTTCTCTTCCACCATTGAAAATCTTCCATGTGTAAGATCTTAGTATCATATTTATGACTAGTTGGATCACTGCTTACCTACCTCAAAGAACAAAAGCTGCAGTATAGTCATGAGGACTTCTATGCTATCAAGCAAGAGGCCACGCCCTTTCGATGCCTTTTGATCGTTTATCATCACCTGCATCTCTTGAATGGCTTTGTCGTAGTGACTGTTTTGGGCACGTAGTCGAATCAGGCTACTAGCAATGTCACTATTTCGCGGTGGTGAGCTTGAAAGAAGTTGGCGTTCGGTCAGAGCTAAAGCTGCATGGTATGTCGACTTGACTCTTCGAAGGATCGCAAAAAGCCAACCTCTTCCTTGTTTCTTTTGGTAGTGAAAAAACGGATACTGGATGTAAAAGACTTCATCCAAGTAGTACATAAACAGTGCATCCTCTGTGTCTGCACTCGGATTTGCCATCTGAGAATATGATGCCACGTGGTCGTAATTGGTCGTTGAAGCTGTTTCCTTGAAATGATATACATGGTTCTGAGACGCGCTACCATGTAATTCGTTCAACACGGAGCTGGTACTCTGATCGATTGGAGATTGAATATCCATTCCAGGTACGATATTTTCGAAAGCCATGGGCAATACTAAAGGCGGTGCCGAGTGTTGATTCTGATAGGTAGTAGAGGTAGAGCTGTAGCCCTGTAAATCCAACGAAGCATCATCCATGATAGAAAGGTCGTTTGGGGGCCAAAATGTCCATAGTGTGTCAATAGAATTACTGGACCCTATCCCACTGTCTGGATAATTGAACTCGTCTTGAGGAAAAGCCCCGAATTGCTCATCGACAAAATGTTGCGAAACAGCCGCAGGCGAGGATATACTCTTGGCGGCTGCAGACCTCATGCCAATCGTTGAAACCAATGGTGACTGATTGGCGAGAAATTGCTGTCGCCTTCCCTTTTTCGACTTGGCCTGGCTAACGAGACTTTTGAATTTGGAGGCCTGATCTCTTTGCAGTACGCCATTATCCATCCATTCAGGCCTCGGGCCGTATCCATGACACTCCAATTCGAGAGAAATGCACGCTGAGCACACAGGGCGATTCTCATCGCATTTCTTTTTGCGGAGGCGACATGTCCAACAGCCATGGTTACTACGCGCGGCTATATCAGGCACAAATAAGTTTCACAAACAATACCTTACCTACCTAGGTACCTACTAGGTGCCTAGATATCCGATAAACATGCGAGAGGGCAGCGGAACATACATATTCTGACAGTCTCAGCCATGCTGGTTTTATGACACTCGCACTCAACTGGGTACGCAGACAAGAGCCAACGGGCTGAAATGATGATAAGAGACTAGGCTAGATATGCCCTCTTTTTCTTTCAGATCTGAGATTTGACCCTGGGGGCTGATAACATAATAATACAAGCTGACCTTGGAAAACATTAATTAAAGAAACTTCCTGACTGGTGTAATCTAAATATTCACTATACCTAAACAGGAAGTGTTGTTTTAATTTGAATGTTCAGCGCCGGACTGGTGAAAGATGAGGGGTTAACGGCAAGCAAACTTGCACTTGTTGATTAAACAATTGGTTCTCTCAGAAATGCAAGGGTTTAGAAAAATTGTAAATATAATTAATTTTATTGTCTTTTTAAATAAATACGGTCTTTATTGAATTTTATTAAGTAGACAGCAGTCTCCACTCTAAATCAGGCGCATCTTTCGTAATACCTAGACACCCCCCAAGTCTCCAGCTATATTTTATTTCCACCCGTACCGAGCTTCTTTAATGCCATATTTTTCAGGCCCCATTCCATCCCCCTCGTACTTTGGTAGCTTATAATAGTTCTCCAAATAATTAATAGAAGCCGTGCAAGATGCCATTGAAGCTCAGCGCGGAGAATTCATCTCAAACCTTCACGAGAGCTTCTCATTAAGTTACAGGTATGTACAAGCTTTTCCATACCTCTAGAAGTCTCTTTGTCTCCACCATGGTTGATTTACGCACGCGATAAGCTGACTGCATGGGCTAACGTATTTCACAAGCGAGCCGGCCACCTAGACTTCTGTAAAGCCCAACCTTAGGCCCAAGGTCCGCGCTCGAAACCCGACCCGCAACGAGCTAGGGGTCAAACTTTTCAAGCTCGACCCGGACCCCGGCTCTTAGGGGGGCGGCTCACCCCTAGGCTCTAAATATATTGTAATTTATATAGATCATATGATACCTAAGGGGGGGGCTAACGAGCCCCCCCTTCGAGCTTTAGGAATAGGCCCGAAACCCGACCCTTTTGAGGGTCGAGTCGGGTCGGGTTGGGCTTTTCGAGCTTTGCGGAAGTCTACTATGGACGGGCGATGTCGCAGTCTACTTAGTATTCTTGTTGAAATGTACTCTTTCGTTCAAAGAACTGGCTGGTAATAAATGTGAGTAAAAAAATTCCCATTGTTCAGTGTGCTGCTATAACAATTGATGTTTAGATAATTCTATTGGATCTGTGCGAAGAGTCACTTGGTATCTAAAGACTATGTAGGGTTTGAGTGTAGAAAGTGAGGTCGATATATATGTTGTAGAACATGACTTCCGAATGAGAAATATATATTGCTAAGACTACTATAGGTAAGCACATATTTGCTACAATAATGAGAGAAAAATATGAAGATAAATGCACCTTGCATAAACTCGTAGATAGTTATGTGTTGCAGATGGACTTCTACTTTCGAGGTTGTGTAGTTGAGATAGTCATATTGGGATTATTATTCTTTGGCTTATACTGCCAAAAAAGGCTAATATCTTCATCAACCAGCCAAGTGGTCGAGCAGTAACTCGACCATCGCATCTTCCTTGGTCTAGTGGTGATGATTTCCGCTTGTCATTAAAACCGATAAGCGCGGGAGACCGGGGTTCGATTCCCCGAGGGAGAGATTTCTTTTTTTGCTCTTTTTTTTGGATGATCTTTGATTATTATAATTTAATGCTAATCTAGCGTTTAATCATAGCTTGCCATAGGTTGACTCTTTTTTTACAATCCTGGGCCATGACGTGGGAGAAATGGCACTGCAGCGATCTGCAACAATAATGAGTCAGGTCCAGGCAGACGCATCTAGGCAGCCCAACTAAATTCAACCCCGTCCAATCCAATCAACCCTGATGAAACCTGCGAGGCAAAGTCCACAGAATTGAAGCGGGTCAGGCGCAGCACCTCAGCTCAGCTCAGCGCGTTCCTGTGTCCGAGCGGGAGAGGCCAACACATGAGGCTCTTTAGGTGAGTTACCCCGGAACCCGTGGACCTATAAAAGACTGGACTGTGCTTTGATTTTGCTATTCAGGGTTTTCTCTATCCCCCCATCCTAATACTTGAAAATCTGATCGAAATAATTCTGGGATCTTGAGGTTTGTAGATCATGGATTCCAACCACACCATCCCCAACACAACGGGGCCGTTGTCCACGACAGATACGGCCATGTTGGAGGTCCTAGTCCCTGGCTATGGCTTCATATCACGCATTTTGATGTCCTACCTCAATTTCGATATCAGCGCCTACCTGCAAGTCCTGGTCGGACTCGCTGTCTTCGGTGCAACTGCTCGATACACTTTACTCGTCATTTGGGAGCACTTCAATGAATTGTTCGTGTCAAGAGCCGAGATTCGCCTGGACGACGAGACATTCAATTATTTAATGTATTGGGTCTCGCGCCAGCCGCACATGAAACATACAAATCGATTCGTCGCAGGCGTCAAAACCAACAGTTACTGGAGCGACAATGAAACTGACAACGAGGACCTCGACAGAGACGAGGACGATGAGGATGAGATGTTCAACGGAAAGAAAAGCGCATCTTTCGATTCGTACTGGGCCAAGGTTACCATTCGAGACAAGTACAAGAAGATGCGGTTTACACCCTCTGAAGGCTGCCATTACTTCTGGTACAAGAACCGACCGCTCATGCTCGAGCGCGAACACCGGGAGGGAGGTAATTGGTACATCATGAACAACGAGCGGATCTTCATATCATGTCTCGGTCGGAACCCCGCAATTTTGAAAACACTTCTAGCTGAGGCCCAGCAGGCGTATGTCGACCGGGACAGGAACCGCACGGTAATCTACCGCGGGTCGCGGTTTGCCGCCGGCCAATCTTTCAGCTGGTATCGCTGTATGGCGCGGTTACCACGTCCTCTTTCGACTGTTATTCTTGATCAAGCACAAAAGGACGACTTTCTCGATGATATCAAGGAATACCTGCACCCTCGCACGCGGCGTTGGTATACCAACCGTGGAATTCCGTATCGGCGTGGGTACCTTCTACACGGTCCTCCGGGGACTGGCAAGACGAGTTTATGCTTTGCAGCAGCTGGACTCCTTGGACTGAAACTCTACTTGCTTGATCTGAACTCTACAGCCTTGGACGAGGAAAGTCTTTCGTTACTATTCTCGGAACTGCCCCGTCGATGCATTATCCTACTTGAAGATGTTGACTCAGCAGGTATTACAAAGGCTCGGGCTCCCACATCTGCGTCTACATCTACTTCAGATACCCCCGCGAGTGATGCTACCCCCAAGGAGGGCAGCGCCGAAGCGGATAGTACAGCCAGCAAAGATGATACCAAGAAAGGCGGAATTACACTTTCAGGACTTCTGAACGTGATTGATGGTGTTGCAGCTAGTGAGGGACGAATCCTCATTATGACTACCAACCACGTGGACAAGCTCGACCCGGCTCTGCTCCGTCCTGGCCGTGTCGACATGAAGATTAGCTTTGGGTACACAAGCGAAGCAGACACCAAAGAGCTTTTCACCTCGATCTACGGAACGATGCACAACGACATTACGCGTGGCGGAGCCCCAACAACCCACACCAATGGCAGCAATGGTTCAGTCAAGTTGCCAAAAAGCAGCATTGCTGGTAATATCGCCAAGGAAAATGGCGAGATTGTCGAAAAATCTGAGGAGAGTAACGGGGATGTGGAGAAGGATAATGCCGAAGACTTGCAGGGTCTCGTATCCCTCCGGTCTCGCATCTCGGATTTAGCGTCTGAATTCGCTGCTATTATTCCGAGTGGAGAGTTTACAGCTGCGGAGATCCAGGGATATCTTCTCAATCACAAGGAGAAACCAGAGGTAGCGATTCAGGGTGCAGCGGAGTGGGTGCAAACGGCGCGGGAGAAGAAGCGTGCTATTGAGGGAGAGGGAGAGGCCAAGACCGAAACCGAAAAGGATGAAGCTTAGGTGCATGCAGGCATGTCTAGCACGATACGACGATACGATAATGCAGTCTCATCTCCAAATCAATAATCTAATTCAATGCATTTATTTACAGGTCAGAGTATTGTTCCTGAAAATTTATAAAAGCTTGCTGTACTAGTGTGTATTTCCTTTCTCACTTGCCTTTTCAAGGGTCATCCTTTTGTATAGTTCTTTGTTTCAAAGAGTAGGACGATACTATGCTCTAGACTACGTCAAAAGTATTTATAGTTCTGAAATCGGAAGTAGTATCTCATTGCTATATCACATATCACATGCAAGCCCTCAAAACCCGGGGTATATAATCCAAAGCGACCAGACTTGACAAATGTCCAACGCAAAACGAAAGCCGCAGTGCAAATAATTAAATCAAAAAAAAAATAAAAAAACGAAAAACCAAGCCCTCAAGCAATAGACGCCGTCTTCCCATCAATATTCACATCAGCCACATACATACACCTACTAGTCCTCTCCTCAGTGCAGAACCCATGAAACAACATGCGATCGCCACAACCACAAACATTCCCACCCCCAGGCGAAAGAAGCCCGGTATTCTGGGCATTAATCATAGGAACATTCGTCTTAGTATAAGGCCCCGTAATACTCTCCGCCGTAGCATAACGCACATCATACTTAGGGTCGGTAAAGCAATGGGTGGAATAAAACAAAAAGTAAGTGCCACCATGGAGAATCAGATTCGGCGCCTCGACAAGCGGGCCATCACCATCAGCAGTATTACGATCAAGAATCTGTACCGCATCCCCGATAGGCGTGACACCGTCAGCGCCAACCTTCTGCAGCAAGATCGGCGTGGACACAAGAGGCTCGATACCGTTATTGCAGTCCCCGCCATGGCCGACGCTATTACCGTCGACTTTGAAGACCACATAGCGACTGCCGTCTTTGTCTTTGAAGCCTGATGGGTCGATCGACCCGCCCTGATCGAGACGGCATGATAGGGGTGTGTTGCTTGGGACGTAAGGTCCTGTTGGGTTGTCTGCTATGGCTGTGCCGACGCAGTGGTGTCTGAGGTTTGACTTTGCTTCGCCAGAGTAATACATAACGTACTTCCCGTCATCCTGGGAGGTGGTTAGTCATTTGTTTTGGGTTTGAGTTTGAGTTTGAGTTTGAGTTTGAGTTTGGGTTAGGGTTGCTTCGGTTTTCTTTTTTCGGAAGCCGAGAAAACTTACTCTCATCACAACATCTGGTGCCCAGTGATCGTTCTCAGTTTCCCATGTTGATAATGTGGGGAGGGCTTCGATATCGAGAAGTGTCCATGTTTTGAAGTCATCCGAAACGGCTACCTGGACCCGCTTTCCGTTACCGTTGGTGCCGAATGCGTACCATCTGTTGTCGGCCGCTTTCATGAAGCTGGGATCTGGGAAATTGGTATTCAGGCCCAGCCAGGGGCCCTTTACTCGTTTCTCAAATAGAGGAGAGCCCAGGGCGGCAGGAAGAAGGGATAGGGCTAGTAGAGCCCATGTGGAAGTGGATTTCATGAAAGAAGACCGCATATTGGAAGAATGACCAGGGTGAAGAAGGCTGAAAGAATAAAGTCGCTGATCATGTATATCTAAATTAAGCAGGGCAAGGAGGCAAGTCCTTCTTATATGTAGAATTGACCGCTATTGTCCGAAGGTAGGGGAACAGAGTCCGCATTGGAGTTAGGGTACCAAGACAATCAATGTAAGGCCACATGCTGGGCGTGTTCTTGGCTCCGAGAAGCATACTTACTCCGAACAGTAGAGGTGAAAGCAAGCGAAAGAAGAATAACTAACAGCCGCAACGCCTGATATGGGGATTCATCAGCTGGCACCGGGACTCGACGAAGAGTAAATTGGGCCATCCACTCATGCGCGAGCTCGTGCTGGCACCTCGTGTTCTCAATGTATATTTTAAATATGAATTTGATTATTAGCGGAGCCCAATTATCGGCCTGCGTTATAGAGTACTTGAAAGTCAAAAGGTATGGACCTCGGGAGGGACCTGAAAGGCGGTTTGATGGCTTGCAAATGAATGAAGGGCTGGATCACCAGGGGACTACAAAAACAAAAGAAACAAAAAAACAAAATGAGCTCAAGGGAAGCAAATTGAGACTTTTAACAAGAACCTTGGTAAGATGATTTTCTTTCAACCCCTCGCAATCGAGGACCTTGAATAGCGAGGGCACAAAGGATGTTGGGTTTGTTCAGTTTCGGAACATTGTTTTGTTTGAGTCTAGAATTCTGCTTCCGAAAACGACCGGATATCCCTAGATCACTGCACGATGACTGGGTAAATGCCATGCGTATCCACGTTGCTGGGCTTAGTTTCTAACGATTAATTGCTAGTATGGCTGCATGTAGTATGTCATAGGTCTGCCGGTGAAGTCAGCCTGAGTTCAGCTGCGTTGTAAAGCCATGATACGGCGTAGATAGATTAGGCCAGAAGATCTTCTACGGGTCAGAGTTAATCTTCATGTGGGGTTGCCTAGGGGTGACCGGATTGGAATATGTGGATTGAGCTAGAATATGTGAATAAAATCGCCAAGGTCGGCCAGATGCGGCAAGGCACTTCAGACTGAGGGCTTATGATCGTCGATCAAGGTAAAAACTTCGAAAATCTAGTAACATGACCTGCCTTGAATCTAGGAATTTCACTATGTTGTATGGAGGGGGGAAAAAGTCCAGAAAGGGCATGATGCAAGGGCGGCAAACGCCGAAGAAAGCGCGACCCGAAGACGAGAAAATAACCCGGAAATATGCAGCCCAGATATGATACCTCAGACAAATTACCCCTAGCGGATATACGGAGTATATTTTGCCAAGATGATAGGGCGGGAGAATAGGACAGCCACCCTCAGGGCCCCAGGGGACCGAGTTGGGTCACACGAGGCGCATGGCTTTCATGTGCTGGCACTCGTGCTCACCGGGAACACATGGCTCTATGCTCATATAACATACAATATGGATTATTTCTATCATCTGAACTTATAGTCTTCAAATGGCCAAACTTAGAACAATAAAACATTGAAGAAAAAACAATTTTAGAATGAGATATGTTGTGGATTCCACCAAAGAAAATAGAAGCAACTACGGAGTATAATAACCATAAGTAGCGACATAAATCTCTTAGTAAATTATGTCCAATCGAGCGATCATTTATCATTTCTAGGCTGCGATCAACATCAGGTCGAAAATAAATGACCTCATTGGCCAAGTCATGCATGGCACGCAACATCAAGCTTGTTCCGTTTCATTTCTACCCCGCATTACAGCGGCTGAGATGGTCATGAAGCGCTAGACTATGTTGTACAACATACACACTACCAGATGATATCTTTTACCTAAGCTATAAAATAAAAAATAAATCCGCAACCAGCCCCTCCTTACAGCCGAGGAACCTCACGAGATCGTCTGCGAGACATCGGCCTACTTCTATGCGGAGATCTACCCAGTTAACCCGGACGACCTTCATCCGCAGATAGCGTGGGCGGCCGCCGAACTCGAGGCCTTGTTCACGGCCCAGCCGTATCCTGGGGAATATAGCATGCCTAAGCACCCGGATGGTTATCAGGTTGTGCGGGCGGATTATGCCACGCTGCCGGCAACGGTTAGGGGGTGGGTGGAGAGTCACCCTGAGCAGAAGTCGTTCTGTTTTGTGAACGGGGTAGCATTTTTTGCACCCGGGGTGATTTTGGAGATGATTGGGTTGTTTTCTGGGGAGGGAGAGGGGGATTGTAAAGGTATAATCTTTTCTTTTCTTTTCTTTTCTGTTCTTATTTTCTTCTTCTTGTGTATGGGCGAGTTGGGGGATTGTGTCGACTAATATGATGTGATCAGGCCAAGTTTCCACGGATCCTGAGGCGTATTATAATTATAGTGATAGGATATCATTTTTAATGCTGCTATGCTGGGGAGTTCGGAGGTGGGTAGTAGTTTGAGGTTCAAGGCTCTTGCGAGGAGACTGGCTAGGAAGGATACAGAGGGGGAGAAGAACTTGAAAGATGAACTTTGAAGTTGATTATGCTGTTACTTTATGCGCATATAGACTACTCTATTTTGTAGATTAGTGGGATTGAGAACTTCTCTTGACTTCTCCTATCGAATCCCAAGGCTAATGTTGACTTTGATTCACGGCTCAGACAACGGTGGGGGCCTTCTCTTCCCACGAGTGGTACTGTGGGAATTGAATGCTCACTAGTCGGTGAGGGCTTTTAAAGTCACGTTATGATATCACCAGGGGCCATGCATTAACTAGTTTCTGTGATCGGCGTCGAAAGCTCGACAGGGATGATGAGGGCGACAACACTGAGAACCCGAGATTTTACGATGTAACAAAAGTGCGGGGCGAGAGTAACGTTGTCTGATCCTTGAGGTAAGGATATAAAATACGAAAGCGAGGACAGTGTGACCGGAATCAAGATATATTGGTTGCTTTGGAGCACCACGGTTCCTGAGAAACACCGCCTGCATACCTTCCGGTTTCAAGGTGTTACTAAGAGCTTGCCTAGAATTGTGTCATCTTAGACCCATCAAAGCCAATAAAAACAGATTTTTCTCTGCCAAAATGCAAAAAGCAAGCTGATTATCTCGCTTGCGCTGCTCAGAAGCAAAGCGCCAGCATCAAGCATCCAGCGGGTTTACACAAGGGCCATGACCGACCAAGACTGGATAATAGGAGAGGGAGACGTTGAACATTAGATTTTGAGCGAGGAAATATAGGCCCCAATAAAAACCATCCTAAATGACCATGGACATACCCTCGATCATCGGGGGTTTTGATTCTTTCCATTATGTCTAGTCTTTGACATTGCTAATCGGCTGGTTCCGACTCAGAGTTTTCGCTGCGTTCCTGCGGTCGCTTCGACTGCTCAACTGGAAGCAAGATTTGAGAGCTGGTCACAGACTTCAACATCTGTCTAGTGCTCTTCGCCAGAGATATTGTCAACAGTGGCAACGGTAACCATGTATCCAGGAATGGCACCATCACAGACCAAGATAAGATTTCCGACAGCATGCTGTACAGAATTTCGTAAACATTGTTGGCACTAGTCTAGTTAATAGCGCTAAGGATAATCTAGTTATTGAGATCAGGGCCATAAAACGCTGATGCAAGGTTTGCTTTCGAGCAGGATTGATCATCGGCCTATCCAAGTTTGTCTCCATGTATGTTTCAACCTTCTTGCTAAGACCTAGAGACAAGACATTATGAATCAGTAACATGTGGTGGATAACGGTATCATCCCCATAGTCCCTCCGGGGTCCTTTTGGGACTTATCACATTATTGCATAACCTGGCTATTCAAGGCGAGGCATAACCCGTTTGCCCTCGTTGTGAAAAACTTTGAAGATGTGTCCCAGCGAGGCTTCCAGCCTTTCCACGAGACTGACCACCATGATGTTACTCCAGCAAGGCCAAGACTGGGCAGCTGTTCGATGTCGCATATCTTTTGCTCTTCTCCTCAAACTGGTTGCCATTTTAAGAGAGGTGGATAATCTGCCTCTCCATGTCGCTTCCAGAAAATGCATGGGGACTGATAAGCGGAGGGATGAGGCTAGGGCGACAAAAGTTTAGTTATGTTGAGTAACAGGTACTTGAAACTGACATGGCTGTGAACACACACTTTGCTGAATAAATTGTCGATTTTCTAAAAGTCACCTTCCCCTTACCGCAAAGAGAGTCGACTTGGTACATGACAAGTAGAAAGATATTTCCAAGTAGACGGGATGGGTGCCTTCTTCACAATCAAGCACAAACTATTCAGTAGGAATGGTCATACCCAAAACGCCGAAAGCATTAGGTAAAGAAGAGGGCGAGGTCTTCACCGGCGCAAGCGCAGTCTGGTCTTTGCCTTTGGCATTTGATTTCCACATCCTAGAGTCTTGAGAGAGATGTGTAGAGTTTGGAAGACATTATATCATTGTCTAGAGCAAGTGGGTAACAGTCCATAGCATCTGTAGAGGAGGATGATACATTGACAAGAGAGGAGAGGAGAGACGAAGAAAACTCGCAAACAAGGAAGAGTTTGCACGTAGCAAATATCGCTACACAATTGCCAAATGTGGAATAGGAGAAAACACGTAATAACATTATAAAACTCCCAAGATAAATAAAAATAGTCGAATATCATTAAAAGGTTTGAATAACGACTAGAAAGAATTTCGATGTTCTTGTGGCCTTGGAAAAACCCCATAGGCATTGAAAGTTTTTTTTTTCAGGTCTTATATTCACTACGATCCTTATCGATTCAATCAAGATGGTAGTCAATAAGACCATAAGAATCTGCACAAAGGGTTCTACAACGCTTGTATTTCAACAATCACTTCCGATATAGCTGCATATATATTGTTTCCCAAATATTTCGTAAACCGTCTAGTGCGGATGCACCATCATAATTCCTCGCCGAGAACTAGTGGGCAAATCGGAAGTCCAACCTTTTGTTGCCCTCATCTTTTGTTGTGCTCAGGTAATGGTGTTTTTGCTCGGGATTCATAGCACTCCAAACCTCTTCGCGTGTTTTGTTTCTCCGTATATAGTAGAACTTAATGAAGATGGTGACCAAAACGTTCCATGCCACGATGGCGAGAAGGATCTTGTTTCCCTTTCGGTAGTAGGGCTTATCATCTGTTCGGTAGATCTGACAAAGAGGTTTTGTCAGCCATAACTCGACTAATTATATGAAAAGTGACATTGGAGGTTTCGGGATACGTACGTTGGAAGAAATGATAGAACCTGCTTGGCAAATCATGTTATAAACTGCACTGCCCACAGTGCGCGTGCGCACGGAACCAGCGTTCCGCGAGATCAAACTGACTATAATAAGAACAGCGTCAGAGAATCCAAGATATATTGTTGGAAGATATCAGCACTAACCGTTGATAGAATGGACGTAGGGGAAGCCAATAACCAGCACCGTAACTGCGTACCAGCTCCAAGGACTTGCAGTCGCGGGCAACAACTCTAGTGCCATCAAAAGAGGGAAAACCCAGAACGAATAAAACAGCACAATGGCCATGCGGTTGTTAATTTTTTCGGACACCCAAGACCAAAAGACCAATTGGATCAAGAACAAAACGGTTGCAGGAATGGTCAGAAGATTGACCTCGAATGTATCAAAGCCAAGTGACCTTAAAAAGAGGGTCAGATATGCCGATTCGGGATTTGTTGGAACCAGGAGCGTAAGGCTGATCAGATACATTGGCCAAAGATCGTAGTCCATGAGAGCGTCCCATAGAAGCTTTGGTGTTAGACCTTGACGATTATGCATGCCACCCTATGGTCCAGAGTTAGTATGTGTGCGGGCGAGTTTCAAAAGGCCACCCGCTTTATACTTACCTTTCCTGGATCATCTCGCAGGACTCGATTGACCATAATGACTTCTTCCCTCTCTGAGAACCAACCATCCTTTCCTCTGAACCAGCTTGCAGTCTGAGTCGGACCCGGAGGTAGATAGAACCAAGAGATGACACCAATAATGAGAGTTAAAGCACCCTCGAGAACAAATAGCCACCTCCAGCCTTCCCAACTGCCTATGGATCGCATGCGCAGAATTCCAAATGCCAAGAATGCCGCAACAATAGCAGTACCGTTGGAGCAACAGTAAAAGAAGGCGACCCGCATGGGCAGCTCTTTATTTGTATAGAAGTAGGATAGATAAAGAAGTGCATCGGGAATGAAACCACCTTCAATCAGACCAAGCAGTGCACGAGTGGCATAAAAGCTATGCTCACCGCTGACTAGGCCCTGGGAGATCCCGACTACACTCCAAAGAACCATTTGAATAGGGATCCATACGTCGGGCCCAAGCTTTTTCGAAATCATTTGCGACGGCACCTCTGCGCACAGGAAGCAAAGATAGAATATCGTCATGCCATAGTTGTACTGGTTAGTTGATAACCCGAGGTCATCAAGCATTCCGTCGGATAACGCTTGTCCGATGTTACCGCGATCCAGCTGAAGGGCAAAGAACATCAGACAGACCCAAGAACAGATCCTGTAGTCAAGCTAGATTATAGTGAAATGTTAGTCGGCTGATCCACCATGCGGGAATTCGGGGAAGGGACTTCATTACCCTTCGGACTAGTAGCTTCTCCTCCTTCTCCGTCCATTCGGCAAGTGGATCATATCGATGTCTCCCTTCGTACTCCGCAATGGGTTCATAGAACTCCAGTGAGCCACCCGCAGCCAACACCCCACTTGTTGCGCCGTAATTTTTAATTGGGATAGACGTCTGTTGAAGAATCGCAACAGACGGCTGCTTCGAGTCAAGCGAGAAGGAGCTTTTGCCCGACATTTTTGATCGCAAGGCTAGTGGATAACTTGCATGACTTGGAACTGGGTCTTTCTATATAGGATAGATATTGCTACTCGTGCCCTACGCCGAGGATTGCGCAATGTTCGTAGCGCATATCAATCCAACGCGATATGAAATTATGCAGTGGCGCCGCGGAGAAAGCCAAACGGAACTTTATGCTTAAAAGGCGAGATTCGCGCATCTGATGATGAATTGGATGACTAGTATGTGCTCGATCTGCATGTTAATGACAAATCCGGTTAGATGGAGGGGTTGATGCAAGGTAATGTTAATGCTAAAAGATCGCTTAGTGTGACCGCGGGGACTGCGCAACACGACTAATCCCTAGTAGACTTAGCTAGGGCCAAGCCTTGCTTGAACGGCATGTTGCCATTTAATGCGGGATCGCGTCACCAAGTGGATAAAATAAGAATGACCTTTACCCCTCCGTTAGACACATTGTGTGCATATAAAACATAGTAGGGCTGTGTAAACATATTTAAAATGTCAAAGTATCAGCCATTCTTCCTTAGAAAAAGCTAGGAGGCAGAATAAAATATTACACAAACCAACAATGCGATATGTGTGGTAGATCTATCGCATGATGGCAACGAATTAAACTTCTAGAATGAATACAAAATGTAAAGTTAGTGTACTATACTTCTCTATGTATCACTCTAGCTCAATTTTGCTGCGATTGCAGATTAAACTGTGGCTGATAGGTTGATCTGACGCCTATCCGAAAGGTTGTGGAGGATGGTCAATAGTGACTAAAAGCAGGTTCAAACATGTTATAGATGTCAAAGTAAGACTCGGAAAGCCTTGTCTAGACTGGCGTCTAGTTGCAGGAAGTCCACAAGACGTCCCAAATGATCAATACCCCAGAAGCCTTCCTTTGCGCCCTGAGCATCTATGCAATCGAACCAAGGCAAACCAAAGGCGCCGGAGGTGAAAACCTGTTGTGTGTTTCCATCCAAAATGGCTTTTGCCTCAGGGCCTTGGAACTGTAGAACACGGTTAGAAAAGAAAACAACGTGGCATGCAAACAAGGTGAAACATACCTTCTCCAAAATTTGCTTAGCGTTCTCAGCGCCAAGCTCACTCTCAAAGACAGCAGCGAAACCGGACTGAGTGAGGACATTCGAGTTTCCCTCTTCCCAGAACCCGCGATAGAGCTTATCTGCGATGGGAACTAGCTTATTGGGGAATTGTGTAGCCAGAAGGCTGAGAGCCAGCTGAACCTCCGAGGTGGACGCGGGAAATCCTTTGGGGATGGATTCGGACATGGGAACCTGCAAGCGGCGGGCCCAGTAAATACGCTCTCGGTTGATCCATTCGAACTTGTCTATAACAGGGAGTTAGCATGCTTTAAATATGGGTTACCCAGTACATAGCGGTAGAAGAGTAAACAAAGAGGAGCCTACTCTTGACTGCAATAGGAGGCGTGTTTTGGCACGACTGGAACAAGTCTCGTAGGGAGACGGGGACATATTCAATGTCACATGTCGCGAATACAGGGGACGTCTATAGATAATCATTAGCTGATACCCCATCCATCAACTCCTTTAGAACATTCGACTGACCCTCAAAGCATGGAACGCGATGCAGGCGAAGGGACTGCCAATGTCGAAATAAAAGGTTATTTTAGGAGCAGCCATAATTGGAATAGTATTGTTTGATGATAGAATATTAGAATACACCTGAATTAGCACACGGGGCATAAGCTCTTCATATAGTCAACATTATTTTGTGATTATTCATATCTGGGGTCTGATTGAGGTATACTATTTTCAGGTGTTCCCAACGAATTTTCGGATCTCAAAAACACGCCGATTGAATTTAGGTTCGGGTGGATTTCTGGAGCCCGGGACCCAACCTTCAACATTTCCAAGGTTGAATGTTGTTCTCCTTGTTGAGAAGGGTATTTTAGATACCGGGGCACAACTGGGTTGAATCTCACAGATCAAAATGTCTTGCAGATAAGGATCACACGTACTAGAATACAGACAAATCATCTTATTATTTCTGCCGTATTAAAAGTTTTGGTTGAGCATGCATGCATCATATCAATATATATAATATTCTATTTACTACCACAAAGGATCGGAAAGTACTGAGAATATACAGTTATTTAGGACTATTTCCCACGGTTTCATATTTACTCAAAGCTCTCCATCTCTTTCCACTCTTGAAAAAGACCCACGGAACCGGCAAAAGTGCCACTGCAATAAACCCAAGCAAGCTAGAGGCCCACTCTGTACCGAGCTTGTTGTACACTATACAACATGTAAGGATATATTTTTCAGTGTCACCATAGAGTTCATACACTTACTTTGGATGGTAAACAGAGGAAACGCAGCCGCGAGTCCATAACGTGCCAAGCCATTGGCGCTCATGGCACTTGCGACAGTGAGGCCATGATAAGTATCAACGAGGTACTGGGTTGTGCTCACGAAGACACATAGATTTCCCCATGCAAAAACAACGATGGCAACGACGGGACTCGCCCAGGGAATATCAGCTCTAGCAGTCCATGCAAACCAGAAAAGACCGATTGGTAGTCCAACACTACCTATCAGTGCTGGATAGAGGCGATATTCGGGTGGGATTTGCCCGTCTGGATGCTTTGAGGCTTTTGGAAGGTACAGGAAGATGTTGCATATTATGACTGTCACAGTTCCTAGTAGAGATCCGACGACAATGCTCAAGAAGACAAGGCCGGAGTCCTCGAGGTTGAAATGATAGATACCTCGGAAGATCAATGGGAAGGCCGCGAAGAACGAGAAGAGTGTCGCAAATTCACATGCAATGTAAAGGCAAATGAAGCCAACGATGGGTTCAGTTACGAGCATGTGGATAGGGCGAAGGAGGGAAATGGTTACAAATAAGCGCAGCTTCGAAGAGAAAGACGGCGATGAGGGGAGCTCTAATCCAAGTTCCTTGGCACGGCGACGCTTGATGATAGGGTGAAAAGTCTCTTTGGCCATTGCAACTGTGATACACGTAAAGATGGCAAAGAAGATCGTTGTCCACTGTGTCCAACGCCAGCCTTTCCGATTGACAATGAAACTTCCGATCACAGGCCTAGGAAATAGTCAGGAAAACGGAGAACTTGACAATAACGTAGACATGAGAGATATTGACCCTAGACCAGGACCCAAAAAGGGCGTAAGAATAAAGATCGCCGATGGAAGAGCGCGTGAAACTGGTTTGAAGGTCTCATTGAGAGTTCCGGCCGCAATGGCCAGAGTCGGTGCGTAGCAGAAACCAGCCAAGAAACGTAGAACACAAATCCCCGCAAATGTGGGACAAAACCCAACACCTAGAGTAAATAAGGTGCCCAGAGACATCGTCCCTAAGTAGACTGGGTATCTCCCGACAGTTTCGGAAAGAGGTCCTCCAACGATAGGACCAAGTGCTAGGGCGAAAACGTATAGTGATAAAGGTAGGATAGCGACTGTGCTGCTGACACCAAACTCTTCCATAAACTGCGAATGAGCAGGTGATAGTATAGATACTCCAACAGTTCTAGATTATACGTCAGATTTCAAGCCACATTCACATTGCGTGGAAGAGTTAACCAACGTTGTAAAAGCCGCCCAAGCAATCATCGTCACTTGTAGTACCTTCTGACTTGTCGGCCAGTTGTAAGGATTACTGGGATCATCATCCCAATTCCATGTTTCACTGCGTTTGGGCTTCTCTGCAGTGGTGCCAAGTGCATTTTCGAGCGCATCGTCGAATGATGGCCTTGAGACTTCCTTAGTACCATTTATATCGGCCTTCGGGCCGTCTTCCAGTTGTAACATGTTGAAAATACGGCTGAAATGTCAGTAGAAAAACTCTGAGAGGTACTCATCTTGATAACGTTCTCTTATAACGAATGATATAAAGCAACGATAGGGTAATCGCTAATTGGAGAGTATTGCGCGACTACAGATTACATATCGATAATCCTTCTACAACCGAGGCTGAGGTTATATAATCTCAAGTATTGACCAAGTCGCGTTCATCGTCCCAATTAACCTTCAAAGGCCCTTAGAAGCAGGTAAAGCGGGGGCTGTCCGGGAAATATCAAGTGGACGAGAATTTGATTGGCTGGAGAGAATAGCGCTAACCTACCCTGTCCGAGGAATATTTTGATTATTCAACATTCGATTATTCAACGCGTGCACTTTTGAGACCTGTAAATTGAGACTGGGTAAAATGGTGATTGCTTTGTTGAGATTTATATTTGGCTTGTTGAGGAGACGTTTATTGTGGTTGAATGGAAAGTAATTCTGAAGATTCGTGGCAGTAAGCGACAACCTTGCGTCTCAGTAATCTTAGTCTCGTTTGCCATGGATATAGTATCAAATAACCGTATCGCCTATTTCATTACACGGAAAGGAGCCTCTCCTTTGGGCATAACTTTCTTACCATCTGCAGACAAAAAAGAATCGATATCTTAGTCACCATCAGCGGGTAGTGCGAGCCAGGCATGTGTTTTTAGCACCCCCAAAAGATCCATTATCCATTATCCAAAGCTTCATATGACCGGCATAACGAGATATTCACAGCTATTATGGAACCGGATACAGGTACGTCACTCCTTGAAGGAGGGATGCAAGCCCGCGAGACATCGAAGAAAGGTGGCATTGGTGTTTGATGGGGTTTGATCGGATGAATAGTGACCTCGGATGTATGCTGTTGGTAGGATGATCGACAGTAGAACAGATTGGCGACGATGAATCGACGGGACTTTTGAATATGTTTCTGGCCATTTTCCTGCAGTGTTTGGGCAATACGAGACAAGCTTACTCCGTAGATGGCGCAGATTGCAACGCAAATCGGGTCGAAGGTCGGATATAGCAAGCAATCTGCAGAGAAGCTGAGTCACATGTGTTGTTTGCCAGCAGCCGCTTATCAAACCTGAACAAATCATCGAGACAACTCCAAGTCTCCGAGTTGACAACCTCACCCTGAGTCAGCTTCTTCGGGTCAGGGTGCCGACTGCTTGGTCATGGTTAGTGATGGCAACGCCACTAAATTACCCTGTTGCGCCCTCCACTATCATCAGCTTCTTGTTAGGAAAAGCCCTGTTTTTTGTCTTAGACAGGGCTCCGGGAGGCTTCGCAACTCATCAAAGGATAGTTTTTGCTTGGATTTCCCGCCTTTCCTGGCAAGTAAGCAATCTTCGGCCCCTTATCTCAAAACTCCACCTTGGCGATCCCGGAAATCCTTCGTGGCTCCTCGATACGAGCTTATGCTATGCTGAATAACAAACAACCATGGACCTTTGCATGGACATGAGAGATCTAGAATTGTTAATCTACAACAATAGAGAGAGCCATGGTTCGCATAGCCAAAGAAGACCTTGGAACGGCAATTTTGGGCCTGATTATTCAGGTGTCAAATTCCTCTGGGTCTACGGGTGTCATGACCTATCTCATACGCGGGGCGTACGTAGCCGTATATCCGGAACCCTCTCGGCCTTCGGGGTTTAATACTGATTTACTAAAATTTCTTGCACGGAGATTAAAAGGTCGCAGACTTCCTCCACATATTGTGTGAAACTCATTATTATCCCCCTCAAGCAGCTACAGAGCTATTGCTCTAGCAGATTACATGAAGTTCTACCCTAAAGCGCGAGAGCAGCGGCCTAGCATCCACCACCCATCTGTTCGGCCGCGTCGATTGGGTCTTCTAAAGGCAGCATCTGTCAATTTTCTGCTTCTCCAAATTCTATTCTTGGGTCTATTCTGTTGGATATTCGGCGCTCTCTTCCAGCAGTCCGGCCATATCCACAACATCAATGTTTTGTTTGTTGACTATGATGGCGGCGCGATAGGCGATGCGGCCCGTGTCGCATTCCAGAAGCTCAAAGGACCCGGCTTTCCAACCTTTGTTGAGCGATCTCCCTCTGAATACCCTCAGCCCGGCTCAATTGAAGGTGCAGTTTGCGACATCAAGTACTGGGGAGCGTTGTACACCACAGCAAACGCGTCGAATGCGCTGAGTGCCGCATTTGCGGGTGGGTCGGCTGCCTCGTCGTACGATAAGAACAATGTTCTCACAATGGTGTGGAACGAAGTGCGCTACCCGACGGTCGTTGACTCCGCACTTGCCGATAGCATGAAATTGCTATCGGAGACTGCACGTGTCGCGTACTCGCAAACTAACGCGAAAGAGGCTCTGAAGAGTGTCAACACTTCCGATCCTGCTGCGCTTGCAGCGTTCTACGAGCCTTGGACATTGGCCGACAACAATATTCTACCCACATCACAAGGATCAAGGGCCATTTACAACACGCTAGTTATCATTTTGATTCTGATCCAGGAATTCTTCTATCTGGGTACTGTCAATGGTTTATACGCTCAATTCAAACTCTACACATCGTTGTCACCGCATCGCATCGTCATCGCGCGCCAACTTATCTCTCTAGTCTACACACTTGTCGGAGCCATGTGCACAGCCGGCGCAATCTGGGCATTCCGCAGTGGCTGGGATGTCAACGGCAACCAATTCGCGCTCACTTGGCTCGCATTGTGGCTCTTTGCGCATTTGAACTTCCTCGTGCTAGACGTTTTTACCATCTGGCTTCCGCCCCCCTACGTACCAATGGCGCTGATATCGTGGGTCATCTTGAATGTAACTTCTATCATTCTCCCATTCGAGCTGTCACCCGCTTTTTTCAAAGTGGGCTTCGCCTTACCAGCACACTCTATCTTCCAGGTACTCATCGACATCTGGTCTTCTGGTTGCAACCCCCAACTCTATTTCGCGCTACCTGTCCTCTTTGTCTACGAAATCCTTGGCATTACCCTGAGTTCCATCGGTGTTTATAGAAGGGCTCACTACGCGGGCCTCAGTCAAGAAAAGGAGGAAAAGGGGTTCCAAGAGCGGGTGGCGGCCGCACTACGGGAGCAGCAAGAGGCTCAAATGGTCAGACGGGAAACAATGCATGATGTCGAAGGAAGCGGGACATCGGATAGCGAGGATGACCCACGGGGTGCTATGCAAAGACGAAGCACCGCGACAACAACGGCAGATCAAGCGGAGTTAGTCAACATCATCAGCCGTGAGATGTCCCGGTCGAAGGCCGACAGACCAGATACAGCCCGAGAGAGCACCGGGCCGTCTTTTGCCTTGGCCTACAAATTTTGAACGCGCACCCGGGTTGCTGCAAATGTTAAAAAGCGATGTGAATACAGTAATAATATACAGTGATAATATATAGGAGACAGGAATTTATGAAGATTGTGTACAGAGATCTGAGAAAGATAAGAAACCGCTACTTCATCATACTATTATCAGAACTTAACAAGGCGCTCTAACAAATATCGATTCAACTAACCACTAATATAGAGAGGGCGATTCGCGCGAGGGTTATCGGGAATATATATAATCACTTACCCAACGCCTCCTTCCCCCCATATGACTCCTCAGGAAAATCAGCTATCGGGGTAGCCCAGCTCGGCCCAAGGAGCAAGCGTGCGATATAGCCATCATCGCTGGGATCCATCTCACTTTCATTGTCACTAGCGTCAATCTCCCCAAATGGCTCTTCCGCAAAATCAACTACCGATTGGGCCCATTTTAAACCAAGAAGCAAGCGTGCGATATAGTTGTCGTCGCTGGAATCCATCTCACCTTCCTCATCACTATTGTCTGCATCAGCCTGCTGGTCAGTCTCTTCGTCAACCTTCCCCTTATCTCTATCGACGTCAGCGACAGGACAAGGGAACAATGAAGATTCAAGAACCATTCGTTCCAGGGCATCTGCAACTATAACGTTACAGTTTATGTCACTCTTGAGTAAATCAATTTGTCCGGGCAAACCTCTTTGAAGGGTATCACAAAGCTGCGTAAAACGAGCATCCTTCCCGAACTGTGCACATATGCGCGCCAGACGGGAAATTGCATTCAGCCTTGCAATTACGAGTGAGCGATTCTCTGGATTGGACCGGAGATCGCGGATTCGACGCCTGAGAGCTGTGAGCATACGCTCGTGTTGCTCGCTATCATTGAGTGGCGGCATATCTGTAGATGGGTCTCCTGAAAATGTCAGTATACGTAGTGGTTGGATAGTACTTACCTAGGCATTGTAGATGGATTCCAGGATGCGAGCGTTGACCAGAGACGTGTTTACCTTTGCTGATGAGGCCCCGATGATGTGGCCATAGGAGCTATTTATCATTTTGTCGTTCTTCAAGTTCTTAAAGAATAAATCATCCGGCAACAAAGGCTATTGTTGTAGATAAAGAAGTGACTGATACAATTCCATTGTTGATAGGTTCTGCCATGCGACAAACGTTCATGTGTTTCTACAAGGAACAATAACAGCCCATAAAGCTCGTTTGAACTGGATGAAATGAAGAAAGGATCACGATTAATAGACATTGAAAATTTGGAGGTTGTACCCATCGACCAGAGGACGCATGGTTCGGAACAGCGGCTTTACGAGTTGGCTTCGCTAGCAATATATTTTGTTTGAATCGAGAAATATCATGTCAGCTGTCGTGATATAAAGCTGTAGGATACCAAAAAATTTCTCGATTGCCGAGTGTTGATTTTTGAAGATTTGATTTGGTATGCCCAAGTGGATTCCTGTAGTGAAGCCTAATCAGTCTATCCATCATGCTCCAGCAGGTCTTTTCTTGCATGCTCCGACATAAAACGCAGGATATTACATGGTTTTAATACAGGGGAATAGGCCTTCCCATGGGCTTATAGCGGGCAAGTGGGGTCAACGTAACGATTGCGTGCAGTTTTTTGTTTTCAAGGCACAGTTAGGCCACAAGATGAAACATAGCTGTCATTTGCTTCGTACTGTACTGGAGTCCTTCCGAGGATGTACATCGAAAGAACACGCACTTGGCAGGGGCTCTTGGTCGATGTCAATAGGTAAACAGATTCAAGGTGTTCTCTCAGTCAGAGAGCTTGATCTGCCCACAGAGGACGACATCTTCCCCAAATGGGTACCATTTGACATTCTTCAATCTTGCTGCAGAGATCGCATTTCCATCCTCGTCAAAGCGCCTAGCGGGGGAGACGACCACACCACCTTCACCCAGCCATGTGGGAGCAATAGTAACAATCACGCTGTCTAGCAAAGACATGTAAAGTGGGCTCAAAAGGGATTTGATGACCTGACCACCACCCTCTATCATCACGCTCCCGAGGCCGTTCGATTTCAGGGTGACCAGCAAATCTGGCCAGTCAATCTGATGTCGGCCGGTATGCGTTCTAATCATTTTTACTGAGATGAATCTTCCGCCGTATCTTTCCAGCAACGCTTGCTTCTTGGCGTTCGGTTTGTCAACCGCGGTGATGATCCATGGGGCACGGCCACGCCCCTCTCTGCAAAGTTGGAACAGCTTGCTGTCGTCTGAAAACTCCCATCGGGCTGTTGGATCAATCACAACTGGTCGAGGTTGGCCAGCTAGGCCCTCCTGGCCATAACCACCGACTCCTGTGATTCGACAGTTGAGACCGGGATCGTCTGCCACTGCCGTACCAACGCCAATGATAATTCCGTCATGGCGGGATCGCAGATAATGAGTCATTGCCTTAGACTGAGGGCCTGAGAGTACCGTACGTGCACCAGGGGACAGAGCTAGAGAAGAGTCAAGCGAGGTCGCGAATGTGAGTGTTGTGAAGGGGAGATCAGACTCAGGTGCCGAGCCATCCTGTGGCGGTAGATGAGGCTCTAAGAACCCCCTGTCTGACTCTGGAAACTCCAGTGCATCTCTAGGTGCTGAACTCATGTGGATTGTTGCGGGTTTAAAGTTGTTTCACGCAATACTTGCTGTTGGAGGTGCGAGGATCTGAAGCTCAGCCTTGGCGGTGAGATCAAGTTGATATTGCTGCCTCAGGCCTAATACGCGCTGACCCCACTACCCAACCACATCGCCGAACCACGATTGGACACAGACCAGCATGGCATGTCCGCCAACAGAGGACCCTTGTGATGCATCTGAAATCCTGCAACTGCGGGGGCTTTTACGCGACCCCCCTGAAGTCCACAATTCCTCCTGTTTCACGGTGTTCAACAATCCATACCGAATCTCATACCCATTATGTCAGATCCACACACTCTTTCGCCCGGGAGCCAATCAACCTTGGTAATACGCGATCGGGAGAAGAGAAAGAGGACTAGTACATCGAAGGTCCGCACGGGGTGTGTGACCTGCAAGTAAGTACCCAAAATATGGTGTCAGATGAACGCTCAGTGGATGAGGAGATCCGCAGCGCGTAAAAACAATGCAGTGATCTACCCGGCCCTAGAGTCTCACTTGGGTAACAAGGCCGACGCTAACACCCGTTTAAAGGTCTCGACATAAGAAGTGTGATGAAACTCGGCCCGCTTGTCTTATGTGCACTCGTGGTGGACGTGTATGTCAAGGGTATACGGCACCACCCGATAAAAGAACCCGTGAAGTGCGAGACGCGCGCACCGTGAGGACAAATGGTGGGGCTCTAAGCATTGTACATGTGGGTCAGCAACAAGCCCAATCCGCTGGTTTGGTCTATGTGCTTGATGGGAGTCAAGTTGGCTTGTCGCGGATGGAACGTGACTATTTGTATTCGTTCCGTTCGTATACTGCTGGCCAGTGCGCTGGATACCACTTCGACCCATTCTGGCAGGTACTTGTCCATCAAGTCAGTGAATCTTGCCCCGAGGTCCGCCACGCAGCTATTGGTATCGGTGCCTTGCATCGTAGATTTTCGAACCCCGATTCTAACCGGAATGACATTTTCCCAATACGGCAGTCCACAAAGGCCATTGCTTGTCTCCGCAAGGCTATGATGAAAGGCGACCAATCGGATCCCTCGGCCACGGAGAAGATCCTGGTGGCCTGTGTTGTTCTAGTTACATTCGCTCTATTCCAAGGGGATGTTGATGCCGTTCGCTGTCATCTGCAAGCTGGCACTAAACTCCTTTGGGAGTGGAGAAAGAAAAATCCCAAGAGCCCAGCTGCTTCGATTTTATTACATACATTCATACAGCTCCATATTCATTGGGCAAGCGCTACGAGACTCCAGGATTATCTGGGGGGAGACTATCCCTATCTTCAAGAACTTATCCATGATAACCTCGTCGATATCTCTGCACATCCCGATGAACTGTCAAGAGCGACTATGCTGGTGTCTGTTCAATGTTGGGCATTGATGTTCAGTGATCCTGTGTCCTTTGACCCACTGAACCCCAATCTGTCTCGAGGATTTGTATGGGACACCCCCGCGAATAAGGTTCATCGACTAAAAACGCAAGTGGAGGAGTGTAGTGCTCTTCACAGAAAGACTGCCTCCCCCACAAAGCTTCGTGCGTTCATGGTCGTCCAGATGCAGATTGAGATGATGCAAGTTATCCTCGCGTCAACAACATTTTCAGGCTCGGAAACAGAATGGGACCCTCTCTGTCCACATTTCAAACGTGTTGTCGATAAAGCAGAAGTGTTATTGAGTAATTTCAATCACTTGCCCGACCCATTATTTTCTGTCAAAGAAGGATTCCTGGGATCCCTCATGTTCTGTGGGCTCAAATGTCGGGACTGGACGGTTCGGCAGAAAGTGTTGGGTATCTGCCAAAAGTACAATCGACGCGAGGGAATGTTTTCTACCGCCGAAGCTGTTCTCCTATTACAGACTGTCTACGATTTTGAGTCTGCGGGGATTCCACCGGGAGAGTATATACCCGAGTCCGCTCGTGTACCTCAAGCATACATCGCCGAACATCCCAACCTTTCGAAATTCAACACCAAAAGTTACATCAAATATTGTGATAGGGATGGGAATTGGTACAGTAAATGGCTGTCACCTTGATACTTTGGGCACTTTTAAACGATGTGATGATTGACATAAGCTTTATGAATTATAGATTTCGGGATATATCTACATACATCACTGGTGCCACACCGTCTGATGACACAACTATGCAGCAATGAAAAGTAGCAAAATCAAAGCCCTTGTCTCTGAAGATATGTTAACACTCATCATTTGCTTGGTAATCTCATCGAAAAAGTACAGTGATCACGCGTGGCAATGATTCAAGGGGATTTTCAACGCCATATCATTCAATATCACCCCTCACTGCCCAGTGGGACAAAGTGGGCCGTAATTCGCTCCATCCAAATACCGCTGGGACCACGAGGGGCTCCCCACACAGGTCGGGCAGTAGAAAAGACTCCTCGGATCGTACTTTTTCTTGATGAGCGCTAAAGGCACGTAGTTTGTACCGTAAAAGTTCGTTGCCCATTGGGGATCGTTGCGATCGGCCTTTCTTGTAGTTAGTACAGTTGTGAATTTGCAGAAAGGGAAAAATCTCCATACCTCATTCATATAACTTCCTAGGAGTGGATCGAGCGTTTTCATAGCCCCTCCCTTAATATCAGTAATATCGTGCTGGACAATTTGAGCAGATGAATGATTATCCCAAGATCGAGCCACAATGCTGACTATATAGGTAGACCGCCAGGCAGGATTTACACTGGAGTACTTGTCAGATGCATCTGTGAGGACCTTCCCACCCCCGACGAGCTCGATACTACTTAGGGTAAACTCCTCGGAATTACCCGCAGTGGTACCAATCATGCTGCGAAGAGCGGCACGATTGGTCGTCAAAGCAGCTTTGCCAAACATTCGCGATGTCATGGCGGAGTTGGGGGAAGCAACCCCAACTGGCTGGGACACACCAGACAGATCCTGGAAGTATGCCCCATACGTCGGGAACTCATACCATACTACTGATACACGAAGTGAAGTGCCGTTATACTTCTGCAATGTCTGGAAAAGTTGATCGAAGGCTTTCTGTGACTGGACAAGAGACTTGCCCATAGCTGCAACGACGTGCATATAGCCAGCTGTTTGATTCGCCATGGGGCTGTTGGTAGACCAGGAACCATATCCGGAGAATCCTGCATCCATGATGTTGGGATATTGCTGGTAGATATCGGTAATCGCGTCTAAGAGCGATTCCATATCTTTAGTGAGTGGAGTAATTGCGAGGGACTGTGCGACGACAGGCTTGCTGGGATATACTTTGACAGTCATCGACGTGACTACGCCGTAAGTACCACCCCCTCCACCTCGAATCGCAAAGTATAGATCTGAGAACTGACAAGAATTGGCCGTGACAATATCGCCATTTGCCAATACAACTTGCGCTTCTAGTACTTGGTCTGCGGCAAGCCCGTAGTCATGACTGGCTGGCGAGTGTCCCCCACCTTGCGTGTAACCACCAATACAACCAACGGTCTTCAGGGCAAAATCAGCCATTTGCTTTTTGTTAGGGAAGGGAATTTACGAACCGGGTCTCCCCCGCCAACAATCGTGAGATTGCGTTCAAAGGCAACTTTGTATACATCTTGCCAAACATAACCCCCGGCAATTACCATTGCGGAGCCATCCCACTTGCTGTTTGCACATCTGTCCGATGGAGCATATCCTTTTTGGAATAAAATCCCCTTTCGAATGTACTTGATCCAAATCTGCAGTGCTCCATAGCCTTCAGATCTACAAGCAAGTAATCAGTCAGAGTTGGGTGTTTGTTAAATACTCGTGTGCTACTAACCTCCCCAACATGTCGTGTCCTGTATTCCTAATCACAAGACGTACGTGGTTTTTCTGTGCGAATTCAATACCAGCTGCTACCTCCTCGGGCTCTGTTGCATTGATGGTATACACTGGAGCCGGCCCTAGCGTACATGTGCGAGATTGAGAGCTCATGTCGATTGGAGGGCAAGATTCATCTGTAGGACCAAAGTACCCCACAGGAGATAGCTGTTGGAATGTGGAATTTGACCACTGCGACGAGACACGCGCGCATTCATTGTGATTCTGGTAAGTGCCGGGGTAACATGATATAGCGACTGGAATATTGCGGATCAGCTTTCCAGATACGGTTGTATTGAGGGCATCCCACGTAACAAGCGAGGGCCAACAAGGATCTCCGGGAATCTGGATAGTGAATCAATTGCAGTCAATACAAACGCAGCGTGGGCGTTTTTCCGGTTGGATTTTGTAAAATCAACTTACGCATTTGCATGAAGCCTGAAGACCCGCATAGCAGAAACTAGCGAATTGCAACAATGAAAGAAGCGTCGACACCATCGCTAGGATTGATTAAATGAGACCTTGGATGCTGGAGTCAAGAAGACATCTAGGGCTAACGGCGTTTGTTTCTAACCGTACACGGACATTTTCCCGCAGGCGTCATGTGGAAGGCGACCCGATGATTCTGCATGACAAACGTGAGTGTACGGTGCTTATAGTTTTGGACTCGTCTCATGTAATCATCAGAAAGACTGGGCAGTCACGATAACCTTCAAACTGGGAAGCTCAAGGCTTCAATTGTCAGTGCCCAACCTGAAAGGCTCGAAGAATAACCCAAAGGGGATAATGTCAATTACAAGATTCTTACAGAGCCTTGTCAGAAAATGATACTTCCTGCAGAGCACTGTGGACCATATTATATCCCGTTTGCAAAGCCTCCCGTCTAATGGACGGGACGAAAATTTCGAATACGACGACAGGGGTTGGGAGTTCGCTCAATTTAAATCCAGGCTGCAGATCTTAGCATTTTGGACAAGTTCGTTTGCCGCCCTGAGCCCAGTGACAACCCAATAACCAAGTAATTCCCTCGTACCCAGGCCTTATTCACAAACAAACCTCTATTTCTTCGAGAGTGATTTTGGAGATAGCTTCTCGAAGTACTCTGTGTGCCCCGCTAGAATAAAGGGTGCATCTCTAGGGAGAATTACCGTGGACTCCGCAGATTCTTAGATAATTGCCTGCATTTAATCTGTGCTACCCTCTTTCTAGCCCTGGCTAGGTTTTTTTCAGGCCTGAAAGGGTCCCCTAGTCTTCTGTCTTGCGCAGAGGTAACTAGTAGATCAAATAACCGTAGCCTATCAGATTACTTCCTAGCTCGCACGTACACAAGCAGACTAGAGAATGATTCCTTATGATTTCGCCCCCCAAAATACCTATCCACCATGGACAGAATCTGAGCTATACTGGAGCGCCCTATCTGTTGTCACTTTTTGGACAAAAGTGTACACATAGCGTCACGGCTTCATCAGTACTGTGACTATGGACGGACTTCCTATTCCGCAAGGTGTGGGGACTAAGCTCTCAGTGAACAGCCTCATTGCTGTCACCTGGGCGGGAGCAGGATTGGGAATCTTCTTTACCTCTGCCCGTATCGCTATTCGAATTGTGTATGTCAAGCGTCTACTAGCGGATGACTATTTTATGCTACTCGCCTTAGCCTTTTTGATGACGAACGCAATTTTACAGACCCTACAGGCACCACATCTCTATTATATGGTCCTCAATACGGCCGGGCCAGACATCGTCTACCATGGACTTCGCTACACCTATTACGAATTTGCAATCATTGGAATCTTTTGGTCTGTACTATGGAGCGTGAAAGCCTCATTTTTGGCGCTATTTTGGATGATATCCAACGGGCTGCCCCGGTACCGGCGGGTCTGGTGGGCGACCGTGATATTCGCAGCCTTAGCATACATCGGATGTTGGATTGCGTCGGTGTACACTTGTCACCCACCATCGAATTACTTCAAGTTTGGTAGGAAACTCTTTTACAATTTGTCGTTCCTTATCTAATGATTCGCAGGAAAATGCACAAAGCCAATTGATCAAAGAGGATCTGTCATTTCCATCTCATATAGCACTGCGGTGGACATCCTTACAGATTTATTGAGTACAAATACCCCTTCTACCCTCTATTTGGATCGAGTTAATACCATAAAACAGTAATGTCCCTCCCGCTCCGCATCATCTGGCAAGCAAAGATCAACATGCAGCAAAAAATCGGGTTAGTAATAGTATTCTGTCTTGGAATCGTAATTGTCGCAGCGGCAATTATCCGAGCAGTTGCAATCACCGGAAAGGCATATTCGGACCAAGCAGCACTTGCAGTATGGAGTGTTGTCGAATCTTCAATCTGTATGTTTTTCGCGAGCATGTACACCTTTACCATCAGATCCCTAAAGAAAATTAAAATAGCTATCGTCGTTGGATGTCTTCCTCCATTCCGAGCGATTATATCCACCAAGCCAGGCTTTAACCGCTCTCCTTACGGCTCCTCTGGTACCACGCCAAATTCCTATGATCGAAACCATTCACGAGGGAAACACCGTTCCGATACCGCAAGCTGGAGTGAACCTCCGTTGCCATTACAGGAACTTGGACCATATCAGACCAATCTACATTACAGAACATGTGCACAAGATGTGTACATAAGTGGAGGTCAAAGAGCTGGGGGGTCAAATAACGTCCTGCGTATTGCATCAGAGGAGGCACTGACAGGGGATATAAAAATGGTACAAGAATTTGTAAGTTCAATGAAAGTATACATATTCTACACATTATCAAATCGAAAGATCCGAAGAGCTAACTACGATGTGCACACAGAGCGTGGTATCTTCCAGATAATGCTCTCTGTATGAATGAGATAGATATTATCTACTCATGCATGGTCGCCGATCGTGGCGAAGTTTATAATTGCAATGGTACTTCTAGGATAGTTTTTAGTTGGTGGATCTGGTCGCTATAGGGGGGGGGGACGAAGATCGATAAGATCTGATAATAAAACCAATCTATAAAACCGTGAGTGCCAGAGAAAAAGGCGCTATAACATAGTGGCTAGGTACTAGAGCTTGCTCTACCCAGGTGGTATGGTCGTCTTATCCATCTTTGCGTGCAAAAACGTTGAAGGAAAGGGTTGGCTAGCTGTGAAGCAGCAGTACTATGTGAACCATCCTTATCGTGAGGCTGGGCAACTTACCTCTTCAAGTGTTTTCTAGGAGCCTCGCGTTGGGCAGAAAAGCAAGTTGAGTTGAGCATAGCCATTGCCACTAGTTGGAGAGACTCCTGATCGAGTTTGAATTGTAGCCTCACGTCATATTAAAACGAGCTATCTCGATATAATGGTGGATCTGTAACTAGCTAGCATGCGTCTAAAGTCATAAATGTTTTCGCCCATATACGCCAATTTGAGCAAGCTCTGGAAATTCTGTTTGTCGGCATCAGATTGCAAGCACGGTCTTCGAATTTCTTATTCAAAATCATGGTATGCATTTCTGCATCGAGGAAGGGTTGTTCAAGAACAGCGAAGTGGACAGCAGTTAGGGTGTTGCAGGTAGTCGTACCGTAATTCTCCAACTACGTAAGTTGGAGAACCTTCTTCTCGCGCGGGATTTGATCAAAGCTCTGACTTCTAAATAATGTCACAGTCAACTGTGTTCTTCGCTGGATCTTGCTCCCTGTCTGTTGAAGTGCAAGCAAGAAAACTATCTCACGCCGCGAATCAAGGCCCCAGGTAGGCTCAGCAAGCCTTTGAATCACTAAGCAGGTGTAAATCCCCGTGTTCAAGGTGTTGTTGTGAAATGAATGTCCTTCCTTGACGGTCCCAACGGAGTCACGTTGTCCCGGCACAAATAGCTCGCTTAATGGGTCTGTCCGTACGTCCAGATAAACGACCCAGGCCTCGACACTAATCTCATTCCCCTCTGATGCTAGGAACTGGGATCCAAGGTCAATATTGGTGACGTTTTCCGATGCCGCATTTATATCAGAATTCGCCAGCAGCTTCTCCGGGAACACGACCGCCCCCTCCCATCCTGCCCAGCTCCAACTGGGGAACTGTGCCCGTCTCTGTGGGATGACTCCATCTAAATGCATCCAGGCCAGAGAATTGGGGTGGCTTTTCAGTGGGAGACCATGCACAAAGCCGCCGGGGAACAGCTGCGCCCCCAGAGTTGTGAGCATACCGCGGAAGGCGTTGATGGAGTCGCTCTCTTTAGTCATTTGACGAATCGTGTATATACCCAATAAGCGGCTAAATATTAAGAGTCGTCTCCAGGGGGTTTCATCAGAATCAGGTTTCTATAACTGGTCATTAGGGAAAATGATTCATGGCACGGACGGGTATTATGATGGAGATATTGAATGAATCCCTACCACTTCATCCCCATACAAAAACCGAGTAAGGGGGTCTTCACTAGTCGATGGGTGAGGTGTGTCGTCGATTATAGTATCGCCCTTCGTCGTGTAGTGCAAAACCTCCTCGAATAAGCCTTCACGACATTCAAATGCTACTTGACTTTCACTGAAGAAAAGCAATCGCTTAGATAACAGATGTTCTTGCATGGTCCAGGCTCGACGAGACCATAAAGTCTCGCTTGTTTCTGTAAAATACGACGGAGGACTGGTAAACACGGTATGTCCATCGATGTTCTCTGTGACTTGAGCCAAACGTGGAACAGATATACCGTGTAAGCCAGCATTTGCATTTAGGCCTGACACTGCCACGATGGTCACAGTGGCACCGCCATAAATGATGCCCATCCAGCGAAGTTGCTTTTCTTTTTCTTTTCTTTCAGACGAAGTGAGCTCTTCGCTTTGATTAATGCACAAGGCGTCGACCTAGCTATATAGATTAGATAACTGAATGGCTGATTAAGGGATTAGATGTATATACACACCCATAGATACCGTCTGCCCAAAGCCTGCGTCACCGTAATAGCATCTTCAATAGTCTGTGGAAGGCACCTGTTCTTGAGCGACCCAGGGGAAGGTTCTACGCCTCCCCATACATAGCTCAAGGCAACATAATCGCAATCGGGTGGGCAAGGGACCACGATACGCTCGACAATGTCGATCATGCGAGTCTCCAGCAGTTCTGGCCTTTTCTGCTTCTGCGTCGAACAAGAGGTACAATGTTTCTCTAGACATAAGCCTAGTGCCTGGCGAAGCAGGGAAAAATCAACATTGGAACTGATGGGTCTCATACTGTTCAATTTCCGATCTGGGGGCGCAAGGCGAGGTTCAAGCGCGATTGTGGGTGCGTAGATGCGTGGCTTTTCTGTCAGTGAGTGACTGGGGCTGAATGGCATAGAGTTACGAGAGATGCTACTCTCGAGGTAGCTTTCAGTCATATGCAACACGACCGCGCATTGCTTTCTCAAGTATTTTGGAAGAGTATCCCAATTGCGCAGTCTCAGATAGGTTCGACGTGGTTCAAAGTATATATCAGCCTCGGTTGTGCGTGTTATTTTTCGACCATTAGTAATTTGTCGGACAGGTTCGTATTTCCTTGGTAGAACACAGTAGAATAGCCGACAGATGGGGCATGATGCCGTGAGAGTAACCGATGAAGGGCGACCAACGTGCAGCATCGATCGCGTAAAATCGTTAAAACTCTGCGTTTCATATTCTTGTCGCGGGTCAGCCGTAGGGTCAGATTTCAGAAGCACGCCAAGAATATCGTAGGCCGAGCAACGAGCACACAGAGAGCTAGGCTGCTGATGGAGGGCTGAGATCAACTCAGCATCTTGAGGTGAAAGACCTGAAACTAGAGTGTCCGACTCGACATTCCTCCCAGTTTGTGATATTCGTGACTTCTCCCCCTGAAGGACAGGACAGGGCCCATTCATAGGTTCCAAAGTGCGACAGAAAATGCACAATCTGTACAAGGTCTCTTGGTGGCACATTATTTGAGACATTTTCTACCTAGGAGGCGAGGGGATGAGTATCACAATGAGCGTGTTGGCTGATAATGAGAGGGGCTGTTAGACACTCAGCGTCCGCCCAAAAATTCCCATATCGCACTCACGGCATGTCCAAAACCTTACAGCCTAAAGGAACTAACAGAAAAGAAGTTTAGTGATATTGAGCTGTGAATCTGCCTGGAGGTGACGGGAAAAGGCAACCACTGCCCCAACAAGAAGTCACGCGGCAGCGAGGCATCCAACGTGGCGTACTCCAACTAAATACAGTTCAGGATTAGGCTGGTGATTTTCGGATTCCTACTGGTCCAACAGTGCCCAGGCTGCGGGCAGACCAAAGGCTGACAGACGCCTTTCTGAAAATGAAAATGTAAAAGCCCACCTTCCGCAGTGACTATCCTGAGCTCGTAGTGGGGAGACAGTGCTTTTTTTTAGTATTTCAATGGCATGTAGAGTTACGGTTAGTTAGTTGTCTATATTAAATGTGCCTACAACAGAGCGACTTGACGCGGAATTATAGTATTTAACCTGCATATCTATCTTGTCAACCTCGCAGCCAGCCACTATACGCGCATCCGAAATATTTGGCGTTTTATTACAACCAACCATTAACATAGGGCGAAAAATTCACGTGGTTTGCGAAACAACGTGGCCACTTGGTGGTCGGACCGTGGCCTTGGGCGCATACTATGATGATGATGATTTCATTTACCCGATTTAGCTCGCTATTACATACATACTGCTATGCGGGGGTTGCGTCCCAGAGCCCGCTCCTGACGACAAATGGTAGTGAGTCCACAGTACCCACTACCCTGTAGACAGGACTCGAGAGATTTAGGCACATACTAACATTGCAAGGATCAAGTCCTCCTTTACCACACAGCGTCCTAGCGTCCTTGGCAGCCGCCAGTGCGAGGCTGAACTTCAAAACGACATATAAATACTATACTCCGTAGCCCACTTGTGATGCTCCCAAAGGAATATTCTCAGTAACCTTTCATCGATGCCTCTGATTTCCACCAGAAGTCCAACCTCTTATATGCCAAATATCACAAGAGCAAACTGAAGTCACTTCGAATAGTTTTCCCTATCCCTCGATAAAGTAAGTAATACCACCCTAGGCCCGATATGTAGACGTGATTGTTTAACATAGGTCTATAGGCTCCAACCTCATCGTTATGTGCTGGGAGGTAATTGTTCGACAAGTCTACTCTTGCAGGCATAATGGGTTGGAAGACACAAACGCGGATTACACCCATGGTGGTGGCGTGAAATGTGATAACACAGTGACTCATATCCGGGAAAGATTACTTAACGAGCTTTGCTCCAAGTGTAAGGATGAGAAGCCAGGCAGTGTTGCTGGCGCCAAAGGTGCCGTTAGTGGGTCTTCTCATCAGCCTATTCCCCCTACTCGCCAACCCGCTCCCCCTATCCGTCATCCTGCTCCCACAGCTCGTCAGCCTGCTCCCACTGCGCGTCAGCCTGTTCCCACTGCTCGTCAGCCTATTCTCACTGCTCGCCAGCCTGCTCCCACTGCTCGCCAACCCGCTCCCCTTATCCGTCATCCTGCTCCCACTGCACGTCAGCCTGTTCCCACTGCTCGTCAGCCTATTCCCACTGCTCGCCAGCCTGCTCCCCCTACTCGTCAGCTTGCTACCCCTGCTCGTCAGCCTATTCCTCCTGCCCGTCAGACTATGCCCACTACCCGTCAACCCGCTCCCACTGCTCGAAGATCTTCCCGTTCCCCCACCACTGCTGAACCGAAGCGGTCTGCAAGAAAGAGAAAATAGATCGTGGGACTGGTGGGACTCGCGGTAAAGCCTAATATCAATTTACATACTGTCTTACAAAAAAGAACTGAAAACAGTGATGCTGAAGGGGAGGGCAAAGGGGTCGCCCTTGTCAGCTGATGGTAATAACGAGGTCTTATTTTCTTCCGTCTAATTCGAATTTGAATTTTGATATCGCCATGCTCAAACAACATATATGGTTTAGTTCTATCGCCCTTGCAACTTTCCTATGGCCCAAATGGGTCCTCTCCAACTGTTACAATCCCGATGGCAGCTAGGCCAATGAGGACGTTCCGTGTACTTCCAATGCGACAACATTTTGTTGCATTGAAGGCCATATGTGAATGTCAAATAGTCTATGCTACCTACAAGGGAAGCGTGCGTTTGTGCTATCCCGCGCATGTTGTACCGACCGGAGCTGGAACTCACGCGGCTCCTACACTTATTGTAGTTGGTGCTATCTTCCTTAGTCAAACTAAGGCATGAGTAGACAGATGCAAGGTATTAATTCAAATCACCTCGCTCACGGTGCCTTATAACAAGAACTCTGAATTCCCAATCGTCGCAGCCCAGTAAAATGGAAGTAAAGCCATGCACTGCTGCGGCACGGCTACATTAAAGAACGGCACTGTTGACTGTGGTGACTTCAAATCAGTCAATATCCCAAGCGGCACTGCTATCCCAGGTGTGACGGGCTTATCTGCGAATTCTCCAGGAGACTCGATATCCGGCAACACATCCATACCAGCGTCGTCCAATGGTGGTTCCAGTTCATCGCATGAGACCGCCATCGGTGTTGGCCCTGGGGTTCCACTTTGAATACTAGCCCTTGCCTCTATCACATGGGGCCTGTGGGAACATCAACTCGCTTGAAAGTTCTATCAACAGCTGCCCCGATACCGATGAACCAACACCCTATATCGGGGGCTTTTCGTAAACCAGGGATACCCCGTCGCCCTGTCGAGCTAGGCACTTCTAACATATCTAAGGTGGGAACCGGGGAGAATCACAAACCACCAAGTCAACGCCAGGTCTGATTGATTATCTGATGTATCATCTTATCACTACCTCGACGATACTTACAACCTGCAGTGCCAACGTAGTGCCAAGCCGAGACAGATATTGAACTCGAAGCGTACAGGGTTCTGGCTAGGTAGTCCAGCGTCGTGAAAAATTAATATGATTCTTCTATTCCACTATACAACCCCTATTCTAACATTTATACTTTCTGCATTCATCCGAAAATGGCAACTAGAAGGCCTAGCATTCGTAGTTTTAAACCACCACACTCATTAGGTTCATGCCTAGATACAAATTGCCCATTTATACTCCGTACATGACTCTCAACCACAAGGCGGGTTGGGACGAATCGTATCTCATTCCAATTGCCCGATTAGCGCGCAAAGCTTTACTCCTTACTTCCAAAAAGCCGCTTAACCGACCCCAAGCGCGATTTCTTCTCGCCTGGCTTCAAAAGTTTACCCTTTCCCCTGTGAAGCTCTCGCAGCCGCCATAGCATTCCTAGCACACTACTCACCACGATACTTTCTTTGGCGGAGTTCTGACCAGCAGGAAGAAGCAGAATGCCCTCACTGTGCGACAGCCACAACGAGTCGTCAAGTCCGATGTGGTAATATACGGCCTGGATATCAGTATCGCTGGGTTCTTGTTGGTCATGCTGTGGTGCGGGGCTGCGGACAAGTGTATACCGCAGGCGCCCGTTCCGGCTAGGGTGTATCTGCCATTGATAGGTTGTTGATCCAGCGTGGGCATCTGGGACTTGGAAGGTGAAGTAGGGGTGCTTCACGATGCCGTTGCGGGTTGATGAGGCGGCAATGGGATATGTCACATCGAGCGATATCTCGGTTTCATTTGCGCCGTTTGTCGTTAAGATAGCGGCTTCCTCTTCGGCGGTGGATATTTCCCTGTGAGTATGAGTATCGCTTTTTACCGAGGTTCAGAGAAAGTGTAGCGTACAATTCTACCTCAGCAGACGGGGGTGACAGCGCTCTGCCTTTCACCAATCCCACTACCGCTTCTTCGTCTTTTTCAAGACTGAAACTCACATCATACGAGACGGTGGTATCATCTGGTCCATCGCCCTGTGGTTTCGGCATGACCCCTATGGCTACCGCATACCTGGTACACCCAACGGGGAGTGTGCCCTTAGCAGTTGCATACTGGTCGCTGATGTCGTGGATGGCTAGGTGAGTGCCTTTTCTGTCGTGACGAGGGATGTACAGTGCATGTGACAGGTGGGCGAGAGCCGCGGCATCTGGATGACCAATTTGCGAGGTGGCGGAGCGGGTGATTTGGTTCTGCGATGTGTACTGTTCCCAGCCGTTGACGTAGCCCCCTTCGGCCATGTTTATTGAATAAGTTTTTGGGATCAAGGACACTGGGTGAGATCTTGTTGAAATGTTTTTGGGATTCTGACCACTGCTGACATGGAGAAGGGTATATATATGTATTGGACTAGGTTGTCTGGGCAGGTGATTAACGCCCGGTGCCCGAGGCTGATTGCTTACATTTAGACAAGTGTCCACGGGTCGATGCTTATATCCAATCGGACATATATCCAATAGGACAAGACCGAGCAGAGTAAATTCAAAATGGCGGGGAAAAGGGAACGGGGCTGAGACTCGGGGAAAAGGGGTCTTACAATACTTCCTATGACATCATTTCCCATGACTAGGGCTAGTACGATCCTTCAAACCTTTGAATATGTAACAAACCTGATTTAAGAAAAAGACAAGAAAAAAAAACAATAGGAGATCGCCTACCATCAGCACTGATGCTGCTTAGTCCACTTCACCTCTGCCTCTTGGAGTTGCGCCGAGAACGATTGGTTCATTGGCCAAAACCCCAACAGTTTCCTACCACAATCATCCATTGCTCGGAAAGGATTCGCCCCGTGATCCAGGAGGGAGCGAAGTATGCCCTCATGCTGGCTGTAAACGGCATACGCGAGCACAGGCTGTCCTGCCATATCAGTAACATCCGGATCAGCCCCACCTTTTAGTAGCAAATTCACCATCGCTTCCTTGGATTCATCCACAGCCCAAAGCAGGGCATGGTTGAAAGGTGTGTGAATTTCGTAAGGAGATTCTTTGGACCACCGCACATTTGCATCTGCCCCATACTCCAAGAGCAATTCCACGACCTCTAAATCGTTCCCCCTCGCGGCATAAACAAGAGGCTGCACCCAATCCTCATCATCGTCCGCTATATCGGATGGACAGAGCTGAGGGGGTGCGCCACTTTGAAGTAAGATTTTGGCAAGTCGTATATTGGCAGGTGATGAAAGCGCATAGGCCAACGCTCTGGTACGGTGATGACTCACAGTTCGGCGGACCAACATCCGGACAATTTCCTCGTGATCCTTCATCACTGCCACTGTCAAGGGCGCACGCGCGTTTCGTCTGTCCACGATCAAATTTGGATCCGCACCGTAGGCAAGAAGTAGCGACACGAAATCGCTCATTCCTCTGCTCGCAGCGATAAAAAGGGGACTCTGTCCCAAATGACCCAGGACATTTACTTGTACTCCATGTGTGAATAATAACTGGACCACTTGGACCTGCTCACCCAGGACCGCCGCGATCAGGGCATCTTTCATCAGTTCTTCTTTGTCGGGCTCATCCTCATTTTGCTTCGGCGCCAACAGAAGCATGTCAACCACATCCACATGCCCTTGGAATGCCGCCAGCCACACAGGCCGGTGGCCTACAAAGCTGCGAATCCCTTGACAGGATCCAACGTCAAGTAAATATCTTGCTAGAGAAACATCGCCATGGATGGCGGCCAGCGCCAGCAGCGAGAATCCATCCGGGTCCCTCATATTGGAAGTCACACCGTGGCAAATCATGTATCGGACAATATCTGCATGACCAGCGCGCACTGCCAGCGAGATGGGATGCGGCTGGAAGGCTTTGTAGAGGCGCGAGCCCTCACGCCCAAATTGGGAGATTGTGCCCCCGTGCCTTCTCTCCCCCTTCGGCTGTTCCTTAGGTAGAGGGACACCAGCATCTAGCGCCATTTTCAGTGTATCCATACTACCATTTTGCGCCGCCCATTCTAAAACAGAGCTGTTGCCGTGGAGCGCATTGTATTGGTAAAGGCGGCGGGTGCAGATTCCGTAGAGACGCCGGTTTGACAGAACCACAGCAGCAAGAGATGATTCGGATCGCAAGAACGAGGCGATTAGGAGAATCAACTCAGTCGGAAGGTTTTCAATCCTGGACATGATTTGGGTAGATGGCACAGAAAGGGGGGTGGGGTAAGAAGTTGTGACATCCCCTCAAAAGGTGAAAATTTGACCGTGGTCACTAAATTAGCGCTAATCTCAATCAACTCTTACTCCGTAGATTTATCTACTACTGATAACACACCGTTTGATTCCTCTATATTTTATCCCACGCTAGCCCAGAAAGCCTTTAGCTTCCTTGCTAGGCCACTGTTCGCCTAAGCCTACTATCAACAATTTCCTCTCGCTTTGTCCTCGCTTTGTCCTCGTCAAGCTTTCCGGTATCATCTATCCCACAATTTATACTATATCTAGCTGGAGGTTTCCCTTTTGTTACAGAGCCTGAAGCCGAATTGGATGTTGGCGAGCTGATGAATGGACCCACGGTCCCGGGAAGCGGGTAGAGCTTGAACACCTTCGCCAAGGAATATAAAGTGATATCTAGCTTGCTATAGCTAGACCAGCATCATTTCGCCGAATTCTTTGAGCAATTTCTCCTTACCGAATTTTTGTCCTCGCTACTCCGTAGGCCTTCCGGATAACGATCCTAATGCAAAATTTTCGTGTTTCTAGAAGGGCCCGCTTATTGTGGCACCTGGACCCTTGATTGTTCTCATTTCATTTTCACTTTCATCCTTCCGTTTCATCCTTCTCTTCCAATCAAGAGGCTGGTCTTTGATCGCCTTCGCAACTATGCCCAGCATCACTGTCAGCGATGGGAACACTTTCAAGAACTGGGGCCCGGTGACCACCACCTTCACCGCGCCAGCGAGCTGCTCAACTGCTGGCGATTTCTTGATTGGAAATACCACTGACTTTCCTTTGTATGACTATGCGACGCAATGCTCTACATATGGCGATTATGGCTGTACCCCCACTGGCACCTTTTTCCCATCTCTGACCATAGAGTCCAATTTAACTAAGATGGATGATAATATTCCATATTACTCCCCGGGTTTATACTGTCCATCCGGATGGGCAACGGTGGGAGTAGCTGCCCGCGACGGCGACAAGACCACGAGCTTGTCGGGAATTTTGGGTGTCTCGACTACCACCACCACAAGCGACTCGTGGCTCGACTACCTCCCCAAAGTGGGGAACCCCCTGACGATGCTAGCGGAGCTTCTAGACCCAGGCGAGACTCTAGTAATGTGCTGCCCTAGGTATGTGTGGTGTGGACTATTGTCGCTTGAAAGGGTGTTTATGACTAACTAGATTTGTTTCCCAGTTCCATGACGGCCGACATTAGAATCGGCTGTTACACGAATGTCTCCGATATCGATGTGGCCACGGCATGTTACCGCTTCATTAACGCTTTGGATACTAGCACATTGACTAAAACCTACGATGTGAATGGGACCACCTCCACGGGTCTCCTCGTTGTCACGACTGCTCCGCAGACCGTCTCGATCGGCACAACAATCTTCGGTTCTTCGCAGTTGGATGAGTTGGGTGGAATGACTCTTCTGCCTATGCTTTCACTAGTACACCATCAGTCCGATCTCAAGGCAACAGGAACAGCTGAGGCTGGGTCTGCTGAGGCTACGTCTACTTCCAACTCTGCAAATAATTCCAACTCTGCAACTACTTCCAGCTCTGCGGCTACTTCTAACTCTGCGGCAAGAGCTGGCCCAAATTTCAACTCATGGGATGGACTAGGTGCTGTTCTGGGGGTATCACTCGCTGCGATTGTTTTGGGCGCGGCTGTGGTCTTACAATGATGCGTTGTTTGCATTTTTCTGAAACTCACACCGAATCACTGATACACATGTACGAAATGACGGAAAGTGGTATGTAACATATAGGGATATCCTCTAGATCAATTCTTAATTCATTAATCAATGAATCAATTGTCTTCGGTATTCTCCCCGATTATAACTCCCAATGTGAAAACCCGATCTAAATATTTCGGGCCGTTGGGTATTGACGGAACAACCGCCGAACGCCAGTGGAGTCTGGAACGAGAAATTAGGTGCGCCCTGGCCGAGCCGCCCCAGAACCCGCCCAGTTAGTATAGGGCTCAAATGGGGTTCAGGTGTTCTTTCGCTCTTTTGGGCAAATAAGGTTGATGATCAAGTATCTGAGAACCCTGAACTTTAGACCATTAGTTTCGTGGTGCTTATTAGTAGTATTCTTGACTCGTTAGATTTCAACACACATACCCGGCGCGTATATATTTGTGTCTCCTGTCCCTTTCCTGTCTCTTGGCCCGCAAATCTACACTCTAGGCCTCATCATGTTCCGATTCGGATTCCAAAGGTTGGCACCTTGAACCGAAACTTGAGCCGAGTCGCGGTTCCATCAGGTTCGACTCAAGCTCACACCTGATAGACCCTGAAATTGCATGATACTACCAAGATTTTACTTTTCTGGACGCATGAATTGATGATGCATCTTGATTTCTCACTGCTATTTACCTCTATTCTAGCCACAACAGTTAAATTAGCCTTGATGTATCTATAAGTCACACAAAGTTGAATGCCCAAATTCTAGGCCACACTGACCGTCGGCCAAGGGGGTTGATTTCTACCGAAAACATTTGAAACAATCAAGTGGCGTGTCTTTGAAAGTGAGTATTCAGCAGACGATAATGCGAGACCCGCCGCTGAGATCAGGACAACAGATCTATCTTGAAGAGTCGTCTCGTTCACTCCTTTTTGGCGTTCAATTTGCAATCGATGAATCAGATTCAACAAGTCTCCGAAGGGAAGAAATTTGACCTTCACAGAGAAGCTTTGCTTGTTCTTTGATGTACTTTTCATGCTCTGGGGGTACCGACTCCGCTGCCGAAGTCCATGTAATGGTCGTTTTGTTTAAGTCATAGGAGTGCAGCTGCACGACTGCGGCCACTCCTTTTGCAGGGCTGGGATGAGGTTCAAGAACTTCATACCACAACTTGAAAGTCTCGAAGTTGCACTCTAACACCCTTTCATCGAAGATTGCGTCACCGAAATGGATTCTTCGAATTGCACCTTCGCCTTGGCCCGATAAAAGGGAGGACTTAGTACATCCAGGTATCAACAGCCTCTCCCCACCAATAGCAGCGAGGTATGGCCATATCTCGCTTGGTGGAGCGGAGATGACTTCAGAAGTCGAAAAGATAATCTTTCTTGGGGCAAGATCTGCGGCCATTGTTTTGTCTTCTAAATGTTTCAAGTATGGTCTTGTTATTTCATGAAATCTTGAGGAGCTTTCAACACTTATAAACGCACTCTCTCGATCTTTGGCGCACTTTTGGACCTTGAAAATTGTGTCTACAGCAAATTGGCGGCAGTGCACTGATATAATTTGTGTCCAGTAGTGTCAGTCAAAACAAGGTTTATATATCTGTGTAGATAGCACCCGGTTAGCGGAAAGCAAAGTACCCGTGATTTTACGAACGGAGATAGCCCAATTCCGCCCCCGGTCTCCTATCTATATTGTACATGTGTGAGGTGTGTAAAATAGCTACTGGCTATATTGTTGACAATAAATCGAATTTTGTTCATCTATTAAGTATTCGTCATTCCTTGGGAACGTTCATTAAATTGTCAACTTTTCCTGACTTAACCAATATAGCTGGAGCTGTGGAAACCACTACAAAAGGAGGAAAATGAGAACATTGAACATAAACATTCATGTATTCTAATGACGCCCACTTAACAGACAACCAAAGGCGGGCCGATCATTCTCACCGAAACATCCATGGATATCCGCGCCGAAGAAGAATCTCCGAAGTTTAGGCGATCAGTTGCGCCGCCCCACTTCAATGGTCGGGTCTAGGATCTTGGAGCATCTGCAGGTCGTAGCAAGTCTAATCAAAACGGGGTGGCCCTACCTCCGGCGAAAAGCGCGACTGGCTTTGCGATGCCAAGATACATGATAAAGCATGCGCGAATTATTCATCAGCCGAACCCAAACAGAAATCGGGTTCTTAAGAACGACAGCTAAAAATTGAGCAGCAGACAATATTGCCTCTCCTGCATCTGTTACTCTTCAACTCACTTCTATACAAGGTGGCTGCATCTGATATAACAATCCGCAAGTGCTAGAACACCTCCTAGTGCTGATCTCTTCGAAACAAGCAAAGATTCAAAATTACTTTCATTCCTAGGTAGTCATGTTATATAGAGAAGTCGCTTCTTACCGCCTTTATTTACAGAAATCAAAGAGAGATCAAAAAGCCCCATCGGAGCGTTGTTATAATAACTATACCGGATAATGCCTAGCCCTTGAAAAATTTCCCTTTCTGTTTTAGTCCTCACCTATTTCCCCTTTTGGTCACTAAATAAACTTCCTATAATTAAAAGCTCATGTTCTCTAGTGATAGCAAAGTCTTGTTAGCTCTGATTTGTAATAACTTGTCCCTAGACATGAACCTTTTGCCTACCCACTAGCCATGTAGCCATGCATTTATATATGTTCTCAAAAGTAATAACAGATGTCTCTATATGAATTTTGATAGAGCCAATACGGATGAGCTATGTCCACGTGTTCTAAAGGATTGGACTCCCGTTTATGATGGCGGGTGTAGGATAACGCAGGATGAAGATGGCAATGTGAATCTGAAGAATTTTACTCAAGAGCGTCTGTCCATCGATCATGAACACATACGTTAGTTTTTGCTATAGCCTAGTAGAAAAATGCTGTGTCTCTTCCAACAAACCCTTTCTCTTACTCCCTGGTTCTCTACCCTAATTCTGGTTAGGTTTAAGGAAATCCAGAGTTGACGCATAAGAATAATTAATTCCCGAAAAAGCAACTATCCAAGAGAAAGATAATGATCAAGGCCGGATGAACCGGATCCTAAGCAAAGTATCGGTATACAGATTTGACGGGAATTTAACAGGTCCATCACCATATCCTTCCCAATCAAACTCTGCCAAAACCAAGTGCAGGTCCGTATGAAGCCACTGCAGGGCTTTCACACGCTTACCAAACAGTGATGTCGGAGGATCCACTGCTCTGGTATCCCTCGGTGCTGACAATCTGGTAGTTGTGCGAGCCGAGATTCATTCCGAGAGAAGCCCAAGCCTTGAAGTGGTTGGCAGTGGTGACTGTTCCGCTGGAACGCTTGGTCCGGCGGATGGACCAGTACTGGTTGAAGGTAGCAGTTCCCGAGATGGAAGGTTGATTCACCTGCTGGTGGGTATAGATATCGTAGACAGATCCATCGCTGGTCACGGTTCCCTTGAAGGTCATGCTGCTGCCGGGGTTGTATTCGCCATAGCTTTCCATGATGTAATATTCGACGAGGGGGCTAGTGGTCCACCCATAGACAGCGAGATAAGCATTTCCAGAGGGCTTGAAAGAGCCAGAGAAGTTGATGTTTCTAACATGGCGTACTTGTAAGTATATCATCAAGAGCAAAGTAGGCGGATTCGACTTACCGGGAGCTTCCAGTAGCCCAGCCCTTGCCAGAGGTGAAAGATCCGGAGTTCTTCCAGGTGACGCTATATTCACCCGCGGCACCATTGTTGTAGGAGACACTGCCACCTCCATTGGTCCAGAAAGAATAAAAGTAACCATTGCTGGTTCCTTGCTGGCTCGTGGTGATCGCTCGCTTTTCCAACTCACTGGGAAGCGCAAAGGCAGTCACAGCAGCACAGGCGGCCACAAAGAGGCTTGAGAAAGAGACCATGATGAAGGGTCAGATGCCGTTGGTAATTGAGGGAGATGAATGAATTGGAGTGTGTTGTTTTGTGACAGGGGTTTTCTTCAGGAGAAGCTTCCTTTTATATTGATAGGAGGATGTGGGGCGTCAACGGGCGTTCCTAGACAGTTTCATATTCCGGATGTCTTACATTCAATTTATCCAGCGACCCATTTATCCCATCCTCACTTGTACAGATTGCACAAATCATACTTCGTACACAGACCACGATTCCTTTCCTACCAAGTCTTAGTTAGCGGTTGTTCATCAGGTCCTCAACTCGACCCCTGTATCATTCAACCAGCCTAAAATCCAATTTATCAGTAATTTAAACTCAAGGGCCTACATCCTAACTGTTGGGGCGGCTAAACTTCGACGCCAAATGAAAACAAGGATGTTGAAGAATTCAGCCACAGGCACAGAAGCAAATGCGGGGAAATTCATCACGGCTGTAATGGGTATAGCTTTGGCTCAGCCCAGGCTAAATCTCAGATCAGGCAGTTTGAACGCCGGCAAAATAAAGGCTACATGATCCTTTTGTCCGACTATCTTGGTCATTAGAGAAGTCGACATAAAGTCAGCGAAAACGTGACAAAATGGCCGATCCATGGATCAGCGGATGTTTATCTCAACCCAATCTTGGCGAGTGGGTATCTTTCTGTGTAGATGATGTGGGTAGTTAGGGAAGGTAGGCCATGATCTGATGTTTGAACCGCATTTATGCAGCCAGCTCAACACAATTCGTGATCAGGAGTGGGTTTGCTCAAACATAATTCGATAAATGGCCGACCGTTGTCTAAATAAAATATCTAAATGAATTGATTTTATTTACCTAACGTTTCCGACCTGTTTATACGATTAATCAAATTTTATTAGTCGTTCTTTGGCGCTAATCTGGGTCTTTCAACCATCCTTTTAGTATTGGCAATTCCCCAAATGGCGCGAAGGTCAAAAGAACACGTGCCAAGAATCTTCGAATAATGTGGTGGTCACGTGAGCTCTGTCATCGAGGCTTGGCAAAGCAGCTTGTTGTGCCACAGGCACATTTAATCGCAGATGCAGGTGCCCCATCAGAACATTTTGTACAAGACCCCATGGGCTTGGCAAGCACTGCCCAAAATATTTCCTTCACCGCTAATTTACCCCCTATGTACAACATAGCACGGTTATCGTATGTCTTGCATCGGCGACCAGACCAACGCCGAGGCATAGGCTCGATTTTAACCGTGCGGCTCCCCACAAATAAGCCACCCATTCGGCTTGCTTGAGGCTTAAACCTTGTCTCATATTTTGAAATATTAGGGATTAGAAGGCTTGCAAGTACAGTAGACTTGCAATGTTTGAGGAAGTGTGAGCATGAACATGTTGGCACTCAAAGTAGTTCCACAGCGACTTTCGCAGATGGTAATGTATATTTCTCGAATATTCGGAATCCGAATACGAGAGAGGGATGATATCATGCTAGCCTCATCCCAGCCATGGTCGCCCTACAACATACGTCAGGACCACTTCCAAGTTGCTTGATTCTTAGAGCTAAAGTGTGCATTGGAGTATGAACGAAGCATTCATAAAATTCAATTCCGGGAATTCTCACTTTCATAACTTCCGGTATGTTGTCTCGGAGTGTGACCCACATTCTCACGAAAGAAAAGGTTATATGCACAACCTAATGATTCGCTTCAAATTTCAATCAAGGAACTGTTACAGACCATGACATTTGCCACGGGTGCTACGGAGGACTCTCTCCATACTTAATGCCAGTGCAAGGGGCTATGTATGCTGCAATACGCCCCTGTCGGTAGCTTTGTCTCAAGGATGACAAGGCTCCACCTGTGCCAGTCCCTCCCCTGGACTAGCGAGTGCTTGGCATCATTTGTGGGCTTCCGCTTCCCAAAACATGCTAATGGTCACGCGACCAACCCTCGGTACCCCAAAAGATGCTCTGGCCACATTCCACTCTGCAAGACATCAAGCTACGAGATAATGAATATTTGCAACCTTACGGCTCATTTGTTTAGCTAGATCGGCTGAAAATATCGAATAAAATTTCCTTTAGCTTCCAAATAAGCTTAAGCAACTCTGTCTCGTGAGTTTTAACCACTGATCGACGGTTCTCTGCGGTAAAGGCTATTGTTAGCACGCCAGGAATCGCTATCGCCACAGTGTGCTAGCTCCTTTGGGGATAGTATCTCTTGGCATAACTGTTCATTACAAGTGCCATTTAGCAAAGTACCACTGTAGTAAATGCCACAGTGGTCAGACAATCGTCATAAATGGAACATATACAGGTTCGTTAGCTACAGGGGCACGGATATATTGGATTTTTATGAAAGCACCATATGGCTACAGCTGGAAACAGGCTACGTCATTTAATATACTGCTACTGTCGTGATAAATGGCACTTGTATTGAAAAGTGGATGCCAAGGAATGTTAACCCTAAAGGGATTAGACCACTGTGCCCATAGTGATTTCTGCTGTACCAAGAGGGTTTTACCTTTTTTTGCCATTTTGCTTGATAATTTTGCGTCTATCAACATGAAGTCGGCCCTTATCAAGAAGGTGCTTGGCTTACAAGACCCTCCCAATGTACACAATAATAAGAGTGCACTGCCTCACGAGTCAGATCCGACTGTTCGGGAATGGTTAAGCGATGGCATTCCCTCCAGACAGCAGGCTGGACAATACTTTGTGAGATTGTTGCCCTTCTTAAACTGGATCCCACACTATAACCTCCAATGGTTTCTGGGAGATTTGGTTGCAGGTAAGTGCCTTCGTTCAATTGAGTCTAAACCCTGCTAACTGTCCTAGGAATAACGGTTGGAGCTGTTGTGGTTCCCCAGAGTATGGGATACGCCAAGCTGGCGAATCTCCCGGTGCAATATGGGCTCTATACTTCTTTCATTGGTGTTGTTATCTACTGGTTCTTTGCAACGTCCAAAGATATCACAATTGGGGTAAGCTACCCAGGTAGTGTCTTATCTTATACTTGCATGGGCTAACATATCAACCGTGCAGCCCGTAGCTACCATGTCAACAGTTCTCGGCGGCATCATCCTCGATGTACAAAAAGACCACCCCGAGATTCAAGGTCCGGAAATCGCCCTATCAATCGCCATACTTTGCGGAGGCATAATCGCCTTTATGGGCCTAGCACGGCTAGGTTTCATCATTGACTTTATTCCGGTTCCTGCAATTACAGCCTTCATGGTTGGTTCTGCTATAAGTATCTGCTCGGGACAAGTCAAGGGACTGCTGGGCCAGACAGGGGACTTTGCAACAAGCACCCCATCATATCGAATAATCATCGACACGCTGAGATATCTTCCCACCGCACAAGGATACGATGCTGCGATGGGTCTTACCGCGCTGTTCCTGTTATACAGTCTCCGATCAGGCTTCAACTACGGTGCTGCGAAGAAGCCACAGTTTGCTAAGATCTTTTTCTTCCTTGGCGCCTTACGCACAGTCTTCGTCATCGCCCTTTATGCTCTTATCAGTCTTGGCGTGAACCAGCATCGCCGCGACAATCCCGCCTTTGCTTTAGTTGGAAATGTGCCAAAGGGTTTTGACAAAGCGGGCGTCCCTGTACTCAGAGCCGATGTCATCAAGCTCGTCGTCTCCCAACTACCTGCCTGTGTGATCTGTCTCCTCATCGAGCACATTGCAGTGTCGAAAACATTCGGCCGTGTCAATAACTATACAATTGACCCCTCGCAAGAGCTTATCGCCATCGGCATCACCAACCTCCTCGGTCCCTTCCTTGGTGCATTCCCAGCGACAGGTGCATTCTCGCGCTCGGCTATTCAATCCAAGTCCGGGGCACGCTCCCCCTTCACCGGTATCATCACCGCCTGTGTTGTCCTGATCGCCATGTACACTTTGACCTCCGGGCTCTACTATATCCCCAAAGCAACTCTATCAGCCGTTATCATCCACGCAGTCGGAGACTTGATCGTTCCACCCAACACCATCTACCAATTCTGGCTCATCGCACCTCTAGACGCCGTCATCTTCGCAGTGGGCCTAATCGTCGCTCTGTTCAGCACAGTTCCAAACAGCATCTACGCAACCGTCTGCATCTCCGTTGCCGTCCTACTAGTCCGACACGCAAAAGCACCAGGCCAATTCCTCGGCCAAGCCTGGATAAACGACGAAAACAACCAAATCCCCCTCTACCTCCCCGTGGACGAACCAAAAGCAGACCCATCCATCAAAATCGAGAGACCCCGCCCCGGCGTCTTCGTCTACCGCTTCTCCGAAGGCTTCAACTACCCCAACGCAAGCCACTACTTCGACACCCTAGTCCAAACAATCTATAAGCACACCCGCGGAACGAACGCAGAGATATACACGAAAAAGGGCGATCGTCCCTGGAATGAGCCGGTCTCTTCCAGTGCGGATGATTCCCATCTGCCGATTCTCCAGGCTGTCATTCTTGACTTCTCGGCTGTTAATAATGTCGATGTAACTTGTATCCAGAATTTGATGGATATACGTACCCAGCTGGATCGTCGGTCGACACCTGTTGTTGTGCAGTGGCATTTTGCCTGTATCAAGAATCCATGGGCGAAGCGTGCGCTAAATGCGGCGGGCTTTGGGTCTTGGCCGTTGCCTCAGCAGGGAAGTGCGAGTGAAAAGGATGTTGAAGAAGGATCCTCTGAAGGATCGGAAACAGAGAAGGGTATGGAAATGTCCGTATCATCGACGCCCGAGTATGCGGGTCGGCCATTCTTCCATCCTGATTTGACCACTGCGTTGCGCAGTGTTGATGTATATTTAGCCATGAATCCTTCCGTTTAAAATAGACTATAAGAATATAAGGAAACTTGACTTGTTTCATAGAGAAAAATGTGCATTGTGGTCAGTCATAAACACTCAATCCATATGTCATGTACAAATGGGGAAAATATCAAAATATCAGGGTCGTCACCCTCAACGCCAACCGGGAATATCGCAAAAAGAAACGCCAATATGCAATAAAAAAGACAATCATAACAAGACACCTAATTCAGACCTCATCAATGCATAAGCAGCCAAGTATCATAAGAAACACCCCTCGGCTGTGTTTTCCCATCCCGGCCCGTCGAAAACAAGACCGGCTCGAAATCACAAGCCGCAGAGTATTGGCGAATCAACTGACGCCAATAACACGACTCAGCAGCAGGGGTAAGGTACCGATCACGGAAAGTGCGCACGGCATTATTAGCGATCCGCTCCGCAATCTCCGGGTTATCAATCAGATAATCGATCTTGCGCGATAGATCTGACCAATCCCGATCGACCTCAATATAGTTTGCATCGGGGCCAGTTGAAATCAGTGCCGCATGATGAGCCTCACGCCATTCAAGCGCATGCGAGATAACAACGGATCGACAGTTCAGAAGATATTTCCCACGACCAGAGAAACTCCGACCCTCAGTGTGCGCGAGGAACATGTACCGACAGTGATCTTCAATAGGCAGAAGATTAAATCGGATATCATTCTGGTCATCCCAGTCAATGAGGCGCACGCTGGCCCAGCTACGACCTAACGCAGATTTGAGGAGCTTGCTTCGGACGGGCGGGTTCGTCGCCAGACTGCCGCGCCACACGAGTTGTTTCTTCTTCTCCTGGAATTGCAGGCCAGGCATAAATGTGCCGTCTGCGGCAGTCTCGCCGTCGTCGATTGCGGCAATGCGGCGCCGCACTTCGTGGTATGGACCGATTTGTACCTCTGGCCAGGCCCAGTATCCGAAGTCAGGCATTAGCCAAACCGAGGTATCTGAGTCGCGTTTTGAGTAGGCCCAGATGGGGCTTGGGGCTGTTGTGTCTTCTGCGAAGTCTTCCGTGGTGAATATAAACTCGATACTGGGTAGGAGGTGGCGGTCTGGGAATGCTGTCAGGGCACGGTGGAGGGAGCTTAGGGTTGCGCGTGCTCTGGATGCTGTCATAGGCATGGGGCCATATTCGACAATATACAGCTAAATAGAATATATTAGAATCGTGTACTCTCGAGTCCACAAGGGCGAATGTTTCACTCACCTCTCCTCGATCAATAATTCCCCGCACCATGGCATCATCCACTATCCTGGAATCGAGATCCTTGTAAGAAACAAGTTTATCTTCTCTCAGTGTAGAGGACTTGTCAATCTCAGCAAATAGCTTTGGGAATGCAATGCGGCATTGGTCCTCGGAGAGACCGTGGTTGTTTCCATCGCGCTCAACAACAAACTCCCAACCTGCGGAAGATTTTACGGGCGGGGCACAATATTGCTGTCGTGATTGTGTCTTTATATTAAATTGTGATGAGAGCGAGGGTGTACCGGTGCCGAGGACGAGGAATGCAAGGATGAACAGAGATACCACGGCGCCGGTGGCCAGATAGCGGAATGAAGGGCGTTGAGTGAACATTTTTTCTGGAACAATCCCAGTTTGCCCTATTGAATGTTTAAGGCTCGATTTAAATTTCCATCGGAGGTCTCAGCCTGGAAGAGATGAACAGGTATTTCGTGGGTTGATGTCACTTGTGTTAGCTCTGATTGTTTCCACGGCAACGCTGCAGATGCGCGCCCTACAAGCTAGATTCTGAGGGTGTATGAATATGGATTCTAATTATAGTCGGCAATAATAAGGACAGGAAGAAAACAGACAGATCAACAGGCTTTACGGCTGGTTTAATTCATCTACATAATTAGATGAACAATAGAACCCTGGTCTATCAGGTAGTAATACAGGCCAAACTAGATCAAAGCTCTCTACCAAAAGGAAAGAGACTGTGCATAGTCGAATCTATAGTCCCAACTATATCGGATTATTATGTACATAAGAGGGGAATTGCCACAGCGAGTCGATATATTCAAGGGGTATCTCAACGGGTTATGAAAGCAAATGGGAAAACGAAAGAATAAAGTAGAAGGTAAAGGTAGACTTAGACCCGTAATGTCATAAGAAATGAAGGGAGGCCCCAAAGCTGAAGCTTATTCAGAGACATGTCCGCGCGACTAGTTGGAAATTCCACTAAGAAGTATTAGTCGCCATTCAGGGGGGCTCGGGGGCTGTTGCTGTTGAAGTAGCTCTCGTCTATCTTCAAAATCCATTCCACCTTCTGTGCCTCGGTGCGCGTGGCGAAGAGGAAAGTGTTCTGGGTTCCATAGACTGCGAACACATTCGGTCGTCCCTTGGCGGACAGTGAACGATCAGCTCCAGCTCCTGAGCCGTCTAGTAATCGTGCGAAGTCGGGCGCATGGTCGACACGCGCATTGCGGAGGTTGATGGCATTGATCTCGTCTCCCTCTGGGACCGAGTAGATGTGGAGGTACGGCCGGCGGAGCTCCACGAAACGACGCACCCAAACGTTGTTGGTATCATCGGGCGTAAGCACGTACCCTGTTTTTAAGGCGTCGGGGGCTTTAGGGAGAGTTTGGATGGTGGCTGTGAAGCGAGGTTTGAGGGAAAGCTTGTCGGAGAGGCCGTTGGTAGCCGAAGTTCTATGGTGCGCCGCTCCGTCCGAAGGGGGTTCAGTATTACTCCGGACGAGGATCGCCTCTGTTGGGTCCTGCTTGAGCGACCACAGGTCAAGATACTTTCGCAAAAGTTTGGCTTTGCGCTCATTGAAATCTGCGCCCCGCATTGGAGTGGACCTTCCAGTACGAGCCAGCGATGGAATGAGAGAGCCCGCGCTGAGAGCGCCTCGGGCAGCATGAAGCTCTGCCACACGCTGCCGGCGCTTGCGGTTTGCAATGTAGTCTCGTACCAGAGAGACTTTTCGAGGAGCCCAAGTGTTTAAAAGTTCTTCGCCTTTCACGTAGTCATTTTGTGTGTTCATACGCCACAGATCAGCAGCACGCTTAGCCGAAACAGGCCGAATAACCAACGAGTACATGCGGGTCGTCGAGTGCACGACACGAATCGAGTTCCAAAATTGCTTGAACATCGACTGTTGGCGGACATAGGTGCGGCCTTGGATCTGAATTGTCTGATCTGCCTCAAAAACGACCGGGTTCTGTAAACGACTGGATACAAGATCCCAACGGACAGTCACTTGGACCCTGTATTTTTCTGCCGTTACTCGGTCAAGCAACAGGGATCCATGTAAACTTGAGTCCCACTGGCCGACAATTGTTACATGAGAGGTTCCGTCGGCATTTTCCCTGACCGTCGGCTCTTGAACGAACTTCAAGGGGACGTCGGCAGTCTGGAAGTCCTGATCTGGGATCTTGCCCCAGGGATCGAGGAGGCGGACAGATCCAACGCGAATGTTGTTGATATCATCCCATGGGAGACTTTCCGTTGAGCTGTAAGTGATGTTGACTGAGATGCGGCGCTGCAATCCTTGATGAAGCTGTGATGTTCCGGCATCAAGACTGCTGCTCTGAACAACCTCCACGGGGAGGTATTCACCAGATTCTGCCATTTCAAGGATTTGAATTCTCGCAAAGACATCATGACGTTCTTCTGAGTAATATTCTGACTCTGCGATCCGAGGAGCAGTTCGCTTCTGCGGTAAAGGCTCCGCTGAGTCACGCATATCATCCCAGCTAAGAAGCTTGTCGAGATGAACCGACGTCACACCAGCATAAACACAGACCTTCAATGCTGCTGTCCGTGGGCTTGACAGCGGCAAGCTCATGCTGTGCACACTTTCAAAGCGAACTGGACCATCCTCAAATCCTTTGATCATTTGAGTTGTAGTTGCACCTCCTTCTTCTGAGATACCAGGAACAAATAACTGCGCGTGTACATCAGAACCTTCCCACTCCGCGAACCCGATCATGTCCCGCATGACAACGTTAAATTTCAGGGTTGAAGAGGGCGCCTGCGCGGAGGATGGTTCGAGGGATAGACGAACGATTCCGATGACACTCTGGGTATATGGTGAGGTTATCTCAACGGAAAAGTCTTGCACGCGGGTTTCAAAAACAGCCGTTAGTGGGATGTCGGCATCACCGATAAGAGTATATTGGGGTGAGCAAGGTTCAGAGAATGGATTATCGAGTTTGAAGTGCTGGATGTAGTCAGGACGGTCGATGTATTGGTGCAATTGCCGCATGGCTTGGACGCGGCGCTGGAGCTTTTCAATTGACCACAAGTGAATCACGCACTGCTTGAAGTCGATGACTCGAACACCGACACAGGGCTTCTTGGCCTCATCAAGCAGGATATCTTCATCGCCGGAAATTCCGTTCAGTACGAGGTCATAAGATGATTCCATATTATGACCATAGTCCACAATGGCAAACTGGAAGACCACATGCTTGTCCATGATGTGGCTCATGATCTGCGCCTCCTTCAGGAGGGAGGCATGTTGCAAAATCTTCTCAGCCATTCTGACGTAATTTCGCTGAGACCAATGCTTATACACTGAGCGCGCGATCTCGAGTTCACGTTCATCCAACTTGGCGAAGCCATTTTCGAAAATTTGAGGAACTGGCTTTCCCATATCTCGGATGTGGGTCTCAAAAGTCTCCTTTTGTTTGCGCAGTTGCTCTTCGAATTCCTCCTTAGCCGTCCGCAGGGCGTACTCCATTCGCTCTTTCTCAGTCTGTAGCTCCGGTGAGTCTGGATCAGACGAATCCCCCACGGTCTTGAGTTTTTCTTGGAACTCTTCCTTGCGGCGATCCAGCTGCCGCTGCATATCTTGACGAGCCTGGTTGAGTGATGCGACACCATTAACTTCATCGTCGTCATTCTGTCGGGGCGTGCTTGGCATAGTTATAGCGGTGTCTAGAGAAAAGTTGTCGAGGGTGCCGTTGGACATATACTTGTCCCTAATCGGGAAGGAGCTGATGGAGTCGGAATCTTCTTCTTCGGGAAGTCCTCGCCGTCCAGCTCGAACCTTCTGCACATCCTCCAAAAGTGTGTCTAGTTCATCATCAGGCAAATTGGAGATCTGGTCGGGTCCTACCATAGCACTGACAGCTTCTCTACGTGCTAAGAACCAGTCTGACTCACGACTACGCTGTGAAGGCATGGGTGAATCTGCCCGGGATGAATCGCCATCCATGTCAGATCCTGCCTTGCTCAGGCTTCGATCATGGGTTTTGTTTGGCGCCGGCGATCCAAGCTGACTTGTGGTAACTGAATGGCGGAGTAAGCTCTGCTCAACCCGTTCAGCTCTGGCCTCTTGAGGATGGTTGAAACGGAAAATATGAAAATCGCCGAGGATTATTCGGAAACCACTCTTGAGTCGTGTTGGCTTGTCAACCCGCATGCCGTTCACCATAATAGCCGCACCTTCAGCTGGTACAATGGTCACAACGTTATCCGCATTCTCGAACGTGCAGTGCTTCTCAAGGATCTTAGATCCGTTCAATCGGATCTCCACGGTTTGACCTTGATCCATATGACCAACCGTGGTGGTTCCAGGTTTGATGTTGTAGACCAAACATTCTGCAAGAAGGGGATCGTCACTGAGGTTGACCAAATGGGGCATTTTCTTAGGTGTGCTCATTCCAATGAAGCCCTTTTCGATGTTGATTCCCAGTTCCTCCAAAGCTGCTTCACGCTCCTTGTGGATAAGTTCCGTATTCTGCAGCTTCTCTTCCCAAGTCTGGTTGAGATCTTTGTAGAGCTTCTCACTCTGATTGAGTTGTTCTACAATCTCTGCCTTGCTGACCTGAGTGACAGTTCCATCCGGCTGTTGGATGGAGACCATCTGTTTCTCCAGCGGTGTATCTGGGGGGTAGTACTCCTGGGGAACAGCACCTTCTATGGCACCAGCTGCTCCTCCCGGTCCTACTCCTCCTCCAAGTTTTGATCGGAGCTGTGCTAGTTCCTCCTTGAGTTCACGAATCATGCGTGCATTCGGATCTTCGTTCACAACAGCATGGTTCTTGATTCGTTTCGCCGAGTCGGCGTATCGCAGAGTACCAAGAGTTTCGTCAAAGTTAATATCTGCAGGAGAAATTGCAGCAATCATGGAGGTCATGGAATTTCCACCCAGAGAATCCTTCAACAACCATGTTAGAATTGAATCACGATATGGTACCATAGATGCATTCTTCTTCTTTCCGGCAGCAGACTTGCCAGCAGAGACATCAGCGAGTGCGGCAATGACACGACCAAGCGTGGACAATGAGCGATTGATCTCCGCACCCTCCTTCAGTCGCGCGCCGGTGGCTCCAGTGGAGTTGGCTCTTTCTGAACCAGCCAAATCAACCAAACTAATTTTCGACACTTTCTCAGTATCCATCGAAGTCTCTTTGTCGTGTCTCTTTTGCGTCAGAGTCAAGGTGAAAACGGCATGTGATCGACTTGAGGTTTCGTTCATGTTAGTCGCGGCAACTGTTCGGGCTTTGTTACCCTCGTCCATTAGGTTCTCGATTTCCTCGAAAGAGCTGACGACAAGTTTGGCCAGGTCCTCAACATAAGGACCCGTTGACGGATGCTCGCGGACTTTAAGGTTGCCTTTGTTTGACGGGTTGAGCAAATCGCGTACCCGCTCGTTGTAAATTTCGAGATACGACACCTCAACAGTGCAATTTAATAACTTGTCCGCCTGAATCGCAGTTATGCGCTCAAACATCGACTGGCAAATCCGTGGAATCACACCGTATTCTTTGCCATAGCCCATCATGGAGTATGATTTTCCCGAACCAGTCTGGCCATAAGCGAAGATACAATTGTTGTAACCCCCAAAGGCATTGTCCAGAAGCGGAGAACCGAGATCGTCGAAGAGGTCGTTCTGGTCGGCGAAGTTCGATGATTTCTTATCAAAGGACCAATATGATCGGTCAAATGCGAAGACCTTATTCCCTTCAACGGCACCTTTCCCACCCTTCCGTGATTTTTCCTCTGCGCCGGGTGGAGGGGTGAGCACAGTCTGGTTTCCTTTCATCGACACAATACATTTTGCGCCTCGCTCAATCTCTGTACAAGGACAAACTGGTTAGCTCAGGGTCCAAGGGAGACAATCCCCTCAATATCCACTCACCTCGACTGTTGAAAGGCCGCACCCGCACCACCACCTTAATATTTCCACCGCCGCCTGGAGCCATTTTTGCTCTCTAACCCATGCACGGGAGATGTTCGTTAACAATGAACGTTTATGGAAGCCGAAGTCCGGACGTGGGATGCAAGTGGTGACAGGGGTACACCGATGCGCGAACTCCGCTAGGAGCGCGGCTTGAAGGTCTGTCGCAGGGGAATGAGCGCGGAGTTGGGTGTAGCTAAATCGATTGTAGTCGTTTGGGAGTGGTTCCTAGCGAGATTCGAAACCGTAGATGTCAACAAAGACGTCATGTATCGGTCCAATGTTGATGTTGCGCGTCTGTGATGTTTTTTTTGTGGGGGAGGTTTGCTGATGTGCGGGGAGCCTGGATCCTGCAACGCTTCAAGTTGACTACTGAGGGAAACCAGCCACAGTGTCTGTTTTCTCGAGGCACCAAGCAAAACAAAATGCGATTGTGGTCTCGAGTCAACAACGATGCGGAAAAGCCACTTTGGTCCGGGGGGTGATGCTGAGTAAGCGCTCCACCGCCACCCGTGGACCCGTGGACTGCAAGGGGGTCTCTGTCCTTGACGATGTAAGAGTTTAACGATATTAGGAACGTTATGTGTAACAACTCACCGATTTATTTTGGCTGTGATGGCTCTTCAGATGTATACCAAGGCGTTACAAAATATACCCCTTGCAGACTTTTTTATGTATCACCAGGCATCGTACAGGCCCCTAAGGGGGCTTTAGATGATATTTTGGGGCTTCTTGGTAGACTACGCTGTGGCTATGCGCCAACCACCTGGACCATGTATACTACTTCAGATTTGCCTCATTTTTACATCGACGTGGCCGAGAATAAAGTTATGAAGAGGTCCGGGCCATATTTGGATGCGGCTTTCTAAGTTTCTTCTATGACATCCATGGATGTAAGCTCATGTTCAGGTGGAACATTCCACTCGATGTCTGCCCATACCTCCTTACGATTTTCCTTTAGTCAAAAGATTCTGCAAGAACTTTTGAAGTCCCGCATCGATTATTCCACTACAGGATGGGTAGTTCGTACTCATATGAGAGCTCGTGGTCAGATGAGGTGACATCAGTCATAAATAACCACGCAAAAAGCATAGACAAGCATGACGAGATACTTCACGAGCTGCGGTCGTGGTGCGAAAGATTGGGCAATGAAATCAGAGCTGTTAATGCGAGCACAACCCAAGGCAATAATACACAAAATGAAAGATTGAGCGTGTATCTTGAACCTCTTTCCAGAAAGGTTGACGGTTTTAACGCAGAGAACGGTCAACTGCGTGAAAATCTAGCCGCTCTTTCTGCGAAGATCGATCAGAATATTGCAGATATCAGTCACTGGAAAACAGAAGTTGAAGCTCTACCTGCCAAATTTCATGATGTCCTCGGCACAGAGGTCAATACTATGAATGCGAAGTACCAAGCGCTTTCTACAAAGGTTGATAATGGTTTCAACAACAGTCCACCAGCTATCAACCGGGGGCTTGCTATCGGGTTATCTCTTGGCCTCGGCATTCCTCTAACCATATCTCTGGTTTTCTTATGTGCCATGTGGATTCGTCGCAGGTATGATTTCCACAGGCTTTCTCTGAGAGAGACTGCTAACACACTACATTTCGTTAGATACCCATATATACCGCAACACATGAATAACGAGGAAGCTCAAAACTATATAAAAATACACAAAGCAACACGGCAAAGTAAGATCTTCGCGAATTCAAGTTACTTACAGTTATACCCTGACTGACGGACTTTATATCAGAAACACTCACCGAAAAGCTCTGCAAGCTTTTTGAAGCCCTTGGTTTCAAAAAGAAGCAGGCTGTTCCGGAGATCTATGTGATGGAAAACACACCCACGAAGTGATATTAACACAGCAGAAGATGGATATTTGGCTCAGAATGAAAGGTATCAATAAGTGCGTGGATTATGCGGACACATAATAAAACTAGGAGTGGATGACATTTTGCTCAGTTACTAGGTACTAATCGATCGCTTCTCGCCTCAATGTACTATGCTCTCAGCTTCAGCATATCATGTCTTTTACCTTTACGCCTTTTCATTTTCTAAAAAAATTTTAGTATGATCTATGTACTCACAGTTATCGCTCTGAGTCTAGTCAGATCGAAGTATTCAGAACACTAATTTCATCCTAAATTTGACAAAAGCTAGCAAATCCCAAAAAATGGAAGTCAACGTAGCCTAGCTGTTGGCCTTTCTATCGGGCTAGGGATTCCTCTCACCATCGCGTTGATAATATTGGCTGTAAGCTATGGCCATCGCAGGTATGTATCTGAACTGCACTTTTTCGTGGAACTTGTTGACAATAACTGTCTATTTAGACATCCAAGACTACCTAAGCCTGATGCTTGCGAAACTCAGAATACAGAAAACTGGCTCAATCTATACCACGCAACCCGTCCACGTATTAACCAGCTTCCTAGGCTTATTTTTTTCCTTTGATTGTTGACAAATTCCTTGCAAGTTCCTTTGCCGAGAAGCTCAGCAGTATCCTGGGGGCACTGAGGCTGATCAAGAAGCCAGTGATTCAGGAGGTTTATGTGATGGAGAACGGGACCAAGGTCTCGAAGTGATACTATGGTCACAGGAATTGAATACTTTGCTGGATAAAGGATAAACAGGTATGGATTCAAGGTGGGTGGGGTTTTATTTTTGATGTAGCCACTAGCTCACTACTCATATTCTTGCTATGCTCGACATGCCTGGTATATATTGTAAGCGCGTCGGTATTCTATAAGTATCGCGTACTAGTAAGCGCGCAGCTCCTGCTCTTGTTTTGATATTGGGTGGACATCATGCTCTATCTAGTATTTACCTGAAACTGGAGCATATTGTACTAGATAATCTGACCACTTAAGATGAGATCAAGGTCTCGGAATGACAAGACAGCCACACTTGAATCTATCTCTACACAAGGAACTGGCTAAGAAATCCTACGGCTAGTATTATATTTAATGGAATACAGCTGACTTATTACTATATAAAAGCTATGAATTTCAAAATAATTAACAATGCATTTCAACATTTGTTGTGGTACGTACTGTGTGTTAGTTATATATTTTCAAGGAATGCGGGTTGCTAAGGCATCAAGGCCACGAGTATCGGCCGAAATCCGACAAAAAGAAGGGACCGAATGGAAATTAATCAATAATACATGAAACTATTTTACCCAAATAAAACCGAAATCTGTATAGATAAAACTCCAAGTTAAAGGTCCGCAGTCAAGCGGTCAAGCTTCTCACACGTGGGACGTTTCATGGTCCGGAGATCGGACCCATCCTTCTCTGCGAATCGGGCTTATCGCCTACGCTGAATGGCCCATGGGTAGGTACTAAAGTTGACTAGAATGCACGTGGGGATCAATCTGGGAGTATAGGAAATATTGAAGTAGATAGCAATACAACATTTTCTCATTTGAATTGTCTGGGAACTGAGCTCGACAGGACGCGATTTATGGGAAATATATCCGAAACAGCAACGCATGGTGGGGAGATTTGAGCCGAAGATGAATCTACGGTGAGCAGAATAGCTTCGACCGCCAGTTTGAATGTTCAATAATAGTAACAGGTCTCCGTAGATTGCACAACATGTATCTATGTTGTAGATACGAACCCGGTTAATTGGATTGCGTCATGACCTTGGCTAGAACAAACTTCAATGCGCCAAGCGCGTACCTAGAGAGGGCCTCGTGTTTCTCAGTAAACATCTACATGATGGTACCTAGACCTTTCGAACCTGGGAGAGATGGACGGCCTTGTGTGCCAAATAACGTCGTCAGTCCCGCCTGAATTATAATGTTGCCGCCCGGAGAGATGATTCCATTACGGCTGCCTAAGAGATATCTCATCACACTCCCGTGAGGACCGTAAGTGCCGAGAATGACAGACCGCACTAAAATAAACCCTGTCTTATGTGAAGCTCGTTTTTTTTTCCGGAGTACATAGTGCACGAGCTTTGAAGCAAGGGCTATGGATGGGGCTATGGATGGAATGAGACTTTGGGTGGAGGAGACTTCCCCAAATAGGGCACACGGCCGAGCTACGCGGTGTCCACCGAGAGTAGGAAAAAGCAAAGTAAAATAGCGACACATTCCTTTTGGGTATTAGAAGTGATAATCATGAGGGGAAAGCAAGCTGACGAAAAAGGGCCAAAAAAAAAGAAAGGAGGCGATTATTAAAATGAGGCGAGTGATAGCGTGGGCAGACATGCAGATGCAGCTGAAAGTAAGTGTACTTTGTACTCCGTATTTGTAGTATGATTCAATGTTCAGGTTTGGGGTTTAGGGTAAAGTGGGGGATAGTGTTAATATGTTAGTATATTATTATCTATGGATACTCCAGATATTATGATTATATAACAAAATGAAGTCAATTAAGAGACATTAAAAGATGAAGCAAGAAACTCGAAGGTATACTCCGTCCAGAGTAAAGGGCCATGCGTCATAGTCTCGGGTCGCACATGACGAGAGCTCGGGACCGCCGGATTTGTTTTATTACTGTATTGTCATATAGATACCATTGGGGGCCATTCGGGCGGTTATGGAGGTCGATGAACCAGTAACGATGTGTATTAAAGTGTAATCTGATGTAATATCGCAGAAAAGGCGGCCTCAGCCAGCGGGGAGTAAGGCGGTCGCTCAGTCGGCAGCCAGTCAATCTCCTACAAAACTGCCCCATCCGCCCTTTTTTCTCGCCTTTCTTCCCTCTGCCTCTTCTCGTTGGTTGCCCGCCCTCTCCAGTTCATCCTCCAATCGCACAGTATCATCTCCCCCCTTTTTACATCATTATTGGTGAAACCCTGCCTTGCATAAGGTCATTCCTTCTCTATTGGTCTTGATATCATTCAAACTGGGGTAAGTTATATACAATTTGCTTTGAATACTGCATAACTGCAGTATTGTACTGCAATTGTACACTGATTTTTCTTCTTTTCTTTTGCTATTGCTTTTGCTTTTCTTTGTTTGAACTTATCTTTTTCATTTTGATATTCTCCTGGGTAAAACACACGTCACACGTCACAATTCACTTTTTGGTTCTTGTTTTATTCCCATTTTTTGACACATTTTGAACTACAATTGTATCCCTATATACCTCCTGTACTGCCTATACTGCCTGTACACTGCTTGTACGGTGTTACTGCCGGTACTCGTATACTTTGCGGAACTGCCCGGCTTGACCTCAGTGGCTCCGGTTGCCGCACAGAACCACCGCCTTCTCTCTCGTTGGCACGATTCCCTCGATCTCCCCCTCTCTCCCCTCTGGTCAAATCATCTTCTACCCTGGGATCCCTTGATTGCTTGGGATTGGAAAGTCACCTTATACCCCGGACATTATCCTTTCTATTTCTGCCGTGCCTATTAAGGTAATCGCTAAGCTCCAATCCCACGTTGCGCGCGCTTTTGCTTATCTCGTGGCAAAACAACGCGTGCTAAACCAAAACACACTTCCTCATTTTTGTTGACCTATCCTTGCTATTCCCTCTATCATTGGCTCTTCTGATTTTACCTATGCGCGCGATTGTGTTTCATGTTTCTTTTCGTCCAATCTGCACGCGTCCCTAGCATTTACATCTTCCCTCGTGGGTATCCAGTCACATCTAACACATACCATATAGTCGCGCAAACTGATTGCCTTGGCTTCGGCCGGTTTCAACTACTCAAATATTCACTTTGTCTGCTCTGCAGAATTCGATCGACAAGGTAGGTTTCCAGCTGCAGCTCAACTCCCGCCTTGCCAACGCATACATTCTCTCCCCTCTCAACCCTGACCGGTCTAACCCGCCCCGGATTTCCAAACCCCCCTCCACTTGAACACTCTGTATTGACAGCGCATTGGTTGTCGATTCATTGCCATGATTGGCTAAGATGTTAAAATGCTAATTCTGGCCCATAGTGTATTGGTGCGTGGAGCCTTAGTGAGGCGCATTCTGACATCAACGCCCAGGCGTTATCTGTCGCAAGTCGAGGCTGTTAGCACCGCCCGATTCTACGCTGGACGTGACAGAGCAAATCTCGGAATTGCGTGAATGAGGTATCCTGCCGACCGTGCTTGAAATATACTGCGTAGTCTCCACACCTGCTATCATCAGGTCTGTTCTGACTTGACAACGCATCAAGCCGACATCTAGTTGAGGGACCCCGGCACCGCTGCATCACAGCCCAACCACGTTACACCCGACTGTGGGCGTAAACAACTTTGCACAAAAGAGCCAAAACCCTCCGCAAGCCATTCGACATTATTCTTGACAAACAAGAGGTCTGTTGACGAAACACAAAACAATATTGGCTCATAACGCGCCTGCAATTTAAGGTACGTGCCTGGTTCCGGTTCTGTTCATTTAGTTCCCCATACCCCCACCCGCCAATCCAGTGACCGCTCGGTGATGCGCTCTGCTGACGCGACGCCCCGAACCTGCAGACTATTCGTCAAATCATCAGTCGCCTACCCTAGCACCTGTGGTGAATCTTGTGCCCCCATTGCGCGCGCGCTGCGATATCGCTTTATTACATCTACCAAACAAACGTCGCCGTCTACTTTAACATATTTGGACCTACCACCCCAAAGGGTCTGATTGGCGATCTCAGTTTATCAAGTCGCCACTTTCAGATCGATCCACTGAATCGGCGCCGTGCCCTGTAGTGTGACAAGATCCACTATCACAACTCGCAAGTATGGAGTACCCTCCTCAATATCAACAAGCCCATGGGCAACATCCACATGCTCCCTCTCACATCCCTGGTCCTTATCAAACGGGGCCACCAAACGCCGGTCCTCCTGTTGGGTCGATGGCCTCGCCCACCAACGCCCAGGCACCCATCCAACCTCACTCCACCCACCAATCCTCTC